CTAATGACCCTAATGACCCTAATGACCCTAATGACCCTAATGACCCTAATGACCCTAATGACCCTAATGACCCTAAGGTCGCCCTACGACCTTAAAATGATCCGCCCGAAATTCCCCCACGCCCGTCCCTAGCCCTAACTCTAACTCTAATATAATCTTACCTGATAAAATGGTCAACCCTAAAATATAGTCACCTCTAAAATAGAGCTCTAGATACCTGCGGGTAGAAGTCTTGGCATACCCCATCAAAAAAATTTTTGAGATTTTACTTGATTTTGATTCTAATTTTATAACCTTTATATATATTATTTTTAAATAAAAATTAGCTTGTATAATAGCTTAAGATCTGAATTATAATCTTCTATTTTTCTTTTTTCTATACTAGTCCTGGATCATGAAAGCACCCTACCCTAAAGTTAACAGAACTGTACCTAAAACCTCAAGTTTTCTAGCCAATCACAAGCCACGCTCAGCGCTCTGGAACGGAACCCTACCCATTTTCAAGTACAGTTCCGTTCCACCCACTTATTAGACTCCACTATCCCTTTCTCTTTATTAGGATGGCTCTGATTCTTTATATTATAGTCATTGTTATCACTCCACCAGTGATTACTTAGATCTGTGAGTTTGTTTAATTAATTAATTTCATAGATTATACATAATTTCCTGACTAGTGGGTCTGCCTTGGATCCCTTGCTTTTATTACTATTCTAAGTACCTCTAGCTTCTTCACAGGTAGCTTTTAATTACTTTTATAATTTCTTATTATTATTTTTCTGTTATTAGCCTGATTAGTATTCTCTTGCTATATAGTCTTATTTACTATAATTATAATATGCTTTATTATTTTAGTATCTTTCCCTTTCTTTCTTAAGAATTTCTTGATACTAAGCTATGTCTAGCTCTATTAATTATAACTTATAAGAATCACTATATTCTTAGCTTTTTGATTGCACTTGTTATTTATTATTAGTATTATACTAGCTTGTTCTTTAATTACCTTGATACCTGTTATCTAACTAATTCTTGCATCTAATATTAAAGTTAAATAGCTTGTTATTAATTTTAACTACTTGTTTAATTATCTTGCTAAGAGTTACTAGCTATTTTATCTAGATTAATTTCTCTTAAATCTCTGGTTTGAGCTCTTTCTTGAATCATGTAATATAAATATTATTATTTTAATCTAACTAGAATATAACCTGCTGAAATTCTAAAGTGTACTAGCTAACTAACTTGACTTATTATAGTTATTATAATTTTTATTCTATATTTTAAATTAAATTAATATCTTTGAATATCATGCAGAGTTATTCTTTAAAGTTATTATAATTCTTAAATTTCTCTTTAGTTTTATTATCTTGATTTTTTTTAGTATTATCCTGAAAGTCCCTGATATAAGATTTAAACTAATTAAATACTAGATCTTTCAGGTATATAATAATAAATATAATTTTATTAGATTTAGTAGTAAGTCTTTCTTTATTTATCTTCATGTATATGTCTATTTATATTAGGAATATATAAAGCTTGGAACAAGTGTTGTTAAATATCTCTAGTAATTTAACTTTAATAATATAGATTATAAGTTATCTCTTTAAGGTTGTGATATGCGCCTGTAGTTACTTAATTATACTAATAATATTTACTAGAGTTAGTCCTATACTAGTATTTTCTTAACTGTTTCTACTACTAGTCCTAGGGATTAGCGCGGCTATTCTGTTATTATTTAATATAATAGTATTTTAAATTATTTTAAGTTAACCTAAGACTTTACTTATACTAACTGGTATTTAATATATTAAGATTCTAGGATCTCTTCTTGCTTCTGCTATACTAGTATTAGTGACTTAGGTTATTTAAGATAAAGAGCGCCCTGTGGTCTTCCTATCAGCTATTAATAATAGGTTATACTAACCTAAGACCTTACATAGTAGCTGTGTTAATTATATTAATTAACAAGGTGACCTGATAGTCTGAAGATAACTAATAAGTAAGAAAAGAAGTAAGGTGTATCAAGTATATATACTTGATACTTGGTAGAGTGTGGACAAGTAGAAACTAGACTGAATATATACTCAGACTTGAACTATGTATTAAACATGACTAATTAAACTGTAGATACAGGTGAATAAGTGTTCTTATATATTCTTTATATATATACTTCTTTGTATACCTTCTGAGGTAGATGGCAAGGTATATCTAATCAATGTGTTTGTCTTTGTATACTTTGCTGTATACTTTCCAAAGTAGATTCTCAAGTATATTATATCACGTGACTCGTGCCTTTGTTCGTGCAGGGTTCTTGATCCTTTTGTCGGCTGATTGGTATCTGGCTTTTGCCTGGCTGTGCTGCCTTCGTGGGGTATTAACCTCGTTGGGTTTCCGTAACAACAGGGCGCTCTTTATCTTAAATAACCCAAGCCACCAACACTAGTACAGCAGAAGCTCGAAGGGATCCTAGGGTCTTGACAAAAAGAAGTAAAAAACATAAAAATTTTATAATTTTTTATTCTAGAATTTTATATAATTTAGACTAATTAAATTAAGAATTTTATAAGATATCTCTTATCAGGTCTATCTCTAGTCTAATAACTTTAATATATTCTAGTAGTTATTACAGCACTAATAAAATTCTAGAAAAATATATTCTTTTCTAAAGAGAGATAGTACTATTAGATAATATAAATTATAAATCTTTAAATCATGTTTATGGGTGGTACTATTACCTGGAATATGTCTATTAGACTTGTCCATGTACACCTAGCATGTTACCTAACTATCCCTTAGATGCAGTATTCAAGGATATCGCATAACAGGGGTCTGGTCATAGTGGTCTTTTAGCTCAGTCAGTAGTGCGCAGCCCGAGCGCGTAGTTATTACACTTTCTATATTCTACTATCTTTATAGAGATATCTATTAATAAGTAGGGGATTAGCTACCTAAAGAATGTCTACTCCCATTCCTCCCTGATATCAGCAGACACCACTTACACAATGAGTGCATAAAGATCACCAGACAGAATGCAGGGATTGTATCAGCTATGAATCCAGTATTAGCGGACAGGTCCTCTTCAAGAGGTGTCACCAAGTTCTGTTCCAGCACTGACGGGGGGGCCAGGTATTCGGAGTCTGCCATTAGAGATGGCAGTACTATCATTTTCATGTGTTTGGCTTGACGGACTATCATGTTCTTATCCGACCCAGACTCTAGCTCCCTGGAAGACAAGCTGTGGGTAAATCCCCCCCCCCCCCCATGTGGGGCGCCACAAGTGTTAGGTTAAGAAAAAGACCCCGAAAAAAAGTACGGCTAGGGTGGATAGGATTGATAACAGGTAGAACTAGTCAGCAGGCGGAAAAACCCTCCGGTATTATTAGGGTACTATTGTCAACTACCGTGAGTGATATCTTGATTGGTGATATTGGTGCATTGTACAAGTGTTCTCTGGCAATTCTGCTACTATGCTAACCTAACCGATGTTTTATACTCGTGTCTCGTGCTAAAATACTTGTCCTCCAAACTATAGCTAGGTCTAAGACAACTAATGCAGGGGCTATCTTCTGGAGCTCGAACAAAGTTTCCTCTCTTGGCCTGACTTCCACGATGCCATCATGATCGACAATTTCTGTTCCCACTCCGTCTCCGGCCGTGGGACCCATTATTTTTCCCTATTGCGGTTTCCTAGACGAACTACCGGGGCAGAAAATCCTAGAATCAGTGCATCTCCCCTTGGGCCTCCTTGCTCCGACCAGAATGACTCTTCTTGGTTATTATTCGATCGCAGTGGGGGCGGGGGCCTGATGGCCACACCAACCCAAATACTAAAACCGATTGAGCTTTCCTCTCCTCCGAGAATTGTTCTGTCCATCAAGTTCTGTCTTTCCTAGGTCAAATCGCGAGATATTACCGGATCCAAATTATGAGGCTCACGTCTGGGGTTGCTGCTGTGCTACTTGGCACACTGGCAGATTATGGTCAGGCTAAGCTGTCTGCCCGCAGTGCAGATCCGTGTGTATGTTCAAATGGATAAGAGTTCATGGCAAAGGGAATTCATGATGTTAAAACAGAAAGGCGGCTGACAGATTTACTACTGGTAACAGTGCGATGCTCTCCTTCTGAGCAAAATCGGTGACCGAGTGGTCCTGCCAAACGTCAAATCCTACAAGGAATCGGTGAAATCCTACTGGGCCGTCAACGTACAACTCGAGCCCAACTGCATTGTGCAGCCGGTGTCAACCGATGAGGTTTCCGGTGCCGTCCAGACTCTGGCCAACTCGATCACGGGCGATTCGTGTAAATTCGCCGTCCGCAGCGGAGGCCACGCGACATGGCCTGGCGCCAACAACATCGAGGATGGTGTCACGATCGATCTGTCCAATCTCAACAGCACCACCTACCACAAGGGGGCGGAAACGGCCATTCTCCATCCCGGTGCGCGGTGGGGGGACGTCTACAAGGCTCTGGAGCCCTTTGGGGTGACAGTCCCGGGTGGCCGTACGGCTCCGGTTGGTGTTGGCGGTTTCCTGCTCGGAGGTACAGTTGTGGAATCATAATTTCCTAGCGAGTGACTATAGACTGACAACAACAACAACAGGCGGTAACACCTTTCACACCGCGCGTGTTGGATTTGCCACCGATAATGTGGAGAACTTCGAGGTGGTCCTCGCGAGTGGACGAGTGGTGAACGCCAACCGACAAACAAACACCGACCTTTACAAGGCGCTCAAGGGTGGCACTGGGAACTTTGGCATTGTCACGAAGTATGACTTGAAGATCATTCCTCACGACAAGCTCTGGGGCGGTCTTGTCGGCCACGAGAACTCGACCACGCCGCAGCTGGTGGATGCGTTCGTCAACTTCGTGGACCACCTGCACGAGGATCCTTATGCCTCGTATATCGGGATGTGGCAATATAGCACGGCCACCAAACAAAACACCGTGGCATCCGCTCTAGAATACACCAAAGCAGAAACGCACCCCCCCGCCTTCCATGACTTCTATCATGTTAAGAACGTATCCGATACCATGCGGTTGGCGACCATGGCCAATCTGACCGCCGAAATCGGTCAGCCTGATGGCTACCGGTATGTTTAAGACCGATACTCCAAAAAGAATTCCAGCTCATCATATATTTAGGGATGTGTTTCTGACCGGCACATACGAGAATGATGCAAAGATCCTCGCAAGAGCCGTCAAGATCCATGACTCCAAGATCGATGTGCTCAAGTCCCAAGCCAAGAGCAAAGACTGGACGATTTACGCTATGTTCCAACCGTGGCCGAAGATCTTTTGGGAGCAGAGCGTAAAGAAGGGCGGCAACGTCCTGGGATTGGAACGAAATGATAAGAACCTCTTCCGTACGAAATATCCCAACTGAACTTTCAGCTTTCCCCCTGACGCCCCGTTCCCCGCAGGCTAACTCTTTTCCCTGCAGAGGTTTTGTACGACTACTCCTGGAGCGACGCGGCGGATGACGAGCTGTTTCGACAGACCGGCATTGATGCACTGAAAGAGCTCGATGAGTATGCCAAATCCGAGGGAAAGTACAACGAGTACGTTTACCTCAACTACGCGGATCGTACTCAGAACCCTCTCCGTGGTTATGGACCGGAGAACTTGGAGTACATCAAGAAGGTGGCCGAGACCTATGATCCTGATGGTGTTTTCCAAACACAAGTGCCAGGAGGCTTCAAGATCACCCAGGAGTAGGGCACAGAGTCTTCTCTCTATTGATTTTCTTGTACTATTCTTGTAGTATCAGATACATCAATATTCAGCTGCTTAAAGCGCCCGATCTTTTGGTCAATCTGTACTTCGTAACCCCCTCTCTTTAATCAATGGTAATACTGTAATTTCCACTATAACCTTTCCACTAGTCACAAAACCTGTCTAACAATTCATCTACAGATGAGCATGACGTTTCAATTGATATCCCAAGGTGCATCGCCAGACCGGACTATAGTGCCGATCGCTATCAAACGTGCACCAGCATCCCTGCACACAACACTAACCTATCGACGGCGGGGGCGATCAGTACCAAGTCTCGGAGAACGAACCTTCCAAACTGCTCCAGCTTGTGATTTTCCACATCCACAAGCGCACTATTATGTGCCAACTGAGTGGGCTAGACCACCCATTCGCGTCAACAGGCTTCGAAGGATTGGACGGTACAAAGTACTAGTATCTAGGTGGAACCCAACCAGTAGCCACAGAAATAGTCCACATTCGAGTTTGTGCACGGAGTAACAGTTCGTCTGAGTACAGCCTTCCGGTAGAGATGATCATCCTCGTGCCTCACTCAGCTCGTGCCTCACTTAGCTCATTTCGTCATCGGGGATGACGACTACTACTATCCAGAACGCAGCTCATATTCTACTCCAGGGGGGATATTGAGCCCCGTGTGGTTTCCATATTTTCACTTCAGCCTTTTCACTCGCCTATCATACACATGTAGCCACTAGGTAGGGGAGAGATCTCGGTCCTTCTCCGTCTCATCTTTCCACTATAATCAGGACATACCTCCTACCATATTCCCTCTCATACTGGAAATCTTAAACTTTCCTTCCGCTATCCACAACAATGCCCGCCCGCCAGGGAGTGATGCCTCCCCCTCCGGGTGTGGTGCCAAACTTTGACTACTCCAACCCATGGCTATTTATCCAGAGTCGAGCGGTCATCATTGCAGGGCTTCTCTTCGCGACACTCTTCCTAGGCCTTCGACTTTACACAAAGACATACTTGTTACACAAGTTTGGCTGGGATGATGGTACGTTGGGATCAATTGATGTTTCAATTGGGAAGTAGTATAACCGTTGATCTTTTATATAGTATCCCTACTGGTTGCATTTGTAGGACAAACACCTGCCCGTCGTCGGAGATTCGCTGCTAAAGGAATATAACCACCAGGCCTGGTCAATAACAACCCAAGCTATGTGTTTCTGTATGCCTGTCAAAATGAAAGCGAATATATCTCTATCTCCTAATTGCCTCTTCTGACCAAGTGGTTTCTCTCAGATGGCTATCGATATGGTGGCATCGGGATCCACATCTGGAACATCACGCCGGAAATGTTCCAGTCGTTTCAAAAGGTCAGATTCTATTTTTATTCATCACGCGTGCAATACGCACGATCTGCCCAGTCACTCATCATACTTCAAATAGGGCGTCTTCATTTCCGGGGTTGTTTACGTGCCAGCTCTGGCGTTTGCCAAAGCCAGTCTCATTATCCTCTACTACCGCATCGTGGGTCAGCAAAAGGTCTACCGGTGGTGCATTTATATTCTGTCATTTGTCGTGGGTGGTTACAGTATTGGGATCACCCTCGCATTGATTTTTGCCTGCAATCCCCTTGCCAAGAGCTGGGATAAGTCCATCACTGAAGGGCACTGCGTGGATCAGAACGGCTTATATATCGCCACCGCCGTGACCAATACGGTGACTGACGTGGCCCTCCTAGTCCTTCCCATGCCGATGGTGTTCACCTTAAATATGCCAACCGTGCAGAAGATTGGATTGTCTCTGGTTTTCCTAGTCGGGTGCGCGTATGTTCCCGCTGCGTTCCCGGTTCTTAGTCTCCACATGCTAACCAGCCACAGCACGGTTGTCACTAGTGTCATCCGCCTCGTTACCTTGTTCCCGTTCCTCCAGTCCACCGATCCCACATATAAGATCGCCTGGACAGATCTCTGGATGTATGTTGCCTTCCAACTATCCTAAGGCCTATTCCTGCCTGCTGACCCCGTTTAGCAACGTTGAAGCCAACTTCCTTATCATTTGCAACTGCCTTCCTTTCCTCCGCCAGTTCTGCCGCCGCTATGCCCCCAGGATCATCGGCGAAGGGAGCACCCAAGGCCTGCGCTACTTCACCGGTGGCGGATACCACGATGATAGCACCTCCCGGTCACGGGCTCGACGCAAACCTGGACTTACCCTACTGCAGGATGATGTCGAATTGGCCGACGGCGGTGGTACCCAGTCACAAATCATCAAGGAGGTCCACTGGAATGTGACGACCGAGTACGCCGACGAGTCTCCAAATGCGGGAATGAGGGATCAGCACCGGCAGTTTCAGAGCCATGTATAAATGACGCTGCTGTCGGAGATCGAGAGTCCTAGAGGCCCGCGTCGACACTGCGCGGCAGCCTATGACGCCCAGGGATGATGGGGAGTTGTTTCTTCCTAGTATCAATGTACATATAAGCATTCGCCGCACTTCGGCTCATACTGATATTGGTTGCCGGTCTAGTATACCCCGAAGTGTATATTTTCATTAGGTCTACCAGGTCGCGCGTGTAATGCTTCAAACCACATCTTCGATGGTCACTATGCTGTATATGGTCGACGTAAAGTGAAATGGATGTAATCACCAGATAGATAAAAGGCACCCAAGTCGTGCTATTTCCAGTGTTAACCCCTGTAATTACAGTGGTACCTTGCCCTACATAATCAATGTTAAGACCTCCAATCTTTCAATTGCAGGGATATTTATTGACTTTTCTGTTTTGCGGCTATCTTTGGTTGAACATCGTTAACCTCATTATAAAATGCACACATATTCCTTCCTCAAAGCCCCAGTGGACGGAGGCATCCTTGCGTCGTCTGTGACACACGCTGGGGGAGCGGGCCTGTGGGTTTTGGTAAAGTAGTTCCCTCGCGGCGGAGTGGGCTGGCAAGGCAGGAATTTGGAATTTGGAATTTGGAATTCGCCGGCTTGACCCGCAAGACTGTGGAGTGTGGACCGTTGTGGATTTGGTGGGTTATGGAGTGACAGACCGTCTTGGTAACAGCAACCCGCGGTCCGGGGCTCGGTCCGGTTTGAACTGTCACTCTGGTGGAGGGGGGACTTCCGAGCGCGAAAAAGGAGGTTTGACGCTGCATATGACCCAGATCTTGGATGGAAGACTTTGCCGCAAATCTTCGAACAAGGACAAAAAAAACAAGACAAAGAGATCGATGGATATATAAAACATCAAGGAAGTACGAAGTAGATCTATAGTTCAATAACCATCGAAACTACTATTAGAGCAGTCCTGGTACGGGGTACCAATAAACCATCTCTTTTTGCACACCATTACACGCCACATCAGATCTATGACAGCCACTGATTTAAATGAAAGAAGACATTTAAGCGGAGACAAGTGAAATACATACAATCTGTCATATTTCCTCATACGTGATGTCATGAGGAATTAATATCACATTGGCTGTGTATGCAGGATAACCGTGCTCGGATATATATTTTAGATGAGATTTTTTTAAATATAGAGAGGTTCAATACCCCGTGCCACCAATATTATCCTAGCCAATTCCACTAGTGTTGATAGTCTCTCCATCTCTTATACATTGTGTACTTTATACATTCCCTTAGTTTTCCAAACTCTGGGAGAACACAAACACGAATGGTCAAAGTACGTACTACATAGTCATAATTTGGATAATGCTTACGCTCTAGCTAAGCCGTAACAGGCTATAAAAAATAGGAACAATTAAAAATAAAAGTGACCCGATGAAGTATTTACAAACTAATTGCAGTCACTATTATCATATAATATCCACGCAAGAATTAATACCTAGGCAGTCATGCAACCCCAAATTATTAAGAGATAGGTTCCTAGCATAAGTTTTGAGTTTCGAACTATCATCTACACACATGAAACAGAGTCACGGCTAGGATCAATATTGTATGTCATGGAAAGATGGTCAAGGATTATCTGGACATGTAGATATGACATGTAAGATGTGTCGCATCACTAGAATTGACCTGTCTATATCAGCCCCATGGCCTTTCGACCCTGGATGGCGTAACAGCCTTGTATCCCAGGTTACTGGTTCTGGTATATCCGGCTCGGGATACTATTGTGACAGTCCACGCCCTGTGAAAGACAATTGAATCATATCCAGATACCAGTGATGTAATATAACTGTTTGTCAAGAATCCATAAGTTTTTTTCGACCAAGCGTAGGTCTGACCTAGCACCTGAATGTTTCCAATGACCGCATTATGTGTAAGCACCTTAGTAGATATTATGTTCACACCAGTGGCTTCCATTAGACATCGACCGGGGAATGCCGAACATCGGTATGGTATGTCTAGGGACTAGCAACGGTCGCTCACGACGGTCCAAACTACATCGGGTACAGTGGGGGTGGAATAGTCCGGCGTCCATTTGCGCCACTCCCAATGAGGGAGAAGAAGGTGGTTTGCCAGATAGACTGCAATTCAATAAAGCGGATATTTATCCTCGGTAGAACAACGACCGGACCGATCCCTGCGTCTCATCAACTTTGCTTGGTCATTTTTTATTCTGCTGGGAGGAACGTATGGCGATCGGCGTCCTTTTCCCCCGACGCAATATCACAGCCACGCCACCGGTTTTGGCCCCCGAATCATTCCTCCAAATAAGCACCAACGCATGGGGGCCACGCAGAGGTGGCACGGTGGGATTTAACACGAGACCGCATGACTGGCCATATAACATGTCTAACCGCGCGAACGGGTGTCGATAATTGGATGTCCTTCTGAATCCCAGTGGATAACTACATATTGGACCAGTTCAATGACTAGCATAGGGGAGACGTACAAGAAACACTTTTGATCACTTTGTTTGACAGTTAGGGGCCACACGGTCCATGTACAGAAGCCCCACTCTGGTCGGCCGTTGGGCCATGGACCCAAGGCGGGACTACTTTCAAGGTGAGACGGCCCTATATTATACTACCGGAATTAAAACAGCGTTCGCATAGATGTAACTCAACTGCCTAGTTAATAGTAATTAGGTTAATCCGTGATTGAACCCCTGCTTTCAATGTACATCGCAGATGTAAGGGCTGATGGGTTGTGACGATATCACACCCGGACGTGCGACGGCGCATGTAGAAGAGCCATGTCAGAACTCGACGAAGACCAAGCCGTCTACCGAGCCACGGCATACTTATTCCACAAGGGGTCAGCTAACAACCGGTCCACGCAGCCGTTCTCCACGCCGACGAGGATTTCGATGCCCCCATCGGGCAGAGGCGGGAATACCACCTGACACCCATTGATCACCCCAATTGCTGGCACACGGACCGCATCAATCTTCCCTAACATGGTCCCCCACACTAGATCGTACATCGAGAATCCAGTCCAGCTGGTGAGCACGCAGTTGTACCCAGGGACGTCAAGGAAGGCCGTTGGCACCAGCCGATTGACGTCCTCGAGCTTCTCGACCAGGGTCGCCACATCATCCACGAACTGGCTATCAGCGCGCTGGATAGCCTCGCGGATGAGGATGGCCAGGTCGGCGAGACACAGCTCCCCTAGCATGCGGCGGATTGACATAGACACCGCAACGTACCCGAGGAAGCAGCCCAGGGTCTCGGGGTGCACGGGTGGCGAGGTCCGCCGGCGCCCGTCGATGGCCACGTTGAAGACAGACGTAGGATCACCTTCCAGGGTCGACAGCGGAGACTGGACGTTCATGACAGTGCGCCACAGAAGGGCGGACAGGGCATCGTTGGTCGAGATCCATTTCTGATCAGAGGGCTGGGTGGCGTGCGCCGGGGACGCCTCCGCCTTGAGTGTAGCGAGGGCCTGAGGAGAGAAATAGAAGACCTGGGCGCAGTGATTCGAGGAGAGCATTTTCGGCGGTGCTCCGGACGGGGTGAAGGGGAGGATGGTGTACTCGGGATGGTTCTCCGGCAATCCCGTGTTGCGGCCGGACGGCTTCATCACGAGTTCCCGGTCTGTCCAGATGGCCGGGGGGAGGTCCGCCGGCTCATGGATGGGGATCCCTTGAGCCCGACGACATTCTTCGGCCCAGATTTTAGTCCAGGTGTAGAAAGAGGTGCCGTCTCCGACCAGGTGCATGATGCACCAGGTGAGGATCAGGCCGCCCTCGATGAAGTTAAGCTGGACGAGGCTGGTCGGCAATCTCTCGCCGGCAGAAGGCCACACCGAACGCCGACAGAGTTCCTCGCCATCGAACTCGGCGACCGGGAATCCCCTGGCTTTGAGGTCTGCGTAGCTGGATGGATAGGTTTCGCGCAGGTCCTTGACCGCGACACCCCCGACATTTGGATCGGTCAACCGCTGCAGCTTCACTACTCCACCCTGCTTGGCGTCTTCGTCAGGGATGAGCTCGCAGCCAACCACCGGTAGCCGCTGCTCCAGGGCTTGATAACCCATTCGGAGAACTCTGGCCACATCGTCGATCTGGTAGTTGTCGGCCAGCTGGAAGGGGAAGACATATCGAAGATAGCCCTTCGGACCAATACGCTCGAGAGCGGTAAGGGTAGGGACCTCATTGATCGAACCCATGGTTGCTTCTTTCTGAAACGCCCGGGGTTTCTTGTTCTGGCTCTTTGGGGTGGGTTCGGTTGTCTTTCTCCCCCGGAAATCGTCGATTACGTGGCGCGATGAAGGAAAATGACAGGTTTGAAAAGGCAAATCAAGGACCCGACCGGTCAGCCCACCCCTGTTTTATCTAGTCCATCGTCTATCAGCCCCTCATCCGATGAGTTACCTCCCTGCCCCACCAACTAGAGCAAGGCGCCCAGCAAACGCCAAGCTAGACAGGGCCGATCATGGTGAAAAGCGGATGGCCCGCCGTTGAGGAGATCGACATGATAGGTGTCAGGGCTAGTCTGCACTCGGGCATGGTCAGCCTTCCCCGTCCCTAGCGTGGGAGACGGACTCGCTGGCGTGGCTTTAGTCTGATCCTGCGGAGTGCCAGCTTCCAATCTAGGATTCTTTAGGTCCATAGCGGCTGGTTCCTGACATTTCTGACAGGTGCAAGGGGGTGAGTATATATCAGAAAGGACATGATAAGTCGTGCAGGATTCGGGGCTGCGTATTGGGTAGGATCTCCGAAATAAAAGCTCCGCGATGGACACCCCCGGTTATGATTGCGCTGTGCTGGTGGTGCTGATATCTTTTCTTTCGTTCTCTTCAGTGGTCCCTGCTTTCACTTTGCTGGGAGGTGAGCGCAATGGGAATTGATCCCGGTATTATCAAAGTGTTCGGGCCACCGCCGCCGGGGCTCAATTTGTCGGAAAGTGAAGTGTCTAGAAACAATGGGGCGGTCATTGCGATGCTCTGTCTGGCCGCCGTGGCGGTGATTCTGCGCTTCACGGCTCGGATTACCCTGGGGAACGCGTTGATGTCTGATGACTGGGTTATTGTCGTCGCTCTGGTATGATCCCTGTTCATCCGACCGTGGTCCCGGCTCTAGTTGCTAAGTTTGGTGCAGCTTTGTATAGGAGCGACAGCAGGTCTGAGCATCGTTGGTACGCTATCCCATGCCTGACAATGACGAGTGGGAGGCTGACGGGCTTAGGTGGCACACTGGGGGCAGGAACGCACCTCTGGTCTCTCTCGTTGACCAACGTTTCGCAGATTTTCCGGGTCAGTCGATGAGACTTGCATCTCCATGGAATACTTTCGCTGACGGGGTCAATCAGATCCTCCACTCCTATACATTTGTCTATGCCGCAGCGTGTGCCTCCACCAAAGTGTCCATTCTGTGCTTTTACATCCGGATCTTCACTCCATTGGACCGGTATTCGCGATACGCCATTGCATTCGGCTTCTTTCTGACCATCTCCTACCCGATCATCATCTGGATCACCATGGGAAATTGCTGCAGGCCGCTCTCCTTTTACTGGAACCAGTTCATTGGGGAGAAGGGGACATGCATCGATGTCAACACTTTTTTTCTCGCCTTGGCGATCATTAACATGATCAACGACTTTATCGTGCTGCTCATTCCGATCCCGCGAATTATGAAGCTGCAGATGACGAGGAGGAAAAAGGTGGCCATTAGCGCAATCATGGCGGTGGGTATCTTGTAAGTCAACCAGCCTTCCAGAGAAAGGCCAGGGCCCATGCTGATGGACATTCCAGCGCCTGCGTAGCCAGTATTGTCCGCATCTGGTACCTCTCCGTGTTCATGGCGGCCCTCGACATCACCTGGCTCATGGGGCCTGTCTTCATCTGGAGTACCATCGAGCCCTCAGTCGCCATCATCTGCGCCTGCCTGCCGCATCTCGCGCCCTTCCTGCGCATGGTGCATCAGAATGTGCTGTCTAGTCGGGACAAAACCGGGTCCAAGTCACACGGCTCGTCAGGCCCCTGGCGGGGTCCCCAGCGAAACTCCGTATTCGGCAACCGAGCGCCCCATTTCGATGGCCGACAAAGGCTGGGGGACGACGAGATCGGGCTGACGAACCATGTCGCGGGGAGTGGGAACATCCACAAGGCGGACTCGATGGAATCAACGATCCTGGTGCAGTCCAGCTTCGTCCAATCGGCCTCGGGGTCTCGGTGATGGACTCCTACGCGATAGCCCATCTAATGTACACCGATCCAAGTCATATAGCCAACCGCTTTTGTGCCTACCCGACCTGGTGGGTTCTGTCAGTCGCATCCACCCATGAAGTCTGGTTGTAGCTATTGTCGGCTTTGCTCCCTGGCTTGGTAGGTGTTACCACAGGTCACTTGTTGGATACCAATTGAACCCAAGTACTATTTATCGTCTGCCATACCAACCAATCACGAATAATAGGCAGGGACTTGTTCCGGAAATCACCCACCCCTGCGAGCGTAGCCCGACTGAAAGTCCACCGTGTATTGTAGGGGGCTTAGTATCGAGACTTTATTCGCCATGTGCCGATCGATAATAGTATGGGCGCCTGGTTGGCTTGACAGTCGCGGATGGATGCTATTACCAAAGAACTACGAAATAAACTGAGTACGATGCCGCCCATTTTACAATCCCAGTCAACTAGTTGAGTGAATACCTGTCAATTCACATACAACGGACAGTTCGCGAATTATATAACAACAAGCAACATGGCATCAATCAATAGACAGAACACAGGAGCTAGACCTCATCGAGAACCCCGACTAAGAGAAACGATCAGCCGATTCAAGCAGTCAAGAACATAGAGCCACCTTACATCAAACCCGTTCATCCTCCAAAGGGATCTTTGAGTCCCGCCTCAACATAGCACTTGGCCTTCTCTGCGGAACAGTACGCCTGGTTGGCGTCCTTGGCCGTACGGCACTTGTTTGCTTGCTTGTCGCAGCACTCGGAGGTCTTACACCCACCGGCGACGACAGTGGTGGAGAGACCGAGAGCGATGGCAATGATGGTCCAAGAGATTTTCATGATGACGACATATAATCGAGTACTGTACGTTGATGATAGGAATGAAGATGATATAGATTTTTATCGTAAAGTTGAGACTTGCGAGCACAACCCTTTATAAGATATAGTGACCATGCTGAAGTGCCATGTGGCACCCGATTTGCGTTCTAGAATTCCATTGTCCATTTCCAATTGTGGTCTTGTGTGAATCATCGATGTCGTCAGGCCTCACCGAACTCCGTGGTTGGGATGCGGGAGGTGGATCCCGCTCAGTGTAAACCAAGAGGCAATTGGAGGCTTGGGATGTACAATCGGATTGTATTTAACCTTAACTAGAGTGGCAATGAATGTTTTAGACACACTTCAAAAATCCCAACAATGAGAGTAGGCGGACTTCCTCGTCATGATGGCCATTGCTCTTATTAGGTAACATCGGTGGCGAGACATATGCGATCACTGGCTCAGTGATTTCATATGACGCCAGTTAATGCTAGGCGGGTGGGCGTCGCATTATCGCATTATTTCCATTTAGTTCCAGCACAAATACAACTGTGTCAAGTGTAATATGGCGATATAGGTGCGATCGGGCTGGGTTGTAGCATAACAGGTGATCGTCATATCGTCGAGCGATAGTCCAATATCACGAAAGGGTAACTAGAGAAAGCCATTGATATGGCTGAGGTGGATTGATACCGCAGCGAACAAACGACGATAGCCGAAGGTTTCAAACACAGAATATGTATGACGCTTAATTGGACCTCTGCCTGGGCCTGGAGAGGCCGAATGTTAGCATTTGGAGATCACCGGATATGTTTACCACCATCCACCATCTCGGGTTGTTATCAACGAATACTGATCTTAGATGATCATCCGAATAATGACGGGGCCGGCATCAGTAACTCCCCAAAACCCCCCGCATCATCAAGTAGTGAGATTTGAGAGGCATACACGAACCGAAGCTACCCCGCAGGGGATTTTGTGTGGCTGGGTAAGTCATCCCATCACTAGGCGAGAAAAAACCCGGCACCATCCAAATGTCCCACCAAAACAGTCTTTGCACCCTCCAGAGACCTGGTTGTCTGTATAAGGATCCATACAATACAAGGTACCGAGCTCGGTGTGTACCATTGTATCATCAATAGCTGACCGTGGCAGGTCAGAGTCTCGGCAAGATTCACTACACGACGTGGTCCCGTTTCTGCGCCGTCCGCAACACCGACAACATCATGATATCGGAGACGGATGCTAGATACCTGCGTCGATGCATCGAGCTGGCTCGTCAAGCGGCTCAGGCGGGGGATGGTGCCTTTGGGTCAGTCCTGGTGGACGCAGCAGGCGAGGTCTTGAAGGAAGATCGCAACCGGACGGTCACCAACTCAGACTTCACGCTGCACCCGGAGTTCACGCTGGCCAAATGGGCCCAGGATAATCTCAACCCAACGGAACGCGCCTCTAGCACTGTTTATACCTCTGGCGAGCACTGCCCGATGTGCGCGGCTACCCATGCATACGCGGGCCTTGGCAGGATCGTATACGCTAGCTCGTCCGAGCAACTCGTACAATGGAAGACAGAATCTGGGCTGTCCCTGGGCCCAGTTGCGCCGCTCCCGATCAACCGGGTAGCACCGGATATACCAGTCGAGGGACCTGCACCGGGTCTAGATGAGGAAATTCGTGAACTGCATCGTCTGGGTTGGAGTCGAAAGGCGGCATAGGCATGCTTCGCGATTGAGATCGCTATTTACGTATGACCCTAGAGAGGAAGGCTGGTGGCCAATTTCAGAGTCAGTTTATCGGGTGGTTATGTAGAGTTAGGTTGACCAGAATTGAGTGACTGTCAGTGGGCGAGAAGTGGCCTGTCACCTGATCGTCGGGCAGTCGGATTGGTTTAACCCATCCTGTCCAAATCTGAACCTTCTTCTCAAAAGTCGCTACATTGGCTGAATCATGTTAATCCGTAAGGTCATATAAGGATTTGACCGCATCTATCGGTTTGCCTGATACTTGATCTATCATGTTCTATTAGTCCAAGATTCGCCCCTACCCAGAACGCAATTCTTCATTCCAGGTACTAGCTATTGTAGCTTCCGGTAGTATTTCGAGAAGGGTTCCCGGATATCAGGTACACTGCGTATCCATCGGGTGAATGTTACTGGTATGGGCGGCTGGAATGTGGTTCGACGAGGAATCAATGGTCATTTGGTTCTTTCCCCGTCGCCCTACAGGCTTTTGAGGGCCATATAACATACAATACATAGGTGACGGGGCGACCTGTTTTATGAGAATGATACCATGTATATCCTTATTCCTCGATAACCTCAAACTCTTGGGTGACGCTGATTCCGCCAGCTGGGTTCTGACCGAGACTTTTCTGCCGCGCGTGCTTCTTACCCAGGGATTCTTCGCTCCCAATACTCAGATCGTCCCGCCCATATGGGTGGACCGCGGCCACCCCTGCATACGCATTGTGCCCCATCGGCCGCAACCATAGTGGGTGCGAGTCATCGGTTAGCGAGTCCAGCCTGTTGGTGGCAGCAGCCGGGCCCCTTCTAGACAGCACGGGGCATTTGGCAGCTTGGCCCACCGTATCTCGGGGCGATTTCGGCGACCGATCAATGAGCGGTCGCATGAGTGGAATAGACGACAGTATAATGGCGAGGCAAGGCTCGAGGCCGGTGAAGATGTTGGCATGCGGCAAAGTATATGTCATGTCGCCGAACCGCACTCTGAACAGGGTATGGATCCGGAGGACGCTGACGATACACGCACTGTATCGAGATTAGCCAGGGTCTCTCGGATTGGGCACGATATATCAATGTCGGAAAACAAAACGTGTGATCGGGTAGTCTTACACAAATCCGAGTCCCAGGACTGCCATCAGGGTTATCTTTTTAGAAGTTGCCATCTGGAGCCGATATAGCAACGGCATGGGGATTACCACCACTACCAGGTCGGTGAACAAGTTAATAGTCCCTGAGACAATGTAGGACACGATCTCGCGGCCACACGTTCCACCAGGAATGTTCGGGTTCCAGTTGAAGGCCATTGGTCGGCATACCAGAAAGGTGGCCAAGATAGTCCCTATCGCCCAGGCAGCAACGAGGGCGATGGTACCCCAGACAATCCGCACGACTGCCTTGGCCGGGAAAATGCGGAGATACAGTAGCAAAATGGAGAATTTGGTGCAGCTGAGGCTAAACACCCAAAAGATCTGCACCGGGACGATCAGCTTGTACAGTTTGGTGATCGGCTCTGTCCCATGCTTGGCGACGATCGCCTTCTCATGGTCATACCCTAGGCCGGTCTGGACGACGAAGGTGACGGAGATGGATTCGAGACCGACGGCAAATATCTATCGCTGTTAGGAGAAGTTGTGGGATGTCGGTGGGGACCTACCCCGGTAGGATACTCAGCTTACGCAGGCCATGATCAGGAAGTAGTCGCTCATATTCCACTTTTTCCGGGCAATACGCTGAGCCAGCAACCGAAGGGATACCGCGACGACGGCCAACGTGCTACTGACGATGGCGACCGCGAGTACTGCCCGTTGCGCATCCGTCACGATGGGAAATATGACCGCCATACACGCTCCCTTAATTGGCCGGCGGCGGGATGCAGGATCAACAGTTTTTACTTGGAAGGGCGTGGCTCCCCAATTTCATCCCAGCAGGCCTTGAGATATGGCAGGCTCTTATCTCTCCTTTCTCAAACCTACATCGTTTCCCGCAAATCATGTGCATTGCTATTTTAACCTTCCAAGACTCCTCCTCTGGTCTTTCTTTGATGGACGCGCCATGCTACGCCATGCTGTGGGAGACTCATGTCTCGTTCGCGAAGGTTGGGCCTTCTTGTGGAAGCCTTACAGATTCATGGAAGCGTGACAGACCAATAGAGAAGCTTGAAGTTTGTTGCGACAGAAGAGGTAATCCTTGCCTGTCAGCCTCTACACGTCCAATTTCTTGGCTCTGCTAAACGCCAAGGGGTAGCGATGGTCCGTGTTGTGAGGGGAAACAGTTAGGGCTAATGGTTTTGGAGACTAGCCCCAGAGCCGGAGCGCCTCTCTGTCAAACCATTGGTTTCGCGTATTCGTTGGTGCATTTCCACATGTCTTTTTCTGTGTTTTTAATCTGCTGGTCCCTTTGTGCCATCGCCACTGGCGTCGACTTCCAAAACTTTGAACCCTTTAAGCCTCGTTCAGGTCGCCCGTTCATACACCAACGTCCAGGATGACCGTCGTGTTTGCCGTGGCTGCTGGTCTTCTGGTGCTATTGTACATTTGTACAAGGACCAACGGGAAATTGGGTGTGAGAAAAGGGGAGAAGCCTCTTCTAAAACTGCCCCTCATCGGCGACCTGCATGACTCGCCCATCGACAAGCCGTTGGCCAATTGGGACGCCTGGGCAGAACATAATGGCGCTATTGTGTTGGGCAGACTTTTTGGAATTGTGCCCATCGTCGTTCTCAACTCGGCTGAGGCCGTCAGTGAACTCTTTAGCCGGCGCAGTCGATGGTATAGCAACCGGCCAGCCTCGGTGACAATGGAGATGATCACGGGCGCGGAGCCAGGCCAGTCACGATTCACCCTGATGCACGACTACGATGATCATCTCAAGTTGCACCACCGCATGCTTGCCCCAAGCTTGGGTGCTGTGGCGGCCCCGCAGTATCAGCCACTGATGGAATTAGAGTCGAAGCAGCTGCTATTCGATCTCTTAGATTTGACTGGGCGAGCCTCCGGCGGTACTACAGTAAGCATGAACACTGTTTACCCCTTTCTAGAGCGTACCCAGTCCAGTATCATCTTAGCATTGCATTATGGATTACGTATCACACGGCCCGAGGAGCCCATTCTGCACGAGATTGTCGACATTCAAGCCACTGTGACACATCTCGCCGCTAACCCTGCTTTGCCCGACCTGGTCCCCGTCCTCCGCCACCTGCCGGTCTGGATGTCCCCGTGGAAGAGATTTGCCAACCGGCTCTACGCCAGGCAGGTTGACCTGTATATGCGTCTATTCCACCACGGCCGCCACGTACGGGGATGGAACGCCACAAAGCAGGGGCTATCAACCGCCAACAAATACGCTCCGAAAGAAAGCCCGGTGTCCGATCTCGATCTTGCCTTCACCCTGGCCACATCAGTCCAAGGCGGCATGGAGATTTTACCGCGCCAGATGCTGTGGCTGTTCATCGCCGCGTCCCACCGTCCAGCCGTTTTCGCCCAGGCGCGTGCGGTCCTCGATACGGTCGTTGGACGCGACCGTCTCCCACGATTCTCAGACCGCCCCCACCTAGCTCTAATCGACGCCATCGTGCACGAACTGCTTCGCTGGCGGCCCATTGCGCCGGGCTCGATCCCCCGCAGGGCGGACCGCAATGACGATTATCAGGGTGTCACGATCAAAAAGAACGTCGCAATCATGGCCAACGCCTGGGCGATCGGTCGAGATGAGGTGGTGTTTGACCCGGCCCTGGGCGATGTGCAGGATTTTATCCCTGAACGATGGCTGCGCTCGGACCCAGGCGGGGAGACAAGACTCCATGCCGACCTTCCTCTGCCGGTCTTCGGGCAGGGTCGGCGAATGTGCCAGGGGAAACGAGTTGCCACCGACGGGGCTTTCATGCAGGTGGCTCACTTGCTCTGGGCGTATGAGATTGGGGACACTGCGGACATCACGGTAGATCCGTGGAATATGACCGTAGTTGGATTCATGACGATGCCGACGGAGTGTAAATTTCACCTCCGCCCTCGGGGTCATTGGGTGGTGGAGGTGATCGAGAGGGAATGGGCTGTGGCCGATAAAAGTCTAGACAGGGTTATGGGAAGCGCGCATGACGTGGAGAAGTAGAGCGTTCCTGTTTCTTTATATGCTCTGCTCGACCGCATCGGGGCGCCCCGTAGTATATCATCTGCCTATGATGGCTCGGTTCATGAGGCAACCATTGTGACCACTGAGACAATGCAATCAGTCAACATGCCGTCTGATCTGCACAGTTATCTCGCACAGATCTTAATTTGGGTTTTGCAATCATTCGCAGCCCTTGAGTAGGTACAAAAAACATGAAAGTATCCAATATCTTCGTTCTTCATCAGTTCTCCTGCCACTATGATACTTACTGCTCTCTTCCCTCGGATCGCCTTCGATATAGCATACCGTCACTCGGGATATATACATTTACGGATATATGGATAGAGGTTGTTTTATTTTGTGGTTGTGGACTAGCCTCGGATTACACGGTGACATGGCCTCGCTGGTGACTGTCCTTCAGCCACCCAGACACATCCTAGCCACTGTCAGACGTCCAGTTCTGTTAACTACGACTCTGGAGTCGCTAAACGATGAATGGCAGGCTGGAGGATCATCACAAAATGCTCGGCGCCGATTGATTCTCCATATTTACTTCAATCGGCATCCGGCATCGTACACGACTGTTCGTACTGCAAACTGCTCCAATTACCGAGCATGGTGTCTTGCTTTTGCATCTGAAAGTGGCCATAAGCGCCATGTGATGATGCAATAGGGTTGAATTCGCGAGTCTAGACAACTATGATATCTAATGGGCTGCCCCGTTGGTCCCATTGGTCCCATTGGTCCCATTTGCAACCGGCAACACGGACTCGATAACGCCCAGGCCGTCGTTCTCGCGTGTCCAGAAGGTAGGCTGCAGGCCGACCGACTCAAGAAGACTCTTCCACTGCTGGCGAGTGCGCTCCAGCCCCGAACAGAAGATCATCACTGCCATGTCGGTGGTTCCGTGCAGGAATTCGGCGTTCCGGTCCGGCAGGATATACTCCTCAATCACAAGCTTGGAGTATCCAGCCTCCATGGCGTCGACGACGTGGCCTAGCAGAACACGGGCCTTTTCATCGGACCAGTCATGAAACACGAACTTGAAGTAATAAACACGAGCGCCTTCGATCACAGGTTAGCAGGGGCAGAATCGCAGAATCGGATGGACGGACCTTTGACCGGGTTGGCCTCCTTGAAGAAGTCATACTTGACACCTTGGATGCCACACGCGTTGAGGTCGGAAGCTGCCTCATCAATGACGGACGGAAGATCTTCGAGCACCAGCTTACCCGGGGCGTCCGGGAACCGCTTTTGGAAGAGCATGAGATCATGACCGCGACCCCCACCAATGTCGACCACGAGCGCCCGCTCGGGATTGCTGTCGGCGCCCGCGAGAATTCGCTCCTGCACAGGGAACCAGTCGCCCCAGTGGACGCGGTTGGCACGCTGGCCTTCCATGAAGTCGTTGAACCGGGTAAGAGCCGCCGGGTGCTCGCACAGCCAGGAGAACCCATCGATCTCAACATTGTGGGTGTATTGGAGGGGGGCTCGCATCGGATCTTCGGGGTTTTGGTAATTCGTCGCGGCGAGGTATTCGGGAGTCTTTTGCAAGATAGGAAGGAATTCGCAAAACCTGTGGCATGTTAGGGACACTAGAAGAGGCGCTGCCGGGGATGGGGAGTCCATACAAAGATTCCATTGTGCCGATTGCCGGTCGATTCACCATCTCTTTGGCAATTGCCGTGGGCAGGTAGGCGCTCGGTTCGGGTTCTTCGACGATGTCAAAGGACACCAGGAGGCGCATGATCCGCTCTAGGTTCACCAGTGTTTAGAAAAAAGCATTGCCATACGCGATCTGGTCTCGGACAGACGTACCGACAAGCAGAGGGTTGGCCGGTTTGGCAGCCGCCAACTGCTTTACTGATACGGGTGCTGTCGCATTTGCCAGCACGGGGAAGACCTTCATGTCATGGGCCACTTTCAAGGCCATGAAGACCATTGGCTTGGGTGTCTGTCAGTATCTAGGATCCATGATGGTAATAATTGCAAATGTTTAGGCTGACCTGGTACGACAGCTTCAAGATGGCATCTTTGGGCTGCTCAAGTGCTCGTTGAAGCTTGGTGATCTGGGCCAGGGCTTCTTTGCGGCAGGTCTCTGACTGATCTTTCTGGAATCCCGCGAGCGACGTTTGGGTGTTGGCCCAAAGGCTCTGAATCTGTTGTGTGTCCATATCTGCTATGATGAAGCAGGGCAGTGAAGATCTGTATGCTTCTCACATGGACTGGGGGCCAAATTTCAAGGGGTCGACCGTCCATAAATACAACTGACAGGGGGTAGCGTTGGCCTGCCACCACACCCACAACTGTCACCGATCAGCAAGTTTCTCCCCCTCGTGCCGCTCTATAAGGGTGGACTGGTACTAGGACTCCTCTGGGGGGGGAGTAGATGCCACCATTCGCGCCCTAGTTGGCCGATGAACAGCCACGATCGTCGGATTTAGGTCACGAAGACCACCGTTGGGGGCACTTGGGAGAAATCAAGAACAGAAGCGGGACAAGGCCAAGGCGATCGACACTCCAAGGCGACGGACGGTGTTGAGACTAAGCTTTTCGGTATCTGATGCGCCTCTCCGCCTGTCATGGTGGACCCTTTCCAACTGTGCCATGACTGTGCGGAATTTGTCCCGGTTCGTTTAGTTTGGAGCCATCTAGCCCCACTGCGAAATGGTGGCTACTATTTCGGCCCATCATTGCCCTATCCCCATCACGTTAATTGCCCCTCAACCCCACCAGGCCCCGATTCGGAGCGGCTGCGGCACAGTCCCGACCCGCTGGAGGGGGCCAAAAGAGGTCCTGTGCCTTCACATGCTCCATAGATGGCTAGTCTATTTGCGTGTTCATTGTTCCATGATGCAAGCGAAGGACCGGCGTCTGCGGAAATCATACTCCCACATCCCGCCTTCTCCTTATCGCTGACACATGTGCAGGGATTGTGCCCCTGTCTAGTATATTGGCCTTGTGATCCTTATGGTCTGTAGATCAAAATCCGTTTTATGGGCCTTTACGCGTCTGGCTGTTGGTTGGCGACGACGGCTGGTGCTGCTGTTGTTTGGTAGATCGCCAACAGGTGCTTTTGTTCTTGCCCCTGTCATTGGCAATTTGCTGTTTCTTTTCTTTTGGTCTGTTGGTGCTTCATTTCAAGTCGCTGGAAATCATTTCCTCGGCTCCCACTGTTATTGCTATTTTTAATTAACTCGGCGTCAGTATGGTTTTCTATACCGTTAGCTTGGGTCACCCTTTCCATCGGTGTCCCGTGGAACTTTAAACTGTCTCAGTCGGACGTTTTCTGCTGGACAATATATATCACTTTAAAAACATCTTCTCATTGTGTCTGGTAATCAACCCTTCAACGTCTTGGTGCTAGTAAGTATAAACAAACCTCGGGGTAGTTTTGCTCAGCATGGTCTACAATCTCACGGCAGAGCTCTTTGCCGAATGGGCCATTGGAATCATTGTGGCTGGCATCCGCATCTATTCGCGATGCTTCGTCGACAAGAGAGGGCTGTACTGGGATGATGTGTTCTTGATCCTCGGCCTGGTGAGATTTGTTTACTGCTGTCTATCCTTACCGTCCAGGTCCCCTGACACCGCGCGAATAGATATTCTGGACTTTGATGACCATCACACTCTATCTTTGCACAGGTATGCTCTGTCTGGAAAGATGACAAGTATGCAGTATGTCTAACACCCCTTTCCTCAACCAGATGTATATGGCTCGAATATCGGTCTCAACCCGGAGACTGCGCTTGATATTCCGGACAACGAGGTCCAATGGTATAAAATCGGCTCGGTGTGCGCTTTCGTCGCCTGGATTGCATACATTGTAGCTGTCTGGGCATTTAAGGGAGTGCTGGTGTTTCTGTGCACTCGACTCACGTAAGGCATCGACTGATCTGTGGGGCAATGGAGTATGGTTGCTGATGTATACAGAATGGGACTCTGGCAGCATCGCCTTTCGGTAATCGTTGGACTGCTATGCATTGGTACATTCCTCGTATCCTTGATCTTTGACCTTGCCATGTGCCGACCCATCCACAAAAACTGGCAGGTCAAGCCCTACGCTGGAAGTCAGTTTGAATAAGAATGCCCACCTCGCCCTGGACTATAGACTGACGCCGACTCACAGACAACTGCACCCTCCGACCCTTGAACTACATTGTTATCGAGGTGCTCAGCATCGTGTATGCACCAATCCACCCTGAACCAAACAACCTTCTCTAACCGTACCACAATAGAACGGACCTCGCAGTCATGTGTGTCCCTGTCCCCCTGGTCATGACTGCTCGCATACCCGCGACGCAGAAGATAATGCTAGTGGCTCTCTTCTGTTCCGGTATCTTCGTCATGATCTGCGCGATCCTCCGTGCCTATTACTCCGTCACGGACATTAACACTCTCGCGACCGCCTTGGGATGGGCATCACGCGAGTGCTTCGTATCGGTCATCATCGTCTGCGCCCCCGGCATCAAGCCCCTCTTCAAGCGGTTCCGGTGGTTCCGCACGAACATGTCGAGCAACGAATACTCAAACTCAATATCCCACGGCAAGGTGTTCTCTTCCAAGACAGGAAATTTTAACACCCTTGTCTCCACCCATGATCGAACCCCTTACGAGATGGCCCCTTCGGCCGGTTGGAGAAAGCACAAGGCCAAGCCCTCCTCCGGCGAGAGCCAAGAGGGGATCATTCCACCCTCGGGGGCAAAGCAGGATGGGGACGCAGACATGGGTATCCGAGTCACGACGGATGTCCGCCTCGAGCTGGAGAAGACGCAGACGGGTGTATCTGGGCGATCACATTATTGACCTTGCGGTGGCGCTAGATGAATGTGTAAATAGTTAGGAGGCACGGTTGGCTTCCATGGGATGATATTGTACATTGGAGTGAGTATATTGTAATAATTTTGTGGGGACTGGTGTATAGTCTTGATTTATGATCATTAATCCCCTAAGAGTGTGCATCCACCAAGTGCCAAATGGGTAATTGGGTAGCATCCAGATGGGTTGACAAGTTATATCCATCTTTTACTTCATTGAAATATCATTGTTAGTGTCTTATCCCTTGTCGGCAAAGAATATTTTGGCTGGCTCGAATCCATGTATTACTCGCTTAGAAGTGGAGTAGAGGCATCGGGGATTTCTAGTCTCCTAGGGGTCGGGTCATGCACCTAAGTTACCAGGTAGGACCACCAATCGACCATAAAAGGATCTTATGACAAACTTACGTACCTTTCGCAACGGGTTGCTTTTCCTGTAGGAGCTAGTATTGCCATTAAGAGAGAAGCAGTATTAAGGGTTTCCTGGACCTTGACGTAAAGCTTTTTTTGGAGGAAACCTGATTATCTCCGGCGTGACAGCTATATATGGATGGTATATCCTCAAAATTCCTCCCAGCATATTTCTCTGGATAGGATAGACGATAACAATGATAGTAAAGGAGAAAGGAAAATCGAATAGAAAGCGGAAAGCAAAGGAATGAAAGGAAGAAACGACAGAGAAGCCAGGAGAGACAAAAGGGGGAGGGGAGGTGGAGACATAGCCTCCACCTTGTGCTTACTACCTCATATTCGCGGTGCCAGAGCCCATGGATATCCACCAACGTACAGTGGGGCGTTTATTGTTGTCGCGCGGTCCTCTTTAGGCCGGTGCGGAATCATTATACGTCCTCCAGTAGTCCCCGATGGACAGCTTTGAGTCCGGTTCCCGATCGCGGATACTCACACTTTCTCCTACCACTTTCAACCCGTCCACCGAGATGGCCTTGGAAACATCAACGTAAACATGAACCTTGATATGGCCGCCCGGTTCCATTCTAAACGTGCAATGGGGCCGGTGTGGTATCTTTTGACGAGTTCCACCTATAGTTGTCGTGCCATGAAGCGAGCCCCTAAGAGACGATTAGCATAACGGGCAAATGAAAGCCCATACAACAACTAGAACTTCGATGTAGAACGACTTACATGATGACGACTTTAGGTTTACCGAGTCGTGTGGCCGTAGCATGGGCCGCATGCTCAGTAGCACCTTTCATAAGCGCCGGATCCACGGCCCACTTGTTCGCATCGGCGGGTAGGCTTGCAGCTGCGCCCCTAGTCCAGGTGATAGAACGGCCATTTATCATTCCCTCGTAAGAATCAACTGGAAGAGAGTTAGCGAAGGTCATAATTAGGGGGTCTAGTCGATATCAGGGGAAGTAGAGAGAGCTCTTGTAGTATAAAAGAACGGCGGTTGGTACAGAAGAACGAAGACAGTAACGGGATGCGAAGAGAGCGTTTTCGGTGAGAGATGTCCAGATGTTGGATAGATAGAGTGCGGTAAACGCTTCGACAGATAGGGATCATGATGGACACTATATATAGCAGATCGTAGGCCGGGATGATGCCCTTATTGTCAAAGGGGAGCATTGTCCTGGATTGGACTGGCAGGTCGACTCCCAAAGGTTGAAAGATGAAAGGCAACACAAAAACATTTATACAGAAGAGGTTGAAAGATCGGCGCACACCGTCATTTTCCTCCAAATCATTCCAATCCATTTCCACTCCATGTAGTGCGCTTGACAATCAGTTAATTAGCAGGGGGCATTTTATCCCTCTTTGTCCTCGTGTTTGTTTGTCTTCGTTCTTTCTTTGTGTTAGGTTTCACCTACCGTCCTGTCATAATGCAGACTACACGATACTCGCAAGCATCCATATTGTATGGGACATATAGAGCTCAGATCCTTTGTTCATTGGCCGGCCCCTTTAACACCAGACATTGTGCTGGGTCAATAGGTTGTACACCGATTGCGTCAGATAGCAGTGTCTACAGTTCGAGACAGGTATCCAAAGATAACTGATAATAGGAGACAACCCCTGTCCCAAGAGCGGACAAGCCGTCCGCCTGAGTCTCTTAAGTGGCTATTCAGTCCTAGTATCACCGGGGCGAAACATGAAGGGCGAAACATGAACGCTTGTTCTATACCGTTTTTCTCAGCGAAGAGCTCAATAAGAGATACCAGATCAAGCATAAAATCGGGTAGGGGGACTTCTCCACGGTTTGGATGGCCCGTGACCTACAAGACAAGTAGGACATCGCTCTTCAAGTGATGTGCTTGGGGGACTGGGTCGAGTCTAAGTTGGTAGTCAAGACCAGAGTATGCGAGTCGTCCATGATACCTCTCATCTGGTGCCATATCTGGCATCCTTTTCTACTCCCCGGACCCCGAGACAGGGGCGAACATAGGCCTCTAGTGTTTCCATTGATGGGACCATGTCTTGGCCGGCGCGTCTTGGACGAGATTCTATCGACATTCGAACGTGTCAATTATATTAAACCACGATATCCTGAAATTGGATCCGACATGCTATGTTTTCGAGACGAGGTGATTTCTACAGGTTCCGGGCTCGAGGCTAGAGCACCGGGTTGCAATGTCTCCCGGAGCCCTATCCCGAGGTACCAGGGTACCGACGACTGACTACGCAGTGGCTCACCATGTATGATTGTTTAAAGTTGCGTATCATATGCAAGCCAGTAACTTGTACCCAGCCCCGGAACTATTACCAGCCAGTACCAACCAATTACCTTTGTGTAGAGCTGGTTTGCCAGGGAACTCCCGGATGTTGAAATTTCGCCCGTGGAATCATGATGTCATCACCCTACAAAAAAGCCATCGTCCCACTCAACCCGATGGCGTCAAGCGAAAGAATCTCAACTACCAGGCTGCCCTGGTGGTTCACTTAAGTCTCTTACATCTTGCTCCTTGCCAATCAGGCCATGGATACCCTCGCATAGGATAGATACCTGACATCGCGCAGCTGTTTCATCTATTCTTCAGCTGCAGTTTGGTACATCATTACCATCATCGATGTCGATCGTGCGGCCATTTGGTCATTCCACCCCAATGCCGCTCACGGGCGCGTCGTCGCAATTGGGATATCAGACGGGTGCTTCATGGACGCTCAGTACACAGCCTTCACCGCGCACCAGCGATACATCCTTTCGATCATCGAGAGGACGTGCTCTTCGATCTCGATCGCGGGGTCGTTGATCATTATCCTCACCTTTATCGGGTCGACCCGCTTTCGCAAACCCATTAATCGCTTGGTGTTTTTTGCCGCATGTGGGAATGTCATGTGTAATGTCGCCACGCTAGTGTCGGTGTCGGGCCTGGACAGCGGGTCACATAGCGGCCTCTGTCAATTCCAGGCCTTCTTTTTGCAATGGTGAGACTCGGCGCGAAGGAAACGGGGTTCAGGCATTCAGCTGACCGATCTCTCAGGTTTATGGCATCCGATGCGCTCTGGACGTTCGCTATGGCCTGTAATGTTTACCTTGCCCTTTTTCGAAAACATGACACGGAGCATCTACGGAACCTAGAATGGAGGTATATGCTGCTATGCTACGGAGTCCCATTCGTCCCTGCTTTGGTTCTGCTCTTCATAAAAAACGACAGCCAGGGAAAGGTCTATGGCAAAGCCACGGTGAGTCGCTCCGAAGACTCCTGTATCTACGGGTGGTGATTAATGATGGCAGCAATGGTGTTGGATCTCAACCGAATGGGATTACCTGCAGATCGGTGTCTTTTACGGGCCGATATGGTTGGTCATCGCAGTAAATTTCATCATATATACCCGCGTGGGTTGGTATATCTACCGCGGACGTCGCGAACTCAACCACTTTCGCAGTCCAGACACCGAGATGGGACCGGAGTTTTTCTCCTCGATGGATTCCGACAATCGCACGGTGCAAACCGAGACGACGGGCAGATCGTCAATGGAGAGGGTCAGCCTCGAGCACTCGGACATTCCCCATCCTGACTCGGCCGTGCGGGCGTATACTAAATACGCCCTGACGTTCTTCCTCGCGATGTTCATTACCTGGGTAAGCTTTCACCCCTATACACTAGGTAACTCAAGTATTGATGGACTCTCACCGTCTAGATCCCCTCCATCGCTAACCGGATCTACGCCTTGGCGACGCCGGCAAACCACTACATATTCGGACTGACCAGCGCCGCAAGCTTCGTGCTTCCGCTGCAGGGCTTCTGGAATTGTGTCATTTACATCGTTGTATCGTGGGATGCGATGTCGTCGGTGCTGAAAGATCTGCGCCATTTGTCATTTTCTAAATTGGGGAGTGTACCAATACCCAGCTTTCGGATAGGCTCAAATACAAGTGAGAAGGATTGACACGGGATGTGTTCGCTAGAATGCTGGGCAGTGCGTATTGGGGGATGTCTAGCGACGAGAAACTACGTTGTCCAGTCCACTTGGTTACGTTAGTTTATATCTTCCTCAGTAGATGAAGAAACATGACTGAGAGGCGAGGGTAACTGGGAGCTGGACGCATCTACAAGGTTCCAGCGGCAAGGCAAGAAATCCTGCCGTGATGGCCTTTGCATATAGCGATTGATATACATTGCTTGTATTCGACAGGGTAGTAGTCATATCGTAACTCATAAGATTCATCCATGAGCTTCGGAGCTCATCGCGTTAAAGAGATGGATGCACCCAGGACGCGTCTTCCTTGATCAAATCCGCCGCCTTCTCCGCAACAGCGTACACGGTTGATAAAATATTCCCACTCACATTGCCCGGAAACACGCTGGCATCGACTACGCGCAGTCCTGTCACGCCGCGCACCCGCAGGCGCTCATCCACGACCGACCCGATCGCACACGTACCACAAGGATGGTACTCGGTCATGCAAAAGTCGCGCACAGCTTCCGTGGCCCGGGAACGATCGCGAATGTCGCCAGTGGGGTGCGCTCGCCGCCGGATTTTATCTTTCAGTGCTGGAGATTGAGCGATCTCGTCGCAGAATCCGAGCCCCGCTGCCAGGATATCCACGTCCGCGGGATGACTGAGGTATGCCGGGTCGACGGCGGGATTCACGGTGGGGTCGCCGCTAGTGATGTGGACAGTACCCCGCGAGGCGGGATATTCGAGACAAGCCACGATTGTAAAGCCATCCGGGTCGGTTTCGGCGAGCGGTTTGGCGAATTTTCCCTGGTTGGCGACCACCTCGTCCACGTTCAGGGTGCCTTGAGAGAGGATGAACTGGATGTTCCCCGAGGTTGGACTCCGGAGCTGTCCGACGACCTGCTCGCGTTGCTTGCGCTGGAAGGGTGTTTGCGCCGGCGAGTCAAGGATCTTTTGGCACGTCCGCTCTAGCTCGGCCGGCGAGACTATCCTCGAGTAAGGGAGAAACCCCATTCCACTCGTGGCGGATGCCAGAAGCCCGGTGCTGTCCTTGGCGTACATGTCCACATGTTCTTGGAGAATGCTCGGGTGGCGGAGAGCATCCAACGACGTAATCCCCTCGTTCAATTCGTAGACTGCGGCCGTCAGAACGTGATCCTGGAGATTGGCGCCCACCCCTGGCAGCGGTACGGTGCATTTTACACCGGCATCTTGCAAGACGACTGGATCCCCAATCCCGGACAGTTCCAGGAGCTGAGGTGTCTTGTACACGCCGCAGCTAAGGATCACCTCTCTGGTGGCGCGAACTTCGCGAATCTTGTCCGAGTGCATGAATTGAACCCCACGGGCGGTGCGCCCCTCCATTAGGACCCTCAAAGCCAGGGCGTTGGTCAGCACCCTCAGGTTGGAGCGTGACGCGTTCGGGAGCAGATACGCGCTGGCAGCGTAGCTCCGGGTGCCTCTTACGTTCCGCCGATCTACCGTGGCCAGCGACGAGAAGAACCCGACGTGATCACCGCCCCAGGGATCGCTGGGGCTTCTGTCGATTCCCGACGCCTGTTGGCCGGCCTGGATGAAGTATCGTTCGAGGGGGTTCCGCCAGTTATTGAAGCTGGTCGCAATCGCCCCCGTCCGACCGTGACTGTGTGTCCGGAACTGGGTGAAGTCATCGTCTCCTGGGGGTCCGATTCTTGTGTCATCGAAGGTCTCGTGTCGCCGGAAGTAGGGTGCCATGGACGACCATGACCAGCCTTTGCCAAATGTCGACCAATCATCGTAGTCTTGTTTCGAGCCGCGGACATACATCATCTACACCAAGTGTTATATTAGATCCATCATCCTTAGCGAGGGCGACGTTGTGTAACCTACTCCGTTCATGGCGCTAGACCCTCCCAGCATTTTACCCCGAGTTTGTGCATGGACTTTGTATCGGTTCGCTCTCTACTGTCTCATTAGTTGTTTACGCAGGGCGCTATTGGATGGCAAATGCTCGTACCTGGGGCACGGTTTCCAACATCCAATCGTATTCCGGAATCCCCAACATCTGAGGGAAGAGAGCCGGAGTCTGTACAAGTTCATTGTGCGTCTGGTCGCTCCCAGCCTCAATCACACCAACCGTCACACTCGGGTTCTCACTTAGACGGGCGGCCACCGCAAGACCGGCTGTGCCCCCTCCAACGATGATATAGTCATAGGATACCTGCAGAAACTCGTTCAAAGAGCAAATGGCGCTCCCGGCGGATGGTGGCGTGGTCATGGCGGTTGGATTTTGAACATCGCGTCAGGGATGACCTTGGCGGACGAGTGGACTCATTGAGGTTTTATAATGTTTGTTAAGAACATGCACGATGGCTTGCGATGGCGTTCAATGACCATACCAGGACCTGGCGCAATCCGAGTAGCCACCCAATGGCTACACATTGCGCGGCGCAATACAGCGGGGAGAAAGGCGGATATTGTATGCGCCGATGGGGCTTGGCCGAATCTCGCCCAATGGCGGGCCTTTGCGCGCCCCACAAAATCGCCGATGGGAGAGGAGAATAACATGGCGGTTTCTTTGACATGCATACGGCATTATAGAGACCTCGGGCTGTTCCAGGCGCACTAATAAAATATGGGATTTCCCCCGTGGGCAAAGAAAACACGACTGCTTGACCGCTGTTGTCCGTCGCTCAAACAGCTCATTTTCCCCATCGATATATCCATCCTCCACCTTTTGACACTAGGCGGTTCACCAATGAGCGGGTGAAACCAAGTCATGGAAAGCTTTTTCAAACGGCTAAACTGCCAAGTATCCTCCTGGTAGGTCGGCAGTGCTCGCCTAACGCACCCCTCACGATGGCACCATTCGACCTAGCACTGGTGAGTGTGCCGGCAAATAGGATGTTGACGATACCTTGCCAGTCGCACTCCAACTACTCAGGCCCACAAAGGCATATCGCTAGCAAGGGAGTAAGGAGGTGTCGACACGCGGCGGATGAACATTCCGCGATTGACTCGGACGTTCGGCGAATGATTGGATGGCTGCGGGTCCCTGGCAGTTTAAAATACCCATTCTCGTTTCCTAGTGCGTTGACAGTTCTTGGGCGCCATTAAATGCATTCAAGTCAGATGGTGCGAGGAGCTCCTGGCGAAATTATTTGAACAAAGAAAATATGGGATTATATAAACATGATCGTCCGGGATGATCAGGCGGGTGACGTGAGAGAAAGTAGCCGACACTCATGGCACAGTTCGTCGCATCGCAGTATCCTTTTCCACTTGCGCCAAGTTCCGGTATCAACAATTCGGCCTTTACTACCGCAGTCGATGGTCGACCGCTGCCTTGCCAAATTCGAACCCTGTATCCACGACGTTGAAATCGCCGGTAGTGACCCGACACCATGTTCCACCAGAAGGGTCTGAAAGCCGCGCCAGAAGTGTTGCTATAAGGCTGGTTGCCAACAACATATGATCTCGTGAACCATCCTTGGTGAACCTATCTCACAAATCTGACACCTGAAACTGGAATTCCCCGCCCCACTTGTCTTGCGTCTCTTCTCAGGCCGCGGTTGTACTCGGACAGGCTACCAGCACAAGCGTCCGTGAACCTTTTTCGGCACAAAAGACACACCGAGGGTCCTGCGACTGGTGAACGGCTGCGACCCGTATAGGGGACCAAGACCGCCCACCCTCTTGTCGAATACCACATGCCCATATCTGACTGGACGCAGCACAGGAATGTACCGGGGAGCCTGAATCGAGTGCTCCTAAAAAGAGACCGCAGAGCAGCTCGGTTCTTCCCAGTCCGGTTCTTCTTAGTCCGGCAAGTTGTATCAACAGCTGCACCCAAGAACGAGACGATACAATCTCAAGCCGATCTGAAACGCCACGTTCATATTACACCCTGGAGTGCGTCGACTTCCAGGTGAATGGGCCCAATGTGGTTATCGCAGTAGCGCTTTGATGGCTCCGAAATGGGTAGCCTTTGCTGAGTTCACTCTCACGGGACATTCCCACATGGCTGTGCTATTGATTCACCAATACCGAGCGTTCCGGGATCAGCTGGCGAAGTTGGACAAGCCCTCGGGCTGGAGCAAGTAATCAAATGGCTCCGGGACATTCCCCGAGCGATTGTCTCGCAGCGAAGCAAACTGCGCGTTCTCTCGTCGGGAGTGTAGCATGTTCAGTAATAATTCACGCGTTCGTTTGATATCCCCCCAGTGGGATCGTTCCCACATTATATCGAGTCGGCCCAACAAGAAGAGCATCTCTGTTTCGCGCTGCACGGCGCAACTGACAATAGCAAATGGCCACAAGTAGTGCTGGTTCCAGAATATCCCGTGTACGTCTGATTGCAAAATGCTCATGATTTGCTTCACACGAGCCTGGACACGGGAATCCGCTGCCTTGATACGGGGCTGCGTCACCTTCAGAAGCAAGATATCGGCTGCCATCGCATAGAGTACAGCTGCTTTCCGGATGTCGCTGATATCGTTGGCAGTAACATTGTGGCCCGGGACAACATGGACAAGTGGCTGAAGCCATACGTTCAGCTGCTTCTGCAGGTCCGACGCTACCAGGCGATCGTTTTCGGACAATGGCGTGCGACGAGCCAACCGCGAGATTTCCAGAATCTGTCGGCACAGCGACGGGGGCATGGCAAATAACGAGTCGGACTCTGGCTCGAAGTACTGCTGCACCTGCTCCCACGTTGCGTCTCCGGGAAGCCATCCTATGTCGGGGCTCAGGAAGGCCATGGTGGCCGCATGATACAGCAGGGCTGCAGCACACATCCGTTGGAGTGGAGTGATGAGCGATGAGTCGTGCGGCGTCCCGGAGGTATCCCTCACTTTCAAAGCCATGACACGCGATGCACCCAGCACATGCGACATGGCTCCACAGGTAGGGCCTGACTGGGCGCGCTAATTGAGTTGAGTTGGGTTAGCACTCGAGCAGCGTCGGTTGGGGGATGTCTCACGAACCTCGAATATACACAACGACAGCGTTTGGATATAGAACCAGTCCTCCGTGCCATGAACCGCCGATTGCTGGATCATCTTACGGGTCGCGCACAACGCGCCGGAATAGTATCCCAGGGCGTCACGCGGCGGGGGTTGTTCACTGCTCGACCGAAACAGCGCGGCACACGCCAGAAAGGAGTCTCGCACGCACGGGAACTGGACCCCTAGTTTGAGCATATCGGTTGCCCCGGTTGCGGGTGATCCTGGCATCATCAATTGCGGCAATATCGACCCGGCGAAATATTGAAAGAGGGAATCTCGAGGGGTGTTTTCCAGGGCCGAGAATCGAGGAGACAACGACGGAGTCTTCGGAGGCGATTTCACCAGTGCTTTGCCATCACTTCCCTTACGGTCCTTCCCTGATTCGACCCCGGATTGCCAAATACACGTCAGGCCATTGCGACGACAGGCTCGACATACCGAACCCTCCTCGTCACATTTCTTCCGTCTCATACGACCTGGGAGATTGAAAAACGTTAACGTCCACGACACTCAATGATCGCAGTCAGGCCAAACGGGGGTACATACACGTCAAACATCCTGACTTCGTCCTCCACCTTGCCGGCATCTTCTCCGCAGAATTGGGGGCTATCGGTGAGGTTTCTCCCGTATGGACGAGGGGATGTGCGGAGAAGTCAACGGCGGTACTTCTGGGCGACGGGAATCCGCGCTAGTCCTGCGCGGGTCGGGCCCGGATGACTCAGCTTTTGGATCATAACATGACGTCACCATCTGTCGTTCTGCGATCAATGGAGGAGTACAGGAGGTCAGAACAGGTAGGGAGACCATACCGTAGGGTAGAGAAAGGTCCCATTGGCCGTGGAATGGGTATGCGCGTCGGGTTGGCTCAGGAGATATCGTCCCAAACGGGGAGAAGCGGACACTGTGTGTCTCCTGCCAGGTACAATATATATATACACTACTTTTAGTCGGAGATCGTTGCAGCTAGGCCCTACCAACGAGCACTAGGAATATCACGTTGGTGACCCACTTGGGCAAAATAACGATGGAATCCTTCTAGATATTTCACATTCCCTATGCTTAAGCCGTCGTCTCGGGCGGTACGACTAAGAACCCAGGGAAGACAAATGTGGGAGCCATCATGAGGTGGCCATCCAACCGGGTTTCGAACAATAGCCCTCGCTAGATCTCTGCGGCTTCAAACTGATGTCGATGTGCAGTAGCTGTTTCCGGCAGATCCGCGCCGAAGTATGCCATATGAACGGCCGCAAAATGAAGGGTTGTAAGCCGGGGGAGGGCACCCAGGAAGCGCCTCAAGACATCTAGGGGGTTCGATATCCCAGATTCTTCACGAGAGCCCAGTGAGCCATGGGAAACCAGTTTGGACAGGGACTCGAGGCTCGATTCGGAGAGGTCGGTGGTCTGATGACGCAGCCGCCCAATGGATCGGAGTCCGTTACAGCTCTGACTGAGTGCCCTGAAAACGAGTCGGAGGGATTTGACGCTCTGGAGATCTAGAAACCCTAGGACGATTTCGACCACGTTTAGGGGTAGGCTGTCAAGCCTCATATGGATCAGCGCCGGCATTCCGGTCCCTTCACTAGACGGGCTAGCGCTGAAATGTTCTCGTCATGGGAGATTCTGACTTTACAGCCCATGGTCATCCGAGTCAGCCTTGCCGACTAAAGACAATCCTGCTATGAATCAATCGTACAACCGGCCAGGTACATAACCGTTGTGTTATGCTCAGCTGAGTCACCAGTGCATCTCTCACGTGCCGATATGAGGCAGCACGTGCACGCGGGCCGTGACGGACCGGACGGATTTCCCCCGCGGGGATTCCTTTGCCGTCTTCGCCATTCGTTCCCTATCTCGATCCTCACGCTACATCCATGGAGCATTGATTGAGTCATATCCACAGATGGATAGGTGTAACCCTCGGCCCGTGGACGGCTTTGATTGATCATCTTGGATGAGGAGTTGTGGTCGCTCAACGACTATATAATGCCGGAACAGCATGCAGTCTGGAAGGATGCCTAGAAAGATCTCTGCAATATCGGCTTTATTGGGTCGCGTCCCAAATTCTTACCATGGATAAATCCGAGCGCATAGTCATTATCGGCGCAGGCGTCTTTGGCTTGTCGACGGCGTTCCACCTGGCCGAGCAAGGGTATCGCTCTGTCACGGTCCTCGACCGCTCGATGCCCCCTGTGCCCGACGGCTCCAGCAACGACATATCGCGCGTCATTCGGTTTGACTATGGGGATGAGGTGTATGCGCGGATTGGAAAAGAAGCTTTCGATCTGTGGAAGACCCCCGATTTTAAAGAAGCCTTCCACCAGACACCGTGTCTATGGGTGTGCCAGGATGACACCCCCGAGCAGCCCGTGCAGCCCAACGCGCGCGAGTACAGCCGCAAAACCAAAGACGTTCTGACTGCGATGGGTCAGGAATGGCAAGCTGTCACCACCGCCCAGCAGGCCAAAGCCCGGTTCCCCGAACTGTCCGGGCCATTGGGGCCTGGCTTCGACGCCTTCTATAACACCGAGGCGGGATGGGCGGATGCCGGGATGGGAGTCGCCCGCATGGCTGCACGATGTATATCGGCGGGTGTCTCCTTCCAGACGGGGCCCAACGGTCAGGTAACGGACTTTGAGAAGGCTGTCGACGGGACGGTCACGGCCGTGCGCACCGCCAACGGCAGCCGCGTGGAGGGCGATCGGTTCATTGCAGCGACTGGGGCGTGGACAGCAGGCCTGATCCCAGCGTGGAACTCGATGGTCGCGGCGGCCCAGATTGTGGGATACCTGCGGCTCACCCCGGAGGAGATGGTGCAGCTAAAGGACATGCCGATCTACTTCAACTTCTCGACGGGCTTCTTCTGCTTCCCGCCGCATGATGGCTCGGGGTATCTCAAGGTCGCCTGCCACAGCTACGGCTACACCGTGTCTTCTCCCTCCGTATCGTCTCAGATCGTTTCCTCCCCTCCTGGAGGCTCCGTGTCCTCCCGTGCCGACTTCATCCCCGTCGAGGGTACGGAGCGACTGCTGGCGGGCGTGCGGGAGATCCTGCCCCAGCTGGCCCCACGGGGATTTGAACGGGTCGGACTATGCTGGTACAACGACACCGAGATGGGAGATTTCATCTTCGACTACCACCCGGAACATCGGAACCTGTTCATCGCGACCGGTGGGAGTGGCCAGTATGCTACCCTTTTGCCCCCCCTCATATCCCCCACACCCTGTCGCTAACCACGTTTCCTTTCCACAGTGCCTACAAGTTCCTCCCCGTCATCGGTAAATACATCGTCGGAAGCCTCCAACGCAGCCTGCCGCGCGACCTTCTTGAGAAATGGAAGTTTCCAACCCAGTTCCGGGGTGCGGCCAAAGGCGAGCTTTTCAAGGGCGATGGGAGTCGGGGTGGGCCTGAACGAAGGGAATTGACAGATGAGGAGAAGCATCGATACCAATCTGCTTTGCTGGCGGCTTCGATGCGACAGAGCAAGCTTTAAGGACGGATTTCAGTGGGACGGTGACCGAATGGACGGACTTTTACAGGTTTAAACTATTAGATAGTTCCCGTTCTTACGGGACGTGATAGTCCGAGTAACCCAATGCATGATTTATGACAACGTTCATGTACCTTAAAGTGACCCCCCAGCTGGAGTAACCCAACAGGAACATAAACAAAACCCCCCCCCCCCCCTACTCCTAGATGAAGAGAAAAGAAAATATCAGAGCTGCTCATACCCCCCCAACATCAACCAATCCGGAATATCCGGAATGCCCGCCTCAAGTCCATCATTCGCATTCCGGTGAGCGAACGGCCACCCCGGCACGGTCATCCCATCCGGATCAAGCCCGTAGAGCGTCGGCATGTCCTGCGACGACAGCGGAGGCAAAGTCGCACGGTGGTCCGCAGGTCGGACGTGGACGGTGTCGTCGGACGGCGTGGGCGTCACGGGCGCTTCAGAGAGCAGCTGTCGCGCAGGAGGGTTCGGCGGGAGGGCCAGGTCGCCGAGGGGCGTCGTGTCCGTCGGGGGTACGCACGAACTGAGGTCCAGAATGTCCCACATGAGAGACTCGTCGTCGGGGGACATGTGGGGGATGTTAGACGGGGTAGGCATGCGCGACAGGGCGCCTGAGTAGCGGTCTTGCGTGTAGTACAGGGAGCCGTAATTCTTGTGGCGAGTGGCTAGCTCGTTGACGCGGTTGGCCTGCAATATCAATGAGGGGTGGATTCCAGGAATTAGGGAGGGGAACGTACCAGCACGCCCATGTTGTCGTAGTGAGCGGATAGGCCATTGATGAACTGCACCAAAGTGCGAAAGTCCTTATTCACCAAGCTGGCGACCTGCTGGTTCCGACTGCTGGTGTGCTCGAGCTGGATGGTCGCCGCGATAGCGGCAAGATAGCCCAAGAAGGGGTCGTAGAGACAGAACCCCACCTCGGACATCTCGCGGACGAAGCGGGCGATCCACCGCGAATGGAGCAGCGAGCTCTCGTAGGACTTCTGCAGAAAGGTGTTGGGGATGTTGCCGTCCATCTGGCGCAGCTTGACCATGATGACGAACGGGTGGTGCAGGAAAGCCTGGACGGAATGGAACAGGAACTGGACGTACAGCCACGTCGCCAGATATCCCCGGGCCTGGGGCTCCTCGCGCGCTCGTCGCTGAAAGTCCACCTGGATGTAGCGGTGGGCGTCGGCGAAATGGGTCTCGAACTGCAACCAGTCGGACTCGAGACGGGCCATGGCGGACCCGGCCTGCCAGGGGGGCAGGGCGTTCTTATCCGACGGCGCGAATACGTACTCGGTCGTCTTGCCCCAGATAGAATAGAGACGGATGAGGCAGGCGAGGACGCCGTGGTCGACCTTCTCTCCCTGCTTACTGGGGCCGTCCAGCAATCTGCCGCGGATGGGCGAGTGTGGGTCGCGATGGGCGGCGGTCGGGTCAGGCGACGGGAAGGGAAGTGTGAAGTGCTTGTCGGACAGGCAGAGAGAGTAATTGCGCGAGGCGTTGTAGCTGCGGTCCAGCATGAAAAAGGCCCAGGTGAGACGGATGCGCTCCTCCGATGCGGGGGTGTTCAAGCAATGCGCGTAGCGGTCTTTATTCAGCCCGGCGGACTGGAGGGTTCGTATGGCTATGGCCACGGCCGGATACGCGCGGTGCAGGCGCCCGTCCGCGAAATCGACCTGCGCCATGAGGAAGGTGCCCTGCATGACGGACATCCCAACATTTCCACTGCGGTGGTGGTGAGATAGGATCTCCCAGGCTTTCTCGGTGCAATACTCCGCGGGAGCCCTGCTCGTTCCTAGAGGGAGAGGAGAGCATCCGGACAGGCGGGATGTCAGCGCGACCAACGGGTATGCGATCTCCGCAGGGAGCAACCTCCCGTGGGTGACAAGCCAGTCACGGGAGAAGAGACAGTACGGCTGATCGTGGAAGTAAGTCAGATATACGTCGATTTCCGCTTTGACGAAATCCGGTGGGAGAGACGACATGGAGAGCTCATCGGCTTCTTCCGGGCTCCCCGACGATCTGGGAATGCTATTACTCCTCTCACTGTGCCCCGAAAGAGCTGGGGGAGCGGACGATTTCTCCCCGGTCCTGGTCGTCAAAGCCCCGACCTGGGACAGGCTTTCCCTGGACAATCGAATCAACAACGGTCAGTCTCCGACGGTGTGGTGGAGCAGATACTGGAGCAGATGCGTCATTTCCTCCAATCGATCCTCGATGCGCTGGATGCGATGCGAGCTCGGACAGTCGGCCTGGAGGAGGTCAGGGAGAATCCTAGCTACCAGGGCGAAACATCAGTCAAGGATCACGTACATCGCGCGCCTCACTGCGCGTCGGGCCGTGACTCGTCGATGATCGGGTCCCGACTCGGTTCAGGGCCTGCAGCCCGTAGGAGCAGTTCTGGCCCAGCCGTTGACAGAGAGAACATGTCGGTTTCTCTCCAGGACAGCGGGCTTTCTTTCGCCTAGGACAGAGTTAGCATGAACACAACCATCAATCCACCGTCAACGATCCCATGTGTGGGAGAGGTGAAAGCGTCCTCCGGAGGGGCATGGATGAGAGCCATACCGACAGGGTCCACAGGCTTGTCGGGTTCGCTTCAAGGACACTTTATGGATGGTATAATTGTCGTTGGCGGCGCTCATGATCATGCGACGGTCCGGAGGCAGAAGGGGCTCGGAAGATGGAAGGGATGACACCGATCCTCCGTCACGGTTGACGATGGAGAAGTTGAAGGGTGAATCCTTATCCTGACTGGTCGAGGTGGCGATATGTGGGGTTACGGGGATGACTGGACCGAACTCGCGAGTTTGTGGTACACGGGCTTATTTTCCATTGTTATTCGGTTGTGTCTGTGGGAATATGATTGTTACAATCTGGAGAATGTATATTGAGAACTACAGATGGACTGCTATAACGGAAGATCGGCAAATTTGAGGCATTCATGACATCAAGCCCCGATATATATCACTTCGTCTATGCAAGACATCCACCACTCGGACAAATAGGCCAACACTAAACTAAACCAAATAATGAACCCCTCTATTAACCAGCTCAATAAACAAACCTCGGGGGAACCCTATCTAGAAAGAATCTGTTTATATCAGAGCGGGCGCGTTCAAATGTCTGCTTGGCCCGAGGCATCACACGGACCGGACGGACCGTGCTGATAGCATCGTGCAGGTCATATCGCGACGGTCGATCAATCAGGGAGCATATTACCCCTCCTTGGATTGAGATCCCGGTTTATGCAGCCATACGAACCGCTCATGTGATCGGCATTGATAACAAGCCTGCATACGTGCGGGGGGGCCAAATGGTAGTACCGAAGGTATTGGTCATGTCTCTCGGTGACCTAACAGGTCGACATCGTAATGTCCTGCCTCTACAATACACTGATACTAACGGAGCAATGTCTACACCACAAGCAAGGGTCCAGCCCGAGACGTACTATCTTCAGAAGGGCACCTTCGTCCCCAACAACCGTCTTCCGGCCTTGGTGTACCGGGGTGTCCTCCCCCGCCCGCTGAGCCGAGAGTCCACCAAGGCACTCTGCGAGAGGAATCACTGGGAACGGAGAGTATGTGGTTTGGCAGAACGACGAGCCAGGCCTTCTGTTAACGAGGAATAGGGTGAATGGGGTGCCATCTGGGAGGCGCATTTCCACCCCAACACCCACGAATGCTACGGTCAGTGGTCTCCCCGATCACTATGACAACCCATTGACTTCCCACAGGTGTTCTCCAAGGGCAATCCATTCTAGTTCTAGGCCGTGAGCGCCACGCGGAGTCTACAGGAGGCGTGGAGGTGGACGTACGCGCCGGCGATGTGGTGGTTGTCCCAGCGGGCGTGTCGCATCGGTCGCTCAGCGCCACAGACGACTATCGCTATATGGGGGTCTACCCGGAGCAATGTCCCCGATGGCGGAATGACTTTTGCAAGGGGACAGAAGCGATGGACAAGCTGGAAGAAGATATCCGAAAGGTGATCATCCCGGACCATGACCCGGTGTATGGCTTGGATGGGCCGTTGGTGGTGTTATGGCGAGAGGCGTCCCGGGGGAGTAAGCTGTAATCGAGATAGGATGATTATTATCAGAGATTCTTTCCCATAACCCAGTCTGGCATAACATCCATACACTCCATTGGATAGAATCTTCGACCGTTCAGTACTAGATAAATCTAAATCCATACGGCAAGAGCCCCCATTCAACATCCGTCGCAGGAATGTTTTGAAGAACAAAACCGTCTCCGAGCCGATCCCGTGATCGGAATGAGCCCTACGGTGGGCATCGGATGGACCGACCAGCTTGGATTGATATAAGATCAGAGCTATATCAGAACCATTTCGTTTGGAAAACTATTCTATCAATCTCGTATCCAAGGTCTTTTTCTGGATACTCGCGTCATGTCTCTGTCATCTTTCACGAATGCCCTGGGCTCTAGCGATGGGAGTCCAGAACGGGTCTTGCCTGCGTCGTGGTATACATCCCAGGAGGTGTACGAATTCGAACGACGGGCCATTTTCTCCAGAAACTGGCTGCTAACCACGCATAAGCGCCGCTTAGCCACCACCGGGGACTTCGTTCGTGATGAGATCGCAGGCTTCCCATTCATCCTGGTGCGGGACAAGGATGGCGGGATCAATGCCTTCCACAATGTCTGCCGACACCGCGCCTTCCCCGTGGTGACCCAGGAGTCCGGTACGACGCGTATCTTCTCCTGCCAATATCACGGCTGGTCCTACGGCCTCAACGGGAAGCTCGCCAAGGCGCCGGGCTATCAGGACCTGGCGGGTTTCGACAAGAGCCAGAACGGCCTCTTCCCGATCCATGTCCACATCGACGATGGCGGGTTCGTCTGGATCAACCTGGATGCGGGGGAGAGCCCGGAGATTGCATGGGAAAACCGATTCACGGGTCCGAATCAGCAACAGCGGAGTGAGAACGATCCGTTCGACGAGTACGAGTTCGACCACATTTGGGAGCGGGAGGCGGCGTACAACTGGAAGCTTTTGGCAGATAACGGCGGCATCATCCACGCCAACCTCCCGTCTGAGAAGGTCACCAGCACGGACTGGTTCCCAAACGCCTCCCTGACGGTGTCACCGCATTGGTTCTGCATCCAGCGATGTGTGCCCACCTCAGCGACCCGGTGCGTCGTGCGCCACGAGGTGTACCGCAACCCGAACGCCAGCGACGAGGATTTTGACCAGACCCACACGTCGTATCAGCGGATTATGTCCGAAGCTCAGGATCGGTGCGTAAACACACTAGAGGAACTAGCCAACAGGGACGTCGGGAACGGCGACCGGGATCCCCTGGTGGAGCCATGTTCGCCGGACTTTCAGACGCTGTGCCGGGAGTTGGTGGTGGCGCATCACCGGCTCGAAGAGGCGGCACAGAAGGAGATTTGGCCTGCGCGACAGCGACTTCCAGCGACAGCTTCGACGAGCCACGACGATCTACATTTTTGCTCCCGGCTGACGGCGTCGAACGAGGGCTGCGGATCTCCGGGTCTGGCGGGAGGGGGTTGCTCGGGAATGTGTACGTCGGCTGCCACCAAGGCCCTTGCGTACTAGGAATGCGACCAGGGAGTGTTTGAGGGTGCTGTCTTTGGTTCGAGCTTCTGTCGTAGTATTTTGGTCTGGCTCAGCCAAAATCTAACGTTTCCTGAAAGACTGCCTGCGGGTAAGTGGGTCGGTTGTGGTTAGATGATATTCCCCACCACTCAGTGATGGTCTATCTCAATTGACTTTTTTTTTTTATCACTCCGCCTTCCTCTTCGTACTGAAAAGAGAGATTGTAATTCAAACCATCCCGCCCACGGAACCCTTCGTATTGCTGTCAGATTGCCTGGATTATCACCAGTAGGGTTCAAACCGTCCATCATCCGGTGGGTGTAAAACCAGCACCTATCGTCCACACGAACAAAGCAGATTGATAACAATACAAAAGGATCAGTTGATCGACATCGGTATGGGTCTCCCGGGACATTTTAACCCTTTTAAGGAACGCTGGGGGCAATCTAGACCTCGCCGGACCGCCTGAACGGACCGGGATAGCCAACTCGCTAGCAATGTGGAACGCCATGAGCGGGGTATGCCGTGACAAGCCCGACTAAGCTGGGAACAGCATGGATCTTGTTGTCTATCCTGGTCTGATCGAGTCTCGCGGATGGGAAGAGACAGCCGGGAGTGGATGACCTGACGTGTTCGAGAAACTCTCCTTACAGCGACCTCTCCCTCTGATAACCTGCCACCGTGGTCGTTGGACCTGCTGCTTTGTACGACCAATAACCCCCACATATCGGCGGTCGTGGTGGAATGATTCTGTTTGCCAACAAGAGTGGCGTCTTGACCTTCGTTCCCACATCTGGGCGCTCATCCCCCGACCGAGCTGCTCTAGACAATTGCAGACGAACAACCGACGGCATGTCTTCCGTATGATGTTCGACTTCCGTGCCCACCCCCTCTATCACGATGCCGCGTGAGAGCAATCGAGGGAGGTTACGGTCTCACGAAGCCTGCCTCAACTGCCGGTGAGTGTGATGACCTTCATTTGCTTCTCGGCATCGAACCGTCTGATCTGGCCCAGGCGAAAGAAGATCCGGTGCCCAGCGGAGAAACCGGCCTGTTCGAGCTGTCTGCGCCTGGGACAAGCCTGTCTCTACACCCCGGTGCGACGAGCCTCGCGCGGAGGCCAATCGGTATGCATCCACTTCTCCTGCGATGAGCCCACGGCTGAACCTTTCCCCGTAGGAGGATCGACTGGCATCGTTAGAAGAGAAGGTAAACCTCATCCTGCGCGGTTCCAGGTAGCGACCATCTCGCCTCGTCCCTCACCACGAAAATACTAGCTGACCCGTAGCAGACCTGTCGAGCCGACTCGGGACAAGACCAGCACCGCGCTCTCCGAGCGACCGGGACCCTCGTTCGCCGAGTCTGGCGGTGGCATCAGCGATCTGTTCTCGTCCGATGTGGGCTCCGAGGAATCCACCCCCCATCCGTCGACCTCAACCATCGCCAGGGGTATCAATCTCTACTTTCAATTCTGTCACCGCCAGCCAATATGGTGTTTCGACCGCGAGGAGCTTGAGGAGAGCGGCTGTGACTCGCAGGAGCTGGTCTGCAGCATCCTAGCGCTAGCGTCGCGATTCTCGCGCGACCATGCCCATCTACACCACTATAGCAATACCGCACGGACGTTGATCATGCTGCGCGTGGCCAACGGGACGGTAGATCTCGAGACTATGGAGAGTCTTTGCCTGCTGTCCTACCTATCGTTCGTGGGTATGTTTACCCCTCGTTATCTCCAAAGGGGGCCAGAGTCAGATATTAACCGCTGATAGAAGGCAATGTCTCCCTCGGGCGATTCCACCTCGGTCTGGCCTTTCAGCTGTGCCGCTCGGCCGCGTTGGAACTCGAATCCACCTATCTAGGCGATGGTGGATCGCTGGAACGGAAGAAACGACTGTTCTGGAGCCTGCAATCCCTAGAGCAGTGCTACGGCGAGCAACACGGTTTCCTCAGCGCGCCCGCCACCGTCCGTCGACCGTTCCCTGCCCCCGGTGGAGACGACCATGGGTTCCAGAGAGGCCTGGGAGCCCAACCACCGCCACTCCCACAAGATGACCTGGGTTGTACGACGGCAGACGACCTCGGTATCTGGAGTCTGGCTGTGCATTTTGGGTGGGTGTGGAGTCGCGTGCGATCGTACGTCTCCAACTGCGCCGACAATCGTCTCAAAGAGCCCTGGCGACACGACTCCATGTACGCGATGGTGCTATCGGACTTGACAGAGGTCGAAAACCATATGCCGCAATGCCACCGGTACGACTCAGTGAAGTTTTATGAGCGGACGGCCGACGAGCTGCGCGCCCGCCGAAACTACTGGGCGCCCTGGCTGAAGATCCAGTTCACATACCACTGCATCCTCACTGTGCTAAACCACCCTTTCCTCTACATCGTCGCGTCTCAGTACAACCCCACCCTCACCATCCCCAATGCCTTCTGGCGCCGGTCGTCCGAGCTGGTCCTCCTGCATGCTACCTGGCTGGTGCGCATGATCGACATGGTCTCCGAGAAGCACATGCGTCTTATCGATCCTTTTTTCGGCCACTGTGCGGCCATCGCCGCGACGGTCCACCTCTACTTCTGCTGCGCGGCCGATCCCCGCCTGAAACAGAAATCCAAGACAGATTTCGCCAAGTGCAGACGCTTTCTCGAGAGCTTTGCAACATTCTCCCCGGTGTGCGGGGCTCTGGTATGTCTAATCCACATGGTATAATATCGTCACACCGCGCGAGAGGGATGACTGCTAACAGGACAATAAAACAGAACCAAACCCTCGACAAAATGCTCCGGATCGCATCGGGCGCCGACCGCGTCGACTACGATTGGACCCCCTCCAAGATCTACCTGAGCGTGCCCCTCATGTGGGACGTACTGCAAGTCAACTGCGTTGCAGACACCCACCGCACCACCGCCGGACTGCTCCACCCGTCTCTGGTACCGACTATCGCGCGCGACCACTCCGCTGCTGAACACTTCGATTCGACGCTCGAAATCATCGTGGCCATGTCCCCGGAGGTTACGGTTAATACAGCGGACGGGGGCACCGCCGCGCACATGCCGCCGCATATGGCGCGTTTGTCTCCTTCGCCTTCTTCTTCACGAGGCCGGGGCAGTAGCAGCGGTGGTGACAGGGCACCGGGTTCAGGAGGAGTCACCGGAGGGGCCATAGACCCGCTAGTAGCGCCCGCAGACAGTCTCATGTTGAATACGCCATGGCTGTGGACGGATCCGGGGCAGTTTACAGACCTCGAGAATATGGACTACCAGGAGGCGGAGGCGGCGATCGGGAATGTGGATGGTTTTTCGACGTGGTGGGATTTTGGAAATCTCTAATACTACCATTGTGGCCTGGAATTAATGTAGTGCTTATTTGATTGTTGTGTGGGGGGTTGTTGCGATGTAGTGAGTTGGTAGATAATTCTAGTTTGATTCACAAGATTTGGTTCAAGGATAGACTGGTATCAACGAATGGATCGGTATCGGGAGTCGGCGATGAACCTGCATCACGCAACCCTCTCTTCCAAATAAACACGTAACATCAAACGCCCATGCCACAGCATACTGTACACAACTGTGGAGTATATACAAAAATCACAGACGGTCGGACTCTTTACGAACCGGTCGCAGCTTCCTTCCGTTGCTTTTCGTCCTCGCGCGCCTTCCGCTGTTCGCGCCACTTCATACCATGCACATACTGCAATGCCAGCAGTCCCGAGGCAGCAGCTATGACCAGACCCAAAAAGAGGAAACACCACCCCCAGCCCATCCCGCGGAGCATGGAGTCAATAATACCTGCGCCCAATGCGCCCAGCCAGCAGCGCATGAGGTTCGCCGCGGCGGAGGCCGTCGCAGGTTGCGCCGGGGCCAGGTCCACCAGGAGGGTGTACATGGTACCGATGCAGATGGTGGAGGTAAAGCCGACGACGCACTGCAGGACGAGGGGGACGGCGAGGGGCAACCTGAGCTGCAGGACCCAGCCGTAGGGGATAAAAGCGGCGACCAGGAGCAAGACGGGCGCGAAGGCGATCTGCAGGCGGGCGCGCTCAATGGGAAAGTCCAGCAGCTCTTTGGACCGGACGATTTCGGGTGGGATATTCAGCTGGTGCGCGATCCGGCGGTAATTGTAGTCGAGCACTTTGCCCGTCACCATGGCTCCGATGGTTGCCGCGATGCCGAAGGGGCTGGTCAATGTCAGTTAGTATCACAGAATTGATGGGGTTAATGGGCGCGGAACATACAGGTAGCACAGTCCGATCTGGAGCGAGTCTAGGTCATAGAGGTCACCGAACAGGTTGGCCGTGCTGGTCCCAAGGACGGTCGTGGTGAAGGAGCCGATTCCGATGTACAGGATGGTGATGAACATGTCCTTTTCGCGGAAGATGACGAGGGTGTCCAGCGGGTTGGGACATGTCAACCGGAACGGTTGCTCGTCGCGCGGGGCGAGATGGGGGTTTCGGCGGGCGGAGACTGCCTGGGCGACGGATTGCCGCCACCACGCTGTCGGAGTGACGCGACCGTTGCCGACCACCTTGCGGGCGGTCTCGGGCATCAGCACCACGTACGCGACCAGGAAGGCTCCACTGATGATGACCAGGAACCAGAAGACGCTCCGCCACCCCAGGTATCGGGTGAGGATGCCCCCGATGACGGGGCCCAGGGCTGGGGTCACGGTGACGCCCGCCGTCATGGGACCGATGTATTTGCCGCGGATGGAGGAGGGGGCGATGTCGGCGACGACTGCGTGGCCGAAGGAGGCGCTGCCGCTGCTGCCGGCGCTCTGGATGCATCGCAGGGCGAGCAAGGCGCCGTAACTGTTCTGCACCGACAGCCCGATGTTGGCGATGAAGTAGATGGCGAACGCTAGGATGTAGGCCGGGCGACGGCCGTTGGCGTCAGAGAAGGTGCCGATGAAGGAGGGGGCCAGCCCCTGGATGATCATGAAGGAGGTGATGGTGAGGTTGAGTAGGGCGGGGGTGATGTTGTAGTCGTGAATGAGGGTCGGCATGACGGGAAAGTAGATGTGGCTGGAGATGGAGGCGGAGATGATGCCGACGGCGGCCATGAACACCATAAACCGCTTCTCATGTCGTCCGAAGGCCGAGTACTCCTCCTCGTCGGTGGGCTTCACCATAGGCGTCGTGTCCGTCTTCTCCAGCTCCGACGTGGTGCTGTAGGCGCTCTGGGAGATACCCGAGGAGGTGCCCGGGGGCGTTGGCCCCCATGGTGTCTCCAGTCGGTCGGTGATACCCTCGCTGGGTGGACTCGTCCGATCCCCGGACATGATGTCGACGGTTCTTGAGCATCGATCGCTGTCGCGGGAGTCGATTCTTTTTCAATAGACGTGAGGCGACTCGGTGTGAACCCCACCTGCAACGATGTTGGACAGGTAATAAATGGGACGGCTCGATCGACGACGCAGATGTTTCAGGGGGTTCCATCTTCAGGATCGACATCAGAAACGGTTATTTTCATTGGGACCGTCCCCTTGATGTCCGTCCACGACACGGGGATCCATCCAGTGGATACCATCGATGTGTGCAAGGGACGGAGCAACGGCACCGCTCATTCCACCGTCAGGCTGGTTGATTGTCATTGACCGCCATCCCTCAACGTCCCTCAGAGACATCCCTAGAGGTTCAACACTGGCCGCTCCATTCCTACACATAGAGTCGTCCTCCTTCATGCCGAACATGTAAGGACCGTAGGCTGGTGGCCGTTTCTGACGCCAACCCCTGAACCCACTTGATGGATCATTGACCTGGACGATCCTGTGTCGGCGGCGGCTAGCGCTACCGTCGATCGCCCCACCGCGTCGAAGTCAAACCCCTCGACTTAGGCAGAATGCTGAGGATTGCCCAGTATTCTTTTTTTAGGCAGCTCCACGAATCATCACGATTGGTGTCAGCCTGCTTCCCCCAAGCATCCGCCACGGCCACTTCTGCGAACCGCCACCTTGTTGCGGGCGGCTGGAGGATGACCGCTCATGGCTCCTGTCCACTCCACCGATACGACAGATGTGAAACGGTCGGGATCTGACACGTAGCGCGTCGGAGAGGATAGACGCCCTGGCGAGGTCCATGACAATAGGCTATAACGGCGGAGTGATGGCAGAGTATGGGCGGGCGACCACCTCCATCCCCACCGTTGAGGGGATCCTCTGTGGAGAGCCATGTCAACCTTGTTCGCGACATGCTTGCGTGGCTATTGACTAGGATCTGGTCTCAAGTAGCAATGGTCTCGGAGGAAATGGACATCTGGTTAGACAACTCCACTGTCGCTGGTGTCTCCAATTGCAAATAATTGTTGAATGTCGCGATTATTATGAAACCATCCGCAAATGGAGTCAGTTTGAAAGTTGACGAGAGATGAATATCCGGTCGGGGGGCTGAAATACATATCCATTGGGGCTAACTCCATATCAACCCCCAATGTGATAAATGGATCAATTGCAATCGTTCATCAGACCAAGATGAGAAAGAATGTAGAAATGAAGAAATTGTGTTGGATTGGCGACGAATCAGCTGACCCACCACGTGCTCAACAGTTCTTCACAACGTCAAGTCTTCCAACCGCGTTGTTTTCATTCCTTTTTCTTCCTCTGTCGCTCATGATAACATCGCTCATAACTGCCCGCCCGATCGGCTTAGACGGATGATGTCCAATCTGACCGCCATGTCGCTCGACGAAGAATTGATGTGTCCCCTGCAGAGTTCGGGGAGTACAGGCCCGCCTCGCAATGCAGTTCGTAGGCTGGACGCCATGGTCCGCATCTGGACACCAGCCTCTGGATTAGGCTACAAACTACGGAGTACAGAGGACGGTACAGGCCGAGAAAAAGGCCTCAGCTTGGTGGGGGCACATGAACTCCAGACCGGACCTCGGGTAAGGTGCTGGACCCGCAATAGGACGCCGAACGGATTGCGGCGTGATGGTCCCCCAGGAAACCCATATGAAACTAGTCCAGACCGTCGCCGGACCAATTGCGATGACTCGGCCCGTTGAGAAGCCAGTCCCAATAAGGACAAAACAGAACAGGATGGGACAGACCAGAACAAGGACAGGGAAAAGAACGATTCACCATCATCCCGACTGGGATCGTCCAGCAAGCGATTCCAATTGCGACAGCCTCGACGAGGAGATCGGCCAAAGGCCGGGCAAACTTGCAGAAATGCCAAGGATATGCTTGATCGACCAGCGAATACGAGGCCAGAGATAGGACTTTGGCAGTGCGGGGGAACTCGAAAGTGGAGAAAGTCAGACAGCCGAATGTTTGTATATATAGCAAGTCGACCCAGGCTGCTTTGTGTGCGGGACGACAGTGTGTAGTGGTAAATCTTGCATCCGGTCATCATGGGTCGCAATCCGATGTCCAACCCGCTAAACTACGCCACCCCCCAGTGGCACACAGGCTCCCCCGCCACGGATGCGCAAGCGCGGCGTCAATCGAAAGGTTACGACTATGGTATGATAATCACAAACCCTCCGACCTCCATCGAAGGATGTGAGCTGATGGGGAGTAGTCATCGTCGGCGCAGGGCCCGCGGGCAGTGTGTTGGCCAGCCAGCTGTCCGAAGATCCCCACGTCACCGTCCTCCTCCTGGAAGCGGGCGGGGACAACACCAAGATCTTGGAGTCCAAGGCCCCCATGCTCTTCTCCAAGCTCTTCCACACCGAACATGACTGGGACTATTACACCACCGAGCAACCGGGCCTCGCCGCGCGCCGTCTGTACTGGCCCCGCGGTCGCATGCTGGGCGGCAGCAGCTCGATGAATGCGATGATGTACCACCACTGCGCCCCGTCCGACTTTGACGAGTGGGCGACGGTCCATGGCTGTCAGGGCTGGAGCTACAAAGATCTGGTCCCGTACTGGCGCCGCATGGAGGGCTTCACTCCCAACACCGCTCGCCCGCGCATCGACTTGGCGCACCGGGGCCGCACCGGGCTGTGGGACGTCGGATACTCGTGGCTGACGGAGATCGGGGAGAAAGGATTCCTGCCTGCGTGCGAGGACGCGGGCATCCCAGCCAACCCGGATATCAACACCCCCGCGGGTACCCTGGGCGCGACTCGCTTCCAGACCTTCATCGACCCCAAAGGCCAGCGCGCCTCGTTGGCCACCGCCTACCTGCCCGCCGCGGTCCGCCGGCGGCCCAACCTGTCCATCGCTTGCCACGCCCACGTCACCCGTCTGCTGGTCGACCGACTCAGCGGCCCCGAGCCGACCGTCGTCGGCGTCGAGCTGCAGACCCAGCGGGGCGGGCCGCGGTTTGAAGTCCACGCCCGGCGCGAGGTCGTCCTCTGCAGTGGCGCCATCAACACACCGCAGCTGTTGCTGCTGAGCGGCATCGGTCCGGCCGAGGAGCTGCACCGCCACGGCATCCCCGTCGTGCGCGAGAATGCGGCGGTCGGCCAGAACCTCAAGGACCACCTGGTCTCCACCCCTATCATCTGCAAGGCGCGATGGGGCACTACCCTCGACTACCTAGCCAACCCGCTGTGGGCGCTGCCGGCGCTGGCGCGGTGGCAGTTGTTTGGCAGCGGACCCCTCACCCACAATGCCGGTGAGGCGGCCGCCTTCCTCCGGTCGTGGGAGCACCACCCCTTCCCTGGCTCGTCGTCCGAGCGCTCCGCGCCCGAAGACAACACGTCCGGTGCCCGGGGGCCCGACGTGGAGATCGTTGGGGCCCCCATGGCCTACATCCACCACGGCGAGGAGCCGGGGCCGGGTGGGGCGAGCGCCTTCACCCTCGCCCCGGTCGGACTGCGACCCAAGAGCAAGGGGAGCATCACCCTGCGGACCCGGGATGCCTTCGATGCTCGTGAGTGATCCATCCTCTCTTGTTTCCCTCTCCCTATTTTTTTTTTTTTTTTTTTCTTAGCTGTTGTGATGGAGATACTGATGAAGCGAGCAACAGCAATCATCGACCCCAAATATTTCAGCGATGAGACCGACAACGACCGTAGCGTGCTCCTGGCGGGCATCCGTGTCTGCCTCCGGATCATGCGCAGCCCGGCATTCCAGCGATACCTGGAGCCGGTGGCGCCCAACGACGACATCTGGTCGGAGTGGTGGCCGTACTCGAGCACCGATATCGATCGGATCACCGACGAGCAGCTCCTGCGCTGGATGGAGGCCAAGGCCTTCACGCTTTACCATCCCGTCGGGACGGCGCGCATGGGCCCCTCCCCGGAGACGAGCGTCGTCGACCTTCAGTGTCGGGTGCACGGCGTGCGACGGCTGCGCGTGGTGGATGCCAGCGTGTTCCCGGAGCAGATTAGCGGGCATCCGACCGCCACAATTGCCGCCATGGCGTACAAGCTGAGCGATCAGATCAAGCGGGATTATCAGACGGTGCGAGCGAACTTGTAGGATGGAGACCGGATTGCTCCATGCGATTAGATCCAGTGTCGCCCTTTGTTTTGGTGTTATCGGAACCGGCCCGGTCCATTTGTCACGAAGCGGTGGAGACTTCGGCTGGACTTAGGACTTCGCCATCTATTATCTATATGTCTGTCTTCGGGCCCCGACACCAGATATTGAGGACCCATAGATGAACTACTCGGCTACCGACCGTAAACAGTATACATTGAATGTTTCCTGACTCCGCACTGGCTCATCCCACCATCCAGCGTAGGTGGATGACGACTGATTAGGCAGTCCATGCCGAGTAGGCTCTAGACGGACCCAATTATTCAGAGTGGAGATCCTGACTAAAACCTCAGTTCCAGACCAGCAGAGATGGAAATGCTTGGAAATCCATCTGCTCCTCCCCTGACTGGACCAACCATCTCCTCCAGACCTGCCAATACATAAAGCGGAATGCACCGACTGGGAATAGACCGCGGTTTCGGTTTCCCCCCTGGTCATCCCCCGCACCATCACACCACTGCCCCCCGCATTTCCCTCGGAACTCTCCGCCAATGATCCATCTGGTCCTCTTGGGATCTGCTGTTTGTTGCTGCTGAATCGCTCCGTTGTCATTCGTCGTTAACCGGACACGTCCTACATAAACAAAGCGGGGTTGCGCTCCTCGTCTGCTCTTTTGTCCCCCCCTTCTCCCCTTCCTATTCCCCACTCACATCTGCGCTTTTGTCATCTTTCATCTACCATATTGTTTGACCTGCATCATGGGTGAATGTCCCTTCAAGAAACCGTCCAATGCGGCGGGTGGTGGCACCAGAAACACCGACTGGTGGCCCGATCAGCTGCGGTTGAACATCCTCCGCCAGCATAGCGACTTGACCAACCCCCAGACCAAGGACTTTGACTATGGCGCAGCATTCAAGTCCCTCGACTACTGGGCCCTCAAGAAGGACCTCCAGGCCTTGATGACCGACTCTCAGGACTGGTGGCCTGCCGACTTCGGGCACTACGGGGGTCTGTTCGTCCGCATGGCCTGGCACAGCGCAGGAACGTACCGTGTCTTTGACGGGCGTGGCGGCGGCGGCCAGGGCCAGCAGCGGTTCTCCCCTCTGAACAGCTGGCCCGACAACGGCAACCTGGACAAGGCCCGGCGTCTGCTGTGGCCCATCAAGCAGAAGTACGGCAACAAGATCTCCTGGGCCGACCTGCTGCTGCTGTCCGGCAATGTTGCCCTTGAGTCCATGGGCTTCAAGACATTTGGCTTCGCCGGCGGCCGCCCCGACGTCTGGGAGGCCGACGAGTCCGTCTACTGGGGCGGCGAGCGGACCATGTTCCCCGCCGGCAACGACGTCCGCTACGCGGCCGAGACCCCTGAGGAGCAGGCCCGCCAGGGCAACATCGCCACCCGCGAGCTCGAGAACCCCCTAGCGGCCTCGCACATGGGCCTCATCTACGTGAACCCCGAGGGCCCCAACGGCCAGCCGGACCCGCAGGCTGCCGCCCGCGACATCCGCATCACCTTCGGCCGCATGGCCATGAACGATGAGGAGACGGTCGCCCTCATCGCCGGTGGCCACACCTTCGGCAAGACCCACGGTGCTGGTCCCGGCGACCAGGTCGGGCCCGAGCCGGCCGCCGCGGGCATCGAAGCGCAGGGGCTGGGCTGGGCCAACGGGTACAAGTCTGGCCGGGGCGCCGACGCCATCACCAGCGGGCTCGAAGTCACCTGGACGTCGACGCCTACCCGCTGGGGGATGGGCTTCCTTGACTACCTGTTCCGCTTCGAGTGGGAGCTGACCAAGAGCCCCGCTGGCGCCAACCAGTGGACGGCCAAGGACGCGGGTGATATCGTCCCCGACGCCTTCGACCCGAGCAAGAAGCAGAAGCCGCGTATGCTGACCACGGATGTGGCCCTGCGTGCCGACCCGGCCTACGAGAAGATCGCACGGGGCTTCCTGGCCAACCCCGATCGGTTCGCCGATGCCTTCGGCCGTGCCTGGTTCAAGCTGCTGCACCGCGACATGGGACCCCGGTCGCGCTGGCTGGGTCCCGAGGTGCCCTCGGAGACCGTCCTGTGGGAGGACCCCATCCCAACGCCGAGCCACCCGCCGATTGACAGCGAGGACATTGCCGCGCTGAAACGCGAGATCCTAGCGACGGGTGTCGACCCGGCCGAGTTCATCCGCACGGCGTGGGCGTCCGCGTCGACCTTCCGTGGCGGCGACAAGCGCGGTGGTGCCAACGGAGCGCGCATCCGGCTGGCGCCGCAGAACGGTTGGGAGGTCAACCGGCCGGACGCTCTGCGGGCGGTGCTGGCGGCGCTGGAGGGGGTGCAGGCGCGCTTCCACGCGGCGCAGACAGGCAACAAGCGGGTGTCACTCGCGGACCTGATCGTGCTGGCCGGGTGCGCGGCCGTGGAGCAGGCGTCCGGTACGCCGGTGCCCTTCACTCCAGGGCGCATGGACGCGCTGCCGGAGCAGACGGACGCCGAGTCGTTCGAGTGGCTGCGGCCGGCGGCGGACGGGTTCCGCAATTACGGCGCCTCCAACTTGCGTGTGCGAACTGAGCAGGCGCTCGTCGACAAGGCACACCTGCTGACTCTGTCGGCGCCGGAGATGACGGCGCTGGTGGGCGGGTTGCGGGCGCTGAACGCCAACTGGGACGGCTCGGCGCAAGGTGTGCTCACCCAACGCCCCGGAACCCTGACCAACGACTTCTTTGTCAATCTGCTGGACATGGGCACCTTGTGGAAGCCCGTCGACGGGGACCGGTTCGAGGGTGTCGACCGGCAGACGGGGGCGCCGCGCTGGACCGCCAGCCGCGTCGACCTTGCGTTCGGGTCGCAGCCAGAGCTGCGAGCGTTGGCCGAGTTGTACGGCAGCTCGGACGGTCAGACGCTGCTGGTGCGCGACTTTGTGGCTGCGTGGGATAAGGTGATGAATCTGGATCGGTTTGACGTGGCGGTGTCGCCGGCGGCGGGACGGCCTCGACTGTGATTATGATACGGATTGTAGATTGATATGATGAGTCTAGTATTGAATTACTTTTTCTTTCTTAAATGTGCCTGGAAATCCTGTCTTTTGACTCGTAGAAATGCTGTCTGTGTGGGACTTGGTGGAGACCGCGATGGAGTGGACCGGGTGGTGATATCATCCCCGCTCGCTCACCAATAAGTTCTTCATCTCCAACCCCGATCTTCCACCACCATGGCCTAACAACTCCGTTCACCTGATATGCACCGCAAGGACTATGGCACGGATGGACTCAACACCATCAGCCTGGTGACTCAGGTTTTAGGCTCCAGCATCGTGACGCTGGTCGTGGCTCTGCGGTTCATCGTCAAGTTCTCGCTGCGGATGCCGTGGGTGGGGGAAGACGGTATTTCTCTTTATCACTCGAGAGTTAGAGGCAGAACAAGCTAACGAGACAGTGTGGTGCATTGTGGCATGGGTATCTCTCCGCGAACCCGTTGAGCGAGGCACTAGTTGATCGTAGTAGATTCTGTACAACGTTCACGGCGCCTGCGCCATCGTGTGTACGTATCTCGTCCTTGACAATCAACAAACAACTAAGAGAATCGAATAACTAGATACCTACATCGAGGGACCGACCACGAGCCACATGACGCCTGCAGACGTGGCCACCAAATCCAAAGTCTCTTCCGCTCGCACTCAATATAAAAGGAAGATTTCTCACTAATACGCGATAGGTCTTCTACGTTGCCAGCCTGGTGTTCTCACCCATGATGCTAAGCATCAAACTGACCATTCTCTACGTCCTCACACGTCTGTTCCACCGCTTCCACCGCGTCTACATCGTCTACATCTTCGAGGTTCTCCTAACACTATACTACATCGCCATCCTAATCGCCAAGGTCTTCATCTGCAACCCGGTCAGCGCCTACTGGGCCGTGGTGCACCCGCGGTGGAACGAGCAGTGCAGAGACCGACGGGGCGTAATCATCGCGGACAGCAGCGTCAGCGTGGCGACGGATCTCGCTATATTGGGGTTCTCGGTGGCGCTGACGTGGCCGTTGCGGATGGAGCGCAAGCAGAAGCTGTCTGTCATTGCCGTTCTGGGGGCGGGCAGTGCGGCTGTGGGGTTCAGCTTGTATCGACTGGTGCTTGTGTTGGGCTTCTCGATGGGGGAGCAGATGAGGTTGATTTTGAGGATTTTGATGTCGGAGTATGGATTTGTCTTTTTTCCTTTTCATTCTTCCTCTCGCTTTCTTTCTTTCTGTCCTCGAAGATTCGGCTGATGCTGAGCTAATAGTACCGCCGAGGGCGGCATCGGGTTGATATGCGCATGTGTACCGACGTTGAAGAAGTTGGTAGAAGTCGTGGTTGGAAAATATCATACTGAGAGGCAGGAAGACACGCAGAGTGACCAGGGACCGATTGTCTCGTCAGAGCACGCTCCACCGGAGTTGAATCCGATACCAAGCAGTATCTCGGGTGTGTCGTGATGATTGTCATGACTTGAATATCCATTTTTTCGGTTTAGAGTCTAGATCGTGGTCAGACTGGAATACCCTTGTATTGTTGTATCTATCGCATTTGTCTATTCCCGGCATAGTAGGAAATAGGAAATAAGGGAGACCTAGATCACGCTCAATGAGCCATCTCCTACATCGACCTCGACCGGGTCAGATTCCCTTGCAGCCTAATCAAATCTTGCTATATCCTCCATCAACCAACACCTCCGACCCATTGATGAAACTGGCCTTTTCACCAGCCAGGAAAGCAATCACCTCCGAAACCTCCTGTGGCGTGCCCCATCGCCGAACAGGGACTGTTTGAATGAGGTCGTCGTAGTTGGATCCCTGACGGATAGACTCTTCCAAGACTGCCGGCTGTTAGGCATGTCACATATTCTTTGGACCAAAACGACGAAATGAAACGCAAGAGAAACATACGTGGTGTCTTGATAAACCCAGGTAGAACACTGTTAACGCGAATACCCTCCGCACCATAAGCGACGGCATCCGTTCGGGAGATTCCCAGAACACCAGCCTTCGCTGCAGCATACTACACAAATCAGCGCCATACTGGAGGTATATCAGACAATAGAACATACCCCCCCAACCGTTGGGTGTGACAGCACCCCGAATATAGACGACACATTGACGATGGATCCCCGCTGGGGAGGCGCTCCGGTTCTGTCCACGATCTATCAGCTTCCATGTACTTTCATATCAAAATAGGAAAGACACAACACGCACCGTGGAACGAGGGTAGTCTCCTGGCGCAGCATCTGCTGGATTTCTGCCCTCTCGCAGAGCCACACCCCGCGCAAATTCAAAGCAATGACCCGATCCCACGCGTCGGTGGACAATTCGTGCGTCTTCACGCGGGGCTTGCTACTGATCCCGGCATTGTTGACAGCATAATGAATAGCACCGAACTTCGCAACGGCAGTGGACACCATGTGCTGGACGTCAGTCTCGGAGGAAACGTCGACTTTGACGGTGACGACCTGGACGTCGGGGTTGAGTGCACGCAAACCGTCTGCCACAGTCTGGAACCCCTCCTCGTCGATATCGGCAAGCACGAGCTTGGTGCATCCTTCTTTCACGAAGGTCTCAGCCGTGGCTCGGCCGATGCCAGAAGCGGCGCCGGTGATGAGGGCGACTCTGGTCTGTTAACGACTTCCATGCGAAGAGTAATAGGGACTTACCCGATCATAGTGTTCGTGTGGAAGGCTTAACACCCCTTGACTTGCGAGATTTGGGGGATAATTGCGCAGGACCTGCTCTCTTTCCCCGCATTCGACTCGTCATCCTGCATCTAGTATGGAAGGAGGCCAATAGAATGGCCCGGCAAAGGATGCAACATATACATCTTGAGGGGCTTTTGTCAATGTCCGACTTTGGTCTCATTGGGCGACCGACGTGTTCACTATTTTCTGTCTGCGAAATCAACTTCTGTAGTCGAAGTTTCCCGGGGCTTGCATCTCGACAATTTGTAGTGAATCCCATCCCAATCTGGACCCTCAACAGTACCGGCTTATGGTGATAGTGCAGCCCCGCCATCCTAACCCGATCGGTGCTAAACCAATAGATCTCGAGATAACGACAATGACTCACGACGCGGCTGTAGTCAGAAATTAAAAACGTGATCTCCAGGAGCCGGTACCGTGCAATTTGGCAAGATGGAAAACACTTGATGAATGCGCCAGAGACGGGGTGATTACTTTGTCGTAAAATCCAGTATCATGCCAGACGTGTCGCTCTATCCCGCCCAACGGACCGTTGTGGTGATCCCGCCGGACCCTCCTGCAATTCTAACCCAGCGACTCACCCTACGACCTCTGCGCATCGGCAACGACGCAGACGCAGAGGGTTTATTCGCGATTCGCCGCCGACAAGATGTCGCCGACTGGCTGTACGATGCATTCGACCCCATTTCCAGTCCCTACACACACTAACGAACAGGTTCCAGCTGGCCGCGCGTCCCCCACCACAGTGTCGAAGAGACCAAAGAATGGATGCGACGACGGCAATTCCAAGCACCCGATGCCTCTGGGGCCGTCGGACGACAGTTCACATTCGTGATTGTCCGGACCGATGACCCCAGCGAGCAGATCATAGGCTCAATCGGGATCAACTCGCTGGACCCGGCGCCGTCTCTAGGCTATGGCATTCACCCAGAGTTCTGGGGACAGGGGTACGCCAGTGAAGCCGTGCGAGGGCTTGTCGACGCGTGGTGGAAACTGTCTCGCGTGGGTGGAAATGGCGAGGCGGAGGGGGAAAGACTGTGGGCGGCGACCAATAGGGCGAATCGAGGAAGTGTCAGGGCCTTGGAGAAGGGGGACTTTCGGGTCTTTCGCGAGGTGCAGCTCGAAGGGGATACAGTTGTCGTGATGTATGTTGAGAGGTGAACTGCCACATGATGTTGGGAGAAATGATAATCGGGTCGATCCTGCTTCTGATACCCTGAGCGATGTGTATGTGCTGGAAAGTCGTGACATTTACATCCTTACCCTCTTGGATCATATAGGGGCCAAAGACCAGTGGGATAAAGTAGCTTCTGTATGTGCTCCACAAATGTGGCGTATATGCCTACGTGACAAAAAGGGATTCACTTTTAGGTCAGTTGTATACTAATATGGAGATTAATACCTTTATTTGCGTCGAAAGCTATAGTTCGTGCTCTTCATGGGGCATCGAATGGCCATAGTTTCTCTGCCTTTGCTACTGTCATGTCATCTTCGCCGCGCGCTTCCATTTCCTTGGCCGTTTGGCCGTTTGAATGAATATATCGTACTGCGCGCGATGAAAATCTTTTGCAGCATCCCACCGCTCATTCGGGATCCAGCCGTCAGAGTCAGTATTGAGCGAAACCTTCAGCCACTGCTTCAGTTGTTGGACCGCCTTAAAATCATCATAATCGCGAATGTGCCGCTCCAATTCGTCGTCGGTGGGAGAATACGGGCATGATCCCAGCAACCCTAACTCCGTCCAGCAAGCAAAGAGTTCCACCAACGCGTGTCGGATAGCAGTAGCGCTGTCTCGCCATGACGTGTGACAGCAGTGAAAAAGCTGAAATAATGCTGGGTCGAGCGACCTCGCGGGTTGTACTTTGGGGGCATAGGCCTTCATGTACACGTCGTATGTTTGACAACGGATGGACGCATCCTTGAGCTCCTTCTTGCTACGGCCGGGAACTTCCTGCCCGTCTAGGTCTAATATGGTCTCCACTGTTTCTTCAGGTTGATCCGCAAAATCGGGTGGCTTGTTTGCGTATATGAACGCAGGCTCAATGCTTGCCCATTGCCAGTCAATAACACCAGTAATGACAGTCGGATCTTCCGCAGAGACGTAGATATTTCTTCTGTGAAAATCAGGATGAAGTAGAGTGGGACTAGCGGAGCCCTGGACACGCTTATCCTCGACTAAGTGCTGCATCACTTCCCGGCTTATATTGATCAGAGCGATGTGATCCCGGACTGTTCCTTGATAGGAGAGTATATCATGGTTAACCGCGTCTCGTTTTGGTAAGCGAGAGAAACCGGTCTCTATCAGGCCTAGGGAGTAGCTCCTCAGATCTTGCCCTGTTTTGTGCTCGTTGCATTAGAGTCGTTTGTTGAGAGAGTGTATTAGGAGACTAACAAGGACCACAATTTGAACTGGGAACCCCATAAAGCTCAAGCTCGCCCGGACTTCGATTCCAGAAAACCGGACTGCAACTTGGACCAATAGAGAATCCCTGGTCGAAAGAAATCTTCAGGTGCGACTCCAGGGGCCCATCTGCAAAGTACAGACTCCCATAGGCCGGGAACTTAAAGGATGCCAGTTCTCTGATCGCGATGGAGAGCGCTTCTGTACACAGCATATGCTGTTCCATGTTCATCCGAGGCCACATATCACGCAGGGGAACACCTGCCACATGCTCTTAAATAATATACTCCGTGCCAATGGGATTTGATGGATCATCGCTCCAATCCAGGATATCGGGGATCGGGAGCGAGATCTTGCCTCGTACTATACAGGAGGCGACAATTAGCATGTTCACTGCATCCTCCATGGAACCGGGATGGGGAAATCAGGCGCACAATATGCCATTGTTGCTACCTCGGAATTCGTTGTCAACCTCGGAGGGCCACTAATACTAGTGGGTAATCTTGCCACGACACGGGAGCCCGTGTTCATTGTAAGAAGAAAGACCCTATTGCATCTCCCTTCCTTCTTTTCACAGTGGACTACCCTAGTAGCCCCTGGGCAGAAGCGGGTGGCTCTCTCACAAAGCGCAGAGAAGTCGAACATCATGCGGCGAGCGTTGCGTTGGAGCTCGTCTCGGTGAAGCCATCTTCCACCTGTATAGTTATGAGGATCGAGTCCTACCATGGAGGTCAATATCGTATAAAACCACGTGTTTAAGTTTTCGATAATCCTACATACGTAACTCTGTCTCTTCCAAACCTCTCCTTTCGAGTATTCGACGCGGGAAATCACTGCATTCGGTCCTCGTGTGGGACAATTGTCGCGAAGAGAAGGGGGCCACCAGAGGGTGGTGGTGTAACTGTCGCCAGAATCGCATTGTGCTGGTTGTCAAGCAGCCCCTAAACATTCTCGATGGATGAACTGCTGCTTTGATATAAGTGGGAACGTGAGAAAGAAGACACTGACTGGCACGTGGCGCATCACCTGACTGCGGTGATTGTTTATAGCCTTATTAACCTTCTATCTGCGCCATCAATATCATCACGCATCGGTTATATGGCCGCGCCATGCTCGAGGTGTCGTCCGTCGTGTCTCTCTTCATTGGCTGCAAGATTCTGTTAAATGGTCCCGAGATAGATTGGATTTGACCTTGGCCTGATGATGGCTCAAATCCCTTTAATACGGTCGAACAACTCATCAGACAAGCTACATATACTAAACCAAGCCGAAATTCTCAAGCAGCGTTGTTTTACCCTACGCGGGGCTGTTAAAATCTAGGTCCACCACCAGTTGATCCGTGGGCAGGCCGGGTCTATGGTGTGATACGTGAGTGAATTGGTGCAAGCGGTTAAACCATGAATGACATTCTTGACACTTGAAGTTATGAGGGGGTGCGAATAGCGACACATGCCTAAGAAGTTGAAAAATAATCGGTGGAGAAAGACCTCTGCCAGCCAGCTCAGGCGGTGGCCAATTGCATGCCTCATAATTCAACATGATAGCACTGCTCCCCAACCGTTATATACCTTTTCAGGCGTGTGATAGTTGCAGTGGAGTGGAATGGTGTGTGTCCACGCTGTATCCTCGACAACGACATAGTCTTGTTTTGCTATTGTTGCTTGCTTGCTCCATGTTTGGTCCAGGGTAACTTGAGTAATCTCACTATCACTGAGCCACACGAGTCCCAGATCAGCGTTGACGAGTCCAACTGGCCCCCGTGTGCGTTCCCGGCTTCAGTTCATTTGTGTGGCGCGGGATGTTCGTCCAGACAATGATCCCAGGTGTTAACTTTTGTAGCTACCTATCATTATGGACCCTCTCATTTTCCCTTGAATGTGCCCTCATTTCACTGGATTGATGCGATGGTGGAAATACACGCCTCTGGGCGTGTCGGGCGTGGGGTATGTTTGTTGCCATAAAAGGATGGAATTACCCCTCGGCTACAAAGGATATCACGACACTTTTGGCCTCCGTAGGTGATTCTATATTGACTGACATGCGTTTTTTTGAGGTCTCCCAGGGATGTGGGATACACCACCAGTCGCTCTATAGCTTCCCATGGAATTTGTGGTAATATGGAGGATTGAGATGGCGATGAGCAAGCGCTGACCAGGATCAGGAAGAGTTTTTGATGTGAAGCATACAATTCAGAAAAGATCGTACACATGCTCTGGCCCAATGTCTCCGACAACATCCGCAGCGTTTTGAGACTGCTTTCTGTGGGGCCCCAATCCTCTTCTGTGGTCCTCGATCACTTCCCCTGGCAGTCCACTTCAAGGTCAATCGAATTGCTCTCAGCAGACGCTACCTTGCCACGTGGGACGAGCACCTTTAATTCTAATCCGGGGGGGCATAGTCAGATCTTATGACAGCGCAGAAACTTGGACGCTCTTGGGTGGGTCCTCTTTTTATTCCAACTGCGCAGCTTCAATCCTGATGACTTCTTCTGGTGGGCTCTCCGTGAGGTTCAGGGGGTGGATATTGTTCAGTAGAGTCAGATTGCTATAGGAGTTATCTTATCCCTTCAGGAGTTGCAGTGGTCTCCTACTCTGGGCCAGCTGGCAATCTTGATTGACCTGGGCATAGGGGTATGGCGTACGTATCGGAGAGGATGAGGATTGGATAGCAGTTCATATGACGGAGGTTCATCCATAGATTCGCAGCGACCTAGAGAGAAATTGATGAAATCAAGGAGAATAGGGGTGGTTGCAACCGATGTGTAGAGAGTGGAGATGTGTGAAGGGGGGTTAAAGTTGAGGCAGCATGCATCAATGCCAGTGGGCAAACCTCATGATATATCTTAGAATATATTCACTAAATACAATCACTGTTACCTTTGCAAATCTTGAACCTAATACTCGGTTATTCAAGAAGATTTTATATTCACTGGAGGCATCAATTATCATTTTGCCAGGTCTATCTCAGGTTTTTAGTAGGTACTATTGGGGATATATATTCCGGCCCAGTAGCCATCCCATGCCCATAGTTAACGCGAAACGGTCCAGAGCAGACACAATTTACACAAATATTAACAGGATTAGAATTAATACGGGTATAAAATCCCGAATTGGAAAAGTCCCATAGGGTTATGGAAGAAGAAAAAATGGCAAGAGAAGTCCCCAGTCCCAACACAGTAATGCTGACTTCAGATGCCGAAGGTGTCTGGCGATGCAGGAGGCATTCTCAATGAATACATACGGCTAGAACGGGATCCAGAAGGAATACAATTAGATCCTTCGACCGGCAGGAAGCAATGATGTGGTCCCGGTTGGCCTCAATATGATAACCATCCCAATCAGCGGTAGTGGGGATCCGTAAATTATATCATTCACGCGAGGGACTCCAATTCCACTGCCCACGCGAGTCAGTCACCGAATTAAATTGCACGGATAAACAGGGGCGGGGCATGGGGATAATTGTTCCTTGTGGATATTGCAAGGAGTAATCTTCAACCTTCCTGGACATGAGCTAATGGTGCCTAGCGTACTAGAGAATCCTTCCAGGTTCCCGATTCTCCGCATCAGCGGGGAATCCTCCGCAGAAAAACATAATATCGGAGTATTCCGACCCCTGAAAAAGTAATGATTTTGATAGGAAGCAGCATCCACTGACGGCTTTACTATTAGGGATGGAAAGTGGCAACAGCCAATATCATACACACGTCACAAAAACAAGCGTGGTATAAAAGTGATGAACCATAGACAGTCAAGACAAACTATTAATACAACAGGTGAAGAGATAAAAACTTTGTACAAATCCCATTGCGTTTTCAGTTTCGGTTCCTTTACTGGGCCAGAACGGCAGGACGCTTGGACAAAGTCAGCCACACGTTGCGCCAGTAGCCAACGCCGCCCTTGATCGTGAACTCTGGGGCCGGCTTGCCTGGGACAAACTCGAGCTTGAAGCGGCGGAAGAGCTTTGTCCGTTAGTGAATGTCATAAAGGTCAAAAACAGTATATGCCATAATCATAGCAGGGAACAGAAAGAACGGAACATACCTCGAGTGGTCCCTTGTACAGTTCCATCATCGCGATTTCCCTCCCCAAGCAGATGCGGGCTCCGTAGCCAAAGGTGAACAGGTACTTGTTGAAGAGCTTGGCCTTTTCGGCATCGAGCCACCGTTCAGGCTTGAACTCCTCGGCGTCGTCGCCGAACATTGTCTGGTCACGCTGCATGATCCACGGATTGCCCGAGATCTCGGTACCGGCCGGCACATACTTGCCATAAAGATTCATGCCCGGCTCGGACACCACGCGGGGGAAGATGTTGGGGGCCGGGGGGCACAGTCGCAGCGTCTCGCGCACGCAGGCCACGTAGTAGGGCAGGTGCTCAAGAACGTCGGCATACTGGGCAATGCCGGCGCCCAGAATGCCCTTCCGGGCGGCCTCATCGATCTCGGCCATCATCTTGTCGTAGACCCCCGGGGTCTGAATCAGGTAGGGGATCATCGCCTGGAAGACAGTTCCGGTGGTATCGGCACCAGCCAGGAGCACCAGGAGCACTTCCGCCTTGATGTATTCCAGATCCAGGGGGTTGCCCTCCTCGGTCCGGGCATCGATAAAGGTCTGCAGCAGGTCGACGCGGTCGAGCGCTTTTCCGTTCTTGACATCGTCGAGGCGCTGTTGGATCAGGCTGTCCCGAAAGCGCATCAGCACGCCGATGCCCGAGTCGTCCTCGGGCTTGGCGACAAAGTACTTCTTCATCCAGGTGGTCTTGATCCAGCTGGTAAAGGGGTGCAAACGCGCGAGCATGCCGAACGCGGGCAGTCCGTCGTGGAACCCCTGGATAAGACCGCCGACGTCCTTACCTTGTTCGATGAAGCCAAAGGGGGCGCCAAAGCCGACTTCGCTGATGACGTCGTAGGCCATGTACCTGAGAAATTCAGTGTCAGTAGTCACCCCACCCACCTGGGCTATGATCGAGCACTTACACTGCCCACCAGGCAAAATCAACCGCGTCGCCCGTCTGGGCAAAGTTCTCGTTCAGCTTGTCCAGCCAGGACATGATGCGGGCATCAATCATTGGCTCCATTCTCTTGACATTGGTGAAGCTGTACGGGCCGGCGACGTGCTTGCGGAACGAGGCGTGAGTCTTGTGCGAGCGCATGTTGAACAGGGATTCGGTCTCGCCGAAGCTGCCCGTGATGTAGTGGCCGGTCTTGTCGGCATTACGGTGGTAGATTTCCGGAAGTTTGGTCGGGTCGGCGACGAGTAGGAGGGTGGGAGTGATGCGGACGACGGGTCCTATTCTCTGTCAGAGCTGCTCTTGTTTCTCAATCGTCGTTGCAGTAATGAGAAAGCCTACCATATTTCTTCGTCAAGGCTGTGACCGCTGGCAGCTCCGTCTCACGAACATTGTGCCATGCGATCCACAGACGAGTCACGCTCCCCCAGAATGGACCGGGAAAGACAGAAAGGGGGTGGAAGAAGCGGTAATACACGATTTGATATGCAACCCGCAGGACGCAATATCCTACGAGGGCCAAGATCAAGCTCGGGACCGTGACCTTGCTGGCAAGGCCTTCATCAACGAACCCCATAATGAATGACAGTTCAACCGGTGGCCGGTAGGTGTTGAAGTCAGGACACAGGGCGGCGCATAAGTGGCAATCCCATGGCCCAAATACCCATGGCCAAGGCAAAACCCCCCACCGTTCTACGCCGGCGCATGTTGCGAGCCATGACCACCCCTCTTCGTTCGCAGCTTTCGCGGAAGAGAAAACCCCCGACAAGATGAATCCGCAGTGGGCACACCAGAAGACGGACTCAATAATGGCGAAGTGTGTTACCGTCTTTGGTCGTAGATCTACTCCTAGAAGCCTGTCTAGGCCCGCACATCTCAATTCCCACCGTTTTATACACCAATGACCACCCGCCTAACGGTCATTCTCAGGATTTGCTAGACAAGTGTGCATCGGTATCTCCTGACTGGGAAACGCTAACGCCGCAGCGGGTAAACGCAGATGGAATCATGGCAGTAGCGGACGGGCAATGGTCCCCGTTTGGAAAAAAACGCGAGGGTCCACTGCTGTCAACGGGGAGTGGGGGGACCAGGGGGCGTCCATATCCCCGGCCAGTAGAATGCCATTGTGTGTCGAATCTGTGGGACTAGCTGACTCACTAGTTATAAGTCCTGTTCCCTTTAGCCATAGAATCGGAGTCAGTCGTCGAAAATCGCATTTTGTCTAATTATCTATTTTTATTTTCGACAACGGGGGTTGAAGAGATTTTAGCTGGCCTAAGGCAAAGAGGCCGTTAGTGATCCACAAAGCCCTAATTCGGGGACCATCTATTATCCTGTTCTGCCCAAAAAGTGGGCAATCAGCGGCGGCCCTGTGGCCTGTTGTCAATCGGCCATCGTACCATTGCTGCTCATCTGTTTCCCGAGATCTCGCAAGCCAGACGGATGACTTGGTCGATGCGATGGTCGGTTGAGTCAAGTCGTCCACCCACTCCCCGTCCCCCGTCCCCCCGCTCCCCGCTCCCTTTCTGGTTTCATCGATCCCCAACGCCTCCAACCGAACATGTTCTTGCATCCCCCCACGGGTCGTGCACTCTGAAACACTAGAGGAATCAGAGAGAAGGGATAGCGGGTGCGACCAAAGCAGGTTCGAGTTGAAAGGACGGATTGCGCCCCCAAATGACCCCACCGGGTGGACACTCGGGACGACTAGTTCTGGGCTGGGAGAAAAGACGATTGCCGGTCTACAGTAAGTGGAGCCTGCATAGGACTGGCTATTGTGTTATGTGTCTGCCTGTGTGGATATTGCACAGTACACATAGGGCACGAGGTATGTATCTCAGGGTGGGCTGAACCGCCTGCGATCGACAGTGTCATGTCATTTCGTTATTGCCAGGCTATGTATTTCCAAAGATTCCAGGCACGACGATCTCCCAGCTAGGTCGGTCCAGGGATGGCCTGACCCCTCACCACCCGTTGCCGCGGTTAGGACGGGGCGTCCGTTGCAAGGAGGAATAGAGCTGCCATCAGGGTGTCGGTCCATCATATGCCAGACAAGGGACCCCTGCCAACTTTTGTCTGGCCACTGGGTACCCTGATGTGCAAAAAGTCTTCCGTGACGATCTGTTCGCTTCTGTTTCAACGGTTTTGCTCTGGGCCTGTCATCGGATACTATTTTCCAGCAAGCCATCGCTGATTAGTTTACGGGAGAAACACGGATCCACATAGCGTGCAGCCCGGTTGCCGCTATTGTTATTTTGGTCCTGCGCCGCTGAAGATGAAGTCCCTCATCCTGTGATGCGATGCGGATCGCACTCTCCTCCTCCGCGGCTCGATCCTCTGGCTTAGGCGTGTCTATCAAAGGGGGGGACGGGAAGACGCCCCTCACGAGCAGACGGCAACGGCCTTGCCGGGGTCGGCAGGGATTTCGCCTCAACGCCGCGGCTAGGGGCACGTTTGAATGACGGCTGTGCAGAGCGACTGTGAGGGTGTGGTAATGCCAGGGCAAGGTCCTAGAGATTCAACTGCTGGGGAGAGGTGGTCTAGCGAATTGTCTATTGGGTCCGATTGAAATAGGCGAACATCGATAGCATCCCATTTATATGGTTTGGCACCAGCTATTAGCGGGTGGCGGAGGTAGTCCGTGGGCTCCACCAGTCGTATCTACTGTGAAGTCGTGTTCCTGTCGACATCCCGTCATCACCTTATGCGAGTTGTGCAGGATGCTAAAACCTTAGTCTCAGGGGTCACATCCATAGTATGAAGATGTGGCTTGGCCTTATGCATTCCCTGCGACATGGTGGGGACCATTCCAGCTGCATCATAGGCATCTGGGCCTGGGATAAAGCCATGATTTGATGAAGGCCCACTTGGTCTGCCGCAGTGGCGTCTGTAGATTCTGTACTCGTCGGATGGACCATCCTTTGCTGCCGCCGCCTGGTGTCATGACAAGTCGAATTTGCCTTTCCCCCTCTCAGTAGGTCGCCTGTCCATCACAGCGTGATGCCTGCACGCTCCAAAATATCCCGAACGGTAGCCAGGTCTAGCTCGATCCTGCGGAATCCAGAGTCAGGGACTTCACGGGCCGGCGGCCATCATCGATGGGAAAATACGTCCAGTCCTTCGTTCCCCGGGTGGCTTTCCCCGGTGACTTCTAGGGCAATCCTGCCAGACAGACGGGTCTGCTAACCACTGCCGCTGGACCCTGCCTGTCTCTCTTTTAATTTATTTTACGTCTGTCCCCCGTTATAAACGTACACCTTGCCCAAACTGTGCCAACGGACTTGACGGCCTCGTCCTTTTCTCTCGTTTCATCTCCGGACGATGCCTACCTCGAACGAATACGGCCCGGACTCCCAGGGCTCCGTCGTTATCGGCGTTGCCCTGGCCTTTGCCATCATAACATTTATTGTGATTGTACTGCGGTTGTTTGCGCGGATTTATGTCCTGCGGCAGATGGGCTTCGATGATTGTACGTTCTTTTTGCAACAAGGGCGTGGGGATAGTGCTGACCAGACGTCCAGATCTCATCATAGGTGCTTGTGTAAGGACCCTCATATCCACTGGCCCAGACAGGACTAACCGACACAGTTGTTCTCGTGGGCGTTCAGTGCTGTGACCATTGTCGGTACGTGCATTCATACCTATATTTTACAATGCACGTCTATATAGCCCCAGGATGACTCGCTAACACGAGATACAGCCGTTCGGCATGGGTTGGGATCTCATATAGACAATGTCCCCTTGACGGGGATGGAGACGTATGCTTTTGTAAGTCTCATCGCCCGCCACAGAATCCCAGCAGACCTAACCGTTACAGAATGTCTGGCTTAGCTCCATGTTCTATCTCGCCTCGATCGGCTTCATCAAGACCTCTGTGTGCTGGTTCTACACCCGACTGGGAGCCCGCTATCTCACACGCTTGGCCTATATCATGATGGTTATCGTGGCCTGCCAGGCCACCTCGTTTGTCCTCGTGGCAGCCTTCCAATGCAATCCGATTCCCAAGGCTTGGAAGGGGGAGGCCATTGGGGGCAAATGCGTCACGATCAACGTCTTCTACCTCGCTAACGCGGCCCTGAACATCTTCACGGACGTGCTGACCTACACCCTACCCATCAAAGTCGTCTTCGAGCTGCAGGTGCCCAAGAAGCAGAAGATGGTGCTGGGATTCATCCTCAGTCTGGGTCTCTTGTACGAAACGCCTTATCCAGCTTCTGATGAGATTAATGCTGACCCCGCCAGTGCCTGTATCTCCTCGATCATCCGCATCACCTACATCCCCACCATGTTGACCTCCAAGGACGCCACGTGGGCCATCACGGGCGCCATGTACTGGTCCGTGATCGAGATCAACATTGGCATCCTCGCAGCGTCCATTCCCTCTTTCAAGGCGATCGCCTCGCGCTTCCTGCCTCGCCTCATCGGCGAATACACCTCCAACCGCAAGTACGCGACCTTCTCGGACGATCCGCGGAAGTACGGCACGGGCTTCTCGCGAGTGCAAGACGACGGCATGGTCATGGGGGGGATGGGCAAGGGCTACAACGACACGGCCATGGGCACGCAGATCGGACGCACGACGTCCGAGGATCGCATCTTCGTGCCCGAGGGCCGCATCTACGCCAAGACGCAGATCGAAACCAACGTCGAGGAGAGTCGCGATTATACCGGCCGATCGTCATCGCTGGAGCGACATTAATTGCCCTCGTTCTTGCACGTTCCTCGTTTCTTATGTTATAATCTAATATCTGGGTTTATGTCAGGTTGGTCGGCTGGAATCGTATCGTACATACACACACACACACACAAGCAGCACACTTATATATACCGTCATGGCTGGTGTGGCTCTCATTCTTTATCTTTACCTTTCTTTTTTTGCTTTCTTCCCTGATACCACTTTGTTTTGGCCCGGGTTTCGGCTGGCACGGGGTATTGGGCTTATGTCCTGCCGGGCAATTATGGTTGTTTTGAAGTTTTGCAGGTCAGGATTTGGCACGTTTTGTGGTCCATCCGTATTATAATATTAGCTAGTGCCAGGTCAAAGAAGCAAAAATTCGTTGATAGATTTCGAGGGGATCATGCTATGCTTGCTTCTGTACATCTCAGTAAGTCGATCCAATTATTGACGTGGACGGGATTGGTAGATGATGAACGAAAGTCTGGAAGAGATCGATCAACCCAGAACAAAGTGAAGAGGCCATGTAGACAGTGACCATAACCAGTTTGCTTCATTCACTGTTCTCCATACCACCATTGAAGTTAGACCAGATACTAGATATGGAATGGTGGTGCCATAGGCAATCGACAAGTCTATCATATCAGCAAATGTAATCCAGAGGGGAGAGGGGCAAAAGACAGGTCAGAATCGATGCCCCACCGACCCACGGGTTTTATGATGCAGCAACACATATGGAGGTCTTCAAGATCTATCAAGGTTGATCTTCACCTCTTACTCCATATCGGGCTTCATTTCGAAAGCTATGGATCGACGCCACGCGTTCGTTCTCTGCAGGCTCAGGTGGATGCACATTGTACTGTTCATCTTCTTCCACGCGTCCCAACGAACGACGGTCACAAGCATCACCAGCATTGCCCCATCTCGGAGGCTTTTGTCCAGTGGCTATAATAACCACTAGTGGCTTGTCTAGTGTGATTCGACCGCCACACGATAACGTAGTCGTTCGCTTTTCCCCCGCAGATGTGTTGTGTCCGTCAATCTCAATGGCATACTGTGAATATGGTTCTTCTTCTCAACCTATCCTATATCTGTCTCACAGTCTGTTCGACATTCATATCTATGCAATATTTCCGTGCACAGCATCACCGGCAGCCCACAGGTACAGCGAAGCGATAGGAATGCTCCATATCACGCCTACATTCAGCATCCCGACCGTGGCAACTTGGACCCCACTAAGGGATGGTCCCCCACGACTAGGTTGGATCAACTAGCCCCAGCATATTAATTTATTCAATGGGCATGCAGGATCCGATGGCACAAACGACGTACGTTACTCGAGCCGATGGAGGGCATCCATGGCCAACGACACGTTGCTGAGTTCGAGTATGTTTGTGGTCGGAGGTCAAGTGGTGGAGGAGCTCTAAACAAGAGACTATAAGATCATCATGGATGAAGGAAGACACAGCTGGAGTAGAAATTTCGCACTTGATTGTACAATGATATATCCCACAAGATCAACACAATCACCCTCACCGACAAACCAGTATACGCGGTAATACGAAGCTTATACACCCCCAAGGCCCGGTGCTATCACGAAAAACGCTCTCGATATGAAGGTTATACAACGAGAACGGCCCCCACAAACGCCAACCAACCCGGCAAGTCCGCAACGAGCATGCGCACACGGTGAATAGCCAACCACCGCTCCATATCCCTCGATGACTGTCCATCTTCGTCCGACTTCTCGAAGATGCGCTGCACGGGGGTTGCGACCAGGGGAACAAACAACATGTGTCCGATAGCGGCGACCAAGCCCGCCCAGTAGAAAGTGGAGCGGGAGAGCGGCCACGGCGATCGGTGGGTCAGGGATCGGATATTAGCAATGGAAGAGACGACGGTCGTCAGGTTGAGGGCAACGACGGTGCAGACAGAGCGGTTGAAGATGTAAGGGAAGACGCGGGGGAGCAGGCCGTCCGCATCTTTGCGCGTGTGCGGTTGGACGAAGGATGAGAAGGCGAAGAGCTCGAGGACGGCGTGGGCGACGGTCCCGGTGCTGGAGGCTAGGGGGGCAGCCCTGAGGAGGGCAGTGGGGTCGAAAATGAGACCGGAAGCCATTGTCGCCTGCCAGGTTGGAGACTGTGAATGGGGTGTAAAGGTTGATGGGTTTTGGGGGGGTGCGGGGATGGGAGAAGGCGTGTCTATAAGTGCTTACGCGCGAGGATCATACCATGTCAGCCTCGGAACCACGGCTTTACGACCTCATTTAGCAATCTAATAGTGATTGGTGTGGAGGATGTGGCGTTAGTTAAGATCAACAGATTATGATATTCTACGCATACCGGGTGGTAAACCGGCGATATATATGTAGATACACTGGTGCAAATATAATGTGCAGATGAGGGACACACTATGGACAAATCCGCCGGTATAGGTCTAGTACGCATTCTGCATATGTTCAGAACCATGCGATGGACAGCCGTCTACTCCCCCTTCAGCTTCATCTGATTATGTACCTTGTAGTACACAAATGGATATAGCGTCTCGGGCACCAAGGTCAAGATGATGATCCACACGCTCCACGGAGAGCCCACGTACGACCAGTTCTGGGGGATATTCCAGTAGCGCCAAAAGAAAACACCATAAGCCGTGAAGCAGCCGAGATAGCGCGTGAGCCTACCTGGTCAGCATGATTCCGTATCGGTAGTGCAGGAGTGAAGTCTCGCAAGCGACCTACCAGATCTCCAAAGAGTGCCCCCTCGTGTCGGCGTCACTCCACAGCAACCCCAGACAGACATATCCGATAGGGAACTGCAAGAGGATCCCCGTCCAGTATGCCGTCATCTGCTCGCGTTCATCGGGAAAAGCCATGCCTAGATACTTCAACCCCACGAGGCTCGCAACCGCGAGACCCAGGATGTTGCGCAAGAGTGGCCATCTCTCGCGCGGGGGATGCGCGCTACGCAGTGCAGTCGACACAAAAGAGATATCTAGCATAAACCACGCCGAGAAAGCCAACCGTTCGAACGTAGTCGTAGTCGTCACGACGGCGTAGTAGAGCTCGTATGCCATGATCGGGCCCATGAACTGGATACTGCCCCAGCGGGCACCGGGGTACATGCGGTCGCTGTACGTGCGAATGATGCAAAATGTGTAGCAGAGGGCGTAAATCACGCCACAGGCGATTATGAGGCCATCCTGAACGAAGAGATAGCTCTCAGGTGGGGAGAGAGCCGCGTCGGCTGGCTGGACAATGAGATGCGGGGTTTTCCGAGCGAGTTCGAAATTAGCCATGTTTATGGTCGTTGAAGGGAAAGGGTGTCTTTCTTTCAAATTATATCGTGAGAACCAGGGAATAGGCAGAAAGATTCCATTTATAGGCCGTCGGAGTTGGCGGATGGGCATGGCTGCAGGTTGGGTGTCTGTCTCCACCCCCAGCCTACGACTACAAGGGTCGATGATGTCATCTATCATGAACATCCCATGCCGTGTCGATCACGGTTGCCTCGTCACCCACTGATGGGAGATCAGAAGCATTTCGATACTGCTTATTCTTGTGGAAGATTTTGCAAGGGATAGTGTAGACGCGGGCACAATATAAGGGGCACGTATGGAATTCTGCCATTTGTAGGACCTAGGACTGTTTTTCCGACAGTCAGCTATAATCTGATACCAGATCGAGAGAGCGACTGGGCTAAGCTTACGTGGGGTCTCAGCCTCCTAGTGGTAAGATAGATGGCGATCTGATCTCTAGTTCGGCCAGTTGTCCTTGCTATGACTGCATGACGTGGATTTGTCGGGAAGCCAGAAGAAAAATCCCATCCAACTGGCCAGCGGGACCAGAGTTACTATCAACCACTGCACCAAAACTCTGAAAAGCATTTTGGGAGGGTTTACCTGATTGATATTCTGAACAAGCACTGTAACTGTTATCCCACACCCAGTTATTCCATCGTTGCGCTCGCTTTTTGTATCACGTCTGGCGCTGGGAATCGCCCATGACGACCCAATCGCATTTGTGCTTATCCACCGGTCGATGCTTGCGATGGCACACGTCCCGAACAGCATAGATTATGGGCAGTCGAGGCGACACCCATCCTTGACAGAGCTCCGTGGAGCATGTTGTGTATCCCACACGCAGCTGCTAGCGATTCACCGCGACCGAGCGAGTACCCCTTCGAAACCAGGACATGATAGAGAACCAGTCCTTGTTGGAATAATTACGCCTGCCAGACGTAGAGACTTTGTTATATGTGAAAACGTGATAGAGGTGAGGTCGTTCTCGTATACCACTCTATGTACGCGACGGGAACCGGGTCTCATAAACCGGCGATCTAGGACAACCGGATGATTGTGCTGATTGAACGACAGACATTCTCGCGAGGATGGACAGTAACACAAGCGACGAGGGTAATCTATGGATCGTATCTATATGGAGGAAACGATGGTTAGCAATGTTCCAGCAAGCTGATCGCAACACAAACCAAGGATGCTGATGATACCGGTCTCTCCAATGGGACCGACGTGATTGTACCATTGTCGCTCTAGCAGTAGTGCCGTGTCTGGCAGATTCGCAATTTGAGAGCCAGACACGCCTTCTGCGCCAATGAAGCAGCTCATCCAGAAAAGATAAGAGGAAACGTCGATCCAGACATCGTTCGTGTTTTGTTGGCATGCGGATTGGGATCCTTGTGCATTCCTTAGTCATCCCTGCATAACCCTGCCTGTTCATCACGACTTCCCCTGATAGAAAAAGTCTAGACATCAAGTTGAATACGGGGTAGATCGACCCGAATTTTCCGTATACTCCCTTCGTATAGCATGCATGTCACATCGCCTATTCCGGAAAGACCATGCCATGGTCTCACTGCAATTTGGGAGGCTCATCCTACGGTCCCATCAAGATTGATGAAATTGGAGAGTAGACAGTGGATGCAACACGAGTCGGAGAGGACCTGGACTCCGGGGTTTGGGGGTTCAAGGGCAAATGAAACACAGTAATGGGGTGCGCTATCGGTCACTGGCTTAACCGAGCTTGTGAGTGTCGCAGGTTGATGCATGAGCCACTTCAGAATGTCGACGATCTCTACGCCATGTGGCAGGGATCGGCATCGCGGTCCCTGGATGGCAGCCCTGTCATCTCTTCAGACTCATCGCACTTGGGTAAACGATAGCTGATCTTCGTGTACCTGACCATTCCATGGCAGCTTGTGTTGCACTGAAGTGCCTTGGCGGTACATGCTCAGGGTATTACATGGGTCAAGCGGAGTGTCAGGGATTGATGCGATTGTTGGATACCTCAACCATGGCCGGCCCGAGTCGAGACCATATAAGGCTGGCATCGCGCCCGCTTCCTCATCTCCAGCAGAACAATCGAATTGTCCGATAACAACCCAAGCAAGCCAAAATGAAGTTCAACACCCTCTCCGTCTCCGCCACTCTCGCCGGCCTGGCCAGCGCTGGCCCGCTTGCCGCTCGCGCCGACGGCGTCCAGGGTTTCGACATCTCGCACTACCAGGAGAGTGTCGACTTCCAGGGAGCCTATGATGCCGGTGCCCGCTTCGTCATGATCAAGGTAGGACGGACTGCCTTTCTCCTTCACCAGGCCTATTCTCTAATGCATTGCAGGCCACCGAAGGACTGACCTACGTCGACTCGTCCTTCAGCTCGCACTACCAGGGCGCCAGCGACGCCAAGATCGCCCGCGGTGGTTACCACTTCGCCCACCCCGACGTCTCCACGGCTAAGGAGCAGGTCGACTACTTCATCAAGAACGGCGGTGGCTGGTCCGACGACGGCATCACCCTCCCCGGCATGCTGGACATCGAGTTCAACCCCAGCGGCGACAACTGCTTCGGCCTCAGCCCCGACGCCATGGCCGCGTGGGCCATCGAGTTCGTCGACGAGTACAAGGCCCAGACGGGCGTGTATCCCCTCGTCTACACCAACGCCGGCTGGTGGGCCGAGTGCACCGGCGACGCCGGTGGCCTGGGCGATAAGTCCCCTCTGGTGCTGGCCGCCTACACCGAGTCCGCCCCGTCGACCATCCCCGGCGACTGGGAGACCTACACGGTGTGGCAGTACAACGACAGCTACGAGTTCGGCGGCGACTCTGACATCCTCAACGGCGGTGAGGATGTCCTCAAGAAGCTGATTGCCGGCTAAATGTATATACTGGGGTATATACGCGGGGTTGGGGTGTATTTTTAAACAGGCTTGATGTCAAACCGTACATAGGATAACTGGACAGGATTTGCCAGTTTATTTTTATTCTTTCTATCCAATATATTTCTTTCTCTTTCTTGGATCCTGTGGCCACTGAAAACAAGCAAACATCGAAATTATCGTGTATTCATTGCTACTATTAATCGACCGCTATCTTAAATAGACTTCTACTTCCGCGCAGCCTGCCGGACGGCATCCATGATGGCGTCCGGCCCCAAACCTTGGGCATTGATCTGCTCGAAGAGGCCACCACAGCCTTCCTTGATAGCACCCAACGTCTTGTACTTGGGGCGCAGGTTGCGCTCGAGCAGGTGGGTACCCAGACGCGAGCCGAGGCCCGTCTTCTGGGCGATCGACTCGACAGTCAGAACGAAGGGGGTGGCGCCGTAGACGCGGATGGCGTCCTCGTCGACGATGTTCAACGTGGGCTTATTGACGAGGCCGATGTCGAGGCCCTCGCGGCGCAGACGCTCGACAGCGTCCAGCGACCGGTACAGCATGTCGCCATAGGAGACGATATAGCCGGCGGAGCCCTTGCGGATGAACTCCTCCTTACCCGGGACGAAGTCGTAGCCCGAGCCATACAGTTTCTCGTCGGCGCTGCCTTCCTTCAGGATGTAGGGGACCTTGGAGCGGGTGGAGAAGATGAAGCGCAGGCCCTTGGAGAAGAAAACCTTGCGGACGACGGCCTTCATCTGCTCGCCGTCAGCGGGGAAGTACAGCGTGGTGGACTCGGCATCCATGAGGCCGTTGTCGGCGAAGAAATGGTTCAGCCCGAAATGGCAGGTGTTGTCGGCGATCTCATCGATGCCGCTGTGCGAGAAGTGCGAGAGCACGGTGCAGTCGTTCAGCCGCGCCATGGTGATCTCCGAGATGCACATCTCGAGGAAGGCCGAGAAGGTCGAGAAGACGCCCTGGCGGTCGCCGTTGCTACCGAAGCCGAAGCCCGCCGCCGCGGAGAAGTTACCACGCTCCATCACACCCGACGGGATGTACACCTCGGGGTGCTTCTGATGGATGCTCTTGAGGCCCGTGGAGCCCTCGAGGTCCGAGTCGATGACCATGACGCGGCGCGCGGCCTCCTCGGAGCTGAGCTCGTCGAGGACGGAGTTGACGGCCTCGCCGAAGATGGTGCGGTTGGAGCCCTTGTCCTTGGTGGAACCCTCGTACTGGTGCGGGTTGCTCTGGGGCTTGATCTGGTCGTAGAAGGCCAGCTGGTCGGCCGAATAGCCGCGGCGGGTGAGGTACTTGCGGGCGAGGTCGACGGGGATGACGTCGTGGGCCTTGGTCTGGCCCTCGATGCCCTCGATGCCGGGTGCCATGGTGCGGTCAACGCTGACGGCGGCGGGGCCGTTATGGGCGACGACCTCGCAGATGGCGCCGTACAGCGAGTCGAGGTCCTCGCCTTGGGCGTGAACCACCTTGAGCCCGTGGCCCTTCAACGTGTTGGCCACGTTGTAGCCGTGCAGGTACTGCGAGGGGTGGCCGGCGATGGTGACGTCATTGTTGTCAATGAAGAGCTTGACGTTGAGGTTGCGCGCCACGGCGATGCGAGCCGCCTCGGCGTCGTTGCCCTCCTGCTGGGAGCCGTCCGAGCCCAGCAAGATCACCTTCTTGTCCTTGTTCTGCATAGCGATGCCGTTGGCCATCGCCCACATGTGGCCCAACCGACCGGAGCTGAACTTGACGCCCGGGGTGAGCCCCAGCTCGGGGTGGCCGGGGAGCTTGGAGTTGGCCTCGCGGTAGTCGAGGAGATGGTCGGCGGGAATCTTGCCGTCGATGGCCGCGAGCAGATACTGCGTGGCGACGCGGTGACCGGCCTCGTCGAAGAGGGCGTCAACCCACCCGCTGGGGTTGCTGTTGATGAAGGCTAGCAGGATACAGACCTCGGGGGCCGTGTCGAAGGGACCACCGGTGTGTCCAGCGACGCCACGGGCAGAACCCGTGGCTGTGAAGGCAACAATGGCATCGCGAAAGACGTCAATGTTATGCTGGAGGTCTTTCTTCTGCTCCGGGGAAAGCTTGGAGTTCTTGGGATCCAGCTGGAGCCGCTTGAACTGTGAGAGGTCGACGGGGAATTTGAAGCCCATGGTGTAGTTTTTTCCTTTTTTTTTTCTATTAGGTATATGGAAAGAAAAAACGTTTATACAACGCGAGAGCAATCCTTATATATAGGCTGCAGAAAAATCCGCAAACGACGGGGCGAAGAAAAGAACCGGATCCGGATTGACTGACCTCAGAGGGGTGATGATGTCATTTTCGCATCATGGAGGGTTTCTAGCACTGTCGCCCACATATCAGGCACAGGGGGAATTATTAATGTCGGAAAAAGGTTCACGTCTAGGTGGTGCTGTCGGAGTTTTGTTCAACTTACTCGACTCGGTATGTGGTGGGTCTCTTCGCAGTCGATCCGGTCATGATGAAGCTGTGGAGTTGCGGATGGATGACTTGCTTGCCCTAATTCATCATGATCAATGGTTTATGCTTGGACTCCCACTGGGGGATTCTTTATTTGATTTATTTCTATTTTCCTGGATATGGACATGTATATATATATTTCTATATTCAATCATTTATCGAGAGTTAGTGAACACTGGTTGCAATTGAAAGGGTGTGTCGCGACATATAATTCTACTGGGACACATCTCAGGACAAGATAGTATCTAGTTCTATATGTCGCTAGACTTATCAAACAATGCCCAGGCACTACTGCACCTTTCCTCGTGAATCCACGCGCCAGATCTCGTTAACAATACCCCCCCGGTGCGCATAATAAAAGTCGTGGAGATTCACCGTCGGATCAATATGGCTGGGAATCATCTCCACCCGATCCCCAACAGACAAGGACGGCGTCCCCTCCTCCCAAGTTAGCGACCCATGCTCATCCCCCAGGACACCATATGTATATCGAGAATCCTTGCACTCGGCCAACCCACTATCCGTCGTCAGCGACTTGAGTCCGCTATCGATGGTCACCGCCCGAGGCCCTTGCTGGCTGACAACCGTGGACAGGATCGTCAAGCTATTCGAATAGAACGTCCCCACCGCATTTCGATAGTCCGTATCCATAAAGATAAACGACCCAGGTTGCAGCTCTGTGACTCCAGGAACCGTCGCGCAGAACTCAGCCGTCCCGGTACCCCCAGTGGTGACCACTTCGATCGCAAACCCCTCCGCGCGCAACGCATCCGCCGTCCCCGTTAGGATCTGCATCGATTGTAAACACTGCGCCCGCCGATCCTCCCGGTCGTGTAAATGCTGCAGATGGCCCTCATAGCCCTGGACCCCGACCAACCGGAGATGCTTCAACCCCGCCACATGGCGCGCCAGAGCCAAAGCGGGCTCGCCGGGCTGCACGCCCGTGCGGTGCAGACCCACGTCCAGATCGATCAACACCGTGATGGGGTCGTCGACTCCTGCCGTCGCGAGCGCGTCATTTATAGCCGTCGCACCGACCGCACTATCGACCACAATGCGGATTCCCCGATGCCGACGAAACAACTCCACCAGACGGCGGACCTTGGCGGGGCCGACAATTTCGCACGTAATAAGCAAGTCGTCAAACCCCGCTGCAGCGATCGTCTCCGCCTCGCTGACTTTGGCGACGCAGCCGCCTCTGGCACCGGCGTCGACCAGCTTGCGGGCGATGACCGCGCTCTTGGTGGTCTTAAGGTGGGGGCGAATGTTGAGACCGGTGGGTAATAGCTGGTCCATGAGTTTCTTGATGTTTGCCTCGGCGGCGTCGAGATCGACGATCATAGAGGGCGTGTCCAGGTCGTCGAGTCTGTCGCCGACTTTAGGGGCGTACATAGTGATTGGAGATTCCATTGGAGGCTAGGGTGTAGAACCAGTTGGATGGTCTTGTCAGGACGCGTCGTTCTCGGGTTTCGTTAGGCAAAGAACAGACAAGGAGCAGAGGGGTGTATTTGTAAGGGGCAGAAGGACGCAAGGGGACGCCCATACCAAAGGAGTTGATCATATCAGCATGCATCCTTTCGATAGGATGCTGGTCCTTGATTCGCGTGTTATATCGGCCCCCACATCGCGGGGGTGGTGAAGGGCCCCCCCGCACTAGACGCGTTAGTGTATCTTTGTTGATATCGAGCGGGTTGAAATGCCCTGTTTGGTGTTTCTATCCTTCGATAACGGGGAGGAAGTGGGGTTATCGCACGGTCTCCAATTGACATTGATGGAGTAGTTGTAGGTTTGGCTGTAGGGTAGGTTCGTCCTTGGGGTAATATTGAATCTCGATTTACTGCAGTATCTTGGAATACGCTGTTAGTAGGTCTCCTTCGATCAGTCTGATGCTCTTGAATATTATCCACTTCATTGGAAGATAAACGATACTGGTCAGTGGGTTAGAAGAACGGAAATTGTTGTACTCTGTCGGTGCCCCACTCTTGCAATCACTGTATCCTTTTCTATGCAATGAATAGGCAAGTTACTACCACTTTTTGTAGCAATAAGAGCAAGCCCATCTTGTATCCGGGTGAAATGAGACTATATACAGTGTGAAGTTTTTCATTTCGTCCTCGCCCTTGAAAGACACCATAAATGTAAAATGAATAAAAATAAAGAGGAAAGGGACAAAAGAAATATTCGCTATATGCCATTATCCCGGTTGTCATTTGCCGGCCATTTTGTGCATTTTCCAACTCATAACTGAGTATCACGCGTAACCACGACGGGCATACGTGAAACGTCACTATCAAATGAGGTACGGTCATCGAGGACTTGGCTCGGACCCTATGAGCTCCGCCGGAGGGGGCCCAGTAGACCCTTGCATTTCGACTCTCTCGTACGGCTGAGGTAGCTCTGCGGGGAAGCCTTTACTGTCTAGCTCCCGCGGTCCGGTGTGCGGGTCATACTGCGACACGGAGGGCTGGTTAGTGGCATCTGCATCGACGGGTTGCTGTTTATTGGCGTGCTTTCTCCGGGCGAGCCAAAAGCCCAAGCACCCGACGAGGGCACAGCCCACGACGGGGCCAACCACGGCGCCCGCGATCCAGGCCCGGTTTGACCTCTCGTCGTCGGGAGGTGATTTGGGATCGCGGGATGTTGGCGTGGGTGTGGACGAGGGAATGGAGGAGCCGGGAGTCGCCTGGGCGAAAGGCGTGCGGTAAGCGTGGTAGGTCACATCGGGCCAGTTATCATTCGTTGGTTCACAGAATATGTCGACAATATGGGGTTCCGTCGCCGATGGGGACTCGCTGACTGTCAGATAGACGCATGTACTTCCCGGTTTGCTGCCAATTCTTAGAAGAGTCCGGGGAACTGGGAAGGGACATAAAAAGACCGCCGTACCAGGTGGAGGTTGAGCCGTTGTCATGGAGGACAGTGACACTTCTGGAACAAGATGTTTTCATGTCACAGTCCGCATTTATGTCCTTACAGCATCTGCCATATCCGTCCCTGGAGACATAGGTTTCGCCTTTATGGTTACAGGTGATTACCTGCCCTGTTGGAGACCTTCGGATTAGTTGTAAGGGCAGAGTCACAGGATGATGCTGAACCCACAGGTAGTTTCCTCCGTGTTGTACCACCAAGCCTGCTCGCTAGTTGTCAGAGGAGTGACTGTAGCTGTATCGTTAGCGGCCCATGCGAGCAGAGGGGCAATGAGACCGAGGATCAGTATGACCGTCATCATTCGTTCACGCCCGATGTAGACAATTCTACGCAGTGATCTCCTGGTGCGATCTGGAGATCTCTCGGCACCCGATCAAGTATGTATAGGTGGTTCGCATCGACGTTTCCCCGACGCAATATCGAAGAGGAGATATGTGTATCGAAAAGGCTCAGACTGGGGAAGGTGATTGGGGGGAAAGACCGAAGAAAAAAAAAAAAAAAAAATCAAAATACGAAAGCAAACGAGCAAAAGAAAAGAGAAAGCAAGCAGAAAAGGAAAGCTTCTAGCGGCTCTGTTGATATTAGCTAATAGTATCGTCCAGGATCGTGGAGGCGGCATCAACACGGCCATGACTATACCCATAGAAGATAATGATCACCCCATCTATAAGCAATGGGCCCTCTGTCAGGTGGGCCAATAATTGAGCCCATGCAATGCTCCTTTCGGGTATAAACGGTGTTGACCCACCCCTGCTTCTAACAAGGGGGAATATCGCAGGGATTTGACCATGATATTACCTGGCTATTGGGCCAATGTCCACACAAAGTGGACGGGAAAGATTTCTTCATTCGTACTGGACACTCTATGATCTTGTTGTTGCTATACTTGTTAATATATATTGTTTATCGCCTTTGACCGACGCGTTAAAGCAAACCGAGCAATATAGTATCCATCACAAACAGCCAACACAACGACATGAAACCGCCAAGGACTGAGTTATGAGCGTACCAGTGACTGGTCATTTATTCCCCGGACTTAGTATCCATGCCCGCGATATCACCGTGACAGTAAGCCCACACATGGGAGGCCTAACCAAGCCGCAATTCCAGTGGAGTCCGGAAACGCGTCGGTCGAACCCCAACCCCAGAGGTTTTGTCTTGAACTGAATCCAATACCATCACACCCCAGTTCAAGGCTAAGGTACACTGACATACTAACAGACCAGGATAGTAATTTCGGGGGATGAGTTCCTGGTCAGCATAGCACGATCCTTCGCTTACACTGTGGACACTGGATCCCTCCACTCTAGCACAGCCACGCTAAGATGGTCAAGAGGTTCAGCGTTGCCCAACGCCCAGTGCGAGCAACCCCTTTTCTAACACTTGGAAAGCTCCCGTTCCCCACCGCGCGAAAGATGCACCATATCTGGAGCGCCGGCGCGATCGCCGTCCGCTCGTCCCCCGATCAGGGGCACCGTCAAGTCGGTCGGTGAGCCTAATCGTTCCTACAAACTTACCCGACCATCTCGCTGTGAATTTAACGGGTTGATACCCGCGTCCCATGGCCCCGGGGGTATAACTAACCCCGTACACACGAATAATGGCCATGGGAGCTCCAGGAAGGAAGTGGAAAGCTGTGCCGTGCCGAAGGTACAGCTTTTGAGGGACTCGGTGCTCTTCTCTTTGTCTGTATTGTAGGTCTGTCGGCCTCTAGTTCCAAATATTCCTACCACCATGTCTCTTCAAATAGAACCAGGGCTAGAAACCTGACTCGTAGAAATGACTGTCAACTATACACAGTAGACCGTTCATGCTCGAACATCACTTCACCATGTGCTTCAGTCCACTGGTAGAAACAAGCACAATGTCCTACGCATCTCGATTAGCCCCATCAACGAATAGATTTGGAAAATCACCCGGACAGACTCACAATCAACCAGGTCGGAAGCAACCAAGTGCACAACCACGTCACGGACGCCATGTTCCCCCTCCAGCGCTCTCCACTCCGGCCTCCAATTGCATCGTCCACCACTCTCTGCGCATACACTGCCGTGGACATCGAGTGAGACTTGACAGTACGACCACTGGAAAGGGAAGCAATTTCTGCCGCCGCCGGTGTGTAATGGGAGGTCTCAGCCAGGTAGTTATGTTGGGCGTTGTCGAAGATCTGGGAAGTCACCAAACCAGTCATAACGGTCATGACCTTGACGCCCAACGGGGCCAGCTCGAGACGGAGAGTTTCGCTATATGTGCGCAGGGCCGCCTTCGAAGCAGCGTAGAATGCTACACTCGACACACACAAGCTGATCAGATCCACTCCACTACAACGGGCAACCAGACAGAGAAAAATACTTACAACCCCATGGCGCATACAAAGCGCCCGCAAGAGACACGTTATTGATGATCATCCCGTTGGAGGCAATAAGTAGCGGCAAAAACGTATTGGTGACGGAGACGACGCCCCAAAAATTGACATCAAAGACCTTCTTCGCCTCCTTGATATCTGTCTCGACGGCCGGAAAGTTAAGATTCACCCCGGAGTTGTTGACTAGGTAATTCAAGCGGCCGTCGCCGCTGGTTGCGGCGATGACCGTCTCCTTTGCGGCGGCTACACTGGACGGAGACTCCACGTCGAGCTCCAGCCGCGTCACGTTCGGCAGGCCCTCGAGGCCGGTCATTTTGGACAGCTTGCGCGTGGTCGCGAAGACGTGGACGCCGCGTGCATGGAACGCTTTGGCGAGCGAAGAGCCGATTCCGCCGTCGCTACATCCTGTGATTAACGCTGTGGGGAGTGTGATTGTTTTTGATTCTGGAGAGTCGCCCATGATGATGCGATTAGACGGAGACTTGGATGTCTGGGGGGTGGTTGCCCGTGCACAAAACGCAGGTACGGCAAGACGACAAGAAAATGATGAGATGAATTTAGAGGTGCCCGACAAGTTCGCCTCAATCCCCAATATCCTAGGTTCTCCACGCGAGATGAATTGCGGAAGAAGTGGAGTCGCTGAGCCTGGATGTCGTCATGGGCAGGAAACGCCGAATATATGCAGCTGACTCAGCAGCAATCGCTCATAGTTAACTAACATGTGCTGTTAATTCCTTCAAGAACACTAGACCTTATGGAGTAGGTGATGGTTGGCAGTAGGTCTTACTCCAAGGGGTGAGGATTGCTGGAACTAAATCCGGTGGTGTTCAGCAAATAAGCGGTACCGTGCTGGGATTGAAGTATATCATCCTCGAAAATGACCAGTGTCACTGCGATCTGACAGTGCGCGAGAGCTATGAGGTGTCAGTAATCACAGCTCGACGATTTAGTTGAAGAACGGTGTCGCTGAGTCAGACCACGGGTGTAGCCACGTCTGGTATGCGTCTAATTTCAATGCCACGTTAGATGGAGGCAACGTGTTTGATCCTGGTCAGCGCCAGTCATTGATCGTCTCCATCTGTCGAGATGCCAGTCAGCGATCACGATCGTGCGGCCTCGCGAGTCTGACCTCTGTGACTATGTCAAGGATTTCCAACCACGGCGTGATTCTTATATTAGGTAGGATATCTGAAGTCCTATTCCTCCCGACTAGTAGTCGGCCATGACCTGGATCCACCGATACCGATGTCATTCATAGTGGGACTCTCAGTCCCATCTGCTAAATATAGCTCCGTCTTCTCTGGGGCCTCGATTCAGGCGGAATCGACGAACGAGCATCACAGAAACAAACGGGCTGTTTTGGCGTGTACCTAGATCCAATGTCAACAGAGTATATGGCACAGGCCAGCAGGGCCCATTCCTTCCAGGGCAAAGAGGATCCACTTCGCGCGCACTTAACCCGTGAAAGTTCTGAGCAGGAACGATGCCGACTCCAAGGAACGGCCCCAAGTGAACCTTGATCGGCATGTTCTTGTATACAACGGTATGACGCTATACCTCATGGCGACTCGACAGATAGGGTCTACTCATGCGGCGCACAATCTAGACATTTCTATTCACTCCAACGGTGTATCTCTACCTGGCAGCCGCACGGAGTGGGTTCCCTCTTGTTTCTTCAACAGAGGCTAGGATGGTGATCCTGCGGTGGATTCGGCCCCAGGATAGCATCAACCCATGTAGTGGAGACGCATGCAGAACTGGGTATATAAATGAAGGATCCTAGCCTAGGAAGGTAATAGGATTGACCAGGATTGAGCCGCCGGAATGGTATTTAGTATAGGACGGATGACCTTTCGTGGAATATAGTTGATGATGCTACCGTATTCCTAGAACATTGTCATATCTGACCTGTTTCGCCTTCGGAGACCACCCCCATTCCCTAGATAGAACTAGTAGTCGTTGGCAGAATTAGATTGGGAAGTAGACAGCATACCAGACCCACCGGCAACCACAAATCTACCACGCTCACAGGGCACCTGTACAGAGCACTCTTAGTGCCCCACGATCATAAGATCCTCAGAACAACATCAACCGATAAACTGCGCAAGATGCGAAAAACACATCGACAGGATAGGAAAAGCCTCAGAACCGTAATCTGTGGACCTCGGGCCGTTTTTCCTAGTAGATTCCTATGTAGATAAGGTTAATCTCGCGAACTGAAGCACAACAAATAACATCCGGTTCTTCATATGGTCCACATTATGCGCGCCATAGATACATCAATTTTCTCGGCCTCGACAACCGGAAATGAGATGTTCACCGATTCGAATCTTTCAGTTGACGCCGCATATGATGTAGCATATCGGTGGTGCCGATATTTGCCAGGCATACTATATATAGCAGAGGTTGCCGATGATCGGGAGGTGCTGGACGTTCAAATGATCTGCATTGTACTCAGGGGGAATCGATTATTGCATATTGAATACTTGGAATAGAAAGTGGCGAGATAGTAGGTTCATCTGAAATAATTGATTCATTCTTGTGTGCCACAGGCGTCGTGACAGTCTCGTTCGGTAGCAATTGAGCATGCGATTTTAGGTTGGACGATCTATTGTTGTAGACCTGGGACAGGAAATGGACGTTTGCTGTGGATGGACATGTCCATACTATATTTCTCGGCCACTGCACCAAACTAGCTAACGGCACTTTGATCGGGCTTGATATGATTGATATCGCAGCACTATATTATCTAGATAAGTAAATATCATACAGATACTGGTGTGTCGAGTAGCTTCCATGAAAGCGTCCGTTGGTACTTTCCATCAACCATCGCCAGGGTACATGAAGGGAGAGACAGATAGTACACATGATACATACAGAATCCAACCCTGGCGGCTTCCAAGTAGACCCCAGCCTCACTGCGGTATATTCGAAAGAGAGGCATGACACGGTTTATCGCACATCCAAGATACTGCATGTCCCCGTGATCAAGAACGGCAGCCAAGTACATGAACGCAGGGAGACCCCTTGTAGATGACCGCATCCCCAACAAGAGCCAGAACGAAAAGACGATGCACTATGCACCTTGATGCGGTGCTGTAACACCAACGATTGAAGCGAAGCGACGACCAAGACTCAGAAACGAGCCTCTGGGCTATAAATCAGCGGACTTTGAAATCCCACCGGTAACGATCCATCTAGATATTAGAACCCCACGCCAGGGTTAGATCACACACGGCATCACCGGCTGTATATGGTCCGTGACCAACCATGCATGGCCTAGAACAACAGCTGTTCAGGATGTCGAATGCGACCGTCCAATAAATCATCGGTTCGCTTGGAGGCTACAGCGTCGACCAGCACGAAAATGGAACCCCGCGTTGTTCCTATCGCCCGCTCGTCAGGTGCGACAGTCGGTCTACCTATGCGTCGTTATTTCACGCAGTAAAACTCTCCCTCGCACGAAAGTGTCCCGCCCCTCGCCAGTCGCGGGTTGGGCAGGTCCACCAGGGACACGGACAGAGCCATGGTGTTGTCGGCCGGACGGGACACAAATGACCTCATAAGGACCGGCTCCCAAGGGGGGTACACTAGGCAATAATCAATACGAAAAAGTCAAAATCAATAAATACGATAGAACAAGAGAGCCACCGGGTGTGGCCGACAATAGAGTCATAATGTCTTCGGTCACATGGAAAGCCAGTCACTTGGCGAGCTCGCCTGCCCCTCCATAAGAAGAGCGGGGCAGATCTAGCGGTCAATCAGATCCATGCTGAACGTTAGGCGGACCGTGGGATGGGTGGATTTCAGACTATAAGACAGAGACACGGATGCAAGTCGGGGAGCTAGCGGATAGTCTCGTCGATGGTGCCATCGGGATGGAAGAAGGACCTAAGGTTCGCTGGCGCGGTGTTATTGGATGAGCCTGAGATGGTCGCGTGCGCTGTACCAGGGCTCGACGGTGGGAAATCTGGGGAAGCAAGGCTGCCACTGGTCTAAGCAGACCGACATCATTCATGATGTTATGCAAATGAGGGGAAGGTTGTATTTGCCAAGTAAGTTTCCTGTTCATACTTGATCATATTGGTGCTTATCATGATTGGGGACGCCGTCACATGGCGACGGGTGCCCTAACCAACAAGACATCATCCATGGGTTGAAGTGGACCGCAAGTCGAATCGGGTTGCCAATCATGGCTGGGTCATAGTTGGGTTTCTTTATTCTCTTGGACAGGTTACACCCGTGACAACACAGTGTTAACTTTGTAAGAAAGAACAGGGGCATTTGCCCAGTTGGGGAGGATCCACATCGGCTGTTGATTATGGTCTGGGATCCATCGAGTCGAGCCATCCATGCGAGGCTATCAGCAAACATCTCATCGCGCGAGGGATCATGCATCGATTCCACCCTCGACGCATGGAAGACCATCGGACAGCCAGAAAACCAACCGAGCCAACATCGCTGTGACCGTCCGAGGGTCTCGGAAGTAACTATCATCTGGTCTTTGTCTGCGATCTTGCGACCTGCGACTTGCGACCGGGGTCAGGCTGGAAGGAAGAGACGCCGATCCTCCGCACTCCACCGGGCGGACTAGTATCATCGCGCCAAGAGACGAGGAGGCGATCAACGCGCTACTTCAAGGTTCACAAGGAATAGGCAGAAAAAATAAATAAAAATGGGAGAAAAAAAATAGTTTCCGGCTCCTGCAAGGTCGGCACAAGACCATTTCTTTGTCGCCAGATGTCCGAGCAGTGTGCGGGGGATAATGCACTGAGAGGGATAATGCACTGAGAGGGGTTATTCGGAATCGCCTCCGCTTCCTGGAGGACCGGGTTTCAGGGGGAGGAATTGCTTTGCATGCTTTGTTGGCTAGGCACAGATGCCTGACCGCATCCCACTCTTGCTTACACCCATGGACTAGTCGCGATCATGATATAAATGCTCGGGGGGGCCCGGACGAGGGGGCATGGACGATCAAGGCGTCTGACTCCGATCCTGTCTTCCCCTTCTCCATCTGGTGACAAGCAGATCTGGCGTGTGTTACCTGAATCTGCAAGTTTGTCTGGTCGTGCACAATCTCCCTCCCTCCCCCTTTCCTCCCTCTATTTTTGGTTTAGGTTTGGTTCAGAGAGACATCCTTCCCGATGCATCTTCGCGTCTCCTGGCTCGTCCCCTTGCTGGCTGCGGCTGCGGATGTAGTCATCGCCTCACCGGTACAACAACACCACAATGTCGCCCGCGCCCCCACCAAGTATGCCGTCAAGACACCGCCGTTGGATACGCCGTGGACGGAGAAGGTGGGAACCAACCCGTGGACGGAGTATCCGCGGCCGCAGCTGGCGCGCAGCCCGTGGCAGAACCTGAATGGCATCTGGCAATATCAAGGCGCGTCGTCGGTGGACGCGGTTCAAGAACCGCCCTTTGGGCAGTCTCTGGAAAACGAAGTCTTGGTGCCGTCCTGTTTGGAAAGTGGCTTGTCTGGTATGATTGTCGCGATCGCGTACGAGTCAAGGGAGAAGGATAACACGGGCTAACGGCCGAATGCAGGGATCCAGGGGAAAAACACTTACTACTCCTGGTTCAACACCCACTTCAAGGTCCCTGGCGACTGGAAGGGCAAGAATGTGCTGCTGAATTTTGGCGCGGTCGATTATGAAGCCACCGTCTTTGTCAATGGGAAAGAGGCGGGCTTCAATCGCGGCGGATATTTCAGCTTCACGGTCGACATCACAAAGCACGTCGAGTTGGATAAGGATAATGAACTGTAAGTGCGGTTCAGATTCTGGGAAGAGCCCTGCTAACATAGTGACAGGCTCGTATTCGTCCATGATCCCACCGACAGCGGTGACTATGTCATCCCGATCGGCAAGCAGAAGACGGCCCCAAAGAGTCATATCTTCTACGAGCCCTGCAGCGGTATCTGGCAAGGCGTCTGGATCGAGGCGGCGCCGGCCAACCACATTGCACAGTTGGATCTCGATTCCAACATGGACGGCGAGGGTAAGTCGCGTTCCGTTCTCCCCGCGATAAATGGTCTCAGAGCTGATCACCATAGTGACCGTGACGGTACACTCGGCAACCGGAAAAAGCAGCCCGGTCGTTGTGACCGTGAATGATGGCGAAAAGGAAGCCGCATCGCACAAGGGTAATTCGGACAAGCAGTTCAAATTTCAAGTCTCGAAGCCAAAGCTCTGGTCTCCCGAATCCCCGACTTTGTATAACGTCACCGTCACCCTGGGCGATGACGAGGTACAGAGCTACACGGGCTTCCGTACGATCGCCAAAGGCGAGGTGGGAGGCATCGTGCGCCCGATGCTGAACGGCGAGTTCACCTTCATGTTTGGTACCCTGGACCAGGGGTACTGGCCCGATGGTCTGTACACGCCGCCTAACCGTGAAGCAATGGTATACGACCTCAAGGTACTGAAGGGGCTGGGTTTCAACATGGTTCGCAAGCACGTTAGTCGCCTATCTTGCTGATTTATGCGCGATCGTGGCTAACCTCAAATAGATCAAGGTGGAGACGGCGCTGTTCTACCGGGCATGCGATGAGCTCGGTCTCCTCGTCATTCAAGACATGCCGTCCCCGCGACCGCTGCAGAACAAAAACGGCCAGACCATCCTCCCCAATGAGGCCCAGCAGAAGGAGTTTGCCCGCCAGTTGGACCTCCTGGTGAACCAACATAAGAGCTATCCCAGCGTTGTCACCTGGGTGTGTATCCCCCTCCCGGTCGGACAATTCGACATTGCTGACGTCGGCACAGGTGATCTATAACGAAGGCTGGGGCCAGATCAGGTTCCCCTATCCCGAGTTTGAATTGACGGAGCGTGTGCGAAAGCTGGACCCCACTCGGTTGATCAGTTCGACATCGGGCTGGCATGACCACGGGGATGGTGATTTCAGCGTATGTGCCTCGGCGTCTTGCACCGTACTATATCCTTTCCGTGGACAGTGAGCTAACAACACCAGGACAATCACCATTATGCGAACCCCCAGTGCGGCACGCCTTTCTACTCCCTTGACTCGAGTCCGCACGACTCATCCCGGATCGGATTCCAGGGCGAATTCGGCGGCATCGGCCACAACGTGTCCATCGAGCAGTAAGTCCCGAGTCCCTGGTTATAGCATGTTTATGGTAACTGACCACCGAATGAAGTCTGTGGAATGAGCCGGGTCCCATCAATGAAATCAACCGGACGTACGAGATCGACACTACTCTGGACGCGTGGAACTACCGCGGCCACGTACTGCTCACGGAGCTGCACGATCAGATCGAACGATTTGAGTGCAGCGGCGGCGTGTGGACGCAGACCACGGATGTAGAAGGCGAGACAAACGGTCTGATGACATATGACCGTCGGATTAAGCGCGTAGACGAGGCACAGTGGAAGGCAGACATCAAGGCGTTGTATGATGCGGCCAAGGCTAGGGTATAGCGGGGTGTGGCGTCGACCGTGGCATTATACCACAACGCATGTTGTCGTTATCTCTGTTCATGAATATATACTAGGTTGAGTATATAGTGCCTTCTTTTGCTTTCATGAAATTAATTTTAAACCAACCTGTTGTTTTGTTCCCAGTGACCTGCGGGGCAGAGCTATGATATTAAACAGGCGGGATACAGTATCAATAAATACCCGGCCAACCAGACTGATCAAGGTGTGCTAGCAGGCCACGCAATCCCCCGTCGCTAGCGCTGATCTCCACGATTACTGCCCGAGGAAGGGTGGTACGCCTGCATGTATATTCGGTGGAATCGGATTGGCGACGTGGTCGGCATGCCATCGGATGATGAGTGAAAAGTGTCAGCAGGTGGACGGGCAGATGTAACCCAGGGAAACGCCAGAACCAATAACGGGTGTGAAGGACGTATTGTGCGCATACTGTGACACTATGCAGGCCAGAGACATGGCGTCCTCGGGGGACAAAATGGGTGTCATTCATTGTGTGAGTTGACAGAATATAACGAGGGCGTCGTCACATTCCAGGGTTAGGGCTCACCATGCTTGTTCTTCCGACCGGGGAACGATCGGCGGGAACTGATCATTGATCTTGCATCTATTGGACCCTTGTTTGGGGCGGGTGAAGGAAGGAAAGCTTTTGTTTGTTGTGGGATATTCTAGGCGTGTTGCACGATTTGATACCCAGGCCCATCATCTAGACTGGCAGGTTGGGTAGTCTGCTGTATTAATTGACCGGCTCTGTGCCTACAGCGGATTGTTTTGATGTATGCCACGGCTTGGGGCATGACTGTATATGTAGCGTCCCATCTGAAGCGCTGCCTGTGGTTGATGGCTGTTGATGAGCATTGTCCGGTAAATGTAGAAATAGACTGACTCCCTTTGTCCCAAGCTGGCCTCCTTGATCCACCTCGTATCCGACATGGCTGGATCATGGCGATATATCTCGATTCGTATCAACGCTCTTGTAACCCCCAGGCCCGTCCTGTATGCGTGTGTTGTTCTTGTCTTGGATATTGCCCACGGTGATGTTCAAACCAGCCCGACAGCGGCAAGTACGGTCCTTGGGCACATTTTTCCGCTGGCAGTATGATGCTTCCGGTCAGCCTCAAACACACCACGCTACCGAAATAACCCCTGTTCTTTTCATGGCATTACTTTTACCATTCATATTCTCACTCGCTTGAATTATGGTCCAGGCGACTGGCCCAAACGTTGCTCGCACCCCCTTCACCGGCCTCATTCGATATCTTCTCCTCCATGGCCACATCGATCCGATACAGGAAGATGATGGCTTGCCAAGTTTTGATCAGCTTATCATGAACTCTCTGGTTTTGTCACCCACTGAAGTATTCTGTCAGCGATTCACACAGGTTATGGGGATTGATCGCTGCCCGAGAGATGGTGCGCGCGGTCTATGTCGACACCATATGCGACGATGTCCGCATCGTCTCGGTCCTGCTCTCCACCATTTTAGTCAATAGCACCCCTTACCCCACAAGGCCTTTGGCGATCTGCCAACAGTCTGGCTCCAGCCGTGCTCGCGCACCCTCAGACATTTGACACTCTCGTCGACCCAATACTTCGGCTTCTTCCCTCGGCTTCCACTTCAGGGCGTCAAGTTCGATCGGCTGCAGGCTCTGTCACTGTCGAAGTTTACTTTTGGCGAACCCTCGACGTTGCGCTGGGTCCTCTCCCATGAAGACACCTTGACTGAGCTCTCTCTTGATCGATTCGCTATAATCTATGCAGCAACTTTCCGCCCTGACATATTAGACGACTTGCACCCGGAGGGCTTCGATGTGGACAGAGACCACGGTGGACATGTGCACATAACCTACGATGGACGGTGGCATGCGTGTTTTGACCTCCTCAAAGTCAGGCTTCCACATCTGCGACGTTTCCACTTTGGCCTGTGTGTGAAGGATTGGCGTGATGGGCGGACGTTGTTTGCTCGCGAGGGGCACATCGACCCGGGCTTTTATGTCAAATTGTATATGGTCTATCGCAGTGGAGGATTCGGATACACCACAGTGTGTGGGTTCACAGAAGAGCGGTATATAAGCAACCCCGAAGGCTGGACTACGGGTTGGGAAGCCTTTTTGAGCCTGCATACGACTGTCTGCCGACGCTGTGCTGGTATTGAAATTTCTGAAGAGACAATGTGTCCTAGGATTGGGACTCCTGAAGATATAGTTCGCGGTCAAGAGGACGATACTGGTTAAGGTCCATGTCGTCGTATAAGGACCGTACGGAAATGCCCTTGATGATCCTTTGGAATAGTTTCAATAAGATATGTGGTGATATCACTAGTTGGTTCAATATTATCCTGTGTTTGACAGCTGGGGTTGATCATGCGATCGAAGTCTTGCCCCGATGTGAGGTGACTTTGCTGATCAACAACGTACCAACTGGCAAGACACCGGCTTTTACATCAAAGCTATAAGCTGGATAATACATATCGACAGTTTCAGAAGATGCCATCGACGCATAGGACGAAAAGTGACTATCCTCCAACTGACTTCTACCATCAAGAAAGGACTATCACCATAATCAGTCATCAACATTTCTCTATGCGTCTCACAGACATACTAGATTCACTAGAAACAGTTAGGACCAGTGGTGGGTGAATGAATGTAAGCATATCCTGTAGCTCTGTGGCAACACACCTACCTATCCAACATTCCATCCAGTCTAGAGCAATCCTGATCGCAGTGATTATGGAACCAGGTGGGGACGGCACGATCCAGACCCAGTGATATCATTCTGGTCATGATCCACAGGGGAACCAATTCTCCTCTTGTACTTGACGTCGATATCAGTTCCCCATCACAGCCCGTTGGATCGAACATGTCTAGTACGGTGTAGCCGATTCCCGGCATAGCACGTGCATCCTGCATACCCACATAACAGCGGTGAACATGCAGACACGCCGATCACTGCAATAAATCCATGCAGCAACAGTAGAGGCGCAAAGCAAGGACCGCTATTGCAGACATAACAGTGAGGATAAATCAATCCAGACAGTATTGACAATTATCGCGATGAAAACACATAAACAAAACAAAAACAAACCCGAGATATGGCCCAATCGGCAGGATGAGTTAAATCCCCCAATCCCGTCCCCGCACTTCTCTATCGTCTCCTTCCCGTCTCTCCAACTTCAACCACATCCACCATGGGCCAGATTCTCAGTCGCCTTCGCAATGCCTACCACGATATCCAGGCAGTGTTGGCGGAGCTCTCTACCACCGCCCGCCAATTCGAAGCATTGTTGTCGCGGATCTCCCAGCGAACATTCCCACCTCCCAACCCCACCATCTCTTTCTGGCAGCAAAACCCGCCATTCCCCAACCTGGTCTCCATCGCGTCGGCAACCCTCCCCGCACACGCAGACATCGTGATAATTGGGTCCGGGATTTCCGGCGCAAGCATAGCCTACACCATCCTCACCGCCCGATCCCGCAGCAATGACCTGAAGCACCACCCACCGCGAGTGGTCATGCTCGAAGCGCGGAATGTGTGCAGCGGCGCGACGGGGCGCAATGGCGGACACATAAAGCACAGCGCGTACACGGACTACGCCGGCTTGAAGAAACAGTTCGGGAAGACGCGCGCAAAAAGCGTTCTCCAGTTCGGGAGGCGCCATCTGCCGACGCTGCTCGAATTAACCCGAGAACGGAAGGATCTGGAGATTGCGGAGGCGAGGGAGGTTGAAACGGTGGATATATTCACCGATCGCGATATGTGGGCAAAAACGAAGAAGATGGTGGAGGAGCTGAGAAGGGAGGTGCCTGAGGCGGGAGACGAAATTTCCGTGTATGAAGGGGCGGAGGGGTGTGAGGTACGTACCGCCGCTCAAGACCTGCACGAAGGGTTGTCACTACCCGCGGAGACGTGCGAAGGCTCATGATGGAGTAGAAGTATAACGTCGGTGTCGACCACTGCGTCGGGATCATCACGTATCCGGCCGGTGCGATGTGGCCGTATCGATTTGTCACGGCCCTGTTATCCGGCCTGCTGGCCGACTACAGCGAGTCCTTCGCCATCGAGACCAACACCCCCGTGACGGAGGTCCAAACCAGCCCCACTGGCGCTGGACATGCGTACACGATATATACTCCCCGCGGACACATCAGCGCCACGCAGGTGATCCACGCCACGGACGCGTTCGCATCGAACCTTATCCCCGGTCTGACGGGCAAGCTTTTCCCCGTGCGAGGGCACATGTCGGCGCAAACCCCGGGGACGCAGTTCCCGGGCCTCAACGGTGCGCGGTCGTGGGGAATAATTGGGAATCGCGGATTCGATTACATTACGCAACGGCCTGCGGCCGGAGGTGGACAGCTGATGGTCGGCGGGGGGATGGTGCAGTCTCCCGAACGGGGGATCGACGAGTTTGGGATATGGGGAGACAACCGGCTGAGTTATCCCGTGCGCGCATACCTCGAGGGCTTAATGCCGGCAGTCTTTGGGGAGAAGAACTGGGGCCAGGATGCGGACGGTGGGCGGATGAAGCATGTGTGGAGCGGGTCCATGGGGTTCACGGTGGATCTGCTGCCCTACGTCGGGAGGCTGGACCCCAAGCTCACGGGGCGCAAGCTGTCCAAGAGGAGTCGCTGGGATGGCTCGCGCAGTGCGGGGGAGTGGATATCGGCGGGGTTTCAAGGTGAAGGCATGGTCCTGGCATGGCTTTCGGGCGTGGCAGTGGGGTTGATGGCGATGGGGATGGACAAAGTCGACATGGACGCTCGACCGGGAATGCCGGAGGGTAAGGTGAGTGACTGGCTCCCACGGGAGTTGCTTTGTTCGAGACAACGCGTCGAACGAGGGAGTGTGTCCCAGTTGGCGACGATGCTGTAGATTCTAGGTGGGTGTGGTGCTGGTCATCTCGCTGATACCCGATGTTTCTACAAAGTCATGGCCTCATTAAGTGGGGGCCGTTTTGACGAGATGAATGATCCAGCCACGTAGAGGTAGACAACTCAGAGATAGACATCGACACGCCATGGACCATAAAGCTTCCCCGCCAACCAGATCCAGAGATGACCTCACGGTAAAGCTACACATCTGCCCTGTGGCCGCCCGAGCAACCTAATAAACACATCCAATCAGACCGTTCCATCGATCCAAGTGTTGACGGCGTGATCTGTAATGGAACGGCTTACTGTCCTCCGGGCGAGTCTGTGCTGGTCCCCACCTGGAATCCGTCCCTGCGTCTTAACCTTTGAATTATATCAGAGCTGCGGAATAAACCTTGAAGTGTGAGGGGGAAAGATTCGTGACCTCAGGCTCCATCTGGCCAGTTGGCAGGCAACGGTCAAGGCAGGAAACACGTGATCCCCCTCTTTCTTTTCCCTCCATTTTTCTCTCTTTTTCACGTTTTTTTCTTTGTTTCTTTCCCCTCATCTTCCCTCCTTCATCAGTATCATCCCTGTCGTTGACGGGTAGAAATGGCCTCTTTCCATCAATTCAGAAGATCCAGACTGATTGAGTGGTCAGAACAAAGACAGATTTGCCCAATGTCAGATCGTTGATTTGGGACAGGCCTGACTGCATCCACGGTTGCCCCATACCCACCCCCGGATTCATTGGCGGTTCTTAGTGAGCTCTGGAGAGGGGTTAGGATTAACTCTGCCGTGGCTGAATGGCTGAACGCCAACGGCCCCCAACCAGTCGGCCATCGCCGCTTGTCTCGCTTGCTCAGCGTCGCAGCCCTCTAGCGCTTCCGCTAATGCCGGGGGATGGTTACAGTGACATGGGCAGGGCCGCCTATGCCTCTCATCAGGATTGCGCCACTGCGGTCATTCCCGCCTTGACCTCGTCAAGCTTTAAACCTTCAGATTGGTGGCGTGTAAATCATGGTGTGAAGAGCTCAAGGATGGGAACGGGGGTGGAACAGAGCTGGAGAGAAAGACAGCGCATGGCTTCAACGACACCGCATCATGGACACTGGACCAGAAGGGTCTGTTTCTCGTCCCCACGCTCGATTCATGAGTCAGCCTGGGGAGGTCCACTGTCGAACCACTCTCTCCGTGATCTGGGGTCTGGGGTCGGGGTCGGGCCCATCTGACACCCCTGCCCCATCACCAATGAGACGAACCGCTAGACTACAGTTCAATGTCCGGCTAACCACTAGTCGAAACAGAGATTAATCCTTCTGTTAAACAAGCCAACCAGGATCGTGATCCGAGTCATTTCTGATTCGATGCAACTTCGCCATTGCTCGGGTCCACCAATAACCGGCGGTCCATGACAGCCACCGGACACTGTCAGGAGATGCGTTGACCCGTTCCAAAGATCCAGTCTCATCCGCTCATGCGGTGAGCTTCTCAGCTGCGGGGGTACCGTCCGTCCCATCTGGGGGTTCCTCCGACCGATCTGTCCCGATCGAGGTCTCTATAATATTGGCCTCCCCCTCCCTGCTGCGGACGAAAATTTTCGTGGACTGCTGTTTCTGCTCCGATCTGTCGCTCGGGATCGTCTCGCCTGTCAATCGTGTCCTGCGTCTGTCCAACTGCCTCGGGGCTGCCCCGTCATAATCATGTTGGTCGGTAATATTTATGTGATTTCGGCCATCGCCGTCGTGGGCGGTGGCCTCTTTGGGTTCGATATTTCGTCCATGTCCGCCCAGCTGAATGAACAGTCCTATCTCTGCTACTTCAACCAGGGTCCCAAGGGCCCGCCCTTCACTGATGAAAAGTGCTCCGGTCCCCATACCATGGTGCAGGGTGGTATCACCGCTTCCATGGCTGCGGGTTCGTGGCTGGGTGCGCTTATCTCCGGTATTCTGTCCGATCGACTAGGACGCAAGTACACCATCATGATCGGCTGTTTGATCTGGTAAGCCCGATGCATTCTCCAAGAACGAACTCAGAGCTGATTGTTTTAGGATTGTCGGCTCGACTATCATCTGTGCCTCCCAGAACATTGGCATGTTAATCGTTGGGCGTGTCATCAACGGTCTGGCCGTGGGTATCGAGTCGGCCCAGGTGCCGGTGTATATTAGTGAGCTAGCGCCGCCGTCCAAGCGTGGTCGCCTGGTCGGTGTGCAGCAGTGGGCCATTACGTGGGGTATCCTCACTATGTTCTAGTATGGTCTTTGTCCTCCACCCGTGGCCATACGCACTGACTGACCTCCCGCAGTATCTCTTACGGATGCTCCTATATTGGCGAGAAGGACTTCAGGGGATGGAAGGCCGCCGCGTGGCGCGTTCCCTGGGCCCTGCAGATGATTCCCGCCATATTCCTGTTCCTTGGCATGATGGTCCTCCCCGAGTCGCCACGTTGGCTGGCACGCAAGGATCGCTGGGAGGAGGCCCAGAGTGTGCTGGCTCTGGTTCACGCCAAGGGCGATCTGCATCATCCGTTCGTGGCACTCGAGCTGCAGGATATTCGCAACACGTGCGACTTCGAAAGTCAGAACCGTCACGTTACCTACTTGGATCTGTTCAAACCCCGGATGATCCACCGGACCGTGGTCGGCCTCTTCATGCAGATCTGGTCTCAGCTGACCGGCATGAACGTCATGAGTACGTTTCCCCCATCACCCTAGACCCGGGTGGCCGTGGCTGACTAGCCAGTGTACTACATCACCAACGTGTTTGCGATGGCCGGGTACAGTGGCGATGCCAACCTGCTCGCCTCGTCGATCCAGTACATCATCAATGTAATCATGACGCTGCCCGCGCTGATGTGGATGGACCGCTGGGGTCGACGACCGACGCTCCTCGTCGGCGCCACGTTCATGGCCATTTGGATGTACGCGAATGCAGGTATCATGGCCACCTACGGCACCGTCGTTGAGGGCGGAGTCGGCAATGTCGCGGCCCAATCCATGGAGGTCAAAGGGCCGCCATCCAAAGCGTTGATCGCGTGCACCTATCTCTTTGTGGCGTATGTCTCCAGGCTCTCCGACAATGCCCGCCGTACTGATGTCGTTTCATAGATCCTACGCGCCTACCTGGGGCCCCGTCAGTTGGGTCTACCCGCCCGAGCTGTTTCCCCTGCACCTGCGCGGAAAAGGTGTCTCGCTGTCCACCTCGGGCAACTGGGCCTTCAACACAGCGCTGGGATTATTCACCCCCGAAGCCTTTGCCAACATCAAATGGCGGACGTACCTTGTTTTCGGGATCTTCAACACGGCCATGTTCTTCCACGTGTTGTTCCTCTTCCCCGAGACCGCCGGCAAGACGTTGGAAGAGACCGAGGCCATGTTCGAAGACCCCGACGGGATTCCGTACATCGGCACTCCGGCGTGGAAGACCCGCATCTCGACCCACAAGGTGGCGCAGATGGAGCAAGGCCACGTCGGTGATTTGGAGGCCAAAGCTGTGCCGGGATCGGCTAGTCCCGGGGTGGGCCAGGAGAGCGGAAGCAGTAGCGAGCCGGGGATCGGGAGCGGGAGCGGGAGCGGGAACGGGACTAAGACCAAGGAAGGCTGATGCCTTTCCTTGGCTCTAGTCGCTAATGGAAGCGGCAGTGCGATGGTGGGGTGGGGTGTACGAGAGGGTCTAGGTAGTCTGTGCGGCGGCTCTAGAATGCAAATATCCGACCGGTTGCATTGCTTGACTGCATTCATTGTTTCAGTGACTGCCTGTCTCACCTATGATGGAATTTCTGACTGTCAGGACCTAATGATGAGTGAATGGCGGGTGGTCTTTCATGGTGGTCTTTCACCTCTGTAATCATAATATCAATCCGTTTGCTTGTGACTCACCACTGGGTAAGGGGTAGGGTATATATACTACGGTCTTTTCCATCTTTTGCCATTACCTTCATCATTTTTCCCCTATATCTGAAGACTTATCCCCAATCATATTATAATCTACCTCTCGACCTTCAGATGCTATATTATATAATACCATCTCCCTTATGCCGTGTAAAGACTTACCGTCCACACGCGAATATACCAAAACCCTATACATCCAAACACCCGGACGCCTAGACCCACCCCGATATACACCTACGATATATCTTCAAATGCTCACCAAGAGCTTTGACATGACTCAAAACACCGATGCAAGGGAATCAATAATAGAAGGCATAATATGCTGAGTGGACGTGGAGAACACCGAAAGACCAAAGAAATTAACAGAAGCGCAAGACAGCTGCGGCACGAGCTATATTTACACCGGTCAAAGCCTTATATGAGCCATTCGTTCCCTATCCCAAAGGAAACATTGTGGAAGTCTTCGCGGCAACAACCTAACGCACTGAGTCAGTTCCGAAATCCAAGCGTGGTAAGGGATATGGCAATGCAGGTCATCCTGGTTTATACATCCATGGACTATCAACCATTCGAGATCTTGTCTATCGTTGAAGTATGGCATCCCCCATCCCCCGCTCTTTCAAACTACGTCCGAGATGCCCACTGTCCTCGTCTCTTACATACAAATAAGACAGATCAAGACATGTGTCGCTCGCCCTGACTCGATCTCACGTACCCCTACGACCGGGAGCAGTTGACTCCTTTGGGTCCGCACCAGAACAGCCTCCTTGCACCTTGCGTCAAGCCGCAGAGGACGAAGTACACTCTTCGTCTGTTCACATGACTGGCAAAGGGAATACGGCCCTTCGTGGGCTGTGCCATGCCGACGTTAAGAAGGCAGTTGGCATATTGCCTTCGCTATATCGTTATCTGGCCCGACCCGGCACATCAATCGAGGAGGCAATTTCACTTTTAGGGATTGGCTTAGGGTAGGTATGCGCACATGATGTCATCTCTATGCTTTTGTAGCCACAAATGAAGAAAGAAGGCTAATTCATGCAGCTTGATCTACGGTCATGATGCGTCTTACAAGGCTCTACCGAGCTGAAAACATTGTCCTACGGTCCCAACTGTTAACCGGAAACTGAGAGCATCTGGACCGGCCCTTAAAGGGTCGCCATCGTATTGCATACCCCGCAATCAAGGCCGTCCTGCGCGCTGCCAGCAAGGGAGCCCTGCGCGCACAAGTACCTCCACGTCTAATAACTGGGGCAGACACCGCGCTTGAGCCTGCGGATACTACGCCTGAATATGCGGCTACTGCGCCCGAAGCTGTGGATATTACTATGAATGAGTTGGCAGCCCCCACCCAAGACTCTTCATCTTACAAGGGCTTTGATCCCACTGCAAACGTTTTTATGCCCATGCAAGAAGATTTCCATGTGTCCAATTGGGGTCAGGGTCAATGGCAGGGTCAACATATCTTGTATCTGTTTTCTCCCTCTTCATTCCTGCCCTATTTTCTTGGTAATATTTAATCAGTGGATTTGATCGATCCCGCATTAAAACAACCATGGCCGGGCTTTTTGAGGCGTGGTTTTCATTCCCTTTCCTCCAACGCTATGTGTCGTACGCCTCTGTTTAAACATAAGACGGCACACGGATGTTCGGACAACGCCCGTCGATGGGAAGCTTCGATGGTCGGGGAAGGCATATGCTTTTCAATCGGAGAGCTCAGGCGCCTGGCTCGTATAATTATGTCATGCTGGGCTTGACGAAGTGAAATGGCAAGACGGGTTTGTCAACTGTGTTCTACCACTGCTTCGGAGACACAGAGCTATACACCACTTCCACTGGTCATAATATCGGGGTGGTGGGCTGCTGTATTCCTAGGGCAGCTAATAATCTGCAACCTCAGGACTTGGCAATTGGTCCTTGGTTATGAGATGTCTGAGTTTGGAATGAGAACTCTCTAGAATACCCGCCGTCGCATAGCGCCTGATACACAATCGTTTGGATACCGAAACAAACACTGTCATGATAATAACGTCAACGGTCCGACAGATTTTACCACTTATCGGTTATATCCATCGTTCGCATATTGCGACAGAGACCTGGGCATACTTTCTCTAGGGAAGGAAAGCGCATCAGAAACAAAGGATCCCAAGATCACAAGCCAATGTCATGTGGTGGCTCTCGTAGAGGGCCTGGTCTTATCTTGCGTCGATACACCGACCAGACTACACCATCTGGGGTGGCTCACTGCACAAACTGGTTGATCGTCGTTTCCGCCAACGGCTGCGCTTGGTGGACTACAGGTTTTTTCTGGCAATCCACTAATCAGGACCAGCACAAACACTGCCTCTGAAGAGATGCCGAAGGGCGAGATACCTGGCGTATGACACGCGGAGACTACGTTACCTGTAACGCGTTCAGGGAGAGGAGGGAATTTTGTTGACGCTAGGTCAACGACGAGGCTCCTGGTCTTTTGCCAATGGCCCATTGCCGTCTGGGTAGTGATCCTTTCTTAAAAGAGCTGAGTATTCTCTACCGTGTCATCTATAGCTAGGCTACCCACGCCGCGCTAGCCGATATGGCGAGCAAATCTACGGACCCTGACTCGGACAGCCGCGTACTCGTCACCACGTACGCTTGTAGGGCATTGGGCCTCGACTGGCAATCCGACTGTCGAGAGGCGGTTCCCATGGAGACCCCACAAAACTGGTCTATGCTCATGCAGGCAATCGGGCGCCTCCATTGCCTGAGGCAGACAGAAGCCCAGTTCGACTGAATACTGTTTACGGAATAGGCGGTTGAAAGAAGACTGGAATACCTCGTCCTGGTAAGTTGCCACTACTGGACCTACTTATTAAAGTGGGGAGAGAGATACATGTGGTTGCTTGGGTAATTAGGGCATGGCCCAAGGATACACCAGTCAATAGTATTCCAATGATAACGATCTTTGGCGGGGTGATCCAGATGTCAACGTTTTGTTATAAATGGCTTTTTCCTTCGCGTTGAAGTGCCATGTTCATCTTCGATTACACCCTCCTCGGAAGGCAAGTAGCTGTTTGTGGGCGCAGGCACTGGTTTGATACGACAGCCTTGTCCTTTGTCATGTATATAGAGGATTGTATCTACTCAGTCAGGGTCTCAAACATGAATTGACTATATCAACACTAGACAAATGTGAAACAGACTTGAATTGGCATCAAAATCATGATCGTCAGGGTATAAACTAAATCTTAGCCTCCCCCTTCAGACCCTTGTAAATCTCCTTCTCTACCCCCGCCCACAGCTCAAACACCTTCAGATCACCAAACGGAAAGACCTGGGAGGAGACCATGCCGGCCACGCCATTTTCCCGGTCACACCACCAGTATAGGTTAGCAACGCCCGACCAGAACACCGTCTGTCGCGAGCGGCCCGTATAGCCACCGCTAATCATGAAGCTGAGGCCCCAACCTTGCGGATCGTCCGGTGTGGAGGGGTACAAGCCTGTGCTGGCGGGGCACACGTGCGGCTTACAGGTGATCATCTCCTTCTCGCGTAGGGGTGGTAAGTGGGCGATCTGGTTCTCGAACATTTGTTCGACGGTATCAGGGCGGAGAATTTGCCGCTTGGTGGTTGGGGATGTGCCGTTGTTGAGGAGCACGGCGAGGATTTCTACTAGGTTAGTGTCTGCTCATACATTTGAAGGGCGGTTAAAACATACGGCAGTAGTCGCGTGGAGCAGCGAAACCACCTCCGCCGCCGCTGTGGAAGAAAGGCTTGCCGTCCGTTTCGCTTCCCACCGTCAACGCGCGGGGTTGGATCGGGTCGATGGCCGATATCTGGCCGTCAGGGGCACGGGCGCTCATATGCACGAGCTTCTGCTTCATGGCCTCCGTGGGGATCAGGCTGATGTTTTCCAGGTCAAGCGGCTGGAAAATGTGTTCGTGGAGATAGTCGTTCAGGGACTGGCCGGTCACACGCTCGAGCAGCACGCCCGCCCAGTCGATGTTGATCTACGCGGTTAGTGCGGCTTGAGATTATGCGGCGATCGTACTCACTCCGTATCTCCACTGCTCCCCGGGCTGATGGACCAAGGGCTGGAGGAAGCCTTCGAGGGAGTTGGACATCTCGTCGAAGCCCGTCCGCTGACTGTGCTCCAGCAACTGCGGGTGCATGAACGAGTAGCCGAAGCCAGCTGGTGGTGTCAGTACGACAATATCTCCATCAACCGAGCGCCGGGTCACCCACCAGTATGGCAGAGCAGCATTCTGAGGGTGATGCCCCGCTTCTTATCGACGAGCGTCCCGTCAGGTTGCAGCACCTGCACGGCCTTCAACTCGGGGCAGTAGCGCTCGACCTGGTCAGAATCGTCGAGAGATAGAAGCCCCCGTTCGACCAACTGCATGCAGGCAACGCCAACAATCATCTTAGTACACGAGGCAATCCAAAACACATCGTCCACGGACAAGGGCTCGGGGTGTCCGTGGCCGCGGGTACCGCTGGCGCGGGAGAAGATCTCCTGGCCGTGGCGGTCGACGGCGACGACCACCACTCCGGGGACACCATTGTCTGCATTGGTGGCCTGGTCGACGAGGTGCTCGAGACGAGCGGTCGTAGTAGGCGGAAGGGGGGACGTTGCGACGGTCATGATTCAAACTGGGGTGGTTGGTTGTTGAGAGTAGTGGCAACGTGGAACCCCGCGAGGAGACCTCGGTTATATAACGAACTACTGCAGTGGGAGACAGCGGTCCGATCGTGGATATGTCATCCACCAGTGTGGATCCTGGAGGATTGGATCTGGGTCGAGATAGGTCATGATCGCGAACTGTTCCTACTTGGTATTTGTATATGCTAATTGGGACTCTGTCGAGAGGTACATCCGATATATATAAATAGGATTGTGGCGTTCATCTCGGGATGTTCCACTTTATTTTAGGGATCATATCAACCTCATGACACCCTACGATGAGCAGAATGTATATATTCAATCACACGGTCTCTCAGCCATGTCGATCCTGGATGCTGAAGAATATCTATCTACTATACAACTAGGTGGTGGGGAAGAGTGCCTGAAGACGCGGAGAGGGGAGCGGACGCCTCAGGTATCCACAAAGATCACGGGACTCAGGGACCGGGTGGGGTTCCCAATCGGGTTAGTCTATTCACAACCCACCAATGAAAAGAAATAATCACCATCTAGACTGCCAAGCCCCCTCCTCACTGGTGGATTCCAACCCACCTAGCCCAAATAGGCAAAATGCAAACTTGGCGGCCACCCATTCAAACCATTCAAACCATTCAAACCATTGTCACACATGGCGATCCTTATCGACTTCAGCTGAACACTCTGAGCTTTCTCCTCATTCATCTCTCTCCCATCGCTTTCTTGATTTCATCCGATCCTACCTCCTACCCTGCAACTTGTCCATCGTCTGGTCGTCCTGGGTATCGTCATGTGGCCGGTTCTTCCTCTGACTCGCATATTGTGCTCGACTGGTGTCCACCGCTGAACCGTCGGGGATGCTACTGCTGGGTCCCTTTACCCCGTGAGAATGCCCGGGGCCCTTGACAATAGCCTGTTGGGATTCTGGCAACAGTTATTGCGTATGTTATCATTCCTTGCTCCTCTCCCGGCTACGGAGATGGAGGGGAGACCGTTATGATGAGAGGGAACACGGTCGAGGACGCGAGTGACCTATTTGGGCCACAATGCTAATACGCCGTATCACTAGGACGCCATTTCCCGCCCCCTCCTCCAGCATGGCGACCCTTTGCTCTCCGTCCGCGCTATCTCTGCTTCCTGGGAGCCCTCATGTTCGTCCTCTTGATCACCCTGGATATTCTACGCCGCTACAGCCGCGACCATGCCGGCATCGTCTATTTCCGAAGCACCGATGACCTCTCCAACGTCCAGTCGTTCGCCTACAACTACGTGCCGATCATTCTCGCGCTCGTCCTTGTCATTCTCTGGTCATTCGTCGACTTCGATGTCCTTCGCCTCGAACCGTACTTTCAGATGGCCCGTCCGGACGGCGCCCCGGCCTCCGTGCTCTTCATCAACTACAACTTCGGCCAGACCTTTCTCACGCCCATCACCTCCGCCAAGCGGGGTCACTGGGTCGTCCTGACCGTCTCCGTGCTCACCCTGCTCACCCGCATCTTTCTGCCCGCCCTGCAGAGTACTCTGCTGGAACTCCGCGAGGTCAGTGTGACGGCCAGCAAGGAGATGAAGATCTGGCCGCACCTGGTCCCTCCACGCGCTCAGGGCCGCTGGATCGCTGCCCAGGAGCAGAACAACTTCGATTCCGCTTACGCCAAGACCGATGACCTCCACCGCTCGCGCTCCGCCGACTTCGCCGTCGCCCCGGTTGAGATTCCCGCCAAGGACCCCCGCGAGAGCACCCTGTGGTCCGTCAACCAGACCATCTACTGGTCGCAGCTGGCCTGCCACGACGTCATGCACGAGGATCGGCTTCCTGTCGCCGTCAACGAGACCGTCCCGGAGCATCCCTCCGTCTCGTGGGCGGTCGATGGCGTCCCTCTGCCGGGCTCGGGGACCGAGGACGAACCGGACCCCTGCACCGTGGACTTCCACTACAACAGTATCATGTACCCTAGCACCGATTTCATGCAGGTCCGCTACTGGGAGCCCTCCCGGGCCGATGCGACCGTGGACCCGGATGTCGGTCGTCGCGCCTTTGCCGCCCGCCGGTGCAGTCCGTACGACCTCTACGGGGTGCTCATCTCTATCAACGCCTCGGACGTTGGGGCGGCGTCCATCCGCGACGCAGGCCCCCTGTACACCTCGTCGGCCACCATGTTCGCCTGCAACGTCGAGTACCTGCATGCCGAAGCCACCGTATCGATGCACGCCAACAGCTCCATCACCAAGATCGAGATCCGGGACCACACTACCGAGGCGCTGACCCGGTCGGAGTTTGACCTCCACGCCTTTCACGGCCTCCTATCCCACCGCGCGCCCTACACCAGCGACACCATCTTCATGGAGTACAACTCGACGGCCGGCGACCGCACCGTCACCGAATTGCCGATGATCAGCCAGGATCTGGGCGATCTGGAGCCCGTCCTGGTGCTGGACACCTGGACCGTCATGACCCAGCCCGAGTTCCAGGCCAAGGTCACCCGCGGGGTCAAGCAGGCTTTCGTGATGACCATGAGCCGCCTGTTCAACCCGGATGAACCCCCGACGACCGTGCCCGCCGTCAAGGTCACGCGCCAGGTCTCCATCGCCGTTGTCACCTTTGCCGCCCTCTGGTCTGAGGTCATCTTGGCCCTCGGCGGTCTCCTCGCCGTGATCTTACTCTACTTCTACCACCGCCGCCCCAACATCCTCCAGAGTGACCCGGGGTCGATTGGTGCCATGTGCAGCATGCTGACCGACGTTTTCGGCGCCTGCAACATCCTGACCGATCCCAATGCCGACTATCATGAATTCTCCACCATTCAGCTGCGACGGCTCCTCCGCCACTCTCGTCTGCATTGGTACAACGGGCCTCTGGGACGGCGTCTCGAGATTGTTCCGCCGGCTGGTTTGTTCCCCTGATCCTATCTCCCTGGTGGTCCGCTGGCTGACTGGATAGACCCACCCCCTGCGGAGGCAGAACGACTCCGGGCGCGCGTCGACCCCCGACCCCACTTCCTGGTCATACCGATCTTCATCGTGGAGTTTCTGCTGTTGACCGCCGTGATCGCCGTCATGGCCGTCATCATCGCGTCGTTGGCCCACGAAGGCAGTTTCCAGCACCTGACCCAGTCCGACTCGAGCTTCTTCCAGGTCGTCCTCTCCTTCATGCCGTCGGTGGTCGCCTCGTCCGTCGGCGCGCTCTGCAACTCGATCCACCGCAACCTGAGTATCCTGGAGCCGTGGGTGCATCTGCAGCGCGGCATGGCGTCGGCGCGTCGGTCGCTGTCCATGAACTACGCCTCGCAGAACCCCTGGGCCGTCTTCATCAAGACCCTCCGTCACCGCCACCCGCTGCTGGGACTCGTGTCGTTGGCCTGCGTGGCCAACACTCTGCTGACGGTCGTGGCCGGCGGGCTCTTCACGCAGAAGCTGACCCAGTCGAACCTCCCGACCGAGAACATCCGCACCAACTACAGCCAGTCGGTGTTCCACCAGACGGACTTCGCCGCAGACTTCACCGAGTACGATCTGATCCAGACCAGTATCACCAGTGGCGTGCCCATGCTCGCCTGGACCAGCCCCAACCACTCGTTCGTCCCGCTGAAGATCAACAACGCCGACGCGGATGCGTTGTACAACGCCACGACCATGGGGATCGGCGCGGAGCTAGAGTGTCGCCCCCTGTCACTGCAGCACGACCTGACCGAGGATCCGGCCACTCGCACCGCGTCCTGGTCTTACCCCATGTTCGAGGACCCCTCCCGCACGTGCACGGTCAATATGACCGCCCTGAACCGCACCCCAGGCGGGATCTCCATGTCCATCCATTTCCTGTCCCCCATGGCCCAGGACGACTGGGACGTGTGCCAGACTTCAACCGTCATGGTCGTCGCGCGTTGGCACCACGCCCGCGGGGCCGCCATGGCAGAGGACAACACGATCGCGCTGCACTGCGAGCCGCGGGTGCACGTGCAGAACTACACGGTGACCTTCGACTACAAGGGCCAGGTGCAGGACTACACGCCGCGGGCGGACGCGCCAGTGACGTCGGGGTCGATGCATGAGAATGCGACAATCAGCCTAGGGCAGTTCAATAAGATGTTTGCGGCGATTCCCCAAAGCTACGTGGATCAGGAGCCGGGGGAAGAACAAGAACAGGGGGACTATGAGGCGTCGTACGACTGGGCGGGATTCCTGGTGGCACGTTTGTACAAGCAACGGCAGGTCAACGCGACCGACCTCCACACGCCGGCTCTGATCGACATGACGCAGATCGTGTACCAGTGGGTGTACAGCACGTACTTTTCGCTATGGCGCGAGATCTACCTCGAGCCGCTAGATGAGGGGCCAGTAGCGCCGGACGCAACCATCATGTACAGCCTATGGTGCATGGTCCCGTCGGTGCCGTCCCTAGCGCTAGCACTGATCATCATCGCACTGGACACGCTGGTCGTTATCGTCGTGTTTGGGACCCGGCGGGGCCGGTTCCAAGGGCCGCGGATCCCGCGATCGATCGGGGCGGTCCTCCCGTGGCTGGCACACAGCCGCATGATGGGAGATTTCCACGGGACGTACACGTGGACCAGCGAGGCGCGCCGGACGCATCTGGATGGGCTGGACAAGCGGTACGGGTTCCGGCAGTTCACGGGAGTGGACGGACGGTGGCGGTATGCGGTTGATGAGGAAGACTGCCCGATGGAAGATAAGGCGGGTAAAACGGGGGTGATTGAGCTGCGTGAGATTCGGGAGCAGGACTCTCGCGAGCAGGATTCTCGCGAGCAGGATTCTCGTGAGCAGGATTCTCATGAGCAGGACTCTCGGGGACAGGATTCCCGTGGGCAGGACTCCGCTTGATGAATGATGTAGAATAATGTATATAGAGTGTACATATAGACATAGCATTTATAAAATCTATTTATTATACATCTACTCCAGCTTAGGATGGGGAGGCAATAACTGTGTATAGAGTATACATATTAGATGATCCATATAATCAACCTACTATACGCCTATTTGGAATTCTTAATCACAGGCACCAGATCGATAGAAGAGCAACTTTGATTTCACTATACACCTACCCGAACTGACCTTGTATACACAATGGTACATAGTAGATGATCGATAACTTCGACCACTAATTCACCTCAGTTTCCTCACCACACCGACATCCCTCTTTATCCCGACTTGCGTCGCTACTCCCCCTTAGTAAACACATCCACCGACCCCGCAACATTCGGCTTCTGCGGCGTCAAATCCCACTCCTGCTCAGGGCCCGTCCAGCGACCCGACATACAATCCTCGTCCAGCCGGTGACACCGGTCCTGCCAGACCCCACAGACGGCATTCCCCGTCGGCGGGGGCGTACTCCAGCAGACATTGCTCTGACCCCAGCAGTTCTCGGAAGCCTCCCAGCACTGCTTCTCAGAAGAGTACTCCGGCACTTCGACCGCACACCAGTTATCTCGTTCAAGGACACATCCAGCAAGACGGAGTCCGTTCTTCTGCTTGACAGGGTCGCTCTCGACCCGGGCGGCGTCATCCTTCGGCCGAAACACAGGCGGGCCAAACATGGGATACGTCTTCGGATCAGACTCATAGATATTGAACGTCAACCCAGGGACCTCCAAATCGTACGTGCCCTCCGAGATCGAAACAGTCTCCGGCTGCTCAACAAGCACCCCACCCTCCCCACCACCCTCCAGAAACACCTGCGCACAGCCGACAAAAAACTGCGGTTCCGGCGGACTCTTATCGGCATCATGCAGCGCCAAAATCTCCGTCCTCACAAGATAATCACCCGCCTCCAATCCCTCCGGCACAGTCACCGACAAGAACCCGTTATTCCCAATCAGCATTTGCGTACACCACTGCTCGGACGCAGGGTCATAATCCAGATCCCAGATCTTGAACCAGCCGGGTCCGGCCGCGGCGTTGGCGCCCGACGCAGCGGAGGCGGTTGCGTCAGCCACGCGCTTCATGTAGACGGCGCAGGGGCCCCGGTGGGAGGGGGCGATGGGGCCGGAGCGGGGGTCGTCTGCGTTTTGGCGGAATTCGAACGTGAGTTTGGAAGAGGGTTTGATGCCGCAGGTGCGGGACACGGGGGTTTCGCCGTTGTGGCCTGCATTTTCATTAGCATTATTTAAGTGGGTAAGATGGGTGGGGAGGGGAGGGTACCGCAGGCCATAAGGGAGCTGTCGATCGGGACAGGCTCGCTGGATAGCTCAGCGACGTTGTGCATGCGCACGCAGACACCATCACCTTGGTTGACACCGTCGACGAAGAGGTTGGTCATTGTCGTGTGGGCGGCAGCGAGGCTGGCCATGAGGCCGGGGAGGACGTAGTGGAATTTCATCTTGACGGTGGTGCTGATGGTGTTGATGTGTTTGGTTATGGAGGGATAGATCTAGATATTTATACAACTGTAGTATACCTAATGACACGAGATGTGACTATTCTGACCGCTGGACTCATTACCCTGTCCAACCTCATAAGAATGGACGGATGAAACGCGTACACAAGCCACATCGACACGGCGGTTATCCGCTTGGCTTATTATAATCTCATACCTAGCCGGAAACGGCGATATATTCGAGGATAATGCAACTCTCTCTCTCTCTCAATCTCATACCTATGGAGTAGTTGAATAACATAACCAACATAAAGAAAGCCCTGAGTATCAGATAAGATTATATCACACATCCGACAGCCGGCGAACATGATGTGTCGACACGGACCACTGTCTGGCGGTCAGCCCTAAGTCCTGTCATTTGGGCGTGTTTCACAGTGAGTAGGATGGTCCCGTCAAGATGCAGCTACCCCAATAGGTTTGAGGAGTGGAATTACAATCAGTCGACAGTCAGCATGTCAGCTAATTTGCAGATTTTGTAGTGCGTTTTCCACCTTATTTGTGTTAGCAATCTTGTTCATAGTTGCAGTGATCATCGGTTGTATCATCGTCCCTTCCACGTTTTTTATGACTGACCGGATGTATAGACACGGGCTTTGCATTGATAACACTGTTATGTCCTGAGTGGCACTGTAGATATTCAACTGAGAGAAGGAAAGGCCTATAGTATTGAGAGATGAACTCCCTAGGGCCTGCAATAACACTGTGTAACCGCATGAATTATTTCGTAACAGTTGTGTCGGATATCTGCTAGACTGCACGAGCTATACGATCTCACTTGCATCAAGGGCAATCTCATCAATTCATTAGGGTGATAATAGAGAGAGAGAGAGAGAGAGAGTCGCATTATCCTCGAATATATCGCCGTTTCCGGGATCCTTCCGAGTCACTGATGGCCGAAAGGCCCTAGCTAGAGACACCAAAATCACCAAATACATCAAAAATTGCCAAATTCGCCAAACATGAATTGGGGTTATAATATTCTAGGCTAGGGTGACAAATTGACCTTGGCTTGTGGCTACAACAAAACCGAAAACCCTTCTAAACGACATGGCCTTCCTCCTCATCTTCGCCATCCGATTCCCCCTCCTCCAACTCCCTGGTGCTCTCCACTGTTGCCTCTCTCAGGAGGGAGGAGAGGATAGTGCCCGTGGAGTCCGCGGCCGACTCGTCTCGGGGCTCGTGCTCGAACGTGTGTTCGAGAAGAGTGGGAGGTAGTTCGAGACCAGAGATATTTCTGGCGAGCGACTTGAGAGTTGACCTCTCCAAGTAGTCGCCAGGAGATGCCCAAAACTGGTCTTTGCTTTCGACTGTGGAGGTAAACGCCGTATTATTGGCGCGTTTTGCATTTAGGTAGGTTATCAGAAACCTGAAGTATAGAAAGCGGCGAGCTGGTCGGTTATCCGAGAGGAAAACGAGCTCTTTGTGGTCGAGTTCCTATATCGAATGTCAGAATATGGTAAGTGGATCATGTCGATTACACGAACCTTCCACTTGACGATTGTACCGGCGAATGCCATCGCGATATGCCCTCCCATATCAGGGTCTACGAGTACACATTTCCACTTGATCGGCTTTCTACCCGGGTCGGACGAGGGAATAATCGCGATCTTTCCCTGATCCAATGCTATCTCTATATTCTTGTTGAGGGAGATACCGTTGCGTGGATCTGTCAAGGGTACTTCCTTGACGCCGAAGAGGAAGGATATCTCCTGACCAGTCAGGAGCTTGGGCACCAGGTGGGCGGCCTTCACGTATTCCGCATCCGACCACCCGGTCAGGTGGCAGTAAGCCAAATTCGTGGAATCATCGAGCTTCAGCGCCTGGTACCGGTGGAGCACAGCTTGGCGAAAAGCCGACTGATCTTTCTTCGAGAATTGCTTGCTTTGCTTCGCGGAGGCCCCCATAACTCGTGCTGTAACGGTGCTGGCATACGCCCGTTCCAGAAAACCAAGGTCTGGTTCCTCGTCTCTGAGTTTCTTCGGGGCAATTTCATCTTCCAGATCCTCCTCAATAACTCGTTTCTGTCTAGCAAGAGTGTCCAGACTTCTGGTAAGTGGGACAATTTGAGCAATCGTTGAAGCCAGTTCTTCCTGAAATTCCTCTTCGACTACGGATTTGTTGGCTCTCGTCTCTAAAAGCCCGTCTCTGTAAACAATGAGAAGGTCCCGTTGCGAGGCCAGAGCTTTGACCTTTTCTTCTAGAAAGTTAGAGACTTACGAGGACGCGGCAGGGAATTGCGAAAGCTGGGAGACCTGGCTGGCCGTCCGCTTCTGTTGGTCACGCAAGCTCAACTTCCAGTCCTCGGGCATGAGCGACGCGTACTTTTCAGGGATCGGCATCTTGTCACTGGATATCATAGGAGGGTATTCAGATAGCAAGGCAGCAAAGACAGAGATGGGGTAGGATGGTGATGAACGGGAAGTGAGATGAAAGACAAAGTGATGATGGCGTTGGATAGCGATGAAGGGCAAGTGACGGAGAGAGAAGGAGCTACCTAGTTTAGGCAACCCAAGAACTCTATTGTTGATGTAATAATTGCTCATCAACTGCTACATTGGCAGAAGACACGCATGGATGTCCTTTTCGTCTTGACGGGTGTAAGACCCGCGGAGACTAGGGTTTACAGAGCCGCATCACGATGATGATGCCGGGCCAACCCAAAGTATCCAAACCTTGATATGTTGGGGATATTGTCAGTCAGTTGAAGCCCTATACCAAACATCAGTCAACGTTGTGGTGTAATGTGTTTTCCAACCGAGCTGCCCAGAAATCAACATGCTTAAAGAACGTGAGGCAATTCCTAATCACCTAAACAAGCCCTTTTTATTCAAATAATTAAACACAATATCGTATTGACGCTGGCTTGCTCGGGGTTGATTGGTCTGGTTTCTGGATCCACAGTAGGGCGACGAACCCATATAGGCTTAGGTGGGTACTTGGAAGGATCAAGCTGAGGAAGGGCGGATGGGGCGGAGGAGACGTGTGAATTGCGCACCGTGTGAATTACATCGCGATAGCACAGACCGGCTCAAACGTTGTTCAAAAGGTAGTCTTCTACCTTCTATCAACTCAGGGATTGGGATATAAAAACATCTTGGGTCCTAAGAATTGACAGATATCTTTCGGGACTTTTTATAGACACGCGACCCGCTGGACATCTAGACCCCAAGTGGGGCCTAGAGATTTGGCGCAGTCTAGCGTGTAATATAACAGTTCTCTGCAAGACCCGGTGTTCGTTGCAAATTGCAAATTGACTTTGCCTTGACTCGGACACTCACAGAATCTCAATCAATAGCCCTCCCCCCATACATCGGTGATCGGTCCTCAAAACTGTCATATGTCGTGGCCAGTATCAGGGGGGGGGGGGGGGGGGGGGGGGGCGTAATTAAGGAATCGGGGCTGTGCGGCGCCCCTCCACGCCCGGCGCTGACGGGTTGGGCCCCACGGCCTGAAGGATTCCAGCCCCCATGGCATCAATCCATTCATTCACCTGCCGGATCACACCTTGGATGGGCGTCCGTCGGTCTCTAAATAATATATCGTGGTTCCCCGCGGTCGAGAAGTTCCTCAGCTTGAAGATTTCTCCCCCCTCCAGCCTCCAGGACGAGGTGCCACGCTCAACATGGCCTGGTCGATACCCTCAAAGCGCATCCCCTCGCTCTTGCTCTACCTCATCGGAGTTGTCGCGGTCGCCTTCGTCCTCTTTGCCTACGCGACCTTCCCAACCCCGGTGCCGGCGGTCCTCCACCAGACGCACCCTTATCTGGAGGATATCCGCAACGAGACCCTGGGGGTAAGTGGCTCGCCGCTGTATCATACGTACTTTCAACTCACTTAAAGATAACATGACAGGTCGAGAAAATCTTCGCGATCAACCTTCCCTCCAGACCCGATAAGCGCGATAGCATCGTTCTCCGGTCGTCTGTCCTGGGGTTCCACGTCGACTGGATCGACGGAGTCACGCCAGACCAGCTCAATGCGCTAGCCTACTCTTATGTAAGTCCACAAGGCACGAGAACCACAGATGTCCAAAGTCTCTAACGCAGACGATTATCTAGAACTGGCATGACGACCTCACAGCGCGCGAATATGCCGCCCGACGCGCGCACGTGAACGCCCTACAGCAGTACGTCCGACGACTCCGGATAAAACAGCCGCCCATTAACCAAACGTGAATAGCATCGTGGACGAGGGTATATCCAGCGCCATCATCATGGAAGACGACAGCGACTGGGACGTGACGATCAAAACCCAACTCCAAAGCGTGGCCATTGCCCTGCAGGCCCTCCAAGGGACGAGCGCAGCAGCGACAACATCTCCCTACGGCGACGACTGGGACATCCTCTGGCTCGGCCACTGCGGGATTAACTGGCGATCGAACAGCAGCTATTTCGCCGCCTCTCACGACCCGACCGTCACACCGACGCATCACTTCACGCCTGTGTTCCGGGAATCGCCACCGATCAACCGAACGGAGGATACACGTCTCGTCTTTGAAGCCGAGGACGGGGTGTGCTCTTACCTTTACGCGGTGAGCAATAGCGCAGCGAAAAAGATGCTGTCTGCCCTGTCGGTCAGCCCAACCGGCATGAAAGAGGACTTCGACTCGGGGGGGCAGCTGGACATTACGCTTGGTCGGATGTGCAGGGCAAATTTCCTGAAATGCTATGCGCCGTTCCCGTCTCTGACTGGGCGACTGATGACATCCTCTGATATCAAAGACTCTGATGAAAGCGCGGAACAAGGTCGGGAAAAGAGCCGGACGCCGCCAGGTAGTGCCAACGTGGTGTATAGCACTTTGTTGAACATAAATCGCATCCTGGATGGCGAGTCGAGCGTCCACGCGACGTGGGAGGATTTCCCCGTTCAAGAAATCCGACCCGGCAATGTTTCTGTCATTGGGGGAACGATGCATATCCCTGGGGAAGGAGAAATATGGCGGGAGGTTCCATTTTATCCGCCTTCGTGATGCATCTGCGCTTATGTGTACAGTACGGAGTTTTGTGTAGCGTTTCAACTCATTTTTTTATTAATGATTCTACAATTGATCGCAAGTGGAATCGGGATTTACATGTCCCGTGGCCTTTTCGCATCAGAGAGCAGATATAGCAATATATAATCACTTTACACAACCCATACATTTCTACATTGTCACTTCGTAGCATTGCACGTTCGCTGAGTTGGTTTTTTTCGCTGGAACTCTATACAGTCACTAAACAGGACATACAACCACTCTACAGCCCTTCCCCACTATCAAACTCTACTCGGCCTCCCTGTCACGCCCACAAACATCCCCTCCGCCCCAGCCAGGACCTTCCCCGTTTGATCCACAATCTCCCCCAGCACGATCCACCTCCCCGCCCGCTCCTCCTTCACCCATGACTGCACAACAACAGCCCCAGGCGCCGGGACAGGCCGTCGAAACCGCACATTCAACGAGGCAGTCATGCAGGCCTGCCCGCGGGAAGCCAATACCAACCCCATTACCGAGTCTAGCAAGCTGGCTACCACGCCGCCGTGTAGGACACCCGAGTGGCCTGCGACATCTTGTCCCAAGGAGGCGAACAGGCGTAGTTCGTGGGTTGGTTCTAGGGTCGGGGATGTAGCTTGGGATGAGTGAGGAGGCACACGACTCTGTAGGATACAGTATGGGATTGCATCGGGGGTATTGAGAGCTTTGGGGAGGAGGTTGTCGTGGAGGGGGGAGGTCTCGTAGGATGGGTTGGTGAGGAGGGCGGCGATCCAGGGGATTTGCTCGAGGGGGGTCATTTTCTTTTTCATTTATATGATTATTGGCAGGAATCTATATGAATTGATTTGTCTATATGGACCAGAAGTAGTGAATAGGAGTAGCAAATAGATAATATATAGTGTAAATATACATGATGCGGGGTTACCGAGGCTCGGATCTACCGATCACAATGAGCCTACCCCATCTATACAGACATTTTCTAACTACCCCATGAACCGGATATACACAATATAAACTAAAGCTTGCTCGCCCTCACCCGTACATACAAACACTCCCCCTCAGCCAACACCCTCCCACCCTCATCACGAACATCCCCGTCAACAACCCACTTCCTCGTACTAGGTTCACCCCCCTCCCTCAACCACACATTGACAACCACATCCCCAGGGACCGGAACCGGTCTCTTGAACCTCGTATTCAAATAAGCCGTAACAGGCACCTCAGCCAGTGCGCCGTCGCGCGACCGTTCCCCCGCGGGCCCTACTTCCCCACGCACACCCAGCAGCAACCCCATACTCTCATCTAGCAGGCTGGCCGTGACGCCTCCGTGAAGCGTGCCAGGGTATCCAGTGATGTTTTCGGCGAGACGGACGAAGAGGCGGAGGCGTTTCACGTCCCCGGGCTTTTCTCCGGAAGAGAGGTCCGGACGCTGGTACTGCATTATGCATGCGGGGATGGTAGATGGCGTGTTGAGCGTTTGGGCGAAGAAGTTGTCTTCGGTGGACGACTTGGGAATGCGCGAGGGCATGGGCGTCGTTACGTAGGTTTGGTCGGCTAGGAGGGTGGTTATCCAGGGAGTGGATTCGAGGGGTTGATTGGGCGCCATCGCTGTTTCCGTGCTTTCTTCGGGATGGAAGACAATTGAGTATATGGTGCCTTCGTTGAGAGTAGTATGTAGATAGGGAGAGTATAATGTAGAGTCAAAGTGGTGGAGTTTGTTTACCTTTGTATGGGTGTGCGGGGTTGATTGCCGAGGTTCTTTATTTACGTGGTTGGGTCAATAGAGACAGATGGTACTAGTTGAATGGAACCCAGAATCAATTGTACAATGCAAACTTATACCTATAGCAAACCATACCCTATAAACTAACCAGACCAATATAGACAGAATCGAAAATAAACCTAACAATCCTCACACATATCCCGCGACCGCACCGTATCATCCTGTGCATCCGCCCCCCTCACCCGCACCCAGTAATCGCACATCCCCGCATGCTCCACATGTCTCCACCGTCCGATATCACGGTGCGCCATCTGCCCCTGCGCCTCGGCGACCTGGTGCCCTAAGCCCAGGTTATAAGGCCTATAATCGCGATCCCGACGGAGTCGCTCAATGACACTCCCATGGATGCGCGCCCCCTCCGGCAGCGGCCGACGCAGACCGCGCGTATGCCACCGCGTCATAGCCACCGACCCGTCGGGGGTAATCTTCGGCCGTTTAAACGGGAAGAACTCCATGATGCGCCAAAACAGCGTCTCCAGCCCCTTGCCGCCGTCGTAATTAAGCGAATCATGCACCTCCGCCGTAGTCGCCGCCCGCACGATCTTCGGGTCCGCCCGCTGCGTGTGCGGGTCGAAGCACCCCAGCCGCGCCAGCTGGTCCGGGTCGAAGGTCAGTCCGGCTAAGATGGCTTCCTGCACCATCCACATCAGCGGGATTTGGCTGGCGGGGACGTCGTCGGGGGCAGGCGGATCGCTGCTGCTAGCGCTGGTAGTGCGCTTGCGTTTGCGTCCTTCGCGCCCGTCGTCGGTGTCCTCGTCGGGCGCCCACCCGCCTCCGACGTCGGAGTGGTCGCCTGCGAAATAGACTTCCTCGAAGTCGTCATTCCGCTGGGAGGGTGACAGCGTGCGGATGGGGCTGTCGTGGCCGCACGTCGAGGCTCTGTCGCGGTCTTTGGCGGCGAGGGCTTCTTCCCCGTGCGCGGCCCACGTGCTGACGCGCTTGGGGGCGCGACTGGTATGTTTGTGGGGATGGACGTCCCCGAACAGAACAGGCTGGAACTTGATGCGGCGCTCGTCGATGCTGACGGCGTGACGCATGATGCGCGGGTTAGGCTGGATCTGGGTGTCCTTGGACTCGTCGCGGTTGAATTCCGCCACGCTGTTGACGGTGTCAAAGAGGCCGAGGAACTGGACAAAGCCCACAGAGCGACACATGGTATCGCGGGAAACGCGGAGACAGCGTTCTGCCGCGCGACGCTCGGGGCCCGGGTCGGCGAATTTCCACTGCGTGAAGGCTTCCCAGACGAAGGGGATGAGCTCTTCGTTGTCGGCGGAGATGAGGCCGACGAAGTCGAGCATCTCGTTGAGGAAGCGTGCGGTGTAGGCGCCGCGCGAGAAGCCAAACAGGTAGATCTTGGCGCCGGGCTGCCAGCGGCGGGCGAGGAAGCGGTAGCCGCGGATGACGTGTTGGTCGAAGGAGGTGGCGAGGGCTTGGTCGAAGATTTTGTGTGTTGGGAGGTTGCTGAAGGGGCGGAAGGCGAGGTTGGCGAATGCGCCGGGGGTGATGTCTGTTCCTATGCCGGCTGGGGGAGTTAGTGGGATATGATATGGGGGAAACTCCGGAACGTACGCTGGTAGTAGCAATCTGAATTGGTTAGCATAAGTCCATCCATGAGGAGAGGGCTAGGACATACATCGTTTCTCTTTAGTACGGTCCAGCATACGAAAGATCTTGAGAATGTTGCTCTCTTCGCCATCGGCGCGGAACGTATTTCCCGTTCCATCGAAGCAGAGGACGAGCTCCCTACTCATGTCAGGAACGACTCGACTCCACTAGAGTAACTAGAGTATGTGCCTACCGTGTAGGGGGCGCCTCTTCACAATCACAAGGCTCAGCCATCGTGGGGTGGTCGCAAAATGGATTCATCGGGGGCAGAAGGTTTTAAGTTTCAAGTCGGCTCGATTTCTGGTGGAGTTGAACAGATGGCCCGTGTCAGGACTATTGCGACTCCATGCAGATTGCGAACGCTGATCATGCGATGATATCAATAGATCCTGCATGGTGCAGACGATGCCTCTTATACCGTCCATCGTATATCGGACACACCACACCGTTGAGGCTCAGCTCTGGGCAGGCCCCCGGTCTTCATCTATATATATCGATGGCTGCTGATTTTAATATAGTTGTGTCTAATCTTGCGATCAGGCTGGGGACAATGTCACCCTGAGGCACCCTGACCAGGGTGAGACGACTAGCTTCCCTCAGCCAACTGTGCCGTCTTGGAGGCTTGTCGATCAGCTGCCATAGACAAATCATAGACATCAGGGCCCCGTGCCGAGCCTCTTTACACGGCAGGGAATGCGAGTCATTTCCAAGGACCCATCCATTACTCAAGCGTTTGAATTATGTGACCATAACTGCAGCATTTGTGCTCTTGACGACATCTTTGGTGTATCCGCGAATAGTTGGTTGGCCACTGTGTACACGGCAATAGTGTCTGCATGGAACGCGGCCACCACGGATGCAGCGTGATCTATCAGCTCGATCGTCCCTCCTCGCATACTGCCAAGACACCCTCTTGGCGCTCTGCATGGCCTCGCAGAAGCCACATCAGGTCGGACTATATACAGCTATTCAGGAATCACGGACGCACCCCCTCACAAATCAGAAAGGGAAACGGGTACCAGTCCCGCCGTGCCTCCTCTTCCCACCCCGGAATCTTCTTGACCATCACCCACCCCGTGCGCACGTTTACCTGCACAAACCCCACCTCCTCCAACAGCTCCGTCATCCAAATCCGCGGAATCCCATGCCGTTCGACACCGTCCAGCTTGGACGGCGGGTGAAACCACATACACTCGGGCCCGGAATCCTGATAGTCCGTCAGCAGGATGCGACCCCCGGGTTTCAGGCAGCCCATCATGGTCACCAAGAGGGCCTTGACGTCCGGCACATGATGCAGGACCAGATGCGACAGGATCAGATCGAACTTGCGGCGGGCGCCAGATCCGTCGGTACCCGCCGGTAGCGCCGGGTCCTCCGGGTCCTCGAGCAATTTGCAGATGGGGATGATATTGTGGGGCTGATCAGGCTGCGCAGCCTTGGCCGTCAGCATATCGATCATGCCCGGTGCAGTGTCGACCGCGACGACCTCGTGCACGAGGGGTGCGACGAGGGTGCTGAGCAGGCCCGTGCCGCAGCCAACTTCAAGAACATCGATGGGGCTGTCTGCGGCCGCGATGTGAGCATCGATGTGGGGACGCAGCTTTTCAAAGGCGAGGTTCGTGGCTTCTTGCACAAAGGGGTTGGAGTCCCAGTCTGCGGCTTCGGCGTTGAAACGGTCGGTCATGGTGGAGTTTTGCACGGCTTCGCTTGGCGGTAGATGCATTTTGCGATATTATATGATGTGATGGTGTACCAACCAACCGGTGTGTGGGTGGATGGAGGTGTGTGTAAACAGAAGATGGACTGAGGAAACACCCGGTTGCGGCAACTTCTCCGCAGTGCGGGGTCCATCCGTCTGGCCACGCGTGGATCGTCCACCATATTCAATTCCAACCGATGGATCCATCTCCAGTGGGACGCAGGGAAGTTTGCTCACCCTGTCGCTTTGCTAAGACCGCCCGGGATGGGAAAAATAATCAAATAATATGATATAGTGGTCAAATGGTCAAATGGTAAAATGATCAAATGTTATACTTCGTATGCCATCCTCCGGACAGTCATATTCTTCATAGGCTATTTAGCTCTATAATCTATACCAAAGAGGACCGAAGCAGTACTCCAAGCGGAGGGATGGGATACAACTGATTTCTTCGATATATTGTATTTTGTTAATCACGTGGGGTGTTGCACCGCGAAGGGGTGACCAAACTTCCCGGCGTCCCACTGGAGATGGATGGAATAACGGTCGACTTGCAGCACACCAACACGCCCCCATCGAATTCATCGACTGACGTCAAAATCCCAAAAAAATGCCCACCCTCCAGTCCACCACTCTGGCCCTGGCCCTGATAGCCGCCGGCGACATCACCATCCGCTGCATGAGGCCCCCCAACGCCACACCGACAAGCCACTCCGAAAATAGACCGAGCGACAAGGGTGGTCAAGAGAAACCACGCGACCGCATACGATTCTTAACGGGTCTGTGTCCCCTGCTCGGGGCGCATCTCGTGCGACTGGCCTTCCTCTATCAAGCGATCACCGTGCTTCTCTGGACCGCAAGCCCCACAGATGCATCCTATCTATCGCACATCTGCCCGGGCAGGCAGAACCTCGACAAAGGCATTCTAACATGGTCGCCCACTACCATCGTCAGCTTACTCGCCATAGCCAGCGGAGGGGCCCTCCGCTTCTCTGCGTACGGTGGTCTCGGTCTGAACTTCACGTTTCACCTCGCGCAGCCAGACCAGCTGATCACGGACGGCGTGTACGGCTACCTGCAGCATCCAAGCTACTCGGGACTACTGCTCGTGGAGGCTGGGGCCGTGCCGCTTATCCTGCGATGGGATGCGGCGGCGGCCGGGTGTTGGATGGAGGAGTGGATGCGGGAGACAGTGTCCGGGAAGGCGCTGGTGCTGGTGTTACTGGGGGTGATTGTCACTGGAGTGTTTTTTACAGTGAGGGTTCGGGACGAAGAGAGGATGTTGAAGGGGCGGTTTGGAAAGGTTTGGGAGGATTGGCATGCAAGGACGGCGAGGTTTGTTCCTGGGTTATGGTGATGACTCTGTTTTGACTGATGATAACGGTGTGGGTGTGTTCGTATTTGTATGCTTTGGATGGATAAATTGTAGGCAAGATGGCTGCTCATGATGCTCGATAATAATGGGGTCTGATTAGATCTCAAGACCGCTACGCCAAAGCGTGGACCAACGTTTGGTATAGGGCTTGACCTGACTGATATACCCAACATTACATGACACGGCATGTGAGGCAGGTTGACGATAATATTGTTGTTGATGATCTCGATCTTTTTGTGACTGGTAGGCCTTTCGCTTGAGACCCACACATTCCTTTGATCCGATCATTATCCACCAAAGATGGTGTATTACAACAACAGCCCAAAACTGGTCGAGCAAACAGTGCGAAAGATCTGTCTTCGATACTAGTAGGCGTTTCCGTAAAGACAAAACGCGACAATGAAAGTGGCCAGCTGAGCAGTGTGATATTATTCACTCTCACGCTTTTGTCTCTCCATCCTCGTCTTCTGGTGGACCTATTGATATCCTAGACACTTATTGGAAATGTAGTACGGGGCGTGGATGCAAGATATATAGGTCGCTGACAACTTGGGCGAAATGTAATCCACGTCTCAACTGTCGCATTGCACCGCCTCTCCCGGGGGGGCTTAGCATGGTTTTATTTACCGCCATGTCCCCCTGGATGAAGACATCTAATCAACATTCTTGCTTCCAATAGCTAAGGAAAGATATCTAGTTCGAAACCCCATTGTTGCATTGGCGTCAGAATATCCGCAGGCATGATAAGGTACTGGTCCGTTGTCAAACGTCAATCTGCAGTCGATCGCTTACCGATATGCTAGTAGTGGGCCACTCACAGAAAACGACTATCAGGTGGGCTGGATTTGCGCGCTTCCCCTCGAAGCGGCGGCTGCTACAGCGCTCTTGGACGAAGAGCACCCCCCGCTTGACCAGGACCCTGGAGACACAAATGCATATACACTTGGTCGGATTGGGCGGCATAATGTGGTCATCGGCTGCCTTCCACTGGGAACAGTGGGGGAAAGTCCAGCGACGGCAGTCGCCAAAGATATGCTGCGGAGCTTCCCCAACATCAAAACTGGCTTGATGGTGGGAATCGGGGGGGGCGCACCGGGCCCACCAATCGACGACCCGGAGGAAGATATTAGACTCGGGGATATTGTCGTGAGCAAGCCGGGTCCTGGCCACGGTGCGTTCTAAATTCCACGTACCACCACGCGAGACTAAACTCCGTAGGTGGTGTCATCCAGTATGACTACGGGAAAACATTATCTGAAGGGAACTTTATGAATATTGGCTATTTAAACCGCCCGCCAAATGTGCTTCTGTCTGCGCTCACAAAGCTTGTTTCACGTCATGAGCTTGAAGGATCCACAGTCCCGCGGCATTTAGACGAAATGAGAACCAGGTACCCAAGAAGGGCTCAGGACTGGCGATATCAAGGAGCCGAGAATGATCATTTGTACGTCGAGAACTTCCCGCACGTTGATACCAGCCACTCCTGCAAAGACCTTCACTGCTCGGATGACAACGGGCGACTGGTGGTCCGTAAGCCTAGGGCCACGGAAGACCCCATCATACACTGTGGTCTGATTGCGTCCGGCAATCAAGTGATGAGGGATAGCATAACCCGCGAGAAGCTGCGACAGAAACATGGTGTGCTTTGTTTCGAGATGGAGGCCGCTGGCCTAAACAACAATTTCCCGTGCCTTGTGATTCGTGGTATCTGTGACTACTCGGACTCTCACAAGTCTAAGCGATGGCAGCCGTATGCCGCGGCAGTCAGTGCTGCATTCGCTAAGGAGCTTCTTCAGATAATCCCAGTTGCCCAGCTAGACAGAGCGGAAAGGGCCGAGTTCATCACCGGGAAAAGTCAGTGCTCGTGATCGATGCGCACCTTAACCCGCTAACGCCTCACTTCTTCTACTATAGTGGACGAAGAATTTGGAAGACTGAACGATAGTATCAAACCTCTCCTGCAAACCCAGGATCGCGAACAACACCAAAGCACCCTGAACTGGCTGTCCCCAAGCTACTATCTATCACAGCATGAGGACGCACAACGGACTATCAACCAAGGATCAGGAAGAGCTTTCATGGAAGATCCCCGATTTCTAGAATGGATACGCGGCAGTAAAGTCGTGCAAAGTCTTTTCTGCCCGGGGTTACCAGGTGCTGGCAAGACTTCCACGGCGTCGCTTGTGATAGACAGACTCTGCCGGGGTGGACAAAAGACGAACTATACCCTTGCCTTTGTCTATTTTAACTTCAATTTACAAGCCGAACAAACGTTGGTAAACGTTCTCCGGTCCGTTTTGCGCCAGTTGATTGAGGTCCTTCCGTCGATCCCCGATCGGGTCACAGAGCTCTATCATGCTCGCCAGCAAGTATCCCCGCATGAGACCGTTCAACTACTATGCTGTGCCATAGAACAATGTAACCACCCGTTCGTGGTCATCGATGCCCTCGACGAATGCGCATCCGAATGCTTCCACGAATTGATTCAGGTTATCCGACGGCTGCAACACATGGGTGTTCGCTTCCTGTTGACTTCGCGCCACATTGATATCATTGCAAAGGAGTTCAGAGACATGCCAAATTGTCACTGTTTGGAAGTTCGGGCAGTCGAGAAAGACATGGAGGCGTCCATTGATCGTAACTTCGACTTTTCGTCATTTTACAGGATACCCGATGAATTACCCGAGATAGATCATTTCAAAAGGACAATTATCGATGCCGCGCAGGGGATGTAAGGGTCCATATCCACACCGGGCTTACATTTTCAAACTCACACCTCTAGGTTCATTCTTGTTCGACTCTATGTTACCATTTTGAGGCGCAAGTGTACGAGAGGGGAGATACAAGAGGAGTTGGATAACATAGCGAATGGTCGATCCGAGGATCCAATTCATGAGGCGTACCAGAAAACGCTGCGGATGATAGAGAAAGCAGGCCACAGTGAGTGGGCCTTCCGCGTTATAAGCTGGGTATTCCATGCTCAGAGACATCTGAGCCCCATGGAACTCAGAGAGGCTCTAGCGGCCCAGACTCAGCGAGATGGCACTCGCCTTGACCTGAATTACGCGCCGCCAGATATCACGACAGTTGTCTCTTATTGTTCAGGCATCGTAACCTTGAGCCCAAGTACCGGCTTCATTGAATTCGCTCATTTCACTGCTTTTCAGTATTTTGAGAAATACCACCATCAGCATCCCTGGATCAGCTCTGGCAGAGAGATATCATTGGCTTGTCTCAGGTACCTGTCGTTCGATGTTCTCGCCACAAACCCAAGCTGTGCCTTCTTCCTCGACTATGCGGTTCGTTTTTGGGCGGATCACACCAAGCCAGTACAAGGCGATCAGAAAGTGCGCGAGTATGCCATGCACTTTCTTCAAACCCCATCGTTAACTGCCGCCGCGGATCGAATGTTTCCTATCGACGACCCTTGTTACATAACATTGTCGCTCGTAGACGACCTCGATGGACCCGGTGCAACTGGACTTCACCTAGCTACACGGTTCGGCCTCGCTACACAAGTCCGAGACTTGCTAGACGGGATACCGGCTGCCGAAATCAATGGCCAAGATCCTAGTGGTCAGACACCCCTTCTGCTTGCGGTAAAAACTGGATGCCAGGATGCTATCAATCTTCTTCTCGAAAATCCAAACATAACACCGGACGTCCCTGATATCCAAGGCCGGTCGCCACTATCAATTGCGGCGGAATTGGGGCTCACTGGAGTGACTAAAAGTCTCCTGTCCACTGGCAAGGTGAACCCCAACCTGCCGGCCTGGAATGGCTGGACGCCCACCATGTATGCTGCTAGGAGCAATCGTCTAGAGATACTGGAGCTGTTATTGGAAGTGGATGGTACCAACCCCAACTGGATGAGCCCCGACGGCGACACAGCCCTTACATTGGCAGTGGAGATGGGATTCGCCGAGATGGTGGGGCTGCTTTTGGAGCGTGGGGGGGTAGGAGCTAAACTGTCTGACATGAGCACCAAACGCGCGTTTAAACTTGCGCTGGAAGATGGAAATAGCGCTGTGATCCATGAATTGCTTCAGAATGGCTTTGAATCGGCGCTGGAGTGGTCGGCGCTGCCACCGACCGCCGGGCCCCAAAACGTGTCCCCTTTGCTGATGAAAGACAACAGCACACTAGACATCAGCCACGTTTTATTGATAGCGGTGCAAAAGGGCCTTACGGACCTGGTTACGACCCTTCTGCGAAGGAAATTCGATATTAACCGGTTTTATTACGGTGGGAAAAGTATGCTCATGGTTGCTGTGGAGAATAGACAAATAGAGGTCGTGGAAGCCTTGCTGCGGACTGGCTCCGCTCGTACTGATACAATGACCAAACGCGGAGATACTGCTCTGTTCCTGGCCGTGGTCAGAGGAGATGCCGATATCGTTCGGATTCTTCTGGAAATTGGCGGAGCCAATCCAAATGCGGGCTGCAGTAAGACTTTCCCCCCATGTTGCTCATCTATTCTTGATCCAGGTTTCTGACTCAATGTGCTATAGACGATCCATACAAGTACCCATTACCCGTGGCGGTAGAAAACAATCACGAAGATATAATCCAATTGCTACTCACGACCAGTAACATTAACCCTAACCCCGGGCTTCAGGCAGCGATAACAACCAAGCAAATGCCAATGATACGCATGTTTCTCACTTTGCCAAACGTGAATCCTAACGTACACGACAGGGTTGCCGGCCAGACTGTTCTGATGACCGCAATACGGCAGCAAGACCTGGAGATGGTTCGCTGGCTCCTGGAGAAGAACATGGTCGACATAAATGCACGTAACTCGGCGGGCGAAACTGCTCTCATGCGTGCGGTCACAATGTATGATCTGGAGACCGTCAGGCTTCTCGTTGAAGTGTATGGGGCAGACATCACTGCGCGGACGAATTACGGTGCTACCGCTCTGGATTGGGCTGAGAGATATCGCTGGACTATCGACGAAGTGATCAGGTTACTTTCCCCCAAGAGAGTGCGTATTACTTGAGTGAACAACCTCTATCGTTTGACCGTGTACTTTCCCTATTTTCCCAGCCGGTTGAGACTGGAGTCAAATTGTCTACATTAAGATAGAAACCCGACCTTTTATTCCTCTTGCTGTGGGTCCAGAGAGTAGATGATAGCCATACCTGGCAGCGTCACCGTGAAGCTAGCCTTTCTCAACCAGAAACTGGGAGTGTTCTGTTCTATCTAACCGGCTCCACTGGCATTCTCACACGGACCTGGCTGGTCTAAGGCCCACAGTCGGCCGGGTTGTATTCTACTGCACTCGAGCAAACCACTTTATGGGGAATTTTGTCGAGTGTGGTGCCTGTACCCTACCGCAGTGAACGTGCTGTTGCTGAAAGTTGACTTGGTGGGGCTTAATAGGTCTTTACAGAGAGAGAGGGCGGGGGCTCCATATGGTATGGGGGTTTACAAGATAAAAACATATGACACGAGAGCTAAAATAATAGGTAGGTATGGTATGAAAGTCAATTGTAAAGGTCTCATGGTTAGAAACTGTCTGTACGAGGTGTGCAAAGCATTAAGCCAACCATATGAATAGTACTCATGGGTGTGAGATATCTCTAGTTTCCATGGGGTCACTGGATCTGTTGCTTGCCTGGATAGCATCAACATGCGGCTTAGAACATGGTCTAGAACGGTATATGTGGTGGCTTCCCTAATCTCCGTCTTCACTCCGGTCCGCAAACTCCGGTGTACAAACCGCTACGGCTTTACCCATCTAAAACCACAGATGCCTAGTGGGGGATGTTGCCCGTTTTGACATCCAGGGTAGCATGGGTGGAACACATGGTTGGCTCTCAGACAGCTGAGGTGAGACCTAACCTGCCGATCAATCTTGCCCGCCAATGAGCATGAAACCCTACGCAACTAACGCCGTGTATCAAGTCACCCATGACTTACCTGGATGCTCACCAACTGCCATTTCAAGACAAATATCTCACAGCTTCTTTAGAGGAGGCTGGTATTGTCAGGGATTAGCCACGGGTCGACCCCGCAGACACCAAGTAGATATCAGACAAGATCCCCCGACCTATCCATATCATCTTGTATGCCATTCCATCCACCCAATATGACCGCATCCAAGACCGGCTCCTGCCTCTGCGGCGCTGTCAAATACACCATTACCGGTGTACCGGAGCACTACTACCTCTGCCACTGCAACAGCTGCCAAAAGGCAACGGGTTCGGCCTTCGGGGCAAACTGCTGGTACAAGCAGTCGGTAAGACCTGCCTCTCATTCTTCATAGAGAAGGCTTTCGAGTGAAATTCCTAACAGGCAACACCAGGAATTGCAAATCACCCAAGGTAACCACTCCATCACGACGTACCAGGACAAAACCACGGAGTCGGGTAATGCCCTGCAACGCTCATTCTGCACCACGTGCGGCTCGAACCTATTCATAGGCAACGATGCTATGGACAAGCTGGGGGCTGTGTCCGTGACAAGCGGGACAATCGACGATCAGTCGGGTCTGCGTCCGACGTTGGAAGTCTGGGGGCGAGGACGACGGGAGTGGCTGAGTCCTGTTGAGGGTGCTGATGGGAAGGATACGCAGTGATCTTGGTTGGAATTAGCTTTGGCCTGTGTTGCTGTGTCGACTTTTGTAAAGGTCAATAACCAGTGGAAATAGGGTTAGTCACTGTGAATTTGGTTCATAACGGTGATGGAGATTGGCTGCGTCTGGACAGGATACTCAATCTTGAGTTGTTTTATTAGTCTCTCTAGATGTGTGTGTAGCAGAGATGGCAGCTTGGTATGTCTCCTTAAAGTTCAAGGGGGTTCCACCGGTGGATTGGTAGCGGCTTGCGACCAGTTGTTGTGCTTGTCCCTTCTTCTCCATAGCTTGGAGGCTGGGATAGAAATTTAAGTCTGCCAGTGCCAGAAGAGAACGGTGACAGGCAAGAGTGGGTCTCATGGAGCAGGAGATCTACATTTCTCCCGACACATGTTTTTGGAAACGCTATATCTGGCCCTGACGTCATTACATTCCTGGAGTTGTTGTTTTTCAACAGACCTCCAATGCTTCTTCAGGTCACAGCGATTCTAAGCTATATCTTGATAGTAATTTGGAAAGATGTCCTGCTCGATGACAGTTCAAAAACATGAATATACGGAGCAACCTCTTAATCAGGAGCCTCCCACAAAAGCCTTGATTGACCAGTATGTATAATGCTCGGAATATTAGACTGAACCCATTAAACAGTCCTGCATCCAATCACTTCACCATTATAGAGCTATCACTGATAGTCTCAAACTCCAGTTTCCTCACGCCACAAGACATCGGCTACGACCGCAACCACGGCCCAATCCCACCCCTATCCGACGAGAAGCACACCATCGGAATTCGCGGCGTGGGACTCCATCCTCTAGGACTCACGGTAGACCAACTGCATTCCGAATTTAGCCAACACACAGTCACCTGTGCCCTACAATGCGCTGGAAATCGACGACACACGATGCGCACGCTCCTGAAGGAGGTCCAGGGAATCGATTGGGGCGACGCAGCCGTCATGAACTGCAAATGGAGGGGACCCCGTCTTCGAGACGTCCTCCTTCGTGCTGGTTTGCTCATTAATCCCAGCAGTACTGATCGCCAGCTACACGCGGCGTTTTCATGCTACAAGGTGGAATGCCAGGATGACAGCTTCTTCGAAACCAGCGTACCGTTGGAGAAGTGCTTGGAGGAGGACCGGGATGCTATTTTGGCACTGGAGGTGGGTAATAACTGTTCTTCTCACACCCTCGGATTATTTCTCAGAATCGCCTAGGTGAACGACATCCCCCTTACAAAAAACCATGGCTATCCAGTCCGAGTGGTCCTACCGGGTATCGTGGGTGTCCGATGGGTCAAGTGGCTTGAGCGCATCACCATCCAAGACCACGAATCGCCCAACGTGTACCAGCAACGGGATTACAAAGTTCTTCCACCAGATGCGACGGATAGCAAATCTGCGGAGAAATACTGGGGCTGCACGCCACCCATGTACGACGTGCCCATCAACTCTGTCATTGCCGTTCCTAGCGACGGGGAGACCGTGACGGTACCACCTAGTGGGATGGTGGAGGTCAAAGGGTATGCCATTCCAGAGGGTGCAGACGGGCCGGTTACCCAGGTCCAGGTGTCTGGAGATGGTGGACACTCGTGGGTAGAGGCAGAGTTGAACACGCCGAGTGGCAGTTCGAAATGGTGTTGGGTGTTGTGGAGAGCTAGTGTGAGAATGACACCAGGTACAAAAGTCGACCTGTTAAGTCGGGCTACAGACGCCGGTGGCAATTCGCAAAAGGAGCATTCGCAGTGGAATCTTCGCGGGGTTGGCTACTCAGGTTATGGCCGAGCTAAGGACCTGACTGTCGTGTGAACACCGATTTCTGGATATCCCAGTCCTCATTGTAATAGCCACTGTCGGATAAAACGAGCCCTGATACTGTTTGGCCTGGATGCTTCAAGTATATCCTATCCAGTCAATCCGCTTATCCTACCACGCCGGGCGCAATTCAGATGGTACAAATACACCTTACATACTGTAATAATTCAACATAGCATGTAAATAGAGTGATATTCTTGTAACTGAGTGAGAATGACTGGCACTATTTGTAGCGACCTATACTGTGCCACTCAACTCAAGTGATCTACACACTACCTGTGGACATATCGTTATCTACCCACGTAGATAGCTATCAGCGACCACTAGAGACAGTACCAAGTAACGCATAGATATAATCCAGCCAGTTGTCCACCCAGTTACTAAATCTTGCCACCCAAGGAGAACAACTGAGTGTGGCCTAGCAATCCCGCTGATTGGCAAGTTCTCCAAGCCACAGAATCATGAGATAACTATGGTACAAGCTCTGATACCACTGTCTCATCAGCCATTTTTTCAGGCAGTGACAGACATGGTCATGTATAGCTTATCTATCTATTGCAAACTAGCTCCTTACTCCACAGAACTGACTTTGAAGCATCAATGGTTGTTGGTGCAGGTCTTTACGCAAGGATGATGCCTGTTGACAAATGGTGTGTGTCAATATCTTTGCCTGATAGGCACGTCAGTCACTTTATCGAGATATAAGAACTAGTCTTGACTCCCACTACCTTCAGTCATCTTCGTCTTCACCGACCTTCTACTTCCTTTCTACTTCCTTTCCTCATAGAGCTTCCTAGTTCAAGCAATCCACCCAAAATGTCCCACCGAATTGATAGAGAAGCCGAGGACTTTTACGAGAGTCAGAACGACCCCTCCCCAGTCTCCAGTCGTTTCGCAGATGACACCTACACCGGAGAGCCCCGACAAGCCCTGAAGGACAGAATTCCCGTCCAAAGGGACGAGGACATTGAAGAAGATCCGATGCAGCCACCTTTCTCCAACACCGACGCCCAGTTGGGTATGCTTGATCCCGCACCTTTGTACAATGGTAAGAGGCTGACTGGTTAATTACAGCCCTGGACGAAGATGAAGCTATTCAAGGGTCGAATATCCTCTCTGGCGACCCGCTCCGCCATGCGAAGCCGCAGAGCTCCACTAAGTACAGTGAGGGGCCGGACGAGGATGAATTGCCCGAGGAAGTTTTGTATGCTAGGTATTGATTGTAACTACTATCTAGTGCTGTGGGTGTCGATGGAAAGGTGATCATATAGTTTATTGTACTGTCAAATCAACTTGTATTATCCAAGAACCATGAGTATAACTGGTAAAAATACATCTTTGTAGTTCTTGAGCATTCACAAGCTCGTTAGGCTAAATCTATATATTTGAATCTTATCACCACGTCCCTGCTAGAGTCTACAAAATCAATGGGCTGTTCGTCAAAGATATCCATACAGTAGAATGGTCCATAAACCTTGCTGGAAATAGCACTACTATCATCAACAAAGCCCCTCCCTGTACAACAACCCGCGGGACTGTACACACCCCATCAATTCTAATCATTCTACCTATACAGTCAATCCATGACGTAAAGAATCATAGCGCAGGCTTGACATTTGATCCCCCGCCTGCAACCTTGGTTCGCCTCAGGGTGCCGACCCAGGATTATGTCTCCAGAGCAGGATGAACAAAACTATGACTTCACTGCTTCATAATCAAGGACTGGAAGTGCCTTTGCCTGTTTCGCATTGTGTCGCATGTCCAAGGCATGTTGGGCATGTTCGAATGTCAGGTCGTTCCTATGGTGTCACAATTGCAGCAGAGGGACTACATCATCGGCGGTCAGAGCAAATGGCGGAGGCAAGTCCTGCTATAAAAACATCTGACGGCCAAGGGATTATCCTTATCAACTCAAGCAACCGAAAGCATCTATTCTATAGAAACAATTAATAAATCACAATGACATCCAACACCAATCCTGGAAACTTCGCCAACCGCCCTCACGACGAGGTGGAGAATATCGCTCAGAAGGGCGGCCACGCCAGTCAGGGTCGTGGTGTATTCGCAAGCATGGACGAGGACAAGCAGGTATGTTTTCCAAATTCAACTTATATCCCGCATGGGAGATAGTAGCATCAACTAACACCGTGCTGCATTAGAGGGAGATTGCGTCGATGGGCGGACACGCTTCTGGTGGCAGCTTTGAACCGGGAGATCCCCGCGCCAGAGAGGCCGGTCACAAAGGAGGCCAGGCCTCTGGAGGAAGCTTCGAGCCGGGAGATCCAAGGGCTCAGGAGGCGGGACGGAAGGGAGGGTTGAGTGGCCGTCCGGAGGAGTAAGTTTCCTTGAGTCGGTGTGAAATACTTAAACTTGGTCTTGGCCAAGAATTTCATACAAATTGTATGATGCTTATCTGTTTTTTCTTCGTAGTCGGGGCTTGAGGATTAGGTCCTGTCCGGTCTAGCTATCCCATGGGACAGAATGTAACTAGGTTGGTGCTACGGAAGGTCCATTGTCCATTGTAAGAGATGTTCTCTCGGTCATGAAGGCTGGAGGTGATGCAAAGGGATATTCCCGGCTCATTGCGATTCTAGAGCCGTTGCTAAGGAACTCTGAAGAGTATCTATACCGAGATACTTTCCCTTGCGGACAATCAAGCGTGATCTCATGTCACTCTTGGGAACAGACATGGTGCAACTCGGCAGCAATTATACCTGCACTACGTCTGGGTGCCTACACCTGGTGGGCTTTCGAACCGGAACCTGTCTCTGTAAGACTACGAGCATGTTTGATCCCGTATCAGCTTCTGATGTGCTGGGGAATATCAAAGTTTCCCAACGCCACCCGAAATCGCTTTTGGTTGATGGTCTATAAACCAGTCCTATCAATATTAAAGTCAACCTTAAGCCCTCAATATACTTCACCCTTTTCATCGGTTTATTGCCCATATCCAGGTAACTCATCGACGAGTGTTCAGGTGAGGAAAGTCCACGGTCCACCTTGGCGTGCCTTATCCTTCCAAAAGCAGGCATAGAAGGGGTGACTGCCTTTGCAAAATATCACCAGAACCCCAGAACCCAGATCCATCCTGCCCCCCACGCGGCAGTAGATATCTATGCAGAGATACATGGCCCCGAGCCCATGTTCGTCAAAGGCTTTCGACTGATGCGGAGTAATGTGCTCTCGATGATCCCTGCCATCAGCTGCTCAAAGGAAATACCGTTGATCTGAGCGCTTGCGGGCAAGGGCGAATGGCCTGGTAGCATACCAGAGATGGGATTGACCTGTATTTCACGTAAGCCCTGCCCCCTTGAAAAGATGTCGGTGGATCTGACCTCCATAATCTGCGCAGTGGCACCGGGCTCGTTGCTATCAAAACGGATATCCACCCGTCCAGCATCCCTGCATCCAAGCAGAGTCCAAGCGTCGAGAGCTAGAAGACACGCAGTTTGGACCTGGGGATCGATCGTCTCGCTGAGTTTGTAATCCTTTACGACCAATCCGCAGTCTGTGCTGGACTTGCTTTGCCAGCTCGAAAAGTCCTGCGCACTATCTCCATTGGTCAACCCATCGTGGCTGGTCTTGGATGGGTCCTGCCAGATATGTTCCCTCACGCCAATCACCCGGCTGAGCTCACCCGTGCCGAGAAGACTGACGGTAAACTCGCGGCCAGCAAGGAAGGACTCGACCAGGATCGGCTGATCTGGGAAGTCCGACCGCAGGTTCTCCACGGCCTTGGTCAACTCCGCAGTGGAGTTGACCTTATTGAATGAGTCGATCCCCTTCGATGACCCTTCCGTGCCCAACTTGACGAACAGCGGAAAGGCGAGGTGCTTGGAGTCCTGCACCAAGTCATCGATATTGCGCTGGTGGGGGGAGATGACCGAAAAGGCCGCGTTGGGGACACCGCAATGATCCAGTACGGTCTATTCCCGCGAAAGGAATTAGTCACAGAAGCCACTATTGACACGAAGTCATCGTACCTTCGTGTTGATCTTGTTCTGGCACAGCGCCATGGTGGCGGCATCCGCAAAGGTGTAAGGGATCTGATAGGCGTCGAGCAGGGCTGGGACCTGCGCCTCCCGTGCGGATCCATAAAATCCTTGTGACATGTTGAACACTAAATCCCACTCCTTGTTTCGGTTGGTCGCGAGACTCTGGACGAGAGAGGTAATTCCAGGGAGCTGCACGACAGTATGACCGAGTCTCTTCAGCGCCGCCACGACCTCGTCGACTTCACCGTCATGGGTGAGGGCGGCACACTCCTGCTGTGACCGTCCATCCGCCAGGTAAGTTGATCGCCGTTCGGCGACGAGGGCTATGGTAAGGGCAGGCATGGCTTTAAACGGAATGGAATACAACTAGGAGATACGGAACGACAATTGATAGTCCAGTTCCAAGGACAGTCCCAGGGTCAGTATTTGACACCTGATATCATTAGGACACCCAGCAGGCCTTGGCCTCTTCTTGGTCTTCCTCCCACGTCACCTCTATATAATGCGCGATGTCAAGGAAGCACATCCAAACTCGCATCTCAGCACACGTCACCATGATGGAAGCGGTGAGTTCCATAAGTAATCTAGACCTTCGTGCCATGACCGACCCGGAGTGGTTGGATGTGAGTCGAGATTCAGCTGCGCCGAAGTGGGTTTCACGGCCGACCATGACATCATCATCGACTTCATCAAGTTTACACTGCCACGCCATCACCCCCAGCCAGGATTATCGTATAGAAACCATTCGCCCGGAAGGATATCGGGGGGCTGAACCTAACGTTGCATTCTATTCTGAAGGTTATGCGATGGTTTCACACGATTCGTCGGAGTCAACAGCGTCGGACCGTGCCAATGTCGATATCTTGATCATTGGAGCAGGGCCCGCGGGGCTTATGGCCGCATGCTGTGCCGCGCAGTACACTCGGTCCATCCGAATCATTGATCTGAAAGAGAGCCGTACGAAGACGGGGCATGGGGATGGCTTTCAGAGCCGGACGCTGGAGATCCTAGACAGTTTTGGCCTAGCCCAGGATATCCTGAAGCAGAGCACGCCCGATGTGGAGGGCTCTTATTGGGTCGGTCCAAAGTTTACCAGACATCATGATTCGTCGTTTGGCTAACTTAACGTAGGCGGCGAAGAAAGACCGTGGACATATCCAGCGCGTGGGCATAGAGCCAGCCGGCAACGGGCATAACTCAAGGTTTCCAAAGGCGTTGCTCAACCAAGGGGCAACAGAGCAGATCCTTCTAGACTACTTAGATCGAAAGCATCAGATCCGTGTGGACAGACTGAAGTTGGCCCAGACCTTGCACATTCGTGACGTGGCTGATGCAGCCTTCCCGGTATCTGTGGACGTCCTGCATGTGATAGATAATGGTACCTGGTTCCCCCCTCATGAAAACAATGTCTGACCCAACGAGCAGACCGTGAACGCTCCAATGAGCGGGAAACTGTCAATGCACGGTATCTCGTTGCATGTGATGGCGCACACAGCTGGGCCAGACAGCAGCTGAATGTCTCCACGGAGGGGGACCCCAGCGGGTCAACCTGGGGCGTGTTCGATATAGTTCCCATCACGAATTTTCGTATGTCATTTGTCCATATTGATTCTCTCTTGCTATTGCTCACTAAGATCTACAGCCGACATTCGCCGGTCATGTGCGATCCATTCCGAGGGTGTGGGGAGCATCATGACTATACCCAGGGAGAACCGAATGGTTCGGTTCTATACTCATCTTCACGACGGCGTTGGCGAGACCAACGTGGACGATTCTGATGGTGTCCCGCACGAGCTGGTGGACAGAGCCGCAAGGACTATGAAGCCTTACAATCTGACATGTAAACATTGCGACTGGTGGTCACTATATAGGGTATACGAACCGACTATCACCCATGCGAGGGAGCGGGCTAACGGAATGCAGGTAGGAAGACGTTTAGCCACGAAATACAGACCTCATGATCGGTAAGTCCTCCAGTAGAGCGGTCAATGGAATAAACTAACACTTTGCAGGGTATTCCTGGTGGGCGACGCAGCCCACAGCCATTCGCCACTAGGAGGGCAGGGTATGAACGTGTCCATACAGGACAGCTACAACCTCGTGTGGAAGCTAGGGGTGGTGCTCTCCGGACGCTTTGACAGCATCATCCTCGATACGTACGAGAGGGAGAGACGTCCTGTTGCGGAAAGGTTGATGCGACTTGATGCGAAGCTTGTCCAAGCGTACGAAGACGGGTCCACTACAAGCGACAAAGGCGTAGCTGAAACACGCGAGGACTACTCTGGCTTCATGTCGGGTATCGAGCTGATATATCCCCCGGGTGTGCTTGTCTCGCAAGGAGGGAGCTTTGGCAGTGCCTCCGCAAGGAGTGTAAAGCTCGGTAGACGCATTGATTCAGTTCAGGTGACTACACACTGCGATGGGACCAGGACACAACTTGCGCGTTATTTCTCGACGAATGGATCATGGAGGCTACTCGTCTTCCCAGGTGACCTACGACAACAAGCGCGGATGAACTTGATCACTCGGTTTGCGGAAGCATTCGCCAAGTGTCCTTCTCTCGCAGCATTGAACCGAGCCTCCTTTGGGAAGGCAAAGTCTTCTATCATTGAACCAGTTCTCATCCACACCAGCCCAACAACAGCCTTCAACCTCCTGGATCTCCCAGATATGTTTCACCCATTTGACGAGGAGCTTGGATGGGATTACTGGAAGGTTTTCTCCGATGATAAAGAGCACTCCGCTGGTGTTGGACACGCCTATGAAACGTATGGGATCGATGACGAAGGACCATGCTGTCTGATTCTTTGCCGTCCAGATCAACATGTTGCGTGGATAGGCGATTCGGAAGATGTTGCTGGCTTGGATGAGCATTTCTCGAAATTGCTTTGTAAATAGTATTCGAATAGAATTTGTAAATATAGACCTGGCTTATCTTGCTTCGTCAAACATCTTACTGGAAATACATACCATATCTAGGTCTATGGGTTTATAGGGACCATCTAAATTCTTACCCATGCGGATGCATATAACCAGCCCAAGAATAGGTAGTTCTCATATTTGAGAACGAGGCTACATATTGGAACCCCTTCTCACATATCTATCATCATATCTTGTAGGGTATATCAGTCAGGTTAAGCTCTATACCAATAGTTGGTCAACGTTTTGGCGTAGAGGTTTTAAGATATCTCTTCTATTTCCCCATGCAAGTTCAAGCCATCAATTTATTAATATACCCTGCATAGTTACAACCACAGTACTTTTATTACATTAATAGACGTACATACTAGAATACACAACTTTCAAAGCATGAATGCAAAATCAAGACAATCAGACATATCCTTCCCTGGTACATTTGACACACTCCACATTAAAGACACCCACAAATCATGAGCGTGAGTTGGATCTACCACGCCACCGTCGAGCTCAGCCCGTCCAATTCACGCTGGTAGTTGCGATGAAGGGAGACCTGGTAGAGGAACATGCCGATCAAGTCCTTAGCATCTTTCAGGATCTTCACCCCGTCCTTGAAACTCTCTGGCTTCTCGACCTTGCCTCCAGTAACCACACCGTACCACTCCTTCGGCGCCGGATTATCCGCAGTAGCCACCTGGACGTCCAGAGTCGACCCAATGGCCAGTTTGATGAGCTCGGCTCCCTCACCCGTCGCCCCGAGGGCTTTACAATGGCCAAAGGCTTCCGCAATCCAGTACCGGATCTGTCCGGTTTTCTTGAGCGTCTCCACGTGCGAACCACCGGGGACGAAGGTGGCATCGAACATGGTCGAGCGCTGGCCATCGTACTGGTGATCGGGGATGACACCCTTGCTCGTGCTAGGCGATTCGCCGTCGGCGTAGACGGCGGACCGTTTCATGCCGATGACGAACGGGAGCGCGTTGGCCGCTAGCACGGCGGCCTTGATAGCGTTGAAGGAGACGGGATCGTAGCCGTCGCCGATGAGAATAGCGATGCGGCGGCTCTCGATGGTCGATGTCCGCGGTGTAAAGTCCGTCTGGGATAGACCCGGGGCCGTGTGTCCGGGATTCGGGCGCAGCTGCTTGTCCGGGATGGGGGCACCGACCATTTCGGCGACGGCTTGAGCCAGCGGCAGGTCGATCTCCGCCAGACGGTGGCCGGCCATGCGCTCGTAGACCAGGGGGTCGTCGCAGTGGTCCAGCTCGAAGCAGAACGCTTTCTGCATGTGGGCCTTTTCGTGAGGGGTCATCGAGTTGTAGAACATCTGGGCCTGGTTGTGGTGCTCGCGGAACTTTTCGCTGAGGGCGCGTCGCTTCGAGCCGCCGACGGTTTGCGGGTACGACACGAACCCGGTGTCCTCGGAGGCGGGGGGCACGGCCTCGTACCGGTTGGGCCAATAGTTGACGGTGCCTTTGGTGATGCGGTGGCGCTTCGCACCGTCGCGATTGTGGTTTATGAAGGGGCACACCGGTCGGTTGACGGGGATCTCCTCCCAGTTGATGCCCAGGCGCGAGATCTGGGTGTCAAAGTAGGAGAAGTTCCGGCCCTGCAGGAGGGGGTCGTCGGAGAAGTCGATGCCCGGGACGATATGGCTCGTGCAAAAGGCGACCTGCTCGGTTTGGGGGAAGAATTCGTCGATATTCTTGTCGAGGGTCATTTCGCCGATGATCCGCAGGGGCACCAGGTTCTCGGGCCACACCTTGGTGGCGTCCAGGATGTCAAAGTCGAAGTCGTGCTGCTTCTCCTCTGGGATCACCTGGATGGCGAAGTCCCATTTCGGGAAGGCCTTGCTGTCGATGGCCTCCATGAGGTCCTTGCGGTGGAAGTCGGGGTCCTGACCGGCCAGCTTCAAGGCTTCATCCCAGACGAGGGAATGGACGCCCAAATGCGGGATCCAGTGGAACTTGACGAAGTGGCGCTGTCCGGCCTTGTTGATCAGGGAGAACGTGTTCACCCCGAATCCTTGCATCATGCGGTAGGATCGGGGAATAGCCCGGTCAGACATGGCCCACATGAACATGTGCGTGGCTTCGGGATGCATGTAGACAAAGTCCCAAAAGTTGTTATGGGCCGTCTGCGCCTGGGGCACTTCATTGTGCGGCTCTGGCTTGACTGCGTGAACTGTAGTAAGGTTAGAACTCATGTCCTACCTTACTCATGGCATTTACAAGACCTACCAAAATCCGGAAACTTGATGGCTTCCTGGATGAAGAAGACCGGGATGTTGTTCCCCACGAGGTCCCAGTTGCCCTCGTCGGTGTAGAACTTGGTGGCGAACCCACGAACGTCACGCACGGTGTCGGGGCTACCTCTGGAGCCCTGCACCGTCGAGAAGCGGACGAACGTGGGTGTGGACCGCGATGTGTCTGTCAATACACCAGCACTGGTCACATCTTCGGCGCTCTCCTTCAAGCGGAAAGTGCCGAATGCGCCGGTCCCACGAGCATGAACAACTCTTTCGGGAATGCGTTCATGGTCAAAGCGATGGATCTAGCACGCCAGTTAGAGCCGTCTGCTGTACGAGATGCTTCAGGAACGAATGTTGACTGACCTTTTCGCGCGCAATCTGGTCCTCCAGCAAAGAGGGTCCGGTTTGGCGATCATCGACGGCTTTCAGCCAATTGTCGGGATTGGTGACACGGACTCCATGGTCCGTTGTCATAGGCGTCTGGGTATGTCCCTCGACGGTGTCATGCTCGAGATCGATGGTCTTCTTGTCTTTGGGGGCCTGTGAGGTGACCATATTTTGGGTCTTGTTTTTCAAGCCCTCTGCTAGAGCCGTTGCCATTTTATTGAATTTTGGTGCAGGTGCTGCTCGGTCTGGGTAGAGCCAAGGAAATGAAAGTCGTTAGATAAACGTCCAGGGACCTGTACCCCTGTGTCATTTTTAAAGGGGTGGTCCAAGATGGTGCTCCCTATGGTTGTAACGTCATGACGTCTTTGATGTGACCGAGCCGTGAGCTCATCCCGTCACGTGAGGAAGCAGGATTTTCAGGATTTCCAGCAGAAATCCTGCTTCAACACATTTCTTGATGTGTCTGATGATGGTGATTATAATGATCGTTGAGCCTATAGGATGATTTACCGTCGTAGTGCTCTGATGGCATGGTTGTCGTGGATTGCTCTGCCAGGACAGGGCAGTATCAAGTGCCTTGTACCTGAATCCGGTAGTTGTCATCGGATTACTATCTCAATTTTTATTGGTTCTGAGCCTAGATGTCACATTTGTAGCATAATATTTAGTAGAATAATCTATTCAGGAGATTAATCAGTAAATGCTTGACAGGGACGTTGATGTAGCATTCGCATCGCTTACCTTCGTTGCCGGTGGCCATCTAGCTCGCCGGATTTAGTCAACGCGCACATATACTTCCCTACATCGGATTTAGCATTCACTATCCAAACTATCACTCGCGTTTCGAGCTGTGGCTGAGTATCGGGGGATCGTGGTTGCTTTATGAGCTTTCTTAGGTTTATTTGTCTGGATGACACCTTGTCTCCGTGCCTACGTCGGGCAATTGAGCGAAATATCTGTACCGAGTTTCTCATCCTATTCCGTTCAGTATATGATTTTCGATTTTTTACGATTGACGCTAATTCCAATATAACAAGGCTGGGCTTATCATACAACATAATCTTCAGGATTGGACTACTCCCATGGCAATACCTTCAAGACTGCTACGCCAAGACGTTGACCAACGTTTGGTATAGGGCTTGACCTGACTGACATCCCAACACATACTTCCTGAATCAAACCATCTTTAACCTTGATATCTGTCGTCAGCATTATGACGCATCTACACCAACGATTACAATATCTGAATGACATATCATTGCACCGTACAGCTAATCTGCAATTAGTCACGTCTTCCTTTCCTGTGCTTTCACCCACTGGGTTACTTGGTATATCACTTGAATCTACTCAAGGAGTGGTATGATACCCTATGGGCCGGGCTGCAGTATTCAAACTGCTAGATTCTGAGAGAAGGGGCTGTCAAGATAGCCCTCCAACGCCTATTGGCTTGCAAGGAGTCCTAGGAGTTCCTACAAAAGAGGCCACTGCGCCGCATACCGCAGCCGCCATCATCCACATGCAGCAATCCAATAGGACGTCATCGTCCATCAACCCTCGACGTGGACCTCTCAAAGCTTTGTGCGTGTTCAGCGAGGTAGTTCACGACATGGATCTGGTCGAATCAGCTTTCATTGCGAGCCAACACTACACTCATGTCTATTGCCGCAGTAGGGTCGACGCGGCGCAGCGGCTGCCGGCTCGGGCAATCCACGCCTATCAATCAATTAGCGCGATGGAGCTGCACACCATTTCCCCAGATAATGAGGCTGGCGGGGGTACATCTGGGCCTTCTTGCTGTCGATCTCGGGAAGGTTGCCAGGAGGACTCACAACCCCGTCGGCGTCTCGCTATAGTTGGGAGTCTCGACTCGACCTCCTGCACCTTGCTCTGGAATAGTGCTAGATCATTCTTTACTGTCCAATGGTTTCCTCTGGTCTAGGTGATGCGTTGGTGGGGCGCGTCTGCGATATCCCATCCAACGTACTCTAATATCCTGGCGATGTGCGTGACTCGCGGGCCAGTGGCACAGCTCACATCTGCATTGGATTCCTTTCACTATTATACATCCTCCTCTATGTCCTAGGAGAGACAGACAGCTATAAATTCCTCCTCTCAACTCCCCTTCCATGACCTTTCCTGGGTTCAAGGTTCACCACGACCGCTCTACGACGTCGAAACGGTTAAGCTCAAGATGGCAAATAAGAAGAAGAAGTCTCTCATGCTGAAGAAAAACCGGCTCAAGGTCGTAGTCGACGAGACGGCACCTCTCTCTCCTCCTCCTCCTCCTCCTCCTCCTCCCCCGCCCCCCGTGGTTGACTACAACCAACCATTAACATCGTGAGCTCGTGGAATCCCCGACCATGCACGTTCACCATCGGCTAACCAGTGCTCCCCCAATGATTGTAGCCCGTACACGCGTTCGACTGTGCTACGGATCGGGAACAATACCTATCATATCCCAGCGACGTACCTAGACAAGTACCCAAAATTGCTACCGAGCTTCATCTTTGGTGAAGCTTACCCACTCGACATCGACGGGGATATTGGACACGCCGTGGTTCACTTCATTTATACCGGCGGCTATGAAACACTCCAGACCTCTCTTGACGACCCCAATCAGTACATTCCACGCGAGTTCCAGCGAGCCGTCCAGGTCTATTATACTGCCCATAAGTACCAGATACACGGCCTAGGCGAACTAGCCAAGACCTACATTGAAAAGCTCGGCGACGTAATTGGCATTGTCACTATATTAAAGGCAGTCCGAAAGGTGCATTCACGACTTCCCAGCGACGAAAGCTGGCTCCACGACTACCTCCACGCCAAGCTCCAGGGCGCATTCGACGCGGACGAAAACACTTTCACCCGCGATGAGTTCTACAGCAGCCTGGGAGATGACAATGTCTTCAACCAGGCGGTCATGAAGATGGTGGTGAATATCTACGCGAGCACGGTATCCTCTCTGCGCGATCGTGCAATTGAGGACAGTCAGGTCGAACCGGTCCCAGAAATGCATATAGAACCTGATTATCCACCGACACCTGAACAGTCCAGTCTAGAGCCGATTGCTGAGGACCCACCCGCCGGTCCAGTCGAGGCTGATGAGGTGCCGGTTGAAGCGTGCGTCGAGGATGCTTGTGATTTGCCTACGGTTACTCCGATCGATGACTGGGGTCCTCCTGTTGAGCGGCATTCCGTTCCGGTCTATTGACCTGCTATTCATACGGAGGTATCTGCTTGAGCTGGGCAGAAAGCCTTTCAGAGTCAAGAATTGATTTGCCAGAACTCTTGCTTACGTCGTGGTTATATATGGACGAAACTGTAGAGGAAGGAGCAGGGATGAGCTGTGCTAGGAACTATCGTTCTCGCGTTGATTTTCGTTTATATTCGTCTAGAAATTGGCAGTATCAGAAACAGTCAATAGAACTCTTCTTTTTTTCTGGTATGTAAAGGCACTTTTCATTTGAAACGTCTCACGTTCAATATATAGAAGTCCTATCATCATCCATATCAGACACACCATTATATATATCCGAACGACTAATCACCAACAAGTCAAAAATAACGTTTCAATATATCAAGACAAAATAAAAATAAAGATAAAGAACTCGAAAATAAAGCAGTAATGGATATAGACCAACATCGACCATAGCAGATTCACAGACGAAAAACATGGGGAAAGCCGACCCAACCGGACTTGACCCGATCCGTCACGTCACCACCTCCGCCCGACTTCCCCAACTTCCACCTCACCACTTCTATCCCTCCTGCTCCCACCGTCCCAATCCGCGTCCACCAATCCAGCACAATGGGCTTCATTACTCGCACCGTCAAGGTCACCACTCTCGGCGCCGCCACCGCCGCCGGTGCCTTCGCATGGGCCACGCGCAACGACAAGCTGGTCCCCATGACCCCCGCCGACCGCATCTTCTCCTCACCCGCCTACCGCAACCTCAACCCGAGCAACAACCCCACCACCCACGACTACTACGTGCGACGGGTGCCATTGACCGATATAAAGCCGTCGCTGCTGGAGAATAAGGGAAAGCTGACGGAGGCGTTTTGCGCAGGGGTCTGGAGCGGATGGGGTGTGTCTCTCTCTTCTCCTCATCATACCCATCCATTCTACCAGCATGCATGAATGCGATAAATCTTCGACACCCACCACAGTAAAAGCGATGACTAACCAATGATTACAACCAGGCTACGCATTCCAACGGGCCTACCTCTCGCGCAAATACGAGAACCCCTCCACAGCATCCGACCTCTGGACGCGCGAAGCCCTCCGCGAAGGCCCCTACGAGCTCGGCACGCGCATCACAGACCACTTCGAGGTGTTAGAAAAGAGCACAGAGCGGATTGTGGTCCGGTGCGGGGCGTCGCCGCGCGAGACGGGAGTGCGCGACTCCGACGGGCTATTCGAAATGTCAGCTGTTGTGAAGGCCGATGAGGGCGTTGCGGAGTTTGGGCTCAAGAGTTGCTTCTTCCAGGGGAGGGGGAAGGCGGATGCTCCGCCCATGCCGGCGCATATTGATTGGTTGCATAAGCAGTATACGAAGTTGTGGTTGGAGACGGCGTTGGTGAATGTGAGGCGGTAGGGTGGTTTTCCTGGGGGACGGGGGGTTAGTGTAAGATGGGGAGGATGGATGGGGTGTAGTATAGTGTGTTTGGGATGGGGAAGTAGCTCAGGTTGAGTCGTTGTGCAGGTTCCTTTACTTGACATTGAAGAGGACACTGTCTCCCCTGCAAGGGTGCCGTCTAGAAAGTTCATGGGTACGAATCAACCCTTACAGCGACTCGTTTAATATACTCAATGCACAGACTTGACGTCAACACGGGGGCCAACACCGTTTCTACCGTTTATGATATGTCAAAGACATCCCAGAATAGCAGCCGTTGATATCCAAACCGGAGTTGGATCTGAAGTTTCGCAAACCGTTAGTGGAGCCAGCAGCGGTGAGGCCGTTTTCCAAAATTTTTATACAAACTTGACTAAATAGAACACCGATAATAACAAGTCATAAACATCCACCCCATATAGTAAATGGAGAGTAAGATCGATAGTAAGCCCTCGGATCCATCTTCTGAGTACTATATAAAAGTCAAAACAGACAGATCTGTCATATGCAATAAGTATCCTGCATGTGGGATGGAATGATAGCTGCAAAGATAACCTTGCATGAGGAATGATTGGGAAATTAATTGACTGCTGCAGAAGCACACGTCTCCTGTCTATATTCCCAACGCCTGCACGAAGTAAGGGGGGTATGTGTGTGTCAGTGCACGTTAACTTAATTACTGCGCGTTCTTCAAGGTACAGAATCTGGTGTAGCCGGTATCAACAATGTAGGCTGAAAGTTAATGTATGGATACGTATGCGCTGTCTACCACGTTGTTACGCCAGTCTCCTTGCTAGCGAAATAGTGCAGCCCCACGAAGTCTACCGCACTGCAACCTCCATCACGCTTTCCATACCAGGACCATTCCTCCAGACACTCCGGATCTCGAGTCCCGCAGACCCAAGAAGCTCCTTCCACTGGCTCTCAGATCGCTCCGCCCCAGCCCCGATGCTCATCATCTGGATGTCCAGGCTGGACTGTAGAAGCGGGGCGTGCGTGTCGGGGAGGACAAAGTCCACGATCACGATCCGGGAATACTCTGCGTCCATGGCGGAGACGGTGTTAGCTAGGATCTGGCGGCAAATATCATCCGGCCAGTCGTGGAAGATGGCGCGGAAGTAGTAGATTCTTGCTCCTGTGTAAACCGTTAGTCACAACTCAAAACATGTCTCCCAATACAACCAAATGGAACATAGAATAAAGCAGAAGGGAATATACCCTTCACTGGCTGCGGATCAAAAAAGCTATACCCCATAGTCTCAACGCCATCCTCCTTCAACGACGACGCCGGCGCAGACGCCAAAACCTTGGGCAAGTCCTGCAGCACCACTCTCCCAGCAACAGAGGGGAACCGTTTCCGGAACCGCACCAAGTCATGCCCCTGATTCCCACCCACATCGACCAGGAAGACAGCGTCGTCGCGCGTAACAGCCGTCCGGCTCAGCCGCTCAACAGGAAATGTGTCGAACCAGGCGGGCTTTCCCTGTCGGCGAGAAGCCATGTACGAGTTAAAGCGCGTCTGGCTCAGCTTGCGCTGAGCAAGCCACTCAAACTGGCTTTGGCCGACGGCCCACTGCATCGGACAGCTCTTGTACTCCCTGGGCATGACATACTGGTGGTCGCGGAAGTAGTCAGGGAGTTTGGAGAGCGTTGGGAGAGTGAGGTCGTAACTGTATTTTTCACCATTTTAGTATGTTGCACGTCGTTTTCTTTGTTCATTCCTTCCCGAGGCATTTTTTCTTTGTGCGTTTGAAACATCGGGAAGTAACAAAGGAAAGAGAAAACGTACATGCAAGGAACACCGTCCCTGCCGATCGGCTGCGTCAAAGCCAACGTCTTGCTATTCGGCAGGTACACCTCGGTCGAGGGGTTGTCGCACAACCCCAGGGCCACCATGACTCTCATGAGTCGCACTGCAGCAGTTAGGACTCGCACTAGTCATGATTTTGAAAGGGAGTGATAGTACCTATCAAAGCCCGCTCGGCACCGGTATGGCTGGCCAACTCAGAGGCCGAAAGGCCCCTGTGTGCATGTTGCACGAGAAGAGGGCAGATACCCATGTCCATGACGGTGCGGAGGGCTGCATTTTGGGGAGGCTAATGAGCGTTAGTATGTTTATTCTCTTTGTATCCGTATATATGTGCCTGTGTAATTGGGTAGATCAAAGCCAGAATGAAAGAAAATATGTACGACGAACCTGATAAATGAGACGCAGGACGGTCTCGTTCGGCGTTTCCACGGCCAACTTCAACTCATCAATGAGGGTGAGGAGTTGGGAATGCGAGTCCGGGGATGCATTGTGCTCGTTCGCTGCGGCGTGGCGAATCCGGTCGACCAGCGTTAGGAGGTCTGACCTTGGTGGTGCTTCTGATGACGATGCTGGGGATAAGTTTGGGAAGGCAGGGAGTGCCGAATTCGGCATGGACACCGCCGTGGCAGTCATATTTACTCGCTGAGAGATTGATATATGTACAGAAGGAGTGTGTATTTGCAGAATGTGTCGGATGTAATATGCATGTGATGTAGGATGACGGCGGTGACAAAAGGGTCGAATATATAGCAGTAGCCATACAGGCACTGCCCGGGGAGGAGATTTGGTCGATTGCTATCCAGATACGAATAGTTCAATGGCATCAGGCTAAGGCGACAGGGGTCGGGGAGAGCTGATGGGAGCCCTTGCCCACCTGAAAACGGCGAAGCGACTGAGACACTCGGATTCTTTCACTAACTCGAAAAAGTAGTCCAGTCCCACGACCAGTGGCCACAAATGAACCATCCCTCGCCGATTCTTCCAAACTCAATCTACAGGTATGCGATCGATGTGGACCGACAAACCTGGACGATCCCACCCCACCCACTGACCAGGCCAAGGCAGCTACGCCCTCCCATTATTGACAGACGCTATCGTTCTAGCGGTCCAATCAAACCGGGGAGATGCAGTTCCAGCTGGGCCCTCGATGTTTCCTTCTTGATGTAAATGTCCTGGTCAGGAAAACATGGCTGAGGGACTTTTGTTATTGAGGGATATCGCTGGGAGGCCACATCCGCATCCCAGCAATCCGATCCATGGTGACGGTAGCTATCGGTCCAGATTGAAACTCGCTGCAGTTCTAGAGGCCGTGGAAACTTCCATTTTCCCGCGCAATCCAACGTCGCCGCCACAATCAAAAGTCCGTGTGACGGACTGGGTTCTTGTCACACCCCTCCAGCTCGACGCTAGCGATGCGGATTTATCAAGTGGCCGCGGCTGTGGGAACTATTGTCCGGAGGGGACGCTACCGTGTGACGGGTGGGTGGGGGGATCGAATTCCCAAAGAATCATCCTAGTTGTTTTCTGACGCAAGGAGAGTCTGGCTCCACTATGATGCATCCACATGTCTATGTAGATACTGGATTCGAAGTCATGAAAGGATCATCACTGGGATTCGCGCTGAAACTGTGCAATGCTGGGTGATGACGGAAAGCAATTGGCTCTCAAAGTGCATAGCCGCCACACCATGACCCTCCAACTCTGCGCATACAGCGGCTACTTTGAGGGGCGCCTTTAGGGAGGATACTATCTCTGGGTTGTGATCGCTAAGATCTGGAACGAGGTGGAGCCGGTGGATCTGGGTTGCATCATCTCTCGGGCCTTGCGAACAATACTAACTTCGTTAAAAGTTAGCTTCCCCAACTTTACCAATAGTGGTGTGCTAATGGATCGGGACGAGGTCGATCACCCGGCCTTCGTATGTGATTTCCACAGATTGTGGGCAAGCGAGGTGCTAGACTGAGTCGCAATACGCCTGGTCCCTTCTCCGTTGAATGAGAACCGGCTGTGGCTGCGCTGCCACCCTCCCCGGTCCGCCGCTTTTTTTGGACTTTTGTCATTTCGTTACACGAGAGGGTATTGACAACCACCCGGCTGTTGCGCCGTCGGTTTGGTCATAGAATGTGGCTGCACACTGGCTGTCTGGTTGGAGCGATCTAGAGCCAAGATACTGGCGGAACCACCGGATTCATTTTTGATAGGTCATGCGCGGATGCATAATCGATGTTCTCTTTCTTATTTCGGTCCAGTGCTGGGAAAAGACATCGAGATCGCAGAAGTACTGCGAATCAGCGTGGTGAACGGCTGACCACCACAAAAAGCAATAGCGCAACCCATGTGGAGCTGGACAGGGTTCGTGCCGTCAGCCTGCATATCATCAGGCGCCACGCTGGCCAAAAGGCGAAGATTCCTATTTTAATAAACCCCTGTCACGATTGGTAGATGCATGAGAACCTTCCCCTTAGAATTCGTCAGGCCTGTGGTATTCCGTTGTTTGGTCTTCTAATTTGTATTTTTCCATGTTTGGCTTTTTGCCCAAACTTCGGGGACGAACTCCCAAGGCCGCGAAGCTACTTCCTGAAAAGACAGGTCAGATCGCCAGAGAAATACATTGACTCGTCCAATGGCGGTCGGATTTCAGCTGAGTGATATTATGATCCCCGACCGTAAACGATTAATTGGGGTATTGATGGCGAGGGACTTATCCTTGACCACAAGCTGAACATCGGCTTGACCATCGCCACGCTGATGCTGATCATGTCGCAACCAACTGCCAACAAGACTAAATGAAAGACCATTGTTCAATATGAGGAAAACCTAGTTCGAGTTCCCATTGGTGACATGTCGAGAGCGACAGTTCCCGCGCTGCATGATAGATGCGGGGACATGCATACGAAGAGGCCCACGGTAGGCTGGCTCCATACATATACTGAATAAATGTTGAATGAACGGACCCTTGCGGATTGGCGTGCCTGCAAGGGCAAGCCTTTGTGCCAAATTATCCAATCTAGATTCCACATTCTTGCCCGGAATCGCATTTTTACCCTGGCATGCCAACCATTTAGCGTTACCTACTGAAGGTTTCACCAACACGACTCCGCGTCGTAGACAAAGGTTAGTTTGAGTTTGTACAACAGAAGATTGAAGCATGTAATGAATATATCAGCAAGGTCAAACATGAGCGGAGGTAATTACGGAAGCTTGAGTGATCCGGAGCAAGGACGCTGTTTAGCACGCCGAACTCAGTAATGTTTGTTTTCGTTCATCTGGACTCGTCCAAGGGAATCTTGATGTCTCAGTCGGCAAAAAGTCCACCGCAAACCCCAAATAGTACACATCAACAGAGGCACGACCCTCTCGAGGAAGCGAAACGCCGAGCTCCCCGATCACGAGCTCGTGAGAGCGTGCGATCGGCGATCGATCGAACACCTGGGAGTAGATTTCCGCGTCGATCAGAGGAACCAGCTGCTCGGTACTTGGGGCGTATTCCCATATCCGACCGGTGTGGCGACCGCAATCGAATGGCTGAAGGACACTATCAGGGTTGACCCCTGCTTGCTGCAATGCACGTAGCCCCCCAAGGCAATGGTACCGGGAAGTTTCCTCGTGCATGGTCGAAGTACAAATGACAAATTGTACGGCGCGCACCCGACGTCGAGGATCCTGCGTCGTGATTGGCCGATCGAACAAGACCTATGTTCTTCGGGAGTGTGTCGATCCTCCCAGGCTTTGATACGTGATTCGACCATGAGGCGATCGGAATCGCCGACCATGTTCATTTTTATCTTAGGGTCAGGTCTGTGCGATGAGACTCCTGAGCTGAAGAGCTTTAGTTCACTCAGGGTTGCATTGTAGACCTGTTTTTTTTCGATCCTGCGATATGCGATAGGATGGGGGGTATTCAGAAATCCACTATGCTCTCAATAACCAGACGCAGCCAGGAAGGCAAATTAACGTCATACCGCCACCGATACACCGCTGGGGTGGGTGAGTATTCGGCGAGATTTATCGGCATGAACAAAGGGCTATGCGTCGACCAGGATGTAGGTATTACTATATCCGGAACAGTGGAGATGCTGACCGCACGCAGTGCCACGGCCAATTGGAAAACAAAGGTTGCCGACGCTGGTATAGGGTCTCGAGGATTGCGTTTAAATACGGATTGAACTCCCATCAGGGTCTTATGCTCTGTTGTTGTCAAGCAGTCACTCTTCCGCTTTCATCATGGGTATTCCGGTGTTCGACGACACTTTGGAAGACGTTTCCAAGCTGTCAGGGCCAGAACAGCTCATCGCGCAGTTCGGGCGCCTTCACATTCTAGATGACTTGATCCGCCTGCGGGCATCAGATGCTATCCAGAAGCCCATTCTGGCTTATCCCAAGCCTTCGCAGGATGGTTCCCCAGCTTCATACGAGTACTTCACGGGGCAGGACCTGGACTGCATGGTCGACCTAGCCGTCTGCCAACTGATGGAGTATGGTTTCAAACCGGTAGGTTTCCTATCCTTCCTTGCCGGATGAGACGTTGTTGACATTGGTAGCCTCGCCGTGACGGCAGCATCGTCGCCCTTTTCACCCTCTCAGACCTAAACATGGTCGTCACATTCTTCGCCCTCAGCCGTCTCGGATACACCGTCATGATGCTGTCTCCCCGTCTCTCCCCCGCCGCCTGTGTGTCTCTTCTAGACACCGTCGGCTGCGACACGATCATGTACGGCCAGAATGCTAGCATCCGATCAACCATGGGCGAGATCCTTCGCCTCAAGCTGGTAGCATGCCGGCCCATGGTGCAGCGCGCAACCCTCGGGGAAGTAGCCGACGACTCCACATTCATGGTGCTCCAACGGCATCGCAACCCGGAGCTCCAAAAGGAGAAGATTGCTCTCATCCTTCACTCGTCCGGGTCCACCGGAAACCCCAAACCCCTCTACCTGAGCCACAAGGCCTTGATGACCCACCCCATGAGGGGTCCTGGCCTCACGTCCTTCAACTCCCTCCCGTGGTATCACCTCCATGGCTTATCCACTGCCCTACAAGCCATGTACATGAAGAAGACTGCGTTCATGTGGGACGCAGCACTACCTTTGACAGCCAACACGGTTGTGCCTGCCCTGGAGGCAGCGCGGCCCGAGTCAGTCCAGGGCGTTCCATACCTCCTTCAACTGCTTGTAGACAGTGACAGGGGTTTGGACGCGCTCCGAGAATGCAAACTAGTGACATATGGCGGCGCGCCGTGTCCAGACGAGCTGGGCAATCGACTGGTCGATGAACGAGTGCGATTTGGCGGGTCTTTCGGCTTGTAAGTACCACTTTAAAAAATCCCCTAGATGTGTCTGATCTAACAACCCTAGAACCGAGGCCGGCCTGGTCGCGGAATCCATCTCTCGCCCCGAGGGCGATCCATTCTGGAACTACTTGAAGTTCTTCGAGAACATCCAACCGTTCATATGGATGAAGCCTATCGGTGACTCGCTATACGAGTGTGTATACCTCCAGGGTCACCCAGCTCTGACCTCATCCAACTCCGACCAACCCCCAGGCTCGTATCACTCGCGGGACGTATTCACACCACACCCTACGATCCCCAATCGGTGGAAGTACATGTCGCGACTGGACGACCGAGTCGTCCTGCTCAATGGCGAGAAGGTCCTCCCGTTGCCGATTGAAGGGTGCATCAAGCAGAGCCCTCTAATCCACGAAGCTGTCGTCTTTGGCGTCGGCAAGACTGTCCCCGGACTGCTGGTCTTCCGGTCGGACGACGCCCACCAATTTTCTGACAAGGAATACATGAGCTTGATCTGGCCCTCGATCGAAGACGCCAACTTGCGCGCGGAGCAGTTCTCACAGATCTCGAGAGACATGGTTGCTGTCTTACCTAGTGGCTCCGTGTGTCCCCGCACGGACAAAGGTTCCATGATCCGCGCCCAAGTGTACGCCAAATATGATGGTGTTATCGACGAAATGTACACGAGGGTGGAGCATAGCGCGGATGGGTTACTGGAGATGAGCCTTGATGAGACCAAATTCCACCTTGTGACCCTCTGTCGGGAAGAGCTCGGGTTCCCGCTATCAAGCGTCGACGGGGAGTTCTTCGCAGAGGGTATGGACAGCCTGAAAGCCATCCATCTGCGTCGTCTGATCCTGCGGGATTTCAGGATCGAGGACAGCAAGCGGATCGGGCAGAATATTGCCTTCGAGACGGGGACTGTCTCCCGATTGGCAGAGCATATCGTTGCCGTGCAAAGCGGGCAGGAGAGGGTGGTCAAGGATGAGGTATCGCTGATGCCGGGCCTCATTGAAAGATATTCCACCTTCCGCAAACACACACCCAACCCGAGACGCGTTTCTAACTCCAGGAGCGTGGTCCTGACCGGCGCGACCGGCTCCATGGGCGCTCACATCCTCCACAAGCTCCTAAACGACGACTCCGTATCGGCAGTCTACTGCTTAACACGACGGAGCCGACCAACGGAAGCAGTCCTGGACGCGCTCGCACAAAAGGGCCTCTCCGTCCTACCGCACCGACGAGAGAAAATCATCGCACTGAACAGCGCTCTGGACCAGCCCGACCTAGGCCTCGACGAGGACATGCTCAGCCAGATGAAACAATCCGTCTCACTTATTATCCACACAGCATGGCCAGTCAACTTCAACCTCCCACTCCTCAGCTTCGAACCTCACATAAAGGGCGTCCACAACCTGATCAACTTGTCCCTATCAGTGACGCTCCCCTCCCCAGCCGTGATGCTCTTCTGCTCGTCCATCTCGACAGCCCTCGGCGCGTCCTCGCGCGCTGTAGACGAAACACCTATCAACGACCTCAACAGCGCGCTCGAGATGGGCTACGGCCGGTCCAAGCTAATCGGCGAGCACATCGTCAGCAACGCGCGACAAGCCGGTGCGCGGGCCTTCTCGCTCCGCATCGGACAAGTATCCGGTCACTCCAAACGGGGATTGTGGAATGACTCTGAAGCCATGCCGCTGATGATCCGGTCGGCACTGACACTTCAGGCGCTGCCTGAGCTCGACACAAGGTGCTCGTGGCTCCCCGTCGACAAGCTGGCTTGTTCAATGCTGGAGATTGCCAAAGCGTGCGCCGCGAACTCGCTTGAGCCACGGGAGCGCGACCCCGCGACAGGGAAGCTTATCGACGACACGGTTTACAATCTGACAAACTCTCGCACGTTTTCGTGGGCAGAGATGCTCGGAGCGCTGCGACGGAGCGGGTTTCAATTTGAGACGGTGTCCTTCGACCGGTGGCTGGAGCTGATGAAGGAGAGTGAAGCCAGAGGAGAAGAGGCTGTCAACCCAGCTGTGAAGCTTGTTGAGCATTACCAGTCGATGTACAGTGAAGATGCTCCTTCTTCTCCTTCTTTCCTGACAGAGAAGGCCGAGCGGGACAGTGTAACGTTGAGGAACGGTCGGTTGAGAATTGTACAGGATGGGATTCTCGGCCGATATGCACAGGATTGGTTGCGTCGGTGGACGACGATCTGATCTCGATCTGATCATGACTTTGTATATATTAGCGTTTTTCGGGTTGCACACAACTTTGTCTATAGTTTGGGTTGGGGGTACCGGTATATATGATTCAATGGATAGCGTGATTTGATATGTGGGCATGTACAATGGAACGTAAGAAGGTAGAAGTGTGATGGTAGCAGTGACTGAAGCGAATATCACCTGGTATAAATAAGAAGGCATCACATGACATTCCCCCGTGACTTGTTCTGTTACATTACGATCGTGGTCGACCAGGGCTCTTCATATCTAATATGAATTATTGTTTAATTTATCTTGGTAGAGAATGGCGACAATTTGCATATCAAGGAAATCTCGAAGGCGCAGCCCAGCAGTATAGGAAAGAAAAATGCGTAGTCTAAAGCGGAAAGAGGAAAGAATTAAGTATTTTGCAAACATTCTCTCCTGGATATAGTGCCGTGAAATCAAATAGTAAGGAATGTTGTCTAAGAACAGATATTGGACTAGACCAGGAGCCCCAGGACACAGGCAAAAAGGAGAGTTGGGGTGCGCATCGACAGCTTGTCAGCTGCGCTGGTAAACATGGCAGCGCCAGGGGTAGTCGCGGAGGGGTTGGTAGACCCGCTCGCCGTCGAAGAGGCACCTTGGACCGCGCTGGTGGGAGTCGCGAATAGGAAGCGAGAAGACGACGAGACCTCGATACTAGGGAGAGGGGCGGCGTTTGTGGCATGGCTAGAGCCACCGACTGCATCAGCGCCAGAGGGTACAGCGGGGTCGGAAGGCTCATCAGCCGGAGCGGCCGGCTGAGCAGGGACGCCAGCAGCGCCGGGATCCTGGGCCTTGGACGGGGGAGTAGGAGGGGTAACTCCGGAGCCCGACTGGGAGGGATCTTGGCCAGCAGCGTCGGAATCGCCAGCTGGCACGGCGGGGGCGGCGGGAGCAGGTTCCGGCTCGTCCTTAGGAGGGTGAACGGGAATAACAGTGACCCCGTCGTCGCTGCTGTCATCGGGGACCGCGGGAGCAGGCTCAGACCCGGTGTTGGGGGGGTGAACTGGAATAACAGTTCCCTCGTCACTGATGCCCTCGTTGCCGCTGTCGTCACTCGGCGGCGCATCGGCACCATGGCTGGGGGCCGGGATCGGCACGGCACCGGTTTCGCCGCCAGCGGCCGCCGACGAGGCTCCTTCTGGGCAGTAGGTCGTGGTCTCCGTCACGAAACGAGTGCTCTTGGAAGCCGAGGCGTGGGCACCCTGATCTGCCGGCGGGGCGACCGGGGCAGCGGTGGGGGTCTCCTTGGGAGTCTCCTTGGGGGCCGGAGGAGGGGTGTTCTCGGGTACGACGGTTGATGTCTCGGTAGCGGAAGTCGGGGGTGCGTGGGCGGACTCGGTGTGAGTCTTCTCGGCCCCTTCGGGGACGTTGGTGGCAGTGGACTCAGGAGCGTGCTCGGACACCGAGACTGAGGTGGTAGCGGAAATGGAGCCAGAGCTGGTGACGGTTGTATCAGACACGGAGATGCTGGTGCTTGACGCTTCGGAGGTGGTGGCCGACAATTTGGTGGCTGAGGGCTTAGGAATGCCATACTGGTACAGCTTGATGGAGTTGATCTCCCAGTAGGCCTCCTTGAAGGCCTCCGGGTTCTCCGCCACGTAGTTGACACAGCTCTGCATGGGGTTGCTCGAGTCGCTAATGGGGCAGCTGGAGTCACCATAGACGTTGCCGGACCAGTCACCGCAGAAAGTGGTGTCGAGGATGAACTTCTGCGGCTTGAATCGAGCAGCGATGTCACACGACCCTTGGAGGTGGGCCATGGGGGTGGGGAAGGTCGAGCTATCGGGGTGGCCATCGGTGATGGATGGTGGGATCGAGTCGCGGGGGAAGTACCAAATCTTGATGAAATCCTCCGTCCACTCCATGGCATAGACACCGCCGCCCTGCTTGTTGAACGGGTCTCCCGAGGAGCCCTTCTTGCCCTTGACCACGCAACCGATAGTACCCGACGCTTCGCCACACTCCCCGGAGCTCATGTCGCCGAGCATCTCATGGCCGCCACCAACGTCGCAGCTGCCACTGGTATGCAGAACGATCTTATTGGAATCATGCTTGTTGACTCCCTCGATGATGTCGATCTCGCCGTCCTCAGGCCAGCTGGGACCGACGGACCAGAATGCGGGCCAGGTGCCGCAGATACTCCCCGGCATATGCGCCAGATCCAGGACGTACAGGCCTTCCTTGTAGAAGCCCTTGGTCTCCAGGCGAACCGACTCCCGACCCGGGCCACTGGGGTCGAGCTTGGACTTGTGATCCACACCCATGTAGAGGCTGCCGCGCGAGGTGATGTCAATCAGGCCTGTGTCTTCGGCACGGCTTTGGTTGGTGTAGGTAACGAAACCATTGGTAGGATCGGGAGAATCGAAGAATTCCCACCCATCCCAGAAGGTATCACCGTGCCAGTTTTCCAGCAGTTGGTAGCTCTCCTTGGCGGCGGCAGCCGCCGGGGAGACCAGGGACGAGAGGGCGAGCGCCCCTACGCTCCACATCAGTGACGAAGACATCGTCAGTAGGATGTTGTGTAGTGAGCGAGTAAATGATCGACGGCTTTGTTGATATTACAAAGGTGAAATTGGAGGGATCTGGGGTCTCAAATTGGTTGACTAGCAAATCCAAAAGACAAACGGGGAGAGAATGACTCGAAAAGAATGGCACCCAACCGTCGAGGCTGAGTAGCTATAGAAAGAAAGGAAGGTAAACAAAAGGCGGGAATCAATCCACGGCGACGAAATAGCGAAGCAAAGAATGTAAGTGACGAAATGGAAAGAAAGATGAACCCTTGCAGGGACACGACCTACATATACTGAACCAGACCGTCCACGTCTGGGGGGTATGATTGTACCCCATTGGATAATATTATGGACCTCTTTTTTTTTAACTTTTCGTTTTTCTGTTTTGGAGTTGTCAATGGAGCAAGCGGCCTATTGTGGTCCAAGGCCCCATTCACCAGGTACCCAGAGGGGACAACAGCGTTCGTCCCTGGCAAGCCAGGCGAATCAGCAGTGACTAGAGAGAGTCCAGACTGGCTGGGCGCCTTCATTCTTGGCCAGGCATGCCGGGTGGGCCAGCGACAAGCTGCAGGCGCCGAGTGGACGGACAACCGACCTGAAACACCATGGCCGCCAAACGACCCGATGTGAAACAGGAGACCACTCCGTGTCGCCTCTGCTTCGGGAAGGGAGCTGCTGGACGACTCTGAGGACTTGATTTATCGTGGTCTTCAGTGATGATCTTTGGATGAGTCTGATCAGTAAAGAATGGATAGACAGTAGACACACTGGGTCTATCTGCCAGTCTGTTGTTGTTCTTCATCCCTCATCCAGCATTCTTAATCCCTGATGGGTGGCTGATCCAGTCCACCAATCCGACCGTGGAAAAATAATTATGTTTTCCCGTACCATGCCTGACACGACTAGGGAGTCGACACTGGGCCGTAGTCTAGACATCGCGATCTAACACACACTGTGGGGGTCCGGACACGCCGTTGTTTCTTAGTCTGCGTAGCGAGCAGCGTGTATCCGATGAGCGGCCGGAGAATGGTCGGTCTCCACTGTGGTATGGAGGAGGGGGCAGCTGGAGCATTCCCAGTGTCATCATTCGCTGGATAATTGGGACGGGACGATCAGTCGAGGCGAATCCTCACCATTGCAGACTGAGAGACACATCCATTTCATCTAATTTAATTTGGGAGAGTCGAGAGATGAAGGATGATTGGAGGTGAATTTGGAACGCGCGAAATGACGGTGCGACGATCCCTATTCTGATTGGTCCAGACAGCGCGTAGGAACCGCTGAGTCAGGACGGGCCCTATGCATCCTTGTGAACATTAACGATCCTCCCTTCATCTAGACCGCGTTGTTGGTTATAATTAGATTCTTTTCTCCATTCCATCTTCGGGTCTCGATGGAGATACTCGCTGCTGAGCCGTCGACGCCCCAGTTACTCAAAATACCCGGGAAAATTCCATGCGCGACGAGATTTGTCTCCAGAATCTGACCCGAAGAATGTCTAGAGCCCGTCCTGGATCCCGAGCAGTGGGGAGTGACCCAGCAGCGAGACAGGGTGTGAATGGGTGATTCGCCATATGGACAACGTTGCCGTGCCCCTGAGGCTGTACAGGTGGCTAAAAGAATTTTCTTCCCGTCCTCGATCCAGTCCACGACATACCTATTTCGAATGTCTGACCGGAAACCGCCCTTTTCTTTCAACATCGACGGCCAGTGGCAGCATGGACGCCTTGAGCCGTCCACTTTGAAACACACCCAACTCGTGGGAAAAGATCCTTCGTGCCGCTCCCATGCATGGTGGCGTTCGGAAGAATTAGCCACAGACCGGCCCTGTCTGTACCCCGCAGCTATCTTCGAGATGGACCAGACATGCATGGAGAGAACGGATGGCTACACCGGAGTACCTGTTGCGGGTGCGAGGGACAGGGCCTGGTCAACACTGACGCTATCGTCCGTGTTCCGTGCGACGGTAGAAAATGTTGGTGTCTTGGCTGGTATGTCTGGTAAGACAGGAATATCCCGTGTCGATCATGGACAGAACGGTCGAGTGTCAGTTCTGTATACGGGTTGGATCATCTAGCGTGGACCAGGGCCCTGCTAAGAGGTAGCCAACATGTACAGGGGTATTCACGGTGCAGTATTTGCTTCTGCCTCTCCGATGGAGGACTGTCGGGATGCTCTGCGGATAACCGTCGCATCTAAAATCTACGGGATAGAGGTGTCTACACAGCCACATCTGTGGGAAGTAATAATTAAACGTACTAATGTAAACTCTTCTTGCTGGGTGCGCCGGTTGACTGACGGCAATCACCGCTTCCACACTATCATCCTCATACAGGATTGATCACCTTGGGAAAGCGGCTTCCGAACAGGACATGACTTTCAAGTGAGACAGGATACATAGGGTCTATCGGTTATAAACCCAGTAATCTGATCAACCTTGATGTAAGGATTTTCCAAGAGTTAAGGATATCTAAATCGTTCTCAATGGTCCTACAGGTCAAGACGGGGATTCCCTGTACCAGAGTCTAGACAGTAATCATCTGCCTGACTTCTTTGTGTTGGCCTGTGATACCACTCTCATCGGTGCAATGAAAGAACCTCGAAGCCCACAAAGTAGATGGATCACCAGATCCACCTGTCTTGTGTTCGCAGTGGCGAGGCCCAATCCTTGGAGGAAATATCTTGGTTTCGAGTCTAATCGGGTAAATGCCCAGTTCATTCACTGGAAAGATGATCTAATTCATTCCTTCCATAATCCATTCCCATCTTTTCTACCATGACCACAAAATTTATATCAAGCACTCTATAATGTATAATGCTGATATTACTGGACAAAGCTTGGGTTCAATGGCTCGGTAACATGAAGCTCACGGATTATGTCTGTGGCATGTTAAATATATTTAGCTACCCGACATATGCAAACGCAGTATAGAGAGAGGTATGCTCCCACAGAGACAATATGATATGTATTATTTCAATGGCAAGTGAAGCCATTATAAACTAACCTACCGATGCCATTTATCAACATACTTGATAAATGCTAAATGACAGACCACAGATGAATGACTGCACCCTATGGGCCATCACAACTTAGCTTTTCCAGCATGCACACGTCGTCCCGTATCAACCTCAGTCCACCACGGAAAATTCGGCGGCGCATCCTCCTCCAACGTAGCCTTGAAGTTAGGTTTTCTCTTCTCAAAAAAGGCCTTGACGCCTTCGACTTGGTCCCTGCACATCATCAGCATACTGCCATTCATCAGTTGATATATGTATAACACACCTCCCCGAAAACATATGATACAACACCGCCGAATCCACCAAATGCGACTCCTCCGCACTAGTTGGGCCCCTCCACATAAGCATGCGACTCAAATACCCCGCCATGGGACTAACATTCTCCGCAATGTCAGTAGCAAGCTCCAAGGCCCGCTCGACGACCTTAGCCGGCTCGGCATAGGTCTCATGGAAGAGGGACCCAAAGTGCGGGGAGGTCGGGGGGAACACGCCGGCGGTGGTGAGGAGGTAGCTGGCATTGGAGTGGCCGATCAAACGGGGGAGAAAGAACGACGAGCTAGACTCCATGGTCAGGCCACGACGGGGGAAGACGAAGCCGTATTTGGCGCGGGAGCAGCCGATGCGGATCGCGGCGGGGAGGGTCATCGTCAAGCCTAGGCCGACGGCGGAGCCTTGCATTGCTGCGATGGTGGGTTTGCGGCAGCGGTAGATGGTGAGGGCGAGACGGCCGCCCCTGGAGCCTTGTTAGGATAATGGATGGATTGATTGAATGGGGGGAAGGGACATACGTGTCGCGGTGGTCAACGGTTCGCTCCTTCGTCATGCCTTGAAACCCCCGTTCGAGGTCGGCACCTGCGCAAAAGATCTTGCCTGCGCCTGTGAGAACCACGACTTTGACGCGCTCGTCGACGTCGAACATCGGGTAGATGGTCTCAAAGTCGGCCATCATCTCCAGGGTGAAGGCATTGTGTTTGTCGGGGCGGTTCAGCGTGACGACCACGACGGGGGTTGCTTCGGGGGCGCCTGGGGGGTAGTGGGTTACTTTGGTGTGGATGAGGGAGAGGGTCTCATAGGACTTGGGGGGATGGACTGGGGGTGGTTCGGGAATCATCTTCTATTCACGGGTGTCTCTTGGACTTGCGTGACTTGTCCTCTATCCTGGTGGTGAATGTAGGTGTTTTATACTCGGCGTGTTCACTAATCACGGCCACTGGGGTGATCGACACGCGGGGAAGTGGATTTTTGATAAAGTCATCAAGACTGCTGAACTACGAGGATAGTGTAATCCGGGGTAAATGATATTGTAATCTGGAGATATCTCCTGGATCATGTAATCTACATGTGTGGTTAAGTCAACGAATATAGAGTTGGGGATATGAGTCAGGTTATGCCGTATTACCATAATATATAGTCAAACCCATTAATGCAGCCATTATATATACAACCCGACGATCAGGTTTCTAGGCTGAGTTCTGCAAGACGGCGGTACGGTCAAACTATTGATTATATTGATGATCCTTCAAGCTATAAGACGTTGGGCATAGTTGCAAAACATGAAAGGTCAAGATTACAGTTCATGTGTAAAATATGGAGGAGATTCCAGGTCAACAGTAGTCTACAAAACAGAGTATAGACCATTCGAACACATTATAAGCCACGGTCGAGTTCCACACTATCCTCTCAAATGCCGAACCTCTCTCGGTGGTTGTGGGGCCGGGGGGGGGGCGCGTTCCCCGCACCGTCGGAGGTGGAGGCCGTCACAATGTGGACAGGGGTCGTAATCATAGGATTCAAAGGCCGAATCCTGCTGTTCTTACAGAGTTCATAGTTGGGAATGGGGGAGGTGAGGGGTTTGTGTGCGAGCAGGTTCCGAGGTCTTGGCTGGGGAGGTGGAGTGAGTGAGTGGGTGAAGAGGGGGAGTTCAAGTTGTGCTTGAGGGGGATAGAGTAGCAGATTGGGGATGTGATGAGGCAGTAGCTTGGACTGATAGGTATCTTGTGTCTGATTTCTGGTACAGGTGGTTGGCAGGTTGGTTGTTAGATAGTTGATATTTGTAGAATAATGGAACATGATATGCTTGACTGATCAGTAATTATACTCGGTATAAAGGTCTTGTATATTACTCTTGGGCTGTGATTATAGGCTCTTCATTGAGCTGTTCAGTAATAAAGAAATAGTAGTTAATAAAAGGAATATGAATAACCAGAGTTCACTATTAATTCATGATAATAGGATTAGTGATCTAGCCTCGGTGGATATACATCACGACTAAACAACCTTCCGTACCCAGACTTCCTTCCCCCCATCTTCCAAGAATAGCGTAGAATTGATAAATTCGGGCTACCTCCCCAGAAACAAGATACAGGGAGCACCTCAGACAATCGAACCACTCTCTCCACCAACATGTCCGAACTCCGCTCAGCAGTCTACATCGCACCGCCCGCCCCTTTCCAAGCCCCCGGCAAAGGCAAAGGCGGCCTCTGGTCGCCCATCTCCTGCACACTGATCTACTCCGCAACGGAGGCAGTGCTAGTCGACACGCCCATTACCATCAAGCAAACCCAAGAGCTGCTGTCCTGGATCGAACGCATCGCCCCGAAGCGCACCCTAAGCTACATATACATCACGCACGGACACGGCGACCATTTCTTCGGCCTGCCGGTGCTGTTACAGCGCTTTCCCGATGCGAAGCCCGTAGCGACCGCCGCGACACTACGGCACATGGAGGAGCAGATCGAGGAAACAAGTTACCAAGCGCAGTGGGAGGCTCTGTTTCCAGGGCAGATTGAGCGCCTGTTCGTGCTGGCCAGCCCGTTGCCGGCGAATGGGGAGTTTCTCCTGCAGGGCCGATGGCTGTTCCGAGCGGTGGAGGTGGGACACACGGACACCTATGATTCCTCTATCTTGTGGGTTCCGGACTTGCGGCTGGCGGTATGCGGCGACGTCGTGTACGGACAGGTGCACCAGATGCTGAGGGAGGCGAACACGGCGGAGAAGCGGGCGGAGTGGATTTGCGCGGTGGAGAAGGTGGAAGCGTTGGATCCGCTGTATGTCGTGCCGGGTCATTGCCAGGAGGGGGAGATCCATGGCCGCTGGCACTTGGAGAACACCAAGCAGTATATACGAGATTTTGAGAAGGTCTTGCAGGCGGGACCCAAGTCGCAGAGAGAGGTGGTGACTGCCATGAGCAAGCTGTATCCGGACCGGTTCAATATTGGGGCTGTGATTTTGAGCGCCATGGGTGCGGCCCAGGCGGCTAAACAGGCTCGGATGTGAGGCGATTGCATCATGGTCATGGTATCGGCAAATATGATGGACGTCGCAGTGTGCTTTCAGGTCACAGGGTAGGAAGAACGCATTGTGACGTCTGCGTCCGAGCCTGTCAACGTGCCACATATTAGAGCGGTAGTGGCTCAGGACCAATCGAAGGTGATGAAGGCCGGAATCCGCCCCGCAGGGAAGACCACCTTGGTCGGGCCTCGATCAAGAGGAGGTCATTGGCGCATTTATATACGCCAGTGCAATATATACTACACGAATGAAGCAGCAATGCAGAGATCAGGTCACGTCCATGCAGCGGCCCGGAGAGCCTTTTCGACGTCTCCTCTTCGGAAACCGGGCGCGCGACCTAGACACACGCCTTTGCTGATCAACACTGGGCAAGTTAGTATACTCCAAAGTATAAAGATATTATGAGATCAGTAAGGCCTACCTTGTATTAATCGTCCCACGTTGACAGCGACTTGAGCAGAGGCCGGGTCCTTGGATTGCGACGGATGACACGCGAAGAGACGCACTCTTTGCTCCCGCAGAAACCCTTCCAAGTCATGCATATCGAACCACTCCCCCTGTAGTTCCTCTTGGATCTCACTCGGATACTGGGCCAGAGGATCATGCACTGTGCTCCAGCGCTGGAGCGGGTGCAACGGGGTGCCAGAACCATGCATGCGTTCTGGCGACCGGGGGTAATGAGTCCCTGCCCCGCCGAGACTGAAGAAAGGCACCTGATTCCACGCCTCCAATCGCTTTTGGCTGATCCTGGCCTGCATTGCGGCCTCGAAGTACGACGCGAGTTGCTCGCGAGTCATCATGGTCAAAAGCAGCCGGAATGGTCGTTGGAGGCGTTCTATACTAATGGACGGATCACACAGGCCGAGATAGCCCTGGTACAGGCATGCGACGTGCAGTCGGTCAATGAAGGCGGGCAGCTCCACGGCAGACAAGTCCGCCGACTCAATCGCATATGGCGATGAACTGCTGGAAGACTTCTGCGCACCAGCATGATCCAATGGCGGTCCCGGAACAATATTCTCCGACGGCCGCGGCATCAGACCAACGAACAAAGATGGATTCGGGTTCTTCTGCTCCGGTTCCGATAACGACTCTTCGCTGTGTGGGGAGTAATCGGGCATATCCGCTTCGCCGTCCGGACTCGCGTCCTTGGCCAAGTTCAAGCACGTCTCCACCGTGTCGCGTAGGTGTGCCGTGAGATCCGAGTACGACGCCAGCACGCCGGACTGAACCAGCTGGTCGCTGAACCCGAGTACAGCCGTGCTCATTTTCTCGACCGTCGATTCCAGCTGTTCAATGCGACTTTTGTAGGCGGAGATGCTGGCTTCCTTGCGCGAGCGATACGCCCGTTGGGCGAGACGAATCTGCATGCGTCGTCGCTAATCAGTCAGCATCGCGCTCCTCTACGCTTTCGCAAGTCCAGTACACACCTCGTCGGGATCCTCCCCCGTCGGGCTCACGGCGCCCTTGCGGGGTCGGCCGCGCTTTTTCGACGACGCCGATGCTGCAGGGGTGGTCGCTTCGCTGCGAGGTCGTTTTGTCGGTTTGATCGTGGGCGGTTCGGGGGTCGCTACATCGGCCGATGGACGGTCCAGCGGCGACGGCTCCACGACAATTCCGCCATACAGAGGCGCCTTCTCGCCATTCGCCGGCGCTCCCTGTGAGCTGAGTCGCTCGGGAAGGGGGTAAGAATTGGCGGACAGCAACGAAGTGAGGCCCTGTGATTCTAAACCATCCAGCAGAGACGATCGATTCCGCGGGTAGTCGCGAAAGATCTTTTGCTGGATTTCCTCCCATGATAAAAGGGGCAAGTCGGAATCCGGCTGGGACTCCATCGATAATTGACGCGGACGCTGTGTAGATGACTGTATTCCCTCCATACTGACGATGCTGTATTCAGGGTGAGAGGTGGTGACAAGGTGACAGTTCCTGAGGGGAGGGAGAGAAGACAGAAGATCAGCTGCATCAGATCATTTGCATGTGTTTCATGCTAGTCTCGCCACTGTCATGGCTGATTGGCTAGTCCCAACGGAGCCATTGTCCCGGTTTGGCCGGACACTTATCCGGATCGGGTCTAGCGCAGCAACCTTAAACTGGCATTACTGTGCATTAGCAATTCGAGGCCTGAGGACTGCCTCTTATCCTGGAAGGCTCTTCATAAGTGGGTGCATAATGGCCTCGGTTCGGGATCACTAATCATATTCTTGATTATTCGAACATTCTCCGCCCACGTGTGGCCCACTCCAGGTCATGTGATGGGCTCGACTCAGTTAGTCCACCTCAGGCATTCAGGGGATACTCGACTCTTATCGGTCTCTCCGTCTGGTCGGTCTTCTCCGTTGCGGGACGCTATCCACAGGGCTGTCCATCCTCGACCGTTATTCTACGTGGAGCTTTACTCCGTACCACGCTGTCAATTCTCAATAAGCACAAGACTAGAAAGGTTTGAATACGTTGAGTTTATTTTTTTTATCTATCCCTAATCTACACATTAAAGGTCGGAAATTTCATCACGATACAGGAAAGGTTGAGCTAGCTCCTGATACCTATACGTTAGTCCCCCTCTCCAGACGCCGTTGAGCTTCCCAGCTAGGTCTGTGTCTTGTATGAAAGACGCGGTCAAGGTACCAACCTACGCCTCAGCAAACTCCTTCAGATAGGCCACCAACCGCTCCGCGTCGGAGACCGAGATGGCGTTGTAGTTGGAGGCACGGATTCCTGAGATCAATCTGATTAGTGCGATCATCATGCTATGGGTAGAGTAAGACTTACCACCGACACTCCGGTGACCTTTCAGGCCTGTCAGGCCGCGCTCGGTGGCGCCCTTCAGGAACGCCTTCTCGGCGTCGTCAACGTTGCCGCCCTGTGGATGTTAGTGCTGAGATGAGACTGACGGCGTTGGCAGGACGCTTACTTTGGTGACCCGGAAGCAGGCGTTCATCCTCGAGCGCACGTTCTTTTCGGGGACGACTTTATAGACCGACGGGTATGCGTCGAGCGCCTTATAGATCATTTCGGCCTTCTTCCCGGCCTCCGCCTCCTGGCCGTCAACATTATCCGAGAAGGTGGCAAGCAGCTTCTTGAGAACTCGGCCGGCGATGTAGACGCTACGCAGGTGATTAGTAGAGTAATGCGTAGACGGTACAGAACTACTCACTCGAAAATGCTCAAAGTGTTGTAAAGACTGTTGTTTTTGGCCGTCACGCCGTAATCCAAGATTGTGGGGGCGATCGGCAGCCCAAGCTTGCGGAGAATGGCCGGCGAGGCAGGGGGGGAGACAGGCGGCAGAAGATCTTTCTTGATGATGGCAAGCGTGATGCCGGCACTTCCCAGGTTCTAATAAACGTTAGTGATCTACAAGTTTGTTCCATAGAGCGGAGTCCTAAACCTTTTGACTACAAAACGTTAGCAATGGCACCCAATCTAACCAATCTGTGCAAGTACTCACGCTCCAAAGAAAATGATAGAGAAATTCTCGACGGGTATCCGTCGCGACAGAATAGTGGACGAGAAGTCACCAACGACGATGGGGTCGTTGTCCGATCCCTTGGGCTCAAGGACGGCTGGGAAGTTGGGGAATTCGACACCGTCAACGGTCTACCGCACCAACCTATATCAGTAATGGGAAATCCAAGCAGAGCCGGATAAACAAACCTCATTCTCGCAAAAGTAAACCATCGCAGCCTTGGGGCTCAGCTTCCAGGTGGACTCCTCAGGGATGGAGCCGAATTTGCCGCCATTGCTTGCCCGCGCATCCGCAGCAACGTTCACATACTCAGGCCCGAGCAGCCTAACTGCTTCCTGGCTCGCCTTCAACGACCACCTATTCACGATAACCGATTAGCCTCAACCACCTACCCAATCACACAGTCCAGGATCTCAAAGAGAAACCTACGATCCAGTAACGAGATAATCCAAACGGAACTCGGCATCCACGCGCTTGCGCAACTCCGCAACGACCTCCTCCTCGCTAGTGGCCTCCCCGCGCTCCTTCAGAATCTTCTGTCGCTGCTTCTCAACCCACACAGCCGTCAGATTGTACGCCGTGGCATCAAACTGGCCGGATCCACCGCCCTGCATGACCAGGATCTCGTACGAGTCGGGAATGTCGAGGAACTTGGCCAGGTCCGCCTTCATAGTGTTGAGGATTTTAGCGGCGTGTTCGCTGCGGTGGCTGTGTTCTGCGACGCCTCTGTCATGTTTCAAATCAGATCTTGTAAATACCTAATTCGCAGTATAACAGAAAAACAATGGAAGCTAGACCACTATAGAAGAAGAAGGCGGGGGGTGACGTACAAGCCCGTCTCATTGTAGTTCTGCAGCGCAGCGGCAGCGTCGGCCAGAACCTCCGTAGGGAGGGCGGCGGGGCCGGCACCGAAGTAGGTGATATCTTCTCGCTGCATGATTGCAATTGAGGCGTTCTGTTTACACCGTGGGGCTTATCGCTTGGGAATAAAAATAGTGTTTCGTCTGCGGAGATGGTTCAGAGCTGCGGGCGATTGACTCACCGGGTGGGACCACGTGATCGGTGATGTCGCCCCGCGTGGGGCAATCATATCAATCTCTTATCGATAGCTTATCGTCTATCGGTTTGTCGTGATGGCGATCATGAGGTTGATCATGAGTGTTTTCTGTGATCGTTTACTCCATAGAGCTACAAGTTCATAGAGTTACAAGTGCTTTTGCTAGACTTCTGGCATGTGCTCAGAATACTTCAGCCAGTAATGAAAGAATTGAATAAAACTATCAACCAGCATAAACACTGGCGAACAACAAATTCGTGGTCGCGTAATGAACCCAACATATATCATCTCACTCATAATATCGCCCACGCGACGCTCTCTGCGCAACACCCGCCCCAGTAAACGACAGATACCCAGTCGACGCATCCCCAGCTTTTGAATCGCCCAGTCGGACCGGGAGGTTCTTCAGCAGTCGTGACCGGTCCAGCCCGTCAAGCGTAGTCCCACCCCCTGGGAAAGACGGATCACCCGTATCCCGCGTCATTGTCGACACGTAGCCCAGCACATCGGGGATGAGAGTGCGATGGGCGATGATAGCCGTCCAGACGGCAGCGAAGAGCATAGTAGTAGATGATACGATGAATATGGTTAGCCAGGCCGGGTTGACCTGATACGTGTAGGGTTTCCACGCCGTTTCTGTGGCTGTTGTCGGGACGGCGGCGTAATCTGGGTCGTAGAATGATTTTCGGTTGGCGAGAGTTGCGGAGAAATTGCCGGTCATTCCTTCGGGGAGGAGACTGCTGGTGTAGTATGTGTTGACGACCTGGGTGAGGCGCTCGGAGAGGGTCTCCTTTGGGAGGAGGAAGAGCGGGAGATCGCCTGTACTGGCGAGCAAGGGGTTGGCGCTGTTGTTGAGGTAACGCTCTGTGAGTGAGTTGTCGGCAGGATGGATGGTCCCGGTTGATTCGGAGAGGTAGGTGGCGAAGCCCTGCAGGGTGAGCGGGAAGATGAAATTCGTGAGATCTCGCGCGGGATGCGGAATAAGGCTATCGCGCATGGCGTGGACTGCACACTGGGGGATGCTGGTCTGCGTGTCGACGCAGCGGACCTTTGATTCGACGTAGATCTGGTTGATGTGACAGTAGGCGACGGAGGTCTGACGCGTCGAGGGCCGCCACCAGCGAGACTGGAAGAGAAGGACGGGCGGCTCATCGAAGTAAGTTTGTTTGTTGTCGGTAACGTTGGGGAAGATGTCTAGCGTCTGGTGCATGATATCCGTTACGTAGTGGTCGAGGCCGAGGGTGAAGGGGGTGGTGCATTCCTGCCCCGAGCATGAGAGGCTCCCATTATTTCCAAGGAATACATGGTCCGGTGTCTTCTGGATCACGGGCGGACTCCAGCTTTTGGAGTCGATCTTGATGTCTAACCGAGTAGTGTTGGTCATCGAGACTGGCTCCGGCTGAAGGCTTACATCAAAGCAGTCGATGTCATAGTAGGACGACTCCATGTGGAAGGAAGAATTCGAGCCACGCTGGATGTTCTCGAACGGTATACCCAGAAGTGAGGAGTATACTACGTGGGAGTCTTTCTTGATGTCCTTCCACCCGTGGCTCGTGGTACCGCCATCCATCCGGGACATAATCGGAAGTTTCACATTGCCCCAAAGGTCCATGGGCGATTCTTTGATCGACTGCGGTGCGAGGAGGGAGGACATATAGAGCGCGTTGATCTGTGGCATCGAAGCAATGTCGCCGCTATCAAATGATGCGCCCAACGATGTATTGAAGAACCGAATATTGGAGACAGAAGTCGTGGTGTCCCGTGCGGTACGGAGGATATAAAGCGACGACTGGCCCCCCAGAGGAGACAAGACCCAAAGGATTATGAGGCCAAGACCCAACAGGTTGAACGATCTCATGAAGAGCTGGGTCATTATTGCGCTGACAAACGTCGAGCTCCAGAATAACTGCTCAAGTATTCCCAAGGAGCAACCACGTTCCAACCGCCATGTTGCAATGACCCGAGTGAAACGACCGATCACGGCGGCGAAAAGAATAGGGAATGCGGTAACAGCCTGATGCTAGTTAAACGAAACACTCGTCACGAACATCTACATGAACGTACCACATTCATTGACGTCTGGATCCTTTTCCAGTCGCTTTCCTCAATGTCCTTACCATTGCGATCGAGGGCAATGCCAGCTAGAACGATGAATGGGACTGACACTAGGATCCCCAGCAAATCGAGAAAACCGCGATAGATGCGTTCTATGGTCGATCTTCCGAGTGTCCGAGGCTGCGATGGCCAACCCTCGACAAGTTTCCGATCTTCAGTTTCGTCTGGGATAGCATGGACGAACTTCACTTGTTTTTTTAGTGGTGACGTGTCTACGGAATGTGGCCCAAGCGGCGATATTCTTTGTGGATAGGTTCTCGAAGGAACAGGGCCCCGAGCACTGAGCTCCATGATCCCGGAAGATTAAAACACTGACAGCTCTCGAATGTATTGGGGTATTAGATGGAGTTGATGACGGGGGGTAATGATCGATTTCACCTGAGCTGTCAAGGGTGATAATGAAAAGGTACAAGTCCCTTGCATTATTACGAACTTGAGGAAAGGGGGTGCTCTTTAACATATCGCGTCTGACATTGAGTCTCATACTCGCTATGGCGCGTCTGCGGCTTTTTCCTGCAAGTGTATACTATATGTATTGATATTGGCGAGTTCTAGCATTTGTCTTTGTCTGACTGCAATAGAGGTACATTAAGAAAGGCCTCTGTGGTAATTGACCAGATCAGCCTTGTACGTGGGATCAAGGTCCGGGATGCGGTCTTGGCCATAGTATAATAGACTCCCACAGGTCAGGAGTCCACAACCTTATTGGATGGACATACGTCTAGTGCTTATCTAGCATGCATGATTAGGGCAGTGCTGGGCTGAAATACAATAACTGAAGCCACACTCGTGGATCTGCATTTTCCTCGCATGGACCACCGCATTACTCAACGGCAATTGGCAAATGGACGTGGCGTAGCCCGGCGACTTGCATAAATCTCGTATTAGATCGCGATGATCATTCCCGAAATGAACCACTGGCTACATTCCAACAGCGCCATACCAACATAGCCCTAGCAGGGCTCCAAGAATGATCGCGATGGCAGGGGGTACATTGAACCAGGCGCTCTCCGCATACGTGACAGCTGCAACCACCACCCACCACGGCTCGTTGGCGAGACTCTGCCCATCGTTCTTTCCCGGAGTCAAGTACCCGATCTCCCACAAGCGATAGACGGCCGTGAAAACCAGCCCCACCGCCGTGGCGTTGACACCGCGGAGGAAGTCGATCACATATTTTCTCTTTCGGAGGACGCGCCAGAAACTTTGGACAGCGACGGCCAGCGTGAGACCGGGGACGAATATTCCCAACGCTGCCAGCAATGCGCCGAAGATGGTTGGCCAGCGCGAGTTCTGCAAGGTGAGTGCGCCGAGAAACACGGCGAAGTTGAAGTTGGGGCCGGGAAAGGCTTGAATGATGGCCAGACCGATGAGGAAATTTCTCCCTGAGACCCAGCCAGGATCGACGACGTAGGTGCGCAGCAGGGGGATTACAACTGGACCACCGCCAAAGATGACTGTGCCGGCCAGGTACATGTTGGCGAAAAGGTCAAGAATTAAGGGGGGTGTGGTCAACCGGGCTCTTGCGACGAGGACGCCGATGAAGGATGCTGTTGATGTCAGCCTTGAACATAGATATCGAGTGCTCCGGGGGACATACCGAAGAAGAGGATGAGAATAACAAGGCCAACGCGGACACGGATGACATGGTTTTGTGACTTATCGCTCCTTCCTCCATTGACCGGAAGCAAGTCTGCATCGGGCGGGGTCTCTGGTGGTGTTCTGCGCGGTCGCATCGTTTGACCTCGGCGACTCGTATTCTCCTCCAGTGGTATAGAGATAGCAGTCACCGTGGCTTCGTCCAGCTCCCCGGCCTCAGCATGCCGACTGCGCCGATTGCGCCATGAGCTCCTCATCTTTCTTATGAGTCCCTGTGCCCACCCATCCCAAACAGCCGTGACAAAGCCTCCTGAAAGAATCAAAATCGGGAAGTACCATAGCGCACTATAGCACAGGCCCGCACACGCCCCAAATATCACCAGGATGCGCGAGAGCCGATCCCTGATCGCCTTTTCAGACAGCTGCACAGCGGCAAGGGCGACGATCCCCACCGTAGACGCGTTGAGACCAGAGAGCAACGCGTAGACGGGCAGCGGGAGTGTATCACTTATATTTTGCACCCCCAGCGAGAGGGCGTACATGCCGATTGCACCAGGCAGACTAATAAATACCGTTAGGGAATGCGATATGATCGAGTCAAAGACTAGAGTACTGCCTACCTCCACAGGAAGAACGCCATCAACGCAGGAACAAACCCCGCACGTAACAACGCGAGACAGAATACCATTTTCGTGCTCGCAGGCCCGGGAAGACCTTGACATATTGCAAACAGCTCTTGATACTATAATACCGTTAGAGCGGCATTCATTGCTGGTGTCTTATGCGGAGAAATTACCGTTTGCTCATCCACCCATGGTTCCTTGCCGCCCTTTCCCTCCACGAAACGGGCATACAGGATCTGGAAGTGCACCGGTGGCCCCCCAAAGGCCGTGAAGCCTAGGTCCCAAGTGCGAAGGAAGACCTCGCGTAGACGACTCGACAAAGAAATATTGTCGATTTCATCGGTTGTTGTTGAGCTCTGTTGATTGCGCCATTTCCGCCGTAGGGAGTTGAGGGGTGCGATATAGCGCGATAGCGGGGTTGGGAGTTGCATCGTATTCAATTCTTTGTCCCTTGCCCTTCTTCTTCATCTGTTGCTGAACAGTTGACCAGGTTGAATCAACTGCGCGAATAATTCAGAATGCTTCCTTGGGCGCAAAGAAAGGTTGAGGCGGGGACTCGGGATCCAGAGAGCCACTGGGAGCGCAGGAAAGACACACATGTCGGTCTGGTGGTGTCTTGGCTGGGGACTTAGTCACATCCTTAAGTCTCTCGTGTGTTGGCATGGTTAGGTTTATTTGGCGAAGGTAACATGGTTTGAATAGCTTCAGGGTTTATCTATGGTGGTCTTTCACGAAGAAATTGTAGGGTTCGCCTCATATCGCGAATATCGTCCGATATATAAATTGCGTCAAGATAAGCACTGGTAAGCCACCTTCTGGGCAGGAGGGACACATTGTATAGCCACATTTAACATTATGACTCTACTTTATTGTTAGGCTGTCCATATCAATACCTTTCTGTCAATTCAGTGATGAAATTGATCATGATCTATATTATTTTGACAAGTTTTGTCTCCTAACAGCGCTGATTTCTGAGGTCATTACCATTCACAATCTGATAGACTATATTTGATGAACCCCACATGGCGTATTTTGCAATTACTATGAGCCACAATTTATAGCAAAAGCTACTGACCGAAATAGGCCACTAGAATCACGACAAGGGCTAAACCACATAGGTCTAAGGGATCTACTGAGCGTATACATTGTAGCCCCCGAGCACCTTCCATAAATGCTGGTGCATTGATCAAACAGACAGTCGACTAGCATATTAGCTCACTTGTAGAGTTCTTTCCTACAGATTATCATCTTGACTCTTCATCTTCTCTTACAATCTTGTATCGAAGCGCAGCTTTTTCACGGCTCTAAAAATCTCAATATCATCAATATGTTGACCGTTTTCATCGGCCCTCCCTATGGTTAGCCGAAATTGCGAATTTAAACCAGACCTACCCTTATCACTTTGCTCACAATGACGACAAAAGGTGGTAAGCCCGAGCGGGATTTGATGAAACAATGAAATCTCTGCTTGAATTCTCTGCGGCTACAGAAAATATCATGTTGGAATCTTCGTTCTTGCAAGCATCTTCTACACGGACTAGAAGATATGCCCGGCATGATGGAGATGAGGCAAAGCCTCCTTGATGCTGAGGGCGATGTGCAACTTCTCTTTGCTGAAGACGTCACAGAAGCCGAAGATAGAGACTATGATACCCTAGACGAGAATGAAGGATGTCCATTCATCCCCGCAGACGGTACGCCAGCTTCCGTCAATACCTGATTATCAATAAATTGCAGCATGCGTACTAACCATGACAGAATCTGATGATGAATCCCCAGAAGAAGGGCCCAGTTACACACATGTCATTACGACCTCCTCTAAAGCACTCATGTCAGCCTCGCCCGTGTTCCGAGCCATGCTCGGGAACTTAAACATGAGGGAGGCGCATGAGCTGCGAAGCACCGGCTCGGTGATGATACCAATGCCGGACGACAGTGGCGACACAGCGCTGCTCGCCTTGAGTATCATTCACAATAGTCCCTTCCATAGAGATGTCCGAATCAGCGAGAGCATGCTGGAGAGGCTTGCATTCTTCGGAGACAAGTACGGATTCGGGGACGCCCTCGCAGCCCAGGCGCAGATGTGGATTAATCAGTTGAGCGATTTTATTCCGCCAATATTTGCACCGGTTATAGTTTCCTGGATGTTTATCTCGTGGGTATTTGGCCACGCAGCCGTGTTCAATAGGGTGACGGGTATTGCTCAAAATGGGAGTACCCGGCGTCTGACGAGGGGCATGTTTCCGATGTATCCAATCCCGGATAGTATTTACGGTTCGTTGATAACCCTTGACCCCGTCGTTCCGTGTGTAGTGCGCAGAGATGAAGTCGCATGTGTTGACCACACAATCTACCACACAGAAGCCATCGACAAGCGGAGATATCACGCCCTCCAGCGTACGCAGATGTACATGGAGACCGAGACTGCCAAGGAACTCGACGAGAATCTGGATGGGTTTGAGGGGACCCAGCCGGCTTGCGCCCTCCTGGCGGTTCGAGCTGGATTCGTAACGCTGATGGCGGCAGGGATGGGCATCCCCACCGCTTCCACAGAGCCAATTTCCGAGCATCAAATTGGGATAACTACATGTATTCGGGATTTACTCTCTATGGTTGAGAAGACGTTGGTCTTATATAGGAAGATCGTAGACGTGTGCTTGATAGAGTTTGATGAGCAAAGGACGATCTCATCGCGCTCCGCGTTGGAGCCCATAAGACGCTTAGAGGTCCTGCGTCTGTGGCTGATCTATCAGAGCAGAGGACTTAATATCAGTGACTATAAAGCAGTATGAATATTACAACTGGTTTGGGTTTGATATTTTGAAGCAATCAGATGTAGATCACATCCAATGAGCATGGAGACCGCCGTAGATCTAGATGGATGTTCTAAAATTAGCATCGATCAATCACTTCGGGGTCGGACTCGGACTTTCTTCCATCCGCCACGGCTAATATTTAGCTTGCGGTGTAGAAGTACAGCTGAGTCTGGACTCCGATCCTCTCAGATGAAGCATTATGGATGATCCCCCCAGGCGAGTCATGGTATACGCCCGTGTTACCGATATAGCGGGAGACCCTCAGCGGCGCCACAACTCTCTTGGCGAGACCTTTTGCAAGCAGATCCTAGGCAGAGACTTCCACGCGGAGCTTCAACCGTCTTTCTACGATCACGTTCACATCCCTGCCGATTTCGATTCGGATCAACCGCTGAAACGATGGTTTATCTTCGACCTGGGCGTCAAGCAGCAGCTCACAGCCGAGGCGGTAGCTCAGATGCCCCACTCGGTTTACATGGCAAGTCGCCAGAACGGTGAATTGTACGGAGACACGTCTCTTACTTCAGGGAATTAACGCTCATACCATCCCCTAGGATATTCATTCGTCGTGATAACTGGGTAGATAGCGCCATAACTCGAGCCAGGTCGTACATCTGGGGCGGTCGATTGGAACAAAGGATAGTAGCAGAAATGAGAGAAAGATACGCCCACGACCTCTCAGTTTGAAGACACACACGCCACACCCACTCGGTTTCTCAATCACGGCGTCTCGGGTGGTGTCATCCCTCTACAGACCGGACACTCCTCGTCGTCTTTGTCCTCCTGCCAATCCCACACATCGACCCGTTGATGCGGCGGACAAGTCACCTGGTTCCGGATGGCCGGCTCGCACCGGGCGATGTACACGGTTGCCTCGTCGCCACACGCTCCGAATCGGCCTCGCACGTTGTCGCACATATATATATGTCCGCTGCCAGTATTTCTAGAGAATCGAGAGTGAACATGCCTTCGCGGGCTTAGGTTTGGTTGTAGATTATTTACGAGGCTCGCTCTGTCTGTTGTCTAGTCAGGCTGACTTCTACTAATGCTGAAGATGGAATAAGCCATATAATATACCTCTGCGGCGGTTGGACTACAGCCTCGCATGAAAAAAAGAACGTTTGAGCGATACTCCCGGGGTAATAATAGGCAGTGTTTCTTTATGCCATGGAAAATAGATGAAGAACATGGCAAGGATGTTGAGTACTAATTGATTACATCCCCTCAAGCCATGTTTTTGTGAGGGGTAGATGGAGATCCAGCTGCCACGTAGCTTGCAAATGGGATTTCTTGATTCGCCGCGTTTTCCCCAGCCGCATGGCTTTTACACCACTCAGGGAGAGGACTGGTGGAGTTGACCTAAAATGTTTCACAGCCTTGTCAGTGAGATGGCCACATACGAAGGGTTTGATTGGCAGAAGATGGTGATAATGAGGGAGAGCGCGGGGGGCACCACTTCAACAAGAAATTGAATATTATTCGAGGAGAACCACGAAAAGTCTGTCCATACCTACTTTCCTCTATTCAAACTTATGACTTGAGGGACCTCATAGGAAGATTAAGATAACAATATTACTGAAATACATGGCAACCACCCTTAGTAGTTTCTCTCAGCCCGTGATGGCTATTGTCTCATCGGTCCAGTGTTCTCAAGATAGGGCTCAGCACAGCTACGCCGACACACCCATGTCGAGTATATCAACCTCTCATGGATCTACTACGAGTAACTTCCCATTCAATGACACAGGAGGCACTACTGTTGCATATTTGCCTCGACAGTACTTTGTACATACCAGTCTCATCACGTAATAGCCTGAGAACAAGAAGAAGAAACCACTATATGCACATGCACCATGAACCAACCCTCGACAAATTAGGCAAGAGCAACACAGAGCTGAGCTTCCAATCAACGAATGTGATCATCCAGCAACACACTCCCCCAATCAAACCCTCAAGGCACCTCACTTGCCTCCATCTGCTCCATCACATCAAAATCGTCGCCCTCATCACCTATGACCTATCAGCCGCGCGCCTCTGGAAAACCCCGCACCGTGTGACTCACATGGCAGATTGTTGACACAGTTGTTCACAAAATCGCGATAGTGGCCATCCTCCGGGTCTGAGCATGCGTGCTCTCCGAAATCTTCCAGGATGTGGTTCGGCCTGAATCCCAACGGCACAAATCTACCGTCTTTGGTGAAGGCACGGTCATTTCCCATGGGGGTGTGAGGGCGGGAGGGCATTGTGAACAGTCACACTTTGCGAGTTAGTCTGACATAGTAGACAAGAAGAAACAAAAAAAAAAGGATTATAGAGAGGGAAGGGCGTGGGGGATATAGGTGTGATGTCATCTCTGATGCTTAAAGTCGGTTTGTATCACATGACTCTGACATCAGTCTACGTAGAAACATTAATAATCACAATTAGGTGATTTCCCAACGACAACTACAGCAATAAAAAAAGTTTGGTCACAGATGTGATGGCAACTACATAACATGGATGAAGTGTTCGCACTCACTGCATCAGAATTAGTGGCGACAAGTGAGCCAGAGCCAGAATTAAAGTTGTGCATACGCGACGGTCCGCTCGACGATGAGTGGGTCGATGGTTTGTCGTTGCCGAGAGGTCAAAGCGCTGAGATCTAGAACCTTATCACACAGCGAACTCTATGGTAGTATCTTGAGCGAAACACCACAGAGTTATCATACACAGTTCATTCTTGAGAAAAAAGGAAAAAGAGGGGAAGTCGAAAGGAATGGACGCGTAATCAGCGTAGCGAGGCGAGACACGGGGCAAAACAATAGTACCAAGTGGCAAGAAGAGAAAAAAGAAAACACCGCTACCTGGTCCCCGATGGACGAATAGAAAGGATAGGTCCCATGTGAGAGGTGAAGAGTATGCAGTCACGTACGTAGACGAACCTGTAGTTCACGCGGAATTCCAGATCGACAGAGCTAAGAAATACCGTCACGAACATGTCTCAGCTGGCCGGACCAACTCCTCAGCTCGGGTAGTCGAAGCACTTATGCGGAAGATCCCACGCTAGCTGGGCAGATCATTCTACTTGGCAAAGGTCTTGATCCAGTTATAGTTGAGTGGAAATGCAAATCAATAGGTTGAGGGGCGCTGTTGTAGCCACGATACGCAGTGTCCGCACACCTGAGAATCGCGGGATGGGCCTTGGAGATCCACCCTCGGGCCGCTCCAGCTTGGCCGTATTTGGGTCTGGGACAGATCTTGCAGCCAGCCACCCATATCTTGGCCAGATTGGGGACTGATCGCTGAGAATTCGCTCCAATCCGAGCGTTGCTGTGCAATCTTTGGCATTAGTATGGTCCTCAATCAGGTAGAGCAGGCGGTCTCCGCCTGTGTCCACATTCAATATGCCATTGAGGCATGTATATGCCATTGAGGGAAGCACATGCCATGAACGATGGTTGGAAAGATATAAAAGGGAGGACAATTCCTGCGAAAGTGTTCTCAATTCCAATCCATCCACTTCCAATTCACTCCCAGCACCAGTCCAACTTCTATCAAGACCATACACAGTTATCTACCTCTCCAACAAATCATCAACATGAAGCTCCTCTCTGCTCTGTTCGGCGTCGCCGCCATCACCTCCTACGCCATGGCTGCCCCGGCCGAAGACGTGAAAGACGTGAAAGAGGCGAAGGAGGGAACTGAGGCAGCTGATAAAGCCCAGGCCAATAACTGGGAGTGGTGTGCCCCTAACTTTACTGTACGTCCCTTCTTCATTCCTAGGTTCACAATAATCATCGGACTGATTTATTTAGTGCGATCACCTTTCCGCCTACCACGATGGTGGTTGCTACAGCCAGCCTGACTGCCGTGCTAAGGCCAGAGATGTAAGAATCCAAGAGAGTTACTGCTAGCGAAGAGTCGACACTGACGCTGACTTTTTGATAGGATGACACTATCCGCAGCTTCGGATGTGGTGCTAGCGTCTATCCTCGCACCTGCTGGGTCGTAAGTATTCTATCTCTCATTTCTGGAGCTTACAGAAAGCTAACCCATCTTCAGTATACCGATTAAGCCTGGATCCACGTGGTCATTGGCTAAATTACATTTATTGTAGTCATTACTGGGCTACGAGGTTAGTGTTTCAGATATCAGTCAGTTCAAGCCCTCCCAAAGTGCTGTCAGTATCTTGGTGTAGTGGCTATTAGTTATTGAATTTATCACAATATCTGGCTTTTTGATTGTGTATATCAAGTAGAACACTAAACAGTATATCAAGCGAGATTGATATCAGTGACCCATAGAAGAATCAGCTATTACCTGTTGATAATAATGAACTTTTCTGACGTGTTAGTGAATAGAGGCACGACTAAGTATATCAAATATGTACAGCAGGATTCACGACACAACCATAGCGGTAAATTATTAAAGGTATATAACATAATTTGCAATCTACCCAGTCTTCTGATACCTCTTAAGCAAATGCTTCCTTGTCCAGCCCTTCCCACTTAGCCGCGTAGTCGGCCCAATATGCTCCGAACGCTCAGCATACATCCGACTAACCTCCGTATTGGCCGGACTTATAAACAACGGATCGTCCCGGTCTCCCGCCACCTTACATTCTTCTTCGGAGGCTCGCGACTCCAGCTCGGGGGACGTAATAGCCGGATCGTAGGACGACCAATGCATTCCGGCCTCGCTGTCCGTGCCGGACTCTGTATACTCCGCCCGTTCGGGATGCAAACTCGACCGGTCGAGGAAGGTGGCTTCGAGGTGTCTTTTGTCTTCCACGATCTGTCGTGATGCGGTCATGTGCAGAGGCTTGCGATTGATGAAGCTTGTATACCCAAGGGGTCGGGCTCGTCTGCATACGGCGCGAAGCGACGATATCTGAGCGATGTTGCCACGAGACATGGCGTATAGTTTGTGTGGGGCAGCCATGTGGGGGAATACTTGCGGGTTGGGAGGGTACCGTTATGGGGCGCCGTACTTTATACTTTATAGTGGCAATGACGTCAACATTCTAGATCTCGGGTGCTAAGGCGATTTCCCACAGAACTACCGTGGACGTATTTTGTTTGGATGTGGATAGTATAAGATACCATTACTTGTACTGGAACATATAAAGCGTTCAAGTACTGTATGTAATGTGGATGCTTTGGGTGGTGGTGGATTTCAATGAAATATGTACCTTTAACTGAGATGCATCACAAATAGCGTCAACTTCATAGTTCTATGGATGACCAAACTTGAAAACTAAGAAAACGCGCTTCAGTGAACTTAATCTTTCATGCTGTCTGACTATGCTCGATATTCAGTTTCCTTTTTACCCCATCATCATGACCCCCTGCCGTGCCTTGTAGATGAAGCAGTATCATATTTGTTTATCACTGGTTACCTGCCACTGAAATCTCCCCAGGACTGCAAGTTTTCCACCAGCGCAAGCGTGAGGCACTGCAAAAACTTGATATAAGACTGAGAAATTCCAATAGGTATTGTATTGATGTCATACTCGAAAAGCGATGCCCATATCTTGATGATTAGATGTTTGTTGGCCAATTTGCGAGTCTCTTGTTTTGATTCGGAAAATCGATGGGTGATTGAGGCCTATCCATTCTTTTGAATACTCTGGTTCGTATATTGCTCCTAGTCTGTAGGCGGCGATTTCCGTCAATTCGTGTATCTTGTCTTTTGGGTAGTTGGCTCCCTTAATAACCTGTTTTAGACAGTCGTGGAAGCCGATGTTCGGACCAGCATTGCCAGCGCCGGGTTGAGAGGAAAAGTATTTACGAGCGAGATATGTATCCCTTTGCATGGCCGTTCGCCAGTTCTAGCCAGCTGGTCACTTGGTTGACATATGAATGGCAGGGATGGTATAGAGACTGCCATTTTTCCTTGTATGATGCAACAGTGAACCGAGCCCATGCCGGTAGTTTATTTCCCACTCGTCGTTTTCCGCAGAGAAATACATCTGCTGAGTATCACAAGCATTCCCATCCCTTTGCGCAGTCATATACAGACTCCGCAAGCGGTATTATGTCGGGTGTTCCCTCTGTTGATTACATCGCCAGCATGTATAGGCAGCGTAATACTGCAGTGGCTAAGCTGCCGATAGCCCATCCAACGCTTTCACTGAGGGCCATGATGGAGATTCATTGTCTGAACCTACTGCTGTCTTGTATTGAGAAGCGGTGTTAAGTATTCTTGGACAAGGACGTCTTTTCAGACACAACCCCTACATTGCCAGCCTTTAATATCCCTGGGAGCCTTCGGCTGCCAGGTACCGCCCGACAGTCACTTCGAGGTATTCATGGTACTCGGTGACTAGGGTTCGAATCTTCACAAAATAGCCAAATATGGTGATAAATGAAAAACTACCACTTGGTCGTAGAAGACATCATGACCCATTCAGCTTTGTAAGTAGCCCAATGTTTAGTGCAACACATGGACATTGAAACTACGGGCCGGACAGATAGTAGAGGCTATTTTAGAGTAATAATATAATACAACAAGATGAAGTACTGAGATTCTCGACAGAACTTGATAAGGACGAAAACACGAGGGACTTCCTAAAAGGCAGTAGGATCTTTGTTTCAAGTGAGGATGAACCACTGCACTAATCGATTGCCGCCTGATTTTCAGCAACAGTGTCCAGTCTTGGGCGTTTTAACATCTAGCAGTCACCCTAGTAGGTGGCATCTACACGAATGGAGAGTCAGAGGCCATTCACTACTATCTCCAATGAAGATTACTCCCTGTAGTGAATATCTTCAGCCTACCTAATGGTATTTCATTCCTCCCTCTGCTCTTTCTCCTTTCCTCATCCTGTATCATTCTTTGCTTGCTGCATATATCGCTACAATACAGTCTATACCCATCGCTATCACGACCACCAGGTCATCGCTGAAGTTTATGGGACTTGGTCCTACAATGCCTCCAAAGCCGCCCTCTTCTTCTGCTCCTATCCCAAAGTGTAATGATATTTTGTAGCCGAGTGATAATTCCTGCAACATAATGCGTCCCACTCAACCGTAAAGTTTTTCAACCTTCGGCTGAGCCGAAACAACCCTACTTTGCGCCAGTTCTTAGGCTTCCCAAAGCTTAGCAAATGGCGAGCTTCCTCTCCATGTTTGACGGACATGGTTACATGGGTTGTCGAGAATGGATGTGAGCATACGGCTTTTCTCCGCTGTCTACTCTCATGGTCTTTGTTGACTGATAATCCTAGAACTCAAGATATCCACGTGCTCGAACATGCATACTTCTTTAACCTAACCGTGTTGAACAATGAGACAATGTACAAGGCTCTGTGCCACAGATGCCTGGACGATGGCAGTCGAATCCCTAATCCTGTGGAGAATGGTCGCTTTGGTACCTACCAGCGGCAGTTTAAACAAGACATTTGTTACACTTAGTCTAATGGTGATCCAATACTACATTCGCGTCAGATTTGCATCAAGACGTCGATGGAGATCCATCGCTCCGGACGAGGCTGTAAAGCTTTTACATGGCTCTACAGGATCGTCAACGGGAAAGGACATTGTTAGGATATCAGTCATATCACACCTGACTAAAACGCCGTTCATATTTTGGTGCAGAAGAGCAAAAAGACGATAGAAAAAAGCCACTCAGGTGCTAGCACCCGTAAGCGTGTTGCCGAGATTGACCTCAAGCTATGCCTACCTAGCTAGAGTCCTATTATAGTCGAAAATGGGCTTTGGTTTAGATATGCCGAAGAGAGAATTCCAAGTATCTTATGGAAGGTTCACAACGATTCCACATATACCCTGCGATGAAGTCGGCTACCTCGAATGCATGAGGGACAAATGGTTCGACTTTTCGGCTGGTACGCCGCGGAATATTTACAGGCCTCGGACTTGGAAGACGCTGGAAAATTTGGACAGTTAGCACGAATAGCCCAATGTTGCCACTCTGCGCCCACGAAGTCACGGATAAGAACATTCGCAGACAACCCTCTCTCCAGCTACGGTCTTGCACCCCGAGAAAATAACAAGAATTGTGTTGAAGTTAAAGCAGTACTGGATAGCATCAGTCACATTGAATAGGAATACTTATGAAGGCCAACACTGTCATGATATCTTTCTCAGCTGGATGGTTGTGAAGATCACACGCCTAAAGGGCAAATTAAGGGTCGAATAAGGACCAAAACATACGGAGGAGGTGGAAAACACCAAGAAAACATGAATATGGGGATTTGTATGTAATTCAGAGGCTTCATGATGTCGCCTAGGGGGGTATCTTAGGTGCCCAAGCCCTATATAGGCGAACATCACGAGACATAGTCACACATAAGCTGCAGTCTGCAGTCCCCTACATAGAACAATAGAACAATCAACGATCCTTCTCTATTTGTAACAGCATCTTTGATCTTTATGGACCTTGGCACAACACTAAACTTAGAGAGGAGCACTATACTGTTTTAAGCTGGTAATTCACCGTCACCAAGATAGTAGGTGGGCCAGCCCTATAGATCACCCCACTATATTGCCAGTCTGACAGATGTGATTTTACTAAACTGAAGGTGATCAATCAAGTATTACACCGTATAGAAAGTATTACAGCGGTATAGAAAATGCAGCCAAGTCCCCACATCAGTCAGCTGCATTGGCTGGGATGCCATGGCGCGGCTCCTGCAAGCCCAGCTGTCAGCCTGGTCGGAGCCAACGCGGTTCTGGGCAGCGATGCAGCGAGGCATTATGCCTGTTCAAGTTCCTTGTTCTTTGGAGGTTATTAATATTCCGACTGTGCTTGTATTTGTGTCCCGATTGTGGGATTCGGGAGTCAACCATGGAGATGTGGATAGATGACTTAGGGCAACGTCAGTCAGCAGATCGCGGCCCGCCATCCCAAAACACCAGATTGGCATCCATCATCCTTCCATCATCATCCTGGTAATGCGTTGGCATCCCGGTCTGGGTGGGGATCGTCGTCTTTCATTCCAGAGCCATTGCGCACGTATTACATATGGTCGCGCCTTGACCCCTCCTCTACATCTGGTTCTTTAACCCCCGTCTTTCCCTCCTACATACCAGTCCTCCTCCATGTGAATGAACCCTTTCATCGTCGCCCTTGAGCAGATATCCTTTGGATCCTCTTGGGCACATTGACCATCCACGCCAAGAATATCATCGTTTTTTTTTTGGTGGTCAGTGTCGCCAGGTATTCATCCAGATTATCCCCACAATAGTCGACTCCACCGGCCATCAAACTCTCGTGAGGGTAAGTGTCGCATCATCCCGACCGGCGAATTGCCTCCTCCGCACAATTGGCTAACTGGAGCTCTCACCTGCAGCAACGGTCACCGATCCATCGAAACCATGTCCCGCGAAACCATTGAGCCCACGTCGTGTGCGTTCCTCTATCGAGGCCAGCCCCAGCCCAAGTCCGGCGTTCTACGACGCTTGGCGCAATGGATCTGGTCGGCCTGGCCCGTCGATCCCGACTCTTCTTCTCCCGCCGGCATCCACCCAGATCCTACACCCGACCCAGACGATCGCAATTATACCGTATCCACCGGACGATGCGGAAACCCCCGGGCGGCGGCTTTGGCAACCCCGCGATATCTGCCTTCCCCGAACGACCCGCCGGTGCCGGAGGTGTCAAACTATCCCTGTAAGGCGTGTCGAACGTGGGGTGTCGCGTGCGACCGCCAGCAACCGCACTGTTCACACTGTCTGGATCAGCAGATCCTGTGCTTCTATATCCCCCCGCCACGGAAGATGGTCAACCGGAAGAAAGCGCGGGTGGGCGTCGTGGTGTCGGAGGGGCAAAGTATCGGAGAAGTACCGATTGAAGGACTCAAGTAAAATGTTACATAGTATCTATCTCGTTGAGAATATATACCCGCGGCCCGGATCTGATCCGGCTGTACTAATTCCTTGTTGTTCTCGCGATCGGAGAGGAATCCCGAACGATGCGTGATGGATCAGATCAGCGACAGCAGCGGAGCACTGTGTGCCGCACCCCACCACGCCTCCTCACCGGTTTTTGAGACTATATCAACTGTTTATGGGTAGCTGAGTTGGTTGCGGGGTGATTTATTCTATCATCCGCTTTCCCCGCCCCATACACCCCAGACGGCAGTCAAATCTCCTCTCATCACTCAGACATGGAGGCAGAATACCTCCGGCTCGCGGGCACCATCCGCACCAAAGCAAGTGTTCACAATAAACCGCGACTCCTGGTCGCCGTGGCCGGAATCCCAGGGTCAGGCAAGACGACGACGGCGTCTGCCGTAGCCCAGCGACTCAACGCGGGCCCGTCCCCCATTCGCACAGTGCTCGTCCCTATGGACGGCTTCCACCTACCACGGTCCACACTCGACCAACTCCCCAACCGGGAAGAGGCATACATCCGGCGCGGTGCGCCCTGGACCTTCGATGCCACACGCTTCCTTGCATTCGTCCATCAACTACGGCAATGGGCGGATCAGGCCCACACATCTACTGACAACTCCCCCACACTCTACGCACCGTCATTCGACCACGAGTCCAAAGATCCCGTCGAGAACGGCATCGCCATCACAGACGACACCACGATCCTCATCCTTGAAGGAAACTACGTGCTCCTGGACGAGCCGCAGTGGCGCGAGGTCGCGCCCCTAATGGACCTGCGCGTCTTCGTGGACGCAGACCCCAGCGAGGCAAGGGACCGCATCGCCCGACGCCACGTCCAGGTAGGTATTGAAGGGACCTTAGCCGACGCGTACCGTCGCGCCGACAGCAACGACTGTCTGAATGCGCGGACTATCCGAGGGAAGCTGATTCCGCCGGATATTGTGGTGCAGAGTGCGGCGGAGCCGATATAGATATACTAGCTCGAATCAATTGATTTACATATCGCTATCATCCCACACCACACCTCCCGTCCTCGACTCACTCTTTAATCTGCTGCTTGTGAAAGACGCCTGGGGCCCCGTTAGAGCCGGCTCTGCAAACCATCGACTGTCCACTCACCCGGAATCTCAGGCATCCAGCTGGCCCTCGACCGACAAAAGAACTCTCCTTTGGGCGGCAACGCCTCGGGGTCATCCAACGAGCCGACACAGATATACCGGAACTTGTCTTTGACGGCGTCCTACATAATCAGCAAAACCACAACATCAACCTCATTGGCTATGATCAACCCACCCCATACTCCCAAATAAAGCTCCCGCAGGTGTCACAGAACGCGCGGTGCACGGCACCCTCGTCGTTCGTGACATGCTCCTTGGGCGTGCCCTTTGTGATGCTCACGGCATCTTTGGATACTTTCGCTGTTAGGCCGTAGTTTGCCCCGAATGCTTTCTGCGCGAGTCAGCTCGATTACTACCTTAGACTGGGTACAGGAAGTAGAGGAGAGACCTTGCAGTTCCGACAGTGGCAGAGAGATGTGCGGGCGTCGTCGGGGGAGGCCAGCGTGAGCTGGTACTCAATATTGCGACAGAAGCAGGATCCGGGATATGAAGGCATTTTGTCGATACTTCTACTATAACCGTTTACAAGTTGTGTACTGGCTTGCGGTATACTCATTTATATCAGGTTCAGTTGGTAGAGTATATCTGGTGACGTCATATCAGACTGTGGGGCATTATGTCAGTGTGATCTGATCGAGATCGATCACTCTACTCTACTCTACTCCTACACCGTCATAATTAATCTCTAGAATAGATCTGAAAGGGCATTACATCCAAAATGACTACTAAGAAACAATCCATCGTCTCCTCCCTCATCTTCCGCTTCCCAAACGGCCCCACCAACCCCGAAGTCGCGCTCTTCCAACGCAGCGCCAAAGTCCGCACCTACCAGTCCGTATACCCCCCTCCCCCACAATATCATCATTGGGCACGCTCGCGGCATTCTCACATAACCCGTACCGGTTAGACACCACCTCGCCCCGATAGCAGGCAGCATCGAGCCCACCGATCCCGACGCCCTCTCCGCAGCGTGGCGCGAACTAGCCGAGGAGACGACGCTGAGTCCGATTACCCTCTCGCACTGGCGCACTGGCAAACCATTCACCTTCCGCGACGACTCCATCGGGCGAGAATGGACCGTCCACCCATTCGCATTCACCCTCCGCACCGACGCCACCGCCACCGCCATCCATACAGACTGGGAGGCCGAAACCTGGCGGTGGTATAACGCGCAGGAGGTCCTAACCGACACGAGTCTACAGACTGTGCCACGACTACGCGACACGCTGCGTCGAACATGGTTTGAGGGCCAGCTGGGCGAGCGCGCAGGAGGCGTCCTCGCGTCTGGTCTGGACCGGCTAAAAACAGACCACGAGAGCGGGGCGCACGAGCTGGCAGCCGTAGCGCTGACTGTGTTCCGCGATGTGTTGATCGAGATGGCGCGCGAGGGGCGCGACGCGCTGGCAGAGTGGGCGAGTATACGCATGGCTGCGTGGCACGTTGTCAAGAATGGACGGGAGAGTATGGGCGCTGCGACGTTGAATGCGCTGCTGGCTGTCGTGGCGGATATGGATGATGTGCGGCGGGAGGGGCCAGTCGGCTCGGTGCTGCAGACGTGGGAGCGGATCGTTGCTGTGGTGGACTTTCACTTGCAGCGGAGGGTGGGGCACGCGGGGGGTGTGCGTGCTGCGCTGGGGGAGTATTTCCAGGCGCTTGGGGAGGAGGAGGTGGGTGGTAAGGGAAAGAAGGAGACGCTGACGGTGTTGACTATGTCGGCGAGCTCCACGATCAGGGATAGTTTGCTGGAGGCGTGGGCTGTGCTGGACGTGCCGACGTTGGAGCTGCGCGTGCTGGAGTCGCGGCCGCTGTTTGAAGGCGCGAGTCTGGCGTCGTCGCTGATGTCGCAGTTTAAGGTCGAGCAGCCAGCGGGGAAGACGCTGCGCGTGCGGCTGTACCCTGATGCTGCGGCGGCGGTGGCGGCGTGCGGGGCGGACATCGTCTTGCTCGGGGCGGATCAGATCTCTGCGAGGAAAGGCGTGTGTAATAAGACGGGGTCGCTACCGGTTGTGTTGAGTGCGAGGGAGGTCAATCCGGCGGCGCATGTGGTTGTGCTCAGCCAGGCGGAGAAGATCAATGGGTGTCCGGATGTGGTCAGCGACGATTCCCCTGAGGATAACGGTCCGCCGGAGGTGGTGGACGCATGGTGTCGTGCTGATGTTAAGGGTTTGCGTGTGCTGGAGGAGGCGATGGTGGAGAGACAGGATGCGCTGCAGTTGGATGTGCATAATGTCTACTTTGAGTGGATCCCGCTGCATCTGGTGGATGCGTTTGTGTGTGAGGAGGGCGTGTTGACGGAGGAGACGCTGCTACGGAGGACGGCTGATCTGGCTGGGTTGTATGATAGACTGTTTGGCGAGCTGTAGCTTAATCTGTTGATCTCGTGGGGTGGTCCTTGTAAACCATCCATCAGTACATCAGACAACAGTACACAGATGCATCATGTCCGCCATGTCCGCCATCACCCCCGGACGTCACCTCTTCACCTCTGCGCGCACACATCTCACCTTCGAATACATCGTGCAGAGCCAGTCACCCTCTACAGAGCGCCTCATCGTCGTGCAATGTCCCGCCTGGGGCCTCGGCTCACGATACCTCCAGCACGGTCTCTCCCCCCTCTCCATTCACCACAACAAGACGCTCCTCTTCTTCCACCCTCGAGGAACAGACAATTCATCTCGCCCAGCAAGCGCCTCCCAAATGACCAGCATGCCCGACCTCTCCACCGACCTGGACGACCTACGCCTCCACCTCCACCTCGACACTCTCCCCACCCTCCTTGGCCACTCCAACGGCGGCGCCATCGCCCTCGGCTACGCAGAGACGCATCCACATCGCATAAACAAACTAATCCTCCTCAACCACCAACTGATCGGCACCTCCGAACGCCGCCTCATCACCGAGCGCGCAACCCTCGCCCACGACCCACGCTACCACGCCGCCATTGCATACTCCCCGCCCCCCAGCCCCCACCACCCAACAGACGCCTCCTTCACACGCGACATCACCGCCCTCTGGCCCCTCTACTTCTACAACCCGCAGCGCCATCTGGGCACCCTCCTCTCCGCCATCGGAGACCGCGTCTTCCCGCTATGGTGCTACACAGCCGTGTACGGGTGTGATGCGGCGCTGCAACGCCCGCGGCAGATGATAGACGGGCTGGGCGCTGTGAGGGCAGTTACGCTGATAATTGCGGGCAGGGATGATCTTGCTTGTGGGTTGAGTATTGCGCGGCAGACGGGGGATGGGATTCCGGGGGCTAGGGTGCTGGTTTATGAGGAGTGTGGCCATTTTCCGTGGATTGAGCAGGGGGAGAGGTTTATGGGGGATGTTCTCGGGTTTTTACGTGGTGTTTAGTATAAGTTGCTTGTATGTGGGGTGAGTTGTTACTCTATGGTCTGAATTGGATATGGTTGGTTTGATATGTAGTTGGATATTTTGGTTGGATGTGTTCCTGGATGGGAATGAAGTTATTGGGTATTGGGTGGAGAGTAGACTGATATTAATTGATATGCTACAGTTGAGCTTTCTTGGATATCACGGTTTATTCGCTGGAATCTATCACTTCGCAGGATTTCAAAGATGTTTATTCCTATATATCAGTGAAGGGAGGACGTTATAACGTGGTAATATCTAAGCTATTTGGGTTCAAGCCTACTGACAATCCATCATCTACAGTGATCTATATTCATGATAATATAAATAATAAAGTTCTTTTCTAATCCTGAATGGTGTCAATGAGTATAGTACAGCTCATGATTTATATCCTCATACTAAGCCTCGCATCAAACGACCGGATCCTGCCCGTCGCAACAAGATACTGCATCCACCCCAGTCCCATCTGCATCATCGGGGAATAAGACAACGATCCATCCACGACACGCTTGGCCAGCGCACGAGCAGCTTCGCCCCCCTCATAGCTGGTAGGCGGCTCCTCCGGTGCCCAAGCCCGTCGCGCACCGGTGGTAACCTCTCTCAACAAGCGCTCACACTCCGCGCATCGCTCGCCCCTCCCACCCCGTCTGTATCCCGATCCCGTCAGGCTCAGACTTAAAACAGCCATGCCGGCAATCGAGCACGCCCCGGCCAGCGGGTACCGCAGTGCTGCACGCAGCATAGCCTCCAGCGTAACATGGAACGGGTCCGCAAACCCCATCCCACAAACAGCAGAAACGGCATTCTCAGCTCTCCCGACAGCAACATCACGTCGCCAGTCGAGCAAATCGCGCACAGCCATCGACACAACCGGCGCCGTGAGACCCTCATCCCACGACGCCCGGCCATAAACACTCGCGTCCAGCATCGACGCCGCCCCACTAACAGCCCGCCACCGCAGCGCAGCCTCCACCGACATCTCGTCGCCCGTGCCAGGCTCATCGAAGAATGCGCCGTCAAGCAGCACGCACACAGCCTCTCCACCAAGGTTAAACGCTGCGCCCAGCGCCAGCGCAATCAGCCTTATCCGCGCCTCTTCCTCCCCGCTCGCGCACCCCGCGTACTCATCGATCGTACTGGGTAAGCCTAAGTAAGTCGCCTGCACGGCCTGTCTAGCTGGCATGCGTCGCGACAGCACAAGACTATACGCGCCCGCAAGCCCGTCCAAGCCAGGGTCATGTCCGCCGGGGATATCATCCAGCGGGCGACCGCGCAAACCAGCAGCGATCTTCTCCGTCCCCAGCACAGCAACATCAGGCATGTCGGGCGCGAAGCCGGCCGTCAATGCACGGAGGGTGCACGAGCACGACGCCGCCGAGCATGCATGTCGTGCTGTCTCGCGCGGAGACTCAATCAGCGCGCGACAGTACTCGACTGCATCTGTCCAGGCGTGATCACCCGGTCCGGGGAGTCGGCCGAGCAGGGCTAACAGGCCTGTTTCGACGGTGTGGGACTTGTTGTCGGTGGACGGTAAGCGGTCGAGCTCGTCGCGCAGTTTGGCGACGAGCCAGGGGCTCATGGAGCCGCAGGAGGAGCGGCGGCGGGGGTGGCTGCTTTGGAGTCTGTGGAGGCCGTTGAGGGTGGTGTTGGAGGTGATGGTGTTTGGGTGGGCCACGAGGATGGACATTTTGTTAGACATGTATTGCGTGGTTATATTGGATCTGGAAGGTATGATATTGTGTGGATGTTTCCACGGTGGAGAAAATATAGGAGGACCATATGGATTAAATGCAGTCTGTAGGATAACTCGACGAGAATCAGAGGTCAGCAATATTAATATACCCTTCTACCCAGCGAAAAACTTCCTCTCCCCATGTCGAAGAAAAGTCAATCCTACCCACCACTCTATCACCATCAGTGAGACACAACCGTCATAACCCCCCGATCCCAGATCTCAGGGACCGTGTTCCTCGAACGATCTATTCCTCTCCCGACAATTCAGATCATGACGTCGTGTCGTACCAGGTCCTGACACCCCCTTCTCGGGCCCAACCGAGCTAATCTTTGTCAGTGGCGTCGACGCCTCGGGGTACACCCTTTTTCCTTGGGAGCTAAAGGGGGGAGGGGAGACATGGTACAGCAGACGGCAGGGCCATCGTGTCGGGTTGTCTCATATGATGCTGGCGCAGCAGGAGCTTATTCTGCAGTAAGGACGCGCTGACTTTTCCAAACCACGAAAACGGAAAGTAAATATTTTATAAGTCGTGATCGTTGCCGGGCGACGTTCCACCCGTGGTTTGATTTCTTATTTTGATGATTCCTGGGCTTGGTTGAGCCGGTCCTCTGGGTCAGAGAATATATACATCCTTCTCTTAGGGTTAGTTGTCAGATCGGATGTACCTTGATGTGAATCGCCACCGAGAAAAATCCGCACCGTGGGCTTGCTATCTTGTCGTGACGATCACTATCCTGCTGGAGTAAATGGATACTTTACTCTTGATAGCACCACTGGGCTGGGTTATGTATTTATGTGATGATGGATTGGTGTGGTCCATGGTCTAGGGTTGGGTGTCATTCTGGATCGATCTCCACTCTGGCTCTGAGATATTTCTATCGATCTAAGTTTGATCGATAATATCTTTGTCAGAATCCTGTACGTAGATCACTTCCGGAAAGCATAATCATAAGGAACATGCAGCTGAATAATATACTTATTGATGGTTTATGGCTTGTCGATCCATATGTAGCAGACAGTCAATGCAGCTTACTTGCATGGTTTGATCATGAACTACGGAGTAGATGAATATTGATAGACATGGACAGATTTCATATGTTCAATACTTTTTCTTGGAAGATATGAAGGTCGCATGTTGTATGTAGCAGAACAAACAGTGGATAACTACAAGATCAGCCACAATGGTATGGCCACCCGATCTACTCCTACACCTCAAATTATACTCCAATGATCCAAACAAATGTACATTATTAACAGCTAATTCCCAAACTTAACATCTCAACTATCGGTATCTCAAAGCAAAATAAAAAATAAAAACGCCTCCAGCCAATCCTCATCAATCATACTAGTATGTAAGTTCAACACTCCCGCACACGGGCCTGACGCTTCGCGGTTCCAATATGCGTGTTGTGCACCTTGGTTGCGAACTTCAGACTCGTCAATGTCTCGCCCATGTGAGCCTGCAGCGGGCTGACCATGACGAACATGAGGGTCTTGGAGTTGCCGCCCAGGGAGAATTGGAGGAGATATGTCAACTGCGACAGTTAGTGGGGTTTCTCAAATCGCAAAGGAGAGAGAGAGAGAAAGAGAGACATACCTTGCTGTTGCGGTACGGGATATGTCCGCCGTCTTTGCCTTGTCCCAGGGCTGCAATCACATCGCCCAGACTGCTGAGGCTGCGGTTGATGTTCTGCGTTTCCTTCAGCCGCTCGCCCGTCGCCTGGCTCTGGCTCAGTCGCTCGCTACCCGCCAGATCCACCAGGTTGAGCGTGCCCTCGCTGCGCTCGCCGGTGATGTGATTCTCGCCGATCAGCTTGAGGATGAAGACCGAGTGCGACCGCGAGGACCGCTCGTTCGCCTTCGTCGCTGCCACCGACCGGTTGGCCGCGGCGCGCTTGAGGATGGTCTCCACCATCTCCGGGGAATCCAGCCGCACGGTGTTCACGTCGGTGATGATCGTCTTCCCCCGCTGCATGTCGTGGCGGATCTCGTGCCTCTTCTTGTCGAGCTCGTCCGGATTGCCCAGCAGGTCGTTGAGGTTCTCGTTGTACACCTCGACGAAGTTGCCTTCCATCGTGTATCGCCAGCCCTTGTCTAGCAGGCCCGTCGCCGTCTCGTAGATCTGGTGCACTGCCCGCGGGATCATACCGTCCAGCGAAGACATCGTGTGCGTCTTGCCACTGCCCGTCTGGCCGTAGCAGAAGATGCACACGTTATACCCGTCCAGTGCGCTCTGGACCAGCTGGCTGATTTCGTCAAACACCTCGGCATTCTGCGTGCTGGGGGCAAACACCCGGTCGAACGAGAAAACGTTGGTCTTGCGGGACACAGTCCCAAGACTACTCTTCTCCTCCGGCCCCATGAGGCTGATTTCCTTGCAGTCTTCCGAGTCGTCGGGAAACTGGATCTGTGCCATGTCGGTCACAGGCTCGCTGCGGAGCGACGGGCGCACACGGCAGAACACGCGGATGTTTCCCTTGAGCTCTTGCACCTGATTGTGGAGCTTCCGGCGCAGGGTTTCCTCCTTGCGCAACTGGTCCTTGGTTGCGTTGGTTTCCGCCACAGCGTCCATCATCCGCTGGTTGATCTGCTCGAAAGCCTCAGACTGCTCCTCGCGTCCCGACTCCAGGAACTCGATCCGGGCTTTGAGTGCGCGAATGGACGATTCCAGCGTCACACTGTTGCTGCTGGCCGTGTCCAGGTTGTGTCGGAGATCCTGGGTGCCCTTTCGTTCGCGGTCCAGCGCGTCCCGTAGGCCTTGCACGTCGGTCTGGAGGGCGGTAAATTCCCGCTCTTTCGCCTGCAATTCGATCTGAGACCGTTGTGCGTCCATCGCGGTCTGGGAGTTGAGCTGGTTGATCTCCCGGTGTCGAGCCGCTCTTTCGTTGTCCAATTCTTCTTCGAGCTGTCGCTTGAGTTGCCTCATATGTTCGTCGTGTTGTCGGGCCTGAACATCCTGTTCATTTCTGGCCTCTTGTCTCGCAGTTTCCACGTCCACTCGATAGCGCTTATTCATGTCGTTGAGGGAGATCTCATGATTGCTCTCTGCATTTCTCAAGGCCTCTTCGGCAGCAGCCAGGCGGACCTTCATGGACTCCAACTCCACCCGGAGACGAAGGTTCTGTTCGGAGGCCTCCGATTTGGCCTCTTCCAATTCAATGACTGCAGTTCTGTCAGCGAGTTCGTTTTCGCGGAGGTCGCATGTATTCCGTACCTCGTGATTTATAGAGCTCCACCGTTTCCTTTAGACCGAAGCTTTCCTGCCCTGCTTGGCTAACTCCGGAGATGATTTTCTTATAGAATTCTTCCATGGTTTTTTCGCGGGATTCCTGGTCCCAATCTGCACCTGGGAATAAGTTAAATCCGGTGGTCGTGGACTCTTTGGTCAAAAAATGGGGAACAGGGGGAGGCTTTCGCGATGATCGCCTTGATGGGGACATGAGTCTGCAGGGAGGGGGTATGGTTGGGGTGGTTGTAGTAGGGTCTGGGCTCAGGGGTCTGGGGCTATTGCAAAGAGTAGAACATTGGGGGTCCGGGGAGTTGTAGTGCAATGGGTCCAGCGCTGAGTGATCCATCGCGCAAGTCTTCACCTGAAACTGCTCAGGTCTACATGGGATTATCTCGCGCAACGCGCCACCCATGCCATCAATTGACCGTGACCATGGGACCAAGGAGGGTGGAAAAAACATAGCAAATGAGAATGGCTGCCTACCCTTTCGTTTGCCCAGCACGCTTGTGCTATCTTCCTCCTGATGGGTATCCAATGAAGTGGCCGGTCGAGGGATCGAGGGTCCGTTGGGCTTTCGAGCACCGGCGAGGGAGGAGTGTGGACGGGGCATGCCGGTGTTGGATCGCGAACCGGGTCCGACGGTGGATGCGAATCCTTTCGTGCGCGAAGCGGTCGAGGCGGATCTACCCAGGGTAGAGGAGGCGTACGAGTTGGCGCGGTTGTGTACCTTACCAGAGGCTGCGCGCGAGATCGTCGTTCCGGTTGTCTTGGTCGGTTCCGGGGCGTGTGTGGTGCTTCTGGTGCGGTTGGGGGCTGTTCTCGTCAGCCATGACCGCTAACAATGTAGACAGTATACGTACGCGCCATCCCCGATACCTTGCCGGCAATGGAACCTGGAGGAGCAATGCCCGAACGAGAGTTGGCCAGAGCCGATGTCATCTCCTTTAACCCGCCCCCGACCTTGGGGATGCGAGACCTTGTTGGGCTCGTGGGTTGCGCCTGGACCAGACGTCAGTATAGACCATTGGATCATGGCATGTGCAGAGATATACCGAGCTCGCGTTCTCCATGATGGCAGTGTGGATGCGATAGGAGTAGCAAAGGTAGAGATCCGTGGGTACCTGGGTCTTGGAAAGGAGGAAGAGCAAGAAAACAACAGAGGCCACGGTGGGGAAAAGAGGGGGGAAGTGGACTAGATCAAGCAAGATAGGGCTAAGAGGGAAGAAGACTGCAACATATCAGTGAGGGGGCGACCGCTGTCGGCAAGTGAGTCCAGTTAATTCCAGATAGATTTAGATTGACTGCAGAGAGCTGAATGGATGAAGCCGGTGATGCTGATTATTATTGCCGATCCGCCGTTTCTGGAGCAACGAAGGCGGTAAACAATCACAGCTGACTCAGCTGGATAGGTTGCATCACGCTAGTCCCGAACAGGCAATGGTGGGGATGCACGACACCTGAAACGTCAGGCCAGCCATCGCTGCCGCATTCAGGCCGCCAAGCTTCACTTTCTCCACTCTGCTTTCATTGAAGCTACAACTCCTTAAGCTCTCTCGCCATTCTCTCTTCTCAATTACTCCATTCCCGTGTCATTCTTACACCGTTTCACGCTCCCTTTCTCCATTGTCTTGTCTGTTCGTTGTTACACCTTCCTCCGGGATGTCTGGTCGCTTTGTCCGTTCCTCCAAGTACCGTGAGCCTCTCTCTTCCTCCCCTCCGTTGCCCGCAATCTGACAGGTATCAATCACTAGGACACGTCTTCGGGCGGTCGACGAGAAAGGTAGGATCTCCCCCCTCCCTTTCCCCGGTACTGCCATGCGAATTGCTGATGATCATCTAGGATCAATGCTACGATAACCTCCGGGTGTCTAGAAATGCCTGGGATAGCAACCTCATCAAGGTTGGTCCACCCGCATCTCGCCCCTGAGTCGCCCTCCCAAACAACCGAAATCTAACCTTCGACAAGGCGAACCCCCAATACCTCTCCGTGAATTGGGAAGCCGGTGGTGGTGGCGCTTTCGCTGTCATTCCTCTTACCGAGCGTGGCAAGCTGCCCGAGCGCATTCCCCTCTTCCGCGGTCACACCGCTGCTGTCCTGGATACCGACTGGTGGGTTGAATATAATCCGTGGGAGGATCACACATGCCAACACTGCTAGGAATCCATTCAACGACGACTTGGTTGCGTCTGCCTCGGACGATGGCAAGGTATTTCAATCTGAAGACGTGGGTATGGGTGATCTGTCAACTAATGACACCCCTAGGTCCTTCTGTGGCGAGTACCGGACGACTTTACTGTGCGCCCCGACGTCGACGCTGACGACATCCGCGATGTTGCCCCGGTGGGCAAGCTGAGTGGTCACCCGAAGTAAGCTCTGCATCGTACCATTCCTGCGCGATCATAACCCTGGGCGAAACAACTAACCAGCGCAGGAAAATCGGTCACCTCCTCTTCAACCCCGCGGCGGAGAACATCCTAGCTACGGCATCCGGCGACTTCACCATCAAAATCTGGGATGTCGAAGCCCAAGCCCCCAAGCTCACCTTGAACGTGGGTGATGCCATCCAGTCGCAATCCTGGAGCGCCAATGGCTCCCTCATGGTGACGACGTCGCGCGACAAGAAGCTGCGGATCTGGGATGTGCGTCAGGAGCGTCCTGCACACGAGTCCCAGGGACATACGGGGGCCAAAAACAGTCGCACTGTGTGGCTGGGTGAGCGCGACCGGATCGCGACCACCGGGTTCTCCAAGATGAGTGACCGCCAGCTGGCCTTGTGGGATATCCGGGCTCCCCGCGAGCCGATCAATGGGTTCAAGACCCTTGACTCCATCTCTGGTGTTTGTATGCCGTTCTGGGATGAAGGCACGCAGTGTCTGTACCTCGCAGGCAGAGGGTAAGCCACAGTGACCCCGCCGGTTGTTGGGTCTGCTAACATGGTGCAGTGACGGCAACATCCGCTACTTTGAGCTCGAGAACGACAAGTTCGAATATCTCTCCGAATACAAATCGAGCGATCCCCAGCGCGGTGTCGCCTTCATCCCCAAACGTGGGGTCAACACGCATGACAACGAGGTGGCTCGCGCGTTCAAGACCGTCAACGACTCGTACATCGAGCCGGTCTCGTTCATCGTCCCCCGCCGGTCCGAGAACTTCCAGGATGACATCTACCCGCCCACCATTGGCCTCAAGCCCGCCATGGGCCCGTCGGAGTGGTTTGGAGGCAAGGAAGCTATCCCTCCCAAGGTGTCCATGGCCAGTCTCTTTGAGGACGAAGGTCTGAAGGAAGTTACCGGCGTGCAAGACAAACCGACCGCCACGATGGGTGCCCCCGAGCCCAAACCCGCGGCGGAGCCTAAGCCCGCCGAACCGACGCCCGTCAAGAGGGCCCCTGAACCTGTTCCCGAGCCGACTCCCGTCGCGATGGTCAGGCCGGAGCCGTCTATGAAGGAGCAGGGCGCCTCGATGGCGGCCATGGTTAACAAGTTCGCCGATAAGGAGGAAGAGGCCGAGCCCGTTCAGGTGGATACCAGCTTCGATGAGGTTCCCAAACCCGCTTCGCGGTCTAACACCGCCTCCCCGGCCATCAAGATTACCCCGTGGCACCAGACGGAGAAGGCCACGCCCAGCCATGTAGGTGGCCCCCTAAACCTTCGTCGATGACATCTGCTGACTTGTCCAGACTCCCACGGCCGACCGCTCCCCGGCCCCCAGCACCCCAACCGTCGGTACTCCCAGCAGCGCCACGGGGCCGACACTGCCCGCCAGCAGCGCCATCCCGACCGACACGGTGCAGCGCGAGATTGGAGCGATCAAGGACTTGATCGCGGAGCAGACCAAGACGATTGCCACGCAGGCGCAGCAGGTGCAGAACCTGACGGCGGAGATCGAATCGCTCAAGGCCAAGCTGGGCTAGCCGTCGATGTGACTCCGCAGCAGCGCCCCCGTGTATGTAGACCTGTGTATTGTAATTATTTTGGATCGCTTGCGCGGTAGAACTCCGTCTTTCCTTCTTGTTTCTTCTTGATGTCCATAGCTTTCCTTGGCCTGTTTGGCCACGGCTTGATTGTCGGTTCTTGTCAATAGTATATGTACATCCTACTATCCTCATAATCAAGAAACCTAATTCATGTAGTGTAACCTCACCAAGCCTTCCTGCATGGCCCTCCTTCCGTCCCAAAGTCTTCCCACCATGGCACATATTTGGGACGCTCCACTGCACAACACAGCCCTGTTGGTGGTTTGCACTCTAGCATCCGCAGGCGCCAACCCCACACCCACCCACCGTTTGACGCTGCCACGGCTCGCGACAGTTGGGCCAAAATCAATCCAGTCCAATGAAGCATGGGCGAGTACCAACAACTGCGGCGCTAATGTACGTAAAGTCACTATAACAACCGGAGCGCCTACATCTCGAACATACCCATTGTGACGTGGCTCGAGTGAGACTTGTTCTCACTATGACCGGCGTAGTGCACATAGTAGTGGTGGTGTATAAATTCAGGCTCCGTCACCTTCGTCGAGGCAGTGAATATGGAAACAGTGATTGCAATCAGTCAAGTGCTCGAGCTGACTATCCAAATACTGGTTCTTTTCTGATCCTTTATAGAAGTTGTCCTATTCCACAACTTCTTCAATATCGTCGAATTAGATTGTTTTCAGCGGCCCTTCCTATCGAATACACAGAAATCCATCAAATACAAAACAAGGTCAACTCTTATCACCGAATAACCCACAAGATACCAAATCAACCACTATACCATGGAGGGAGTTTTCGGCGGGTATGTCCCACTCCTTCAAACCTGTCATTTTCGATGTCAAAATTCTAAAAGCTCCTTCTAGCTACATCACTTCCCCTTTATTTACTTTCCAAATCGGAGCAGAGAAGAAGGAATTCACAGTGCACTCTCGCCCTCTGGCACAACTTTCCCCCGTCCTCGATAAGCTGATGAATGGCAATATGCTGGAGGCGAAGACCAGACGTGTGGATTGGTCTGAAGTCGACGAGGATACTTTCGTGAGGCTCTGCGAGTATGCTTATTTGCATGACTATACCCCACCATCGCCTCTCGAGGTATCTGTGTGCGCTGAGAATCCGTGGAGCGGTTTTACAAAGCCGTTTGTTGACGAGCAGCCACCAGCTCCTGAGCACGAACCTGACCCTCAGCCTGAGCCTGTACCTGAGCCCGAGCCTGTACCTGATATTTCCCCATGGGGATTTCCGAGTATCCGATCCGCGAAAGCAGAAAAACGGCAAAGTCGCAAACAGAAAACATCTCGAATACAACCGCGAAAGCCCGCATCTCCAGTAGTCGAAGAGCCGCTACCATACAAAGAAAAGAGCATATGGACACGCCACCTGAAAGACTCCTTCTCACCACTAACCTTGGACGTTAGCAACAACTGTACACCCCAAGAATCCCGTTTCTCCCCACAAGCAAACACGCAAGATCAGGACTTCACTCCTGTCTTCCTAGGTCACGCACGGCTATACCTCCTAGCCCATAAATACATGATCGACCCCCTCCGCCAGCTGGCACGCTCCAAGATGGCACAGACCCTATCTAATTTTACCCTGTATCGGCAGAGCCTGCCGGCGGTTCTTGAGCTCGTGCGGTTCGTGTACGCCGAGACAGGGCCCTTTCCTTTTGCGACTGGCCCCCTACGCGCGCTTATAACATCTTACATGGTGTCTGCCCTTGGGCAGGTCGGCGACGATGCAAAATTCGAGGCGCTGTTGGAGGAGGGAGGCGATTTTGTGGCTGACTTTTGGCGCGCGGTTTGGAAGGCTGGTTGAAACATCATTGCTTCTAGAACGCATGTATTGGCTTCGAAAACACGTTTGTTATTTACAAAGCACCTTATCAGCCAAATGAGCAAAGAGAGAATATGTTGTGGCGCATTCCGTAGGTTATTCCAAAACTCTATCTTATGCTCTAACGATCTGCTCGTTCCCGTTATGGCAGACAGAGCAGCTATATCACACCTCTTAGCAGAACCTGATCTGTTATTGTGGTAATATGACTGATTGATAGACCCTAATGATGCATTAACACTGCACGACGTGGCCTACCAGAGGCATAGTTGTCCGGGCGCAGTTGGACTTGTTCAACACACGAATATATAACGCAGAGATAGTGCACGCAATCTTCAATTCAACCTTCCATGGAGTTACAATCTTCTATGGTTTCAAGGATAGCCGAAAAAGCACAATATAGAAATAAATAGAAACAAAAAATAGAAATCATCAATCTAACTGTTTCCATCATTATCCTCCCATGCATATAACTACATATATAGAGGTGCCTTGATGGTGAGCTACCGCTAAACAGTGGGTCTTGTGAACTGATGGCGTACAGGAACACCAACCTATTTATGATGGTACAGAAGTCAAACAAATTGATTATCTTAACCTAAAATTACAGACCCTTCGGGACTTTGACAGATTCCAAACGGTGACCTTAGACCCGTTGAGACGTCGTTCAACGTCCCGAGAGGACGGATTCGGCCCTGGCACTTGTTCCAACCTCAATCCGGAACAGATTTCCGAACGCAATCCGGCCAGTCTACACCTTAGGTGGTAATTTGAAATCAGGATATTGTCAGAGATGCGACAAGCAGATATCAGACGATTCTGTTAAACTAGCGCAGCCTCGCATGCGGAGCAGAGTTCTATCTACGACGACGGTTTCATTGCGACAGCCCTACCTGACAGCAGCTAACCCATGGTTGCAGTCTGTCGTAACAACAGTATCATGTTGACAGCGGTTCACTCATGACAGGTACCTCGATTGGACCTCGTTGACTCTCTTGAAATGTGCCCTGAAAGAATTGTGTCTTCTATAAGTCTGTAGCTCGGTCTCCTGGGGTTAGGGCTTGGCTATGTCCAAGCCGTAGAGGTATAGTTCCAAAGAGCTCAAACGATAGTGCTAATCTTGGTTGATTCAACAAAAGCCAATATAGACCGATATTTAAGGTTTAAGCACTTGCATATGGATCTGGTAGCGCCTGACCAGGCATAGTCGCTATATTAGAACTTGTCTTGAAGATATCACGCACCATCGCTCACTTACTCAACACAAACCAGATAGTACAACGGCAAGCAATGAATTACAAGTAAGCGAAGAAGGTAAACCTGTACAGTAGTATCTCACTTTAATTACTCTATATCTACATAACAAGTGAGAAGAACAATACCGTCCGTCCATCATCTCAACGAAACGAAGCGAAACGACACGAACAACATTTCCACCCCGCTGATGCTAACGTGAAACCCAACAAAACCCAATCTATAGTGTTCGTCGTGGCCGTGTCCAGATGTAGCAGTGAATGAGAAGTCGAAGTAGAGGTGGTGGTGTGTCAAGGCGGGGATGGGGTAGTTCATAGTTGAAGAAGGGAGGGTATGTAATGGCAATGGGAGGGGAGAAGTGGCAGGTAATGGTGGAAAGTAGATGAGAAGAGAGAGGTTTATGCAGTTATGACCACCTCTCCGCCTCCCTCTCACTCTCAACACGCGCCGTCCTAGCAGCGCCATCTTCCTCGTCCTCATACTTGTAGCTCATGCGACGGTTGCCACCGCCCCGCTCGCGTCGTCGTCCACCACCACCAGTGTTGCCCGACTGATTGTCAGATTGCATGGCTTCGCGGCGCTGCTGCTCCTTGAGCAGGCGTTCTCGGTTGCGTGCTTCGCGCTCGAGTGTGTGCGGGTCTTTATCGGACTGTTGGGAGGGTTTCGCTGAGGAGTCTTTCTCTCGGGTGGAGCGTTGTCGATCGTGGTCGCGGTCTCGATCTCGGTCTCGGTCACGGTCGCTACCCTCGTCGCGCGCGCGTTTGCTACGACGGGAGGAAGTGTGGTGGCGGGAAAAGTCGCTGTCGACGGGAGACGCGGACCGATCGCGGCGCGAGCGTTTGCGGTCTCTGTCGCGATCGCGATCACGCTCGCGGGGCCGGTCGCGGTCGACGTCCCTGTCCCTGTCTCTGTCTTTCTCTCGCTCGCGTTCCCGGTCACGATATCGGTCACGGTAGCGGTCGCGCTCGCGGTCCCGGTCCCGGTCCCGACGGCGCATGTCTCGGTCTCGTTCGCGATCCTCGTCCCGTCGGGTGGGACGGTCTTTGTCTTTGCTACTACGTGGGCCGCGGCTGGAGGTATCGTTGTTGGTGTCACCAGCGCGAGATGCTGTGTCCTTCTCTTCGATAGTAGGGGAGAGGCGGTTGAAGTCGGGGTTGCGGCTGGGGCTGCGGCTGCGACGACGGCCCGCGCGGCGCGATCGACGGCCGTTGCGGCGGTCGCGACGGCGAGAGGACCGGTGGGATTCAAGGGATGGAGAGCGTGTCCGACGGCTGCCTTCCATGGCAGGTGGATCATCGTACTTGTTGTCGCGGTCTGGCCGGCGTGGTCGCTCGCGTCTGCGCTCGGAGTCCTCTACGGTGCGGTCGACACTTGCTGTGCGCTGTCGGTAGCGACGACGGCTGTCTGCGCGGGAGGCATTGGGGGAGCGAGATCGGCTGCGGGGTTTGGACGCGGATGGGTTTTTGGATTCGGATCTAGACCGGGAGCGCGGGCGCGGCTCTTCCTGTGGCGTTGCTGGTGTCACTCTACAGGTATGTTAGTCTTTCGATGGTAAGAGCACTGCACGCGGTACTCACCTCTGCGACGCTTCTTCGGGCTTGGTAGGTGGGGCGGACGATCGTCCATGGCCGGGGAGGTTCCGTTGCCGGTATACGCTGGTATTCGGAAGCCCTTGTCTCATGGCTCTTGGGGCAGCGGGGGCACCCACGACGCCCTGGCCGCGGGGTTCGGTAGGCATGCCCGGTCCTTGCATGAACGGAGGCCGTCCGAAACCACCTCCACGACCACCCTGGAAAGGCCCACGCATGTATCCTCGGTCAAATCCCGGTCCCATGTACCCCGGCATGCCCATGGGGCCGGTGGACATGGCGTTTGCCTGATCGAGACTATCGATAGTGGGGATCCCGCGCAGCTGGGTCTCGTCGGCTTCCGCGGCCGCTGCATCTGCAGAAACGGACTTGGCATCAGCATTCTCTGCGGGCGCGGTCATCTCGTGAGACGACGAAGCATCCGCTGCGGCATTAGGGCCATTTTGGGGGGTCTCGGCGTGGGGATCTGTGGCTTCGGCCGTACCCGGATCTTCAGTAGATACAGGTTGGGGGGATTGGTCCTGACCACTAAGTGAATTATGGCTCGGACGAGCTGGCCCGTTAGTATTAGGGAGATAATCCGACGGCGTCTGGCCTCGACCGAAGCCGCGGTGCTGGCCCCGGTGGTGGTTACCTCGGCCATATCCGGGGCCGTAGTAGCCATTCTGGAACTCTTGGTTGGGGAACTGTTGTTGCTGCTGCTGCTGCATTTGAGACACATTATAGCCGCCAAACCCAGAAGGGCCCCCATACGGCGGACCCATACCATTTGCGAAAGCATTTGGATTGAATTTATCTTGGCCTCCATTCCACATACTGTTCTGAGAGCCGTCCCATCCGCCATACATTCCCTGACCAGCGTCGTAGCTCATGTCCATATTCATGCCATTGTTCATGCCACTCATGTTCATCCCGTAGCCTCCAAACATACCCTGACTCGCGGCCATCGGGTCCATCGCCATGCCGGGCATTGCTGGGGCAGGTTAGTTCGTGCTCGTGTTCGTGTGCTTCGGAGAGGCTGATAACATACCCATAGGATTTGGGAAGCCAAACATGTTGTTTCCCATGAATTGAAGCATCGGGTTGAACTCTCCGCTGTTCCATGCCATGTTCGGGGCCATCCCCATAGACATGCTGGGCCCCGCGCTTTGAGGGGGTACGGGGGTCTGGTTGACATCGGGAGCGATTTCCTGTTCGGCGGAATTGGCGCCAGTGCCGTCCGCATCGCCTTCTTTGGTGGATTGTTCTGCAGTTTCGGTGGGTTCCGCCCCATCCGCGGGAGCGTTCATCTGCTCATCCTACGCGATGTCAGGAACATGTTTCGCGACGAAGAAAGAAGTCCAGATGTGAGTATTACCTGAGGCCCAGTCTCCAGAGCAGAGTCGGCATTCGCTGGGGGATGCTCGGTACCAGTCTCCTGAGATTCCGCATTGGCCGGTGTTTGTTCTGTGGGCATGCCAGCAGTAGGGGCGGGTTCAGGCGCCGCAACTGGCTGTCCATCTTGGGAAGTCGAAGGTGCAGGGTTCGCTTGTTGCGCCGGAGCTGAATCTACCGCAGTCGCTTCGGTCGCCGCCGTCGCCGCCGCAGCGGCAGCTGACTGCCGTTCCTTCTCACGCTTCTTCTCCTCGGTACGTAGGAATGCCTTGAGTGTAGTCCGGAGCGCCTTATTCGGCTTGCAGAGATCGGGCGAGATGGGGGTGTGCGCGCATACGGGGCAAGTGTCGGGCAGTGCGGTTTGGCCTAAAGATGACAGATCAGATGGTGAAGCTGCTGAGGGTGTCTGTGAAGACGTACAGTTCTCGCAAATGGCTTGATCGCAGCACGGCAGGCGGAACGCGTTCAGGGCGAGGTTGTTGCAGCACGCGCATCGCAGCTTGAACGGGATATCGTCCTGCGACAGAGTGCTGATTGTGAGTTAGTCGCTGCGCTTTGGTTTGCACATCTCATAGATCCAACCGGTTCCGAAGTAGAATAAGATCAGATTACCCACCTCGCGATATCCATCAAGCTCGACGACTGGTCCGTCGCAGCCATCTTGGCAGTTGGTCCGAGATGCCAGGTGAACTGTTAGTCGGGTGGTTTAAGGCAGACAGAGGGCCACAATGGCGATCGCAGGCAACATGACTCAGATCGCCATGGAGAGGGAGCGATAAGGCACTGCCTAAGAATAAATATCTGGAAAGCGATAATAAGAATGGACTCGAATTCGCATGAGTGACCGTTACAATCCGAGTTGACTGACGGGGCCAAATTTGGTCGGAGGCTGGTCGGACCGGAATAATAGAGTCTCCGGTCCTTCTTTTCTTCGCCCGCATTTGCATTCCCCGCCGTCACTTCCAAAGGTCGATCAATGGAAATGTGCCGACTGGGTGAAAGGCATTGAAAGGAGTGTCATGGCTTGAATTACTCTGAACCACTGGGCTTTAGAATTGTGATACAGCTCTGGATGTCATGGTTGTCTTCAGACGAGGCTCAGTGAACTACACGAATCCGGTCTATACCCGCTCCACTTGCCAAGTTGGAACGCTGGATGGCAGCTGGAGCAGTCCGAAACGTGCTGTCTGGGGCATTGTGTCGATCACACGCGACAGCGGTTTATTGGGTGCTCATCGACAGGTCATGACAGCATTCTACCTAACACACCGCCACAGCCGAATCCGTCTATCCATTCATACCGGACAGCTCCGTACTCCGTACTATACGGAGCACTCCATAGTGGGGTCTACATACTATATATATCTCTGACAGACTCCAAACACCAGCCTGACAGGCATCCCCGGGGCACAGTAAGACAGGCAGAAGGATTCAGGGGCCGTGACGAATCCCTGTCGCTGACGTACCAACCACGACGCCGTTTCCGGAGTGATCATGGTCGGGAAGTTGAGCAGAGGCCATCAGATTAGATCAAGTAATTTTGGCCTTCATCGATGTAACTATTAGAGTTGAGACGGCGGCGATACCTGGAGGTTTCTGCGCGTCCTGTCTGTCAACCCGACATCTCGGGAGCTCTTGTATCATCATTGGCATTCGTGGGGTATAGGGTATAGTGAAAGAGACGGAGACAAGGAAACAGGATACAATCAAGGGAGACGACCCAGACATAGGATGTAAATATGACACCAAGCAAAGGAAGTCGGTCCAACATCGAATACAGCAGGCAAACTAAAGGAACGGGCACATAAGCCTCGTGGCTTTGCATCATCGATACCACCCACCCCCAGCTGGGAGGAATCACATCACGCGTTCCAACCAAGGTTCGTGACCGAAGGTAATCCAATCAGCGATGCGTCCAGACAGAAGATCTCTACGGGTGGACAGTTGATGAGCCATAAGCAGCCTGTGTCTGATGACTGGGTGAGTTGAGTGTGGTTGAAGTGTGAGAAGTTATGTTGGCATTGGGACATCCATATCAGATCCAGACAGAAGAGGCTGTCTCTCCAAGTGATGTCGGGGATATCAAAGGACCTTGGATGAAGAAGAAGATCTTAATGAATGAAGCATAGCATAAGTTTATCCAGTGAAGATGAAGATGATTAGTCACAACAAGAGGACAGTTGATTAGTTGGATGGATGGATGAGGTCGAGTCTGGATGAAAACAAACAGGGAAAAGGGAAAAATCCAAGTTGAAAAATGAAAAATTAAAAAATCGGAACAACCAAAAAATCAAAAATCAAAAAGAAAACGAAATAAAATCATATTTTTAGCGCCAAAGAGAACGGGGCGCAGGGTTAAAAGGGCGGTTCGCTGCTCTGTTCCCGGAAGAAAAAGCTTCCCGGTCCTTTCCATTTCTTCTGCCTGACCGCCTGCAGTCTTAGGCCCACGCACTTCCTGCCTTCCCCCTCAGGCCAACGCTCGGACCACCGTGGCGCGCGATCTACAAAAACATTGCTTTCTCCTTCTCCAATAACGACTGCAACTCATCTTGCTGCTTCATTATATCCTGCTTCAGTCAGGCATGGTCACCTTATTCTGGAATTATCCTTTGTGTTAACTTCCATCTTCTTCTTCAATCTATTTTAATGCTGGCCAGAAAAGGTGAGCCTTCCACTCGTCCGTCCGCTTTGGTCTACGCGCATCAAACACGGTTGTCTTGTATGCACAACCACCAGTTCCACTCCACACCAGCGTACGTAAAAGATGATCTGACACCAATCCATCTAGCGATGACAGATCAAGACAACTACCGACCTCGATCTCCCGATTTATCCTCCCTCCAATCCCCCGTCTCCCCCTCCGTCAACACCCCCGTCTACCAGTTCGGCAACCCGGTGGCTCATCGCGCCTCCTACGACGCCTCTCCCTTCTTCACCCCGCAGTACCAGAGCCCCCCGGCCCCGCACGGTAGGACGTCTCAGCAGTACGTGCCTCCGTACGCAGAGCCCATTCCCTTCGACCCCGACATGGCTCGTCGATCGTCCCGTCTCGCGCGTGCCGCCGAAGTCGCGCCCATGTCCCCCATGGCGCCCATGGCCCATATGACGGAACATAAATATATGGAACCGATTGCGCAGCCGATGCCACAATCTATGCCACAACATATGCCACAGCCGATGCCACAGCCGATGCCACAGACCATCCCGCAGCCGATTGCACAACCGATTGCACAGCCGATCTCGCCGCCGATGGCACCGCTCATGTCGCATCCCGAGGAACCCCTGCCCCTTAGTGCACCGACTCCCGTGGAGGTGAAGACGAAGTTCCCCGTTGCGCGCATCAAGCGCATCATGCAAGCAGATGAGGATGTGGGCAAGGTGGCCCAAGTGACTCCCATTGCCGTGTGTAAGTCTTTATCCTTCCAATTCGAAGCTAGCTTGAATCTAATGGACTCGATATAGCCAAGGCTTTAGAACTATTTATGATCTCCCTCGTCACCAAAGCCGCCAAGGAGGCGAGAGACCGCAACTCCAAACGCGTCACCGCGTCGCATCTCAAACACGCCGTCGCCAAAGACGAAGTGCTGGACTTCCTGGCAGATATTATCGCCAAGGTCCCCGACCAACCGACCAGCCGCAAACACGACGACGACAACAGTGACGGCAACGAACAGCCCAAGCGGAAGCGCGGTGGGCGGCGGCCCAAGGACGACAGCGATTAAGCCTGACCATTCTCTTTCTTTTTTTCTTCTTCTTTCTTTCTTCCTTTCTTCTTCTTCGTTTCTTCCCTTTTTCTTCCCTTCTCGAACCTATTTTCTGAATGACTTGATGGACAATCTTTTAGACTGGGATGGAGAGCGGGCGCATCTCTGGCGTTGTGGCGGCGGGTCTGGTTGGGATTGCATCTCGCGGTGGATACTAATCCCTTACGCGGGGATATTCAGGTTCAGCTAAAACGGATGCAAATATAATTAGTGAGCCGATAGCTCTAGGAGCTCCTCCGCTGGACTGTTTTTACCTGGGGTGGAAAGCGCGTAGCGTAGTATTTACCTAGTATTTACCTAGTGGCAAGGGTAAGTAACTTGGTGCGTCGCCATAGTGTGCGTATTTGGAAAGTAGTAGTAGTAGTACTTCGTAAAGGCGGCAGTTTGCGGTGCTCCGGAGCAATCTCCGAGCCAAGTCCTTGTTATTTCCGTCCAGCTCTCACTATTTACGTACACAAGAAGTCATTGTGCAGCTTGTAAGCCAGGGGTGGCTGTAGTTAGTTATTATTGACGCGTGTTGACCTATCAGGACTTGTAGGGAATAGGGGAATATATGTGCTGGGAGTATAGAGATGGTGGCTAGATGGTTCCTGGTATACTGCAGTGATATGGCATCTTCCTGTCCATAAGACAGTCTTGTGGACATTTTTTGAGGATGTTCTCTTGAATAACCTCCTACTCAAAGTAATTCTCATTCTTAAAGGTCGACATATAGGCCGTCAAGCACTGATATAGTTCTGGGGGGTCTACAGAGCATGACAACCGTTCGTGCGCATACACTATTTCAGTTGATTTCCTTTGACTCAACCTCTGTTGAGGTATCTCACACGTACATATCAATACGAACGTAAGATCTAAGAAGTAAAGCCAGTTGAGAATGTCGTCGTTGTACCTGAGTATATTATAAACCTGATACTATTGGCGAACAGGCTGCAGAAACCCACAGCACTAACCCTACTCGAGGATACACGCTAAACCCCCTTAGGGCGAGTGTTATTCTTCCAGACCTTCAGCGTCATTTCCCCCCGCGCGGTCTCCAGCGACCCCGATCCAGCCTCACAGTATCATGTTGTTCTCACAGAATCATGGACTTTGTATGCCAATCCCTACTTCCTTTCTTAGCTCTTACTTCGGTCCACTAATCAATATCCTACAGTGGTCTCGTCTCATTGGCGGCTCCCGTTCGCTATCAAACAAAAGCTTTAAAGCCACCACTCCTACTGAACGACTAACCGCCTTCAAACGGACCTGTAATACCCTACAGGTGAGTCTCTCGACAATTGAAGTCCCGGGAATCCGTCTAACTTTGACCGACCGCAGCAAATATGGCGCTCCAATAATGCCCCGTCGGGCGACCAGACCGTGGCCACGCACACGCGCAACTGCATCGACCGATTGAACTCCGTCCTGGGCGATGAGTCCCGCGGCCCGGCTCCGCACCCGTGTCTCGCCTATGCCTCGTCCTCGCAAATCTTCGTAACAGTCACCAAGCTCTCGCTATCCTCCTATGATGACACGGTCCTGCGCTCCGCCACGGTCCTCTTCAACACCCTCATCGACGCAGAGGTCGACGGCGTCGTGGACAACCGGCTGTTCGCGCGGGCTCTGGTGGACCTGGTGCGTCGCGCTGACAAGAGGTCCGAAGATGTGGAGTGTCGGCTGGTCGAGCTGCTCTTTGGCGTAGCCAACAATATCCGTTTACAGCCCCATATTCTATCAGCGTGGTTTGCTCCCCGGTCGGACGAGGAGGAGCGCGAGCCCCGGACCAGCGTCGGGGCTGAGTTTGCGGGGGCTATGAGAAAGGACGATTTCCCGCTGTTCTATCTGCTGGTTGAGTATGTGCATCACGCGGGTCGCGCGGGCGACTTTGCTCGCACGGGTCTCCTTTATCTCATTGAGACGGCCTCACGGTCGAAGGATCTTGAACGATGGTTGATTGAGAGCGATCTCGCGACGCTTATGGCGACCGGGCTGGGTGCGCTGTATAGTCAGCTGGGCGGGTGAGTAGACTCCTGCAGTATTGGACGACGGGGCTGATCTGATATTTGTAGGTTGTCGTTTGAAATCAGGCCGGAAGAGAGGATTCCCCACATCGTGGCATTGTCAGATCATGCGAGGCAGGAAACCGCGCTTCCGCCTACGCTTGGATCGACCATGGCCTCCTTCATGGCGTACCTCCTGTTCTGGCAGGATACCATCGATCATTGCAAGTCAGGCGAAGTCAATGCCACGTTACTCGATCACTTCCAGGTTTTATTCCTGGAGCAGCTTCTGTATGTCCCTCGACCCGTCTGTTTGGATGTCGCTAATTTTCATGTCTCGCAGATACCCGTCTTTACTGGAGTCATCCGATGTCGAGGGAGGCTCCACAGCGGCTGTTCTCACCTACTTGTATCGCATCCTAGACTCCATCGAGCAGGACGACCTGGTGCACCGGATCCTTCACTTTTTGCTTGCATCGCCATCTGGGTTTGAGACCAAGTCGGCCCAGAAGAGTGTTGACATGTCCATGAGCCGACGAAAATCCCTAGATGTCTTGGCTGCCTTTTCAGAAGAGGCGGCGCGACCATCTCCGTCTTTGTTCAATCTGAGGGACTTGGCCCTTCTTGGTCTGCAGTCTAAGAACCGTCAGACCGTCCTAGCTACTCTACGGCTCATGGCTGTTGTCCTTCAGCGACATCACACCTTTGCCCGTTCGTTGATTCGCACCCTCCCTGGTCAACCGGCAGAGCAGCGCACGGTTGGCGCTCTGAACGCGGAGCTAAGCCAGCTTGTAACGTTGGCCACATCGGTCGTTGATGACCCGATGTTGGAAGAGTCGTTTGAAGACTACCTCAAAGACGCATCGTTGATCTTAGAGTCCCGGCTGTGCATACCTGCGGACGATGACCTCGGAGAGGACCAGCCGTTGGAGATCAGACAAGACGACCCCATCTGTCAGGAACTCTTGAATTGCCTGGAGGAGTTCTTTTCTAATAGCGTGATCGTCAACTTGGCATTGACCGAAGTCTTGATGAGTGTTGCGTCGTCCCATCTCCTCTCTCTTGACGGTTGGCTCCTGGTCGATCCGTCCAAGTACGACTACAGTGACTCGCCGTTACCCGAGGATGCCAATGTCATGGAACAGATCCAGTTTGCTTACACGGAACCATCCTGGTCCAGCGACAACACTCCTACCCTGACATCCGTATTACAGAAACTAGTCCAGCAGATCCAGCAGTGGCGGAAAGAGGTCCCCGATTTCGACATCTTGATAGCCGCTCGACGGGACCTGCTTCACAACGAGGACGACCCCACATCTCCGACTTCTCAACAAGCCTCTGGAATCCAAAGCCCAGCCGGCGGCGCGTCCGAGCGACCCCGACCCAACATCGACTCAATAGGCTCACCCAGAGGCAGAACCCCTCGCCCTCTCGAAGCACATAGCATGTCTCCATCGCCCCACCGCACCGCGGTCGCCTCCCCACTACGCGATGCATCTCTACACATGCCCCCATCCCGCGACTCCGAGTCCCAGACTTCTGCCGCTGACGAACTTCGCAAGCGGTTGTTCCAGCCGTTTATACACGGCGAGGAATCAGCCAAGGATGCCGACAAGGGCGAGAGCACGGCGTCAGGCGAACAGGAGGAGGGTGAGAGTGCCGTAGCGGACTCGGAGCCCTCGTCCGCCACTCTCGGACATGTTCTCACGAACGTGGTCATCTTGTATGAGTTCATACTGGAGATCTCGGCGATGGTGCAGGCGCGAGGCACGCTGTTCGAGGAGGCGGGATATCCGGGTGTCATGTCTGAGCAGTAGGCTGTGGCTCTGTATGGGCTGTTGCTCTGTACAGCAGTAGGCAGGAACCTACTATAAATGGGGTTGGTGTGTGTTATGTAACTTTGTCAGATTATACCAGAATTGATTGTTACTATGTTTAACTATTGGGATGGCGTACTTTCCATGAGAACCATAAACAACTTTAAGACTAGAAAAGACTAGAAGTAGCCTACCAAGAGAATGCCAGGATAGGAATGTCCTGCTAGTGATCTATCGGGAATAAGACCAGGTCAGGTATCACCATCAGGCATGATCGACACCTCAGGCCACATAGTCACCTGATGGACCCTGTCGAATCCTCCCAAAGCGGCTAGCGTGACGTCCAGAGATACCGAAGATGATGATGATGATGACGATATTTCAACCTTTTAGCCATACAGCATCGCAAGTGTGGTAGACCATGGCTCACATGTGAAAGCACCGTTATCGCTTACCCTGGCCCATTCCCTGTTAGGAACTATCCTTCAACCGGACGATCCGTTATCACACTGAATTATCCCATGCGACACATGGCGACAGCCTCATCCGTTCCCCTCACCCAGCTCTAACCATGGAGAAGTTTACCCAATTTCGCGATCGAGGTACGCTCATCCTTCTAACACGATACGAATATATACAAGTCTGACACTGTGTGATTAGGCTCTGGCATCGCGCCCTTCCTGCCCATCCCCACTCAACCAGCCGGTTTCCAACTTCCTGTCCGCGCGTTTCTCTTCTGCGTCCGACTTCCGCTCTTCATCTTCGTCTGCGCCTTGTACTTTCTCGTGTTACAATGGTGTCCGATAGGGTCGCTGGGCAAGAAAGCCTCTCTTTGGTGTATTCTAGGTGTTCCTAGTATCTGGTGGATTGACCTCCAAGTGGACGGCGTGAGAAAGGGGTATGCCATTCATTTCCGTTGATAACCACAGACACGAAGGACACCACTGACAGCCCCTTCCCAGTTCTCTCGCCAGACAGGAAAACACGCGTCTCCCCGGCCCCGGATCCATCATTGCCTCGTCCTTCACCTCCCCCATCGACGCCGTCTACCTAGCCGCTATCTTCGACCCCGTCTTCACCGCCGCATACCCGCACTCGCGCGAAGTAGAGCACATATCCCTCTTCCAAGCCATCCTACGCTCATTCGCCCCGCCGAGCGTGCGCCCCCCACCAGGCACCCGCACCGTCGACCTCGCCACGCTCCAGCGCAAGTATCCCGGGCGCCCGATCGCGGTATTCCCCGAATGCACAACGACCAACGGCCGGGGCATTCTCCCTCTGAGCCCCGCGCTCGCAGGCGCACCCGCCCAGGCGAAGATCTTCCCCGTTAGCTTACGCTATACACCCGCGGACGTAGTGACGCCCGTTCCAGAAAGCTACATCGACTTTCTGTGGGCACTGCTCAGCAAGCCCACGCATTGCATTCGAGTGCGCATCGCGGAGGCAGTCATCAGCGGGGCGAAGGCCCCTGGCTCGTCGGCAGGAGCGTCCACTTCCACAGCCACCCGCCGCTCAACCTACGACGATAACTACCTCGACACGCTAGACCAGGACAGCGCATACGGGAGCAACTCCGGCGGCGACGCAGGAGAGATGTCACCTAGTGAGAAGGCGATGCTCAACCAGGTGGGGGATGCACTGGCGCGACTGGGACGGGTCAAGCGGATGGGATTGGGAGTGAAAGAGAAGGAGGATTTCGTGAGGATGTGGAATCGGAGGCGGATTCGTTAGTTGGATATACTATACTATACAGTCTGTGTATGCGATTGGAATCAGCGCTTATCATGAGAGCTATAGCTACGATTGGATCGACTGCATAGGGTATATAACATGTAACTACCGCGGTGTCAGCCGAGGCACTTCATATATCATGAATATCTTGCATATATCATTGAGCACGTCTTATGTCGATTATCACATTTTCCCACTTCTTCTTTTCCAATATACTCTCGTATACAAGTCCATACATTATCCCAGCATGCGCACATTCAGCAAAACATCACTATTCAATCAAGACCACATCCTATCAAGATCAGCTTAAGCGCAGGTAGACACTCAACATCCCATGGTGTTCTACTTTCTTCAGCACCATCTCGCCTAGCCGTTTAGTCCAGTCTGAAGTCTCCACTTTTATCCCTGTTTCTTACCATTTTCCTATCGTCAACTGTTTACCGAGTAGTATAGCGTCTACTAACAGTACAGTAATACCGGTTCTATTCTAGACAATCCAGGGACTCAAATCTGGGTGTGCTTTTCCAGGGTACATTCTCCCCTCCTCCACACATACATGCATCCATCCACCGGATCTACACCCCACCCCCTTCAACGCACACAAAAACAGATATCGTTCAAAATATGTTGAAAAAAAAAAGAATCGCATAACATCCCCCGAACCGGAATCGAGCCGGTGACCTTTCGATTACAACAAGATATTACAGTCGAACGTGATGAACCAACTACACCATCGGGGGTTTGCGGGTTGCTGCTTTAAGGTTCGTTTGGGATTCGTGTGAGGGTTAGTTGAGGATATTTGGAGTAGGGCTGTATGGTGCTCGATGTGGGTTTTGGAATAGGGTATTTGTTGGTTGTTTATATTTATGGAATGGGGCTTGTAGGGGATGACAATGGTGTAGCGAGTGTACTCTCGTGAAGAATATCTGACTTCCTGCGGATCTTCCTCTGGATTCTTCTTCAGAAATGACAGTGTACGGTTGACAAGCTTACTATGTGTCTTCTACTATGTCCTGCCAGTAAGTCATATAGATGGTTAAGTACACAGAGTCGTATCCTAGCATTGTCTCTTTCCTTCTGTCATCTGCCATCCGCGTATATCAACGCTGATCGGCAAACGGTAGGGCTTAGTCCTGCTTGAGCATTTCAACTCTCTCCTACGACAAGGTATTCAAGATCTATCCTAGGGTTCAAGCTCTGGCTTCTAGACTGGGACCTGGTAACTAACTGGCCTTCTATACGGGCAACCTACGGAGTATGGAAAATGACGCAGATGATCGAACCAACTTCATGGAGTCCATATAATCTGATATAATTGTACTGGCAGAGTACAGACCTCAATTCGTAACTCCGTGACTTGAATTTAATCAACACTCCCATAATGACAGCATAAAGTAGTACTCCGTACATTTTGTTCCATGCAAGGTACACAGCAGGAACACACATCCACACTATCTAGATACACCCTATGGAATTTCTCGATATCAACCCTGCCCCACTGCCCCACACCACCACCCTAGAATTGCATTCCAGTCCACAAAAACAAGATATCAAAAGTAAAAAAGAGAAAAAAGAATAACCCTCCCCCGAACCGGAATCGAGCCGGTGACCTTTCGATTACAACAAGATATTACAGTCGAACGTGATGAACCAACTACACCATCGGGGGTGTGGGGTTATGGCGTTGAATTTTTGAATGGATATATGGATTAGGGTAAATCTTTCTCGATATTACAATGTTCTTGATCTTGGGAAGATCGTAAGTAGATAGGAAGTGTGTTCTTGTAACGGCGAGATATATTGTAAATGCTAGAGCTGTTTGTAGATCTGTCTTTTTTGCGACGCCGTGAAGTGGTTATATGTCGCACTCTCAAGGTGCACACTTTTTATTCTACTATGCGATATCCACGTCTATACCCTGGATTATTCAGTAAGGGAGAAAGCTATACAGCATGCTACGCGTGGACAGTAAGCTATAATATTCGAAGCCTCATGGCTAGTCTACAATTCTTTATTCAAAACACCCAGTCTTACTATTCTTGTAGTCCCAATGAAGAGCCAGTTCATCATTCAAAACGCCACTGCATAACTATTACATCTCATAGATAGTACATAAATCATCACTCATTTCGCCGTAATCATCAACATAAAAAATAATGTACAGAATGTTAACGCCAACATTGGATATCCTTTCTCATGTATTTGTTAACTAGCCTGTCCCAGAAATGAAACCACAATAGTCTGGGATCAGGATGTGGTAGGATTATGGTCAACAAACTGTCAACGTGCTGATGTGCTTGTCCTGTTTTTCGGGGAGAAAGGCAATAAGAAATAAAGATATCAACTTCTCGCACTAATCCTGTTCAGCAGAGACAACAAATGAAAGAAATATCGGGTATGTGCTGCCAATGTAGGGCTCGCAAGACTCAAGATGAACAGAAATGAAAACAAACGGTGTGAATGACCGGATGGATGTGCGTTCAAATTCTAGTCTTAATTAGCCACACGCACATAGTTGCGTTCGAATTCTAGTCTTAATTAGCCACACGCACATAGTTTGCAGGAGAATAGCCTCATCATACCACGCCAGCTGGGAACATAGATACCTGGTCACACCATTTCGGTGTTGGAGACTTGTATCAACTGTTGGCAGGTTTTATTCCGTTCCAACAGCTAAGTCATCGTGTCCCTCGAGAGCAACACCGCCCTCTTCAATATCCGAATCTATGTCTGCATCATTGTCAGCTTAATTGTGCATATCCGATTGCAGGGGATCGAGCGGATTGAGAACCAACATATAGGACAACACCATGGAATATATAAAGAGAGGAAGAACATGTAGACCAGACAGTCACGAAAGGCACCGAGGCAACATAGGAGATGAAGAATGCGGTAAACAGGTTACATGGTACGGAGGTCACTTCCATTTTTAGAGTCAAGCGTGGAACCATTTGTAGAAGAGGTGCCACGACCAATTAGCCATCATCAAGATCACTCTCCTCATCGCTATCTGCAGCACCATCGTTGAAGTGGGGAGTGAGGATATGTGCAAGGGGAAAGTTAATGGGAAATCGCACCTGACGCTGAGCCGACTGCATACGAAGCAGCAACCGCTTCTCTGTCCACTGCTAGCTAGTCAGCCTCCGATCTGGTCTCGTCCTCACTGGAATCGTCGTTCTCACCTTTACCAACAGCCCCCTTTGCTGGGATCGGCTCACTGGCTGCTACTAGCGACCCCGTCTCCACCGACCACGATTGCCCAAGAGCACCCGTCAAGCTGACAGCCCCCCTGCGCCGATAACGTGGCGCCGCGAGCGGAAACGCGCTCCACGGCGCCTTGCCCGGTATCCAGGAGTCGTCCACGGCCCATACACCGCGGGGGCGTGGCCAAAGAAACCTCAACAGCAGTTTAACGAGGTGCGACGGCTTTCCATCCAACCGGGTGGCGGTCCATTCGACGACCCGGGCGTGCATGTTGTGATTTGATTTGGGCACCTCCTGTATGGAGAGCGGGTGAACGGGGTAGTCGCCCGGGGAGGTCACGATCATGTGGCGCGCAACGCTCATGATCACGTACCACGCCTCCCACTCGAAGAAGGCCGCGGGCAAAGGCGCACAGGTGAGACGGCGCAGCGGCCGCGGATTGGCTTGGTGCAGGTAGACCAGGTCCCAGATCTGGCTGGCCAGGTGGTGATCCATAGCGGCGTTGCGAACCGTGTCGCACACGAGCGCAAACGTCGACTTGTAGTCGTTCTGCGTCCTGTGCCAGTACATGTCGATCATGAGGCTATGGAGAGACGGGAAGTTCCGGCCGATCGCGCGGTACAGGTCGCATTCTGTGCGGTCACCGTTACTGCGGGACAGCGGAATCCGAAGCTCCTTCAGACGGGAACAGATCGATCCTAGCTTCCTGATTTCCCAGATATCGAACGCGGGGAGTCGGTCGGGGTCGTCGTTTATGCCGATATTGTGGTAATTGTATTCGGTGGGCTGGAGAAGTAGAGTTTCCAGCACTTTCGCGTGATGGACGACGATGGGCCAGAGAACGGAGGGACGGTTCAGGCCGCAGATGCGGAGTGATTGGAGCGGAGTGAAGCTTGTAAGAGCCGTGATCAGGACTTTGTCCGCGATGTACGTGGCTCCGTTCGGGTCATTGATATGACCGGGCATGGTCAGTGCTAGGCGTTGGAGATTTGGAACTGCTTGGGCGATATGGGGAAAGAGATCATAACGTCTTGTAAGGTGGAGGTCCAAGGATCGAAGCTGTGAGAGATCTAGGACTTTGGACATCACAAGCATTGGCCATTCAGAAGTTGCGCTTCCTTTGAACACAAGGGTCTCCAGCTGCGCACGAGGCATATCGAGGAAGTACAAACAGAGCGCCCTCCACTCCTGGAGGGTATTGCCCGTGATGGGCGGGTACCAGTTGGCCCACAACACATCGAGATGCAGACAGAGGTTCTTAAGCGCCGGGGCCCTGGCAATGAATGGCATCGCATTCTGCATAATAGCAAGCTGGGAAGTGGCACGTCTGGTATACGGATAGTCAACTGCCAGAGTGCGCAAGCCGCGGAAGAGGAACATGTCTAGGTCGAATTGCCCATAGTTCGCGAGCTTTGTCAGATCCGGGCGCCGGAGCATATCCTGGGCCGCCCAGATATTGAGCTGACAGTTTGGATGATAATCGCGGATCGCGGGCAGTAGATCTGGTGGGAATCGGGTTGGAACTGCATAATTGAACTGGGTCAGGTGTTTTACATCCCTAACCAGTTTGATCAGGGGGGCCCACACGCTGTTCATCGATCCCAGTGTTTGACTGGCGGAAGTGCTTCTGACCCACGTCTCAGCTCTCTGTGACTCGTTGAAGTATTCAATGGTCGTCGGGGTGAACGCTTGCGGGCCTTGGGCGAGGGCAGCTGGCACAATCCTATCAGCGTGGTGTCTGGCGCGTTTGATGTGCACCAGATTGATGCATCTTCCAAATTTGAGGATATGTCTGCCCAGACCGGTGACATTGATTTCAGCAAGTACATTTGATAGTCTAACACCGTCGAAAACCCTCACCGTTAGCTTGTGGTATAGGGTTGGAATGGCAGTATTGTAGCAAACACTGCTTGCCAGGCTGAAGACTCGGAGATCAGACATGGATATTTCCGCCAACTAGACAGGTTAGCAGGGTTACGTATTATTGCAAGAATCATGACTTACCCAGGCACAGATGTGTTGCAGAATCTCGGTTGGCAGTGAATCAAGCGGACGTGTGCTGTCTTGAGGGCATTCAGCTTGGTGCTTCTTGATAGAGTTGGAAGCCCTAAGGAGTCGGGGGGTGATAGAAGACTGGGAATACATGTTGTGTAGATAAGTGGGAAGGTCAAAAACTCAGTCAGTTCTTTTCAATGAGTAGTCTACTATATCAGTATCCTGTGAAGCTGGATGTCTCTTGATACGCAAGTTTCAAGACAGTGTAGATAGAACAGGAGAGTTGAGACTCATATTAATGCACAGTCATATCCAAGATAAGGGTTCTAAAAGAGGATGAGATTGAAATGAAGAATCATGAAGAAGAGAAAGCGACAGTTCACTATAAGTAGGTATCTCAGAGGCATCGCATCACGTGTTGAATATTTATATCTGTTCTTTATCAAGTATCCCATATTCACTCGACTATATTCTCTTCAAACCAAGTTATATAACATTATCTGAGTGATTAATATGCATATGGTGATAGAAAATAATGCTCCAGTGATGGGAATTGTAGTATGTTATAGCCCAAGAAAGTTACCCCATTAGGCGGATATGGCACTATCCCCACAATCAACATTAAATCTCCAACCCAAATAATCCAATAGTCAAAACAGCAAAAAATCAATCTAACTGGCCACACACAACAACAAATCAACAGCCACATCACTCGGTCTACAAAAACATGTGGCAAATCAACGCGTTGGGGACCTGCAGCCGCGATGATCAATGAGGCAGTGCGTTTGCCATCCGCCTATCACCGCTCTTTTGGTATATCTGGGAAGACCAAAACCGGTTCAGCTCGAAGTGGGAGTCCCTGCATGAAATAATGGGGACACCCTTGTCATTCGTGTTGTTTCTGTTGGTTCTTTCTCTTTTCTTTCTTTATTTGTTCTGGTCGAGTCACTTTTGCTTCCCTTATTATCGCGATCGATCTTAAATTCAAGTTCTTATGTTAGACCTCGATATATATCCACCATGACATGGTTTTCCCATAGGCGACGTCACAGAACACAGAGTACAGGAAATGGCCCAGTTCAGAGTCAAAATACACACCAGCGAGGATCGTCCCATCCCTCCCACCCAATATATGCCCTTCCGGTCGGGGCTACCACGACTCACTCGCTAGTCAAGCCCCACGCCTCTACAGCGGTACCACTACATTCGACTACCTATCAATCCCAAGCCGTTTCATCAGTCCATCTAGCAGCCCCAGCACCATCCTCTCCCCCACAGCGACCACTAGCAAAATGGAACTCCCACGCAAACCTGTCAGGGATGCTCTTGCACCCCGTCGACACGGCTAGCACCGCCGTCGCGGAGTTAGAGGATCAGATGCGCGAGTGGTGGGCGAGCGGTGTGGACGTCTATGGCTTGTTTATGCGCAAGCTAGATGACACGATAACTGCAATGGACGAGGGACTATTTACGGAGAAGGACCGGGTGGATATGGGTGAGTCAACGCATATGACTGCATTATAACAGAATCGCTGGGTACTGACAGTACAACAGCATCCACATACCCAGTGCAAGATACCGGCACAGTCTACCGCCCAGCGCCGTTGGAGAAGACCTCCCGGTACGCGGCGTACTTTGCCAAAGTCTACGTCTATCAGAATTCGCGGCTTCCGCCCGACCTCCCGTCGCTCCGATTGTAGGTCGCTTGGATAGATAGAGGTCCATGTATTATGCTAATAAGTAGACACCCGCAAACCTTCGCCCTCTTCCGTCTCGCAGCGCAGTACTCCCGTGACGTGTACTATAAGCCGATGCACAGGGACAGCTGGTCGTACGTGGGCTCCGACTGGCGGCATGGCACCAAAGCCATGATGATCAAGTCCGTGGCGGTCGCGGACATGAACACCGTTGTCCTGGCCATCCGCGGCACGCAGAGCTTCCGCGACTGGGCCGTCAACGTCAAGACGGCACCCACCCCCCCGAGCGGGTTCCTCGACGACCCGTCCAACGCCTGCCATGCCGGGTTCCTGTCCGTCGCGCAGAACATGATCCATACCGTGGCGAGTCGTCTGCGCAAGCTGATAGCCGCCAATCCCGGGCACGCGCCATACTCCCTGCTCATCACGGGGCATTCCGCCGGCGGGGCAGTCGCCAGTCTGCTCTACTGCCACATGCTGTCGCTGACCGCGCGGTCGGAACTGGCTCATTTGACCAGCTTTTTCAAATCCGTCCACTGCGTCACGTTCGGTGCGCCGCCCGTGTCCATCCGACCACTGTTTCCCCCGCAATCGCCATCCCAGCAGCGATCCGCGTTCTTCTCGTTCGTCAACGAAGGCGATCCCGTCGCGCGGGCAGACAAGACGTACGTCACCTCGCTGCTGAATTTGTATGCCTCGCCCACGCCACACTGGTGCCGAAAGTACAGCTGGCGGGATCGCAAAGACAAGCCTGCTGTCTGGCGCGTGCCGACGGCGCCCCTCTCCCTAGCCGGACAGATCGTCGTTCTGCGAGCGCGATCAAACTACTACAGTCTGCCAGACGAAGGGCCCGAAGGCGTCGAAGCATGTCTGACGACTGATCTCGGGCTGCGGCAGATCGTGTTCGGCGATCCGCTAATGCACGCAATGGCGCTATACGCGCGGCGGATCGACGAACTCACCATGGACGCTTATCGATGAACAAGAAAACAAGCAAGCCTTCGCTGATCGACACACATCAACGCAGGGCTCAAGATCCGCTCAGTCAAGATCCTCAAACCCAACGGGTAACTCCAGCCCCGCAATCCAAGCGCGCACAGTCCGCGCAAACAGCTCCGGCTCGTCAATCTGCCACGAATGCCGTACCCCACGGTGCAGAACGGCCCTACTAGCAGGTGCGGGTCCATTCCCAGTGCGCGTCACCGACTCAAGCAGTCGCCTAGCATCATCCTGCCGATCCCAAGCAGGCAACAACAGGCCCTCCTTGGCCGCAGCAACAACCACCAACGCGGAGACACTATCCCCATCAATCCTCTCCAGCTCTCGCGCCGACACAACCATCTCGACAGCATCACGACACAGGTCCAGCGATCCTTCCCCGCGCTGCAAGCGCGCCATCCCCTCCGTCGGGTGAGACAGTAGCTCAGCAGTATGCAGCAGAAAGTACACCAGCGGGGGTAAAAACGGCGTCAGCACATTCGGAGCGAAGATATTAAAGCCAGTAACAAACAGCGACGACACGCGCGCGGGGTAATGCGCCGCAAGCTGGGCGGCGATATGTGCGCCCAGACTAGCGCCCACGACGTGCGCAGTACCGCCGTGTGCATGGTCGCGGATGAGCTGGCTGAGGAGGTAGGCCGTGCTGTAGACGCTGAGGGGCTTCAGGTGGAGGGAGGTGCCGTGGGAGGGGAGATCGGGCACGAGGACGTGGTAAGGGTGTGGTTCGGAGGTGAGGTGGTGAAGGACTTGGTCCCATTCTGAGCTGGTGGAGAAGCCGCTGTGGATGAGGAGGATGGTTTGGGGGGTGGAGGGGTTGTGGGAGGTGAAGGACAGCATTTTCTTTCCTTCTTTTTCCTTTCTTGCTTCTTTCTTCTGTCTTTCTCTTTTCTTCTTTCTTTCTTTATCTCTTTTTCTTTTGTTTTTCGTTTCTTCTCCGCTGTCGCAGTGTATATATAGGCCGATATCGTACGTTGTATAGTGTATAATATGTACAGTACATGTATGTACAGCACAATCAACCTACCTCAAGCATCCTTAAGAGAAAGAATGTTGAAACAGCCCAACCCCAGACACCCGAGAGGGGCTCAAGCTCAGACCGACGCGACAACGAGGCTCTGCGCAGATGTGTCCAAGCTGGTCAGCACTAGCAGTTAGTGAGTTGGCGCTTGCTGCATGGTGATGTCAGCGTAATCACAATGAGCACAATACTAACAGTAGCGGAGTAGAAAAAGCCAGGTTATATATTCTATTTGACGGGGGTAAGCAAATTGGTGTTGTAATCAGGCAAGACACTATTTGAATATGGATTGAGAGAATGAGAGGGGAAGGATTGTCACAGAAGATATGGACCATGTGATAATTAAGTGTGACCTTGTGGATAAATACACAGATCATTCTTGAGGGGCTGACTAGCCAGGATACTGGGATCAAATGTATGCATGACTCGACTTCTTAGGGCAATGACTGGCACTACAGACCGGCATAGGGTAGTGAAAACAAGACATGGCCTATGAGTCTAGCGCGCGCTATCGAACTCAGATATATGATATTATTGTATAGATACCGTGGTACGGCCCTGATTGGTCTCATGTGATTTTTCCGAGGAGTGACCAGGCTGGTTTTTTTGGTTCAGCCATCTTTTATGTACTGGGTGCATTGCATTATTTGTGGTTGTGCAGCGTGGATAGACTTGATCTAGCTCTATGAAACTCACTATTGATCTATGCAGGCTGTTTATGATGGGAGTATTTCGTGCAGCATATAGATTTAGAAATCAATTATAGTAATAGATGTTGTTGAGAAAAATATATAATTCTCTTTTCAGCTAATTTTCTACTCATTTTCATCTAGTGTGTAGTCTAACACACATGCATGTATTTATATATAGCGGTACGAGATGTTAAGCAGACAACTCAACACATTGGTCACGCAGAAGATCCATATACTGCAATGCAGCAGAGCATCCTTCTCAACATCTCAATAGTCTGGAAATCTCATTTAGATAACCTGATTTAGAATACCGAGACCTGTCTCGGACGGATACCTGCAGTAACATTCGACATGCGCATGCATATTGTATATTCACCTTAGTATAGTAATAATCGGAGTTTGGGCAGGACTCCCCGGTTTGATAAAGAAATCAATCAAAATTTATTTTTTCAAGAGTATGGGTAGTGGACATCACTTTTATCTTTCACTACTATTGATATGGTAGAATGAGAAATATTCTTACAAGAGCGATCTTTATCTAGATGCTTGACTTCTTGTACATACAAATGCGACATGCTGATGCGATACACGAGTGGATAGTAACACCAAAAAGAAAGTAGAGAAAAAAAGAAAGAAAGAAAGCTGACAAACAGCAGACAAAGTCGGAGAATGGTAAGTTCTAGGGTATAACATCACTCTGGTCTAGCCAAAGAAGAAAAGAAGAAAAGAATAAAGAAAAGTCAGTAGAACAAACATCAATCGTAAGCATAATGCAAAACACCCAAACCACACCCCAAGTGAACAAAATTAATGAATAGTAAAAGTAGTAGAAGAAAAAGAGTCCAGCTCTTAAGGTACTTCTTTATCACCCCTCTTGAGCCCCGCGGGTACGTCGATCGCGCCCTTGACATATTCGGTCGCTGCAATCTCGTCCAGGCCTTTGCGTCTCGTGTTCCGCTTCAACAGCATCTCAACACATTCTCGCGCGCCCTCAAGTTCGGCGCCTTTCTCCGGGTCCCACTCGCCATCGCTGTCAGCGTACCGGTACCAGGACCATTCGATGCGCGCGATGCGGTGAGGCACCCGGGCACGGAGTTTCGCGGGATCGCCACGTGACCCAGGTAGAGCATCAAACGGCAGTCGGTTCTCCATCATGGCGTACAGTAGAACACCCAAAGCCCAGGCATCGGTCAGGCGGCCGTCGTAGGGCTGGCCCATGAGAATCTCCGGCGCCGCATAGTCCTCGCTGCCGCAACGAGTATGGAGGAGTTGATTTTCGGGTGCCTCCGGAATGCGCCGTGAGAGACCGAGGTCGCTCAGTGTGACAATGGCCCGATCGTACGTCCGCCAATCAGCGATATTCTCCACGTCGGCGTATGGAAGATTCATGAGGACGTCTAGAGACGGTCAGCGCGGATTCCACCCAAGGTCAGGTGAAAGAAAGCACTCACTCTCAAGTTTGATGTCCCGGTGGACGATAAGGTGGGAATGTAGATGGCGCACGGCATCCACCATCTCCGCGAAGATGCGCCGGATGAGACCCGGTGCCATGGGCCGCGGCCCCGAAGATGCCACGTCGAAGAGATCGCCCCCGGGGCAGTAGTCCAGAACCAGGAGCGCCCGCTTTGCATCACTCCCAAATGCTTTCAGTTGTACGAGCGACGGATGATTGATCGACTTCAAGATGTCCACCTCTCGCTTGAGAGATACCTCCAGCCGTTCTTCGTCCGCCCCTCCGGCGGGACCGTGTTCGATGATTTTGACGGCCACCAGCTTCTGGGTTGCAGCGTTGACCCCCTCCAGGCTCGAGGGCATGCCGCTTGTATTCGATGCGTTCTCCCGTTTCTCCATGCGCACGGCCAGGCAGACTTGACTGAAGGTCCCTTGACCCAGCTGGCGAAGCTTTCGATATTGTCGCGGCTGTTGGGTTCGAATCGATGATACGGTATAGACCTCATCCGGGCCATCCATCATGGGCGGATGCGTGATGACTGGTTCGGTGCTGTCCTTCTCGAATCCGCTGCTTCGCGGGGGAGTTGGAGGGCGAACGGCGGGAAGGGTGATGCCCCGATAGACGGCGAGATACTGTTCGCGGTGAAGGTTGTATGTACTGGATGGAACGCGAGCGCAGGCAGGCATGCCCTGCGATCCACCATTTATAGACACCGCCACCTGACGAGGCTTCACGTGCACGCATTTTCCGGGAGGGACGTAGTCGCTCAGACTACGGTTGCGGGCATGCTTTCCAGCGTTGTCTGATCGAGGTTTGCTCGGAGACTCGGCAACCTTGTCCCCGCCCGTCTTATCCCACACGTATTGTTTGCTTCGCGATCGCGACTCCGACGGTCCGAGCATTTGAGATGAGTCGCTGAGGCGGAGGCCGAGGCTTGACCCGTTGCGCGACGCGGTCGATGGGGTTCGCGAGAGCGATTGGGAGTTGCGACGGGGCAGTTTCCACGAGGAGAAACCGCCAATCGGCGACGGCAAGGGTGTGATGTCACCCATGGCCATCAGTTGGGGCGATGAGAAGACCGACGCAGGCGACAGCGAGCCGACGCTGGGATTGGGGCCGCTCAGCAGACCGCGAAAGCTGGGGGTCCGGCGGGGTAGGCTATCGGATGACAGGCTGCGGTGCACGATGTCGTCGGATTCCTTGGCGGGGCTTATCGCGGGACCGTTTGGCATATCGGTCCGGATCTGTAGCGAGGGGAGGGACTGCTGGGAGGCAAGCGCCTCCGAGTGGGTCGCATCATGCATTATATAGGCGGAGTTTGATCCAATAGACAGCGGCGGGGAATAAAGACTCCCATCGCCCGGACTCAATGAAGGGAATGAACAACTTCCATTATCGCTGGGAGTCGTCACGGGGGCGTTGTGTAACTCTGACGGTTGGGTGGAGGAGGATCCAGACCTGTCGGTCGGTTGGGAAGAAGCCAGGTGAAGCATCGAAAGAGCAAGGCACTCTTACTCCCTGATCTCGGGGGGGTTTTTTTTTTCTGCAGGGAAGGGGAGAAAGGACGAACGGCGAGCGGTGGCTATCGGCGATATATAGAGTCAACGGGTAAGATCGGGAAGACAACCACGCCCCCTCGGTTCGAACCTGTGTAGATCATGCAACGGTACTACGGGCCGAGACGTCAAAGAAACCCTTGTGATGGTGAACGGTGGCGGTGCGACTTTGAAAGCCTCGAGGCTTGTGAAAGGGGATTCTTATAGTGGAGTAGAATATTGGAGTAGAATATACGGTCGAGAAAGAGCAAAAAAGAAAAGGGGGAAGTCGAGACGAGAAGGGAGAGGAATTAAGAACGGAAGTTCAGAAGAGATGAGATGAAAGGGAGCGAAAGAGAGAGAGAAATAGGTGAGAGCGGAGGGAGGACCGACTTGGCCTTCATTTCCCGACCAGAGAGAAAAGAATCATGCTAATCATGCTAATCATGCAAGCGCTGATGACGCTGCAGGAAAAAAATCCACACGCGGGGTCAGCTGATGACGGGGCTTATCTTAGTCAGGTTTAGCGTCCACGAGGATATGGCGCTAGGTACCCCGCATGCAGTAATGCCGTTGTGGATCGTTACCCGTTGGGGATGAATTCTCTTCCTGTCCCATCCCAGTTGTTATCCATCCGTTGAAACCACGGTTGTATACTGGGAACTGCTGAAAACAGGTTCTCTAGACCGTACAAAAAACTGATAAGAGATTGAAACTATCGGACGGAGATCTCCCAGTCATGCCTTGCATCTCCCTCGGACCCCACGATGCAGCAACTCGTGTCCTTACTGCTCAACAAATCAGACCTGTCGATCTCACCCTGGAGTACGACCTCTGTCAATCCACCGTCCACACACTACCCAGTTCAGTAACCCTGAGGCTCTACCAATCCCACTGTTACACCTCGGGTGGGTTTCCACTTCGGCAAGAACGCCAAACCTTACTTCATTCCTGACAGGCTAGACCTTCGAGGGGAATTTTCATCAGTTGTTCGGGACTACTAGACCTATTAGGGGCCAGTGTGAAATGACTGCGGACTCCACTTGCGGATCACCGTGGAATGTCCGGTATCATTATCCGACCGGACGCGAGACCGATCAGGAGAAGATACTGAGATAGATCTGTGTGACCACTGATCAGTCCGACTCACATGGTTGGGTTTAGTCTTCATTAGTCGGTATGATACATGCAGACAGTGCTGTCCGCAGGGACTATTTGACCTTAACCGCCGTCCTGGTTACCCACGTATCGATAGCCCTAAGCGTGGTCCTGCATCGTCCTTATACGGAGTACATACTGCTCTATACATACTGATCGAGTCGACGACTCACTCTTCTTTGTCGATAAGGAAAATACTTTATTAACATTCTTACATGCATAGCAACATACGTATGGCGTTCTACCATACATGATTTTCTTCTGTTTCCAATCTCACCCATCGCAATTGACCAATGTCGGTTGACCAAAATGCGGTCTCCCATATCCATCCGAGGTGATTTGGCCAACGCACATCATCTGCCGCGCTAGATTAGCGTGCCCCGTTCAATCAAATTCCTGTTTATTTATCCTTTTATTTATCTACGGAGTATGTATTTGATTTATTTTGTTCCTTTTAATCTATTTATTGATTTTAAGATTAAGATCATTTCATTTATTATTATCTTTGAATTTGTTTTTCTTCCTCCCCCCAATATTATCACTCTATCTGATTTGATTGTCTAGTGTTTGTCCCAAGGTTACACTACAACAGATAAAGAAACATAAATACAGAGGTAAAGAGAAAGAAAGACAGAAGAAAGAAGAAAAAAACACCCTGTCCACCTACTCGGCCAACTTTACTAAATAAAGATCGATCGACGACTCTGCCTCCATGGCCCACGTAAGCCCTCACATTTTTCCCGTTCATTCCCCCCAATAATAAAACCATGAACCTATCCCTCCAGTCATATCTGTCGGGACATTTGTGTCGGGTATACGCCATCTGATTGGCAGTAGGATTGCGGTCGCCAAGAAAAATAGAATGAACGATCCCAAGCCACCGAACTAGTCCCTTATTCTGCCCCCGATACTCCCGAGCATTTGGGCTCCATAGTCCCATACCGGTTTCTCTCATTCAAGGCTTGACTGCCGACTTTGCGAACATGTGACGAGTGGCTTGCAGCTTGGAGATCGGTCTGCTTTTGATTCTCTCCTGATCTAGTGATTGAAACTGCATGTTGATTGTCTCTAGCCACAGCATCGTGAACGTGTCCCCTTCCACAGCCGTAAGGGCCATCAGGAGTTGTTGAGAAAAGCACGGACACAGACATGGATATAGTTGAGGTGACTGATCCATTCCGCTGCGGGTGGGTACCTTTCCAAGTTGCTTTTTCAAATGCCTTGTTTGCCCCCTTCAAACATCTCTCACGTTGGATCTTAATGAAATGCCCCGAGTGATCTATCAAATGCCAGTCGATTTCTTGACTTTACCCCTTTCCTTTGTCTTTTTTCGCTTGCGTGTTCATTCCACTGGAAGGATTTCTCATTTCCTCCCTTCCCGTGACGCGCCACAACCCAATCAACTAACCCAGGGGTCTTGGACTAGCTTATCTGTGACCTGGGAGTAGAAGAGAATAACAACCACAGAATACTATTTCAGGGTAGAAGTATGCCATCCGTCTGGCCTAATATCTCACCACTCAACGATCGAATATAACAAGTCCTCGATGGTCTAGTGGTTATGATTTCCGCTTGTCATGGTTCTACCGTACAAGCGCGGGAGAGCAGGGTTCGATTCCCTGTCGGGGAGTTTTTTTGCCTTTTTGTCTACCAGCCAGGGGTGGCAGATAATAATTGGCGTGATAGCTGGTATTATATCTATTGAGTCGCATTTATGGGCTTGCTTACGCTGGATATACTTTTGTAGCGAGAGCGCGCTCTATGTCCCACGGGAGCATGTCTTGCATCATCATATCTGGAGCGAGAGTCTGTGTCCAAAACAATGCAACGGACACCACCCTGTCCAATGGTGGTAACATTGCCGGGCGCCTTTCCAGCACTCCTGGTGAGGTCGCATCTTGTTCCTCGCATCAGACAATTCGATTGTGTTCCTTGCGAGGTCACATGCTATGTACGATGCAATGGACAAACCATGTCAACTGTTCTCGCCATGTCTAGCCCCCAGCGGTGGTACACTCATACATGAAATGGAAGCTCAGACATATGAGTCATGATCTGATCATGCCAGTCAGCGATATACCAAAACTCGGCGCTAATATGTCTCCTGACTGAATAAGCCAGGAACCCTAGGCTTTCTTGCAACACCTAGATCTAGGAACCTGATTGAGTCGCAACTCTTGACTCCATAGTGTTTTAATCCCACCCCGGCCATGAGGACGGCGCATAGAGATGCACTTCAAGATGTTGGACATGCATCTTAGACCTAGGCGATGCTGGGTGTTCCTCTAGAGACCTACTTCTCCTATTAAGTGCAGATCAAATGGCAGATATATGCCGTCGCCTTAAGGGCATCAATGCAGACAACGGAGAGTATTCTTCCAATGATAACTACTGACCCCACATACCGGCTGTGCTGTTGCTCGAGTCAAGCCTGTCGGTCATTTCTGTACGCTGGGGATGATCAGCGGATCGGCGACCTGGTGGTCTGCTGTATTCATCCCGGTTCTATTAGGGTTATTCTGTTGGTAAGATAGTAGCCTCGCCATGGTTTCAAGATCTGTTGGACATGTCCGCTCCATTTGCGTCTATCATTATCAGGACTACTTATGTGTATAAGGTAGTTACACCCACCTGTAAGCTTCGTCCCTGGATCAACCTGTGAATAGTATTTGTTTCTTCGCTCGGCTGTATGTCTGTGTCTTCAACATATTGTCGTCTCAACGGCTCGACTGCCTTCCACCCAAACTAAGAATCTAATTGACATATACATATACATATACATATACACAGAGGAAATCCACAGTCTAATCACAGTACAGACCTGGTATAATGCACTACATCTACAAAACAGACATCTATACCAATCTCAAAACCATACCCATATATTAAAGTCTCTACATAACATGGCATATAATTCACAAGCCACGAATAAACAGACAACCCTACCTGGTGCCCATCTCCACTCACTAGGTGGCATCTCTCCCCCAATAGCCAACCAGCCAAAATTACTAGAAATGGTGTCAATGTCGACCAGCTAGCAAACGACACACGTCATTCGAAATCCTTCAGCTAAGAGCTGGTACTAGGCGATATTGTGATGGGAGATTTCGTGACCCAATCCTCCCTGAGTTGATCTTATATACAGCGCGCTGGAAACAAACCCAGCATAGGATGTATACTTGGGGATTAATATATGTTATACTGGGTTATTAGGAATTTCTTCAGCTGTGAGAGATAGGGTTAGTAAGTACTAGCTGTATATGACTCAGTTTTAATTTTTATTTGATGTTGTTTGATTCTTCTTTTATACTAGTCTCCCGAAGTACCTTTAATAGAGTCTGGGATCATTTGATTATACTTTTCCATTCACAGAAGTTGATTTGACTCCTATATAGAACGGACTTGAACTGAGGTCAAAAGTGGACGAGCACAGCCACAGTTGGAGTGGCTGGTGAGTTCAGTGGCGCGGTGTGGTTCTCTTCCGAATACAGCCGGTCGTCCGGCAATCCCGTTATAGATGGTTTTATCGTTTCATTGTAGCTCCTGACAATATTAAGGTTACTTGATAAGACGAAACAAATCCTGCGACAGTTTTCGCCAGCAAGAACCACAAACGCAGGAGACCGCTATATGTACAGTACAATACCCATCACCATGCCGGCCCCAACCATGGACAATGCAGAAAACCGATGCTTTGAGCGCCAGAGAAGAGATCTGTAAGGGACGACACCAGAAATAAAACCGTTTCTAATACAACATAGACCAAAAGGAGAATCGAAGGAGGGAAGTGTCGCTAATTCCCTCCCGGTTTGTGAACAGACACTAGCGGACGTGCTTTTCGAGTAGGTGCTGGATGAGAGGCCGAGTTGGCTCGCGTGCTAAGATACAAGGGGATTTTTGTTGTTTTTCTTTTTTACAGGAGCGCCCTGCTGATGACCTGTGGAGCTGTTAGTAGGTGACACTAAATGGAAAAAGAAAAAATGACACGTACGGTCCAGCCTCCCGCAATGCCAGCGACTATACCGCCAGAGATCGCCATGGGCTTCAGTCCACGGGTGCTCTTGAACAGCATTCCGCTGAGCGCACCGGCGACGATGCTGTTCGCAGCATCGTGCTTGCCTCGTGCGTATCCGAGACCAGAGTTGAAACAGTTGTATACCATAGCAACCACGCCGGCGGAGTTGCCAAGGAAGGGTCCTCGCCGCGTTACCGAGTTCAAGACGCCGTTCAACCGAATCTTGGGAGGCGCAGTCACGGGCGTCTTCTTGAGTCCTTCAGCCATTCCCCATACACCTCCGAGAGTCAACGCGGAGAGGTAGGTCGTGCCGGCACCGTAACACAGGTCGTCGGACCAACCGCGAGACGGGAGAACGGATCGCGAGCCGGGGAGTTCGTCGAGGCTGGAATCTTCAAGCGTAATGTAGTCGAGGGTATCCTGGTTCAAGCCAGAGAGAGGATGGAGCTGGGTGGGATCCGGAAGGGAGATCTCTGAGAGGAAAGATTGAGCATCTTGGGTCTGATCCAAGGGCTCAGAGCCCTGGGGTTGTTTGCGACCGCTCAAGGAATCCCAGATGGCCATTTTGAAGAAGGGTATATTATTAAAAATCAATACAAGGAAGAATGGAAGAAGTAAAAGGAAGGTGACGTGGGTAGTGGTCGCTCAGCCAGGCACTGCTGATCTCTCCGTCGGTTGTGGTCGGGTTGGTTAAGTCGTGACTGCTTGGAAATCTGAAGAAGCGGAACAAAAACTTCAGCCCCGTGACATCGACCGGGGAGTGCTGGGTTCGCCGGTCTCGGGGGAACGTTGGGCCGGAGCTAAACCACTCTGGGCGGACCCGCCTCGAAAATCCACCAGAGGCAAAATGAGTGCCAGACGCGGGGGCGGGCATATCTGATTGGAACTTTGAATTGATTTGGCCGGAGAGAGAATTTGTCTGGGACATGCAGCGTCTTGGAGGTAATGCATCTTAATTCAGCGTCCAGTGCCCGCCCCGAGGCGGGGTGTGACCTCATGGAGCAGATCGCTCAGCAGGATATACAAATCTTGGCCGAATCGACCCTAAGGGAAATTAGTCTAGGTCCCATGGTGAAATTCACCTCGGCCTGTGAAGAATTTGGGTAAGATTGCCCGGTGATATCATTGATTTTGTACAATTGTCGTGTTCAATGCCCTCTGACATACGTAAAGGAAAGTCAACCGTGTATGGCAATGCCTGTTGGAAACATTCTCAACGTCATCTCTGAGCCATACTCATAATACGGCCGCTTGCAATGCTCTGAGCTCGTTTCTTGACACAGCAGCTACTTCGAAATGTCCGGAGACGAAGCGATTGGCTTCGTCCCTGGAGACATGGGTCGCTGTGTACGAGATATTCTTGACCCGTTATAAAGATGCCAAGCCAAAGCCAATGAAACAGGTCTTGGATAGTCTAATGGGGCTCCTAACCAAGAACCCAGACGACAATGCCAAGTCATCAATTCGATCGTATGCTGTGCATGCGGCATTGCCTAGTATCATCACGGGGGAGCCACGGTCTCGCACCAAGGCAAGCCTCCTGTCCCTGGAGGTTATGCTTCGCAAAAATGCCCTTATTCCTATGGAATTGGTCTCTGCCGCTGAAAGTTGGCTATTGAAGAACCACGAGAAGTGGACTCCCCTCTATCAAGTGAACTGCAGTGCCTTGTCGATGGATATACCGAAATTTCTCGCGGGTTCGGAAGATGACTCAAAGACAGTAGCAACGGAAATACTGGCCCTTGGGTTCTTGACGCAGGCCAAAACATCCGATCTTGCTACAGGTTCTGGCGCAACCATGGCAGTCTTCTTCCAGAAACTTAGAGCGTCGACTCCGGACTCAAATTTGGCGTCGGCCTGGGTAAAGCCAGTCAGGCACGTTGTCCTGCATAATCTGGATATATTGGAGATGATGTCCACCTATATCCTCGACCCTCTGTTCAATGTCGATGCTATTGGCTTCCGAAACTTTCTCGAAACCCTGCCTATTCAAAATCTGCTCACAGGGGACATGAGCGGTGCCCCGAAGGACGACCTGACCCTTCTGTTTGCATCGCTACAAATGGCAAAGAAGAATGGCCTTGTTCATGAAGACCGTAAGTGGTGATTCTCATGTACTATATGCCAGTATTGCTCACTCAGTAGCAGATTTCTTCGCCAAAGCGGGCGCCGCTGAAAAGACTGGCTCTAGCCCGTTGGTCTTGAAAAGTCAGATCCTCGGCCAGTTTCTCTTTCACAATGATATGAGCATTAGAATAGCCGCCCTTTCACTGCTTATCACTGCACCGTCTACGACGAAGCCCATGTCATTGGCTACCACCCGCGCAATTTTGAGAGGGCTCCCTTCAATGCATGCTGAGTCGGACTCGTACTCCCGCGGAGAGATTCTGAGCTTGGTGCGGAGATTCATTGTCCGTCTTAAAGGGGGCATTTTGAAGGAAGAAGGTGGTTTGGTGGATGCGAAAATCCCGACCAACAAGAAACAGTCCATCATATATGCCAGAGATGATGCAGAGACAGAATCGTGCTTGAAGCAATACATCGGGTTCCTGAAGTCCGATCTGCGACCTACGGCTTCCTACCCTCGGCATATCACCGCATTAAAAACATTGATTTATGTTTTAGAGTCCGGCTTAGATAGTCGGTTCGACCGTGTCACGGCTAGCAAAAAGGAAGGATGGCAGGTTGGATGGCGATGCAATATGCAGATATTCGATGCGAGCTTACTCAGACTACTCGTGGATCTTCTGACCGATCCATTCGAAGAAGTGCGCGCTACATCCCTCACCGCATTGAAATGGTTCCCAGTGGATGTTTTACTGGCTCAAGGCCAACTGCCCGCCCAGACCCCGCCGTTCATTGAAGCCCTGATGAAAGCGGAACAACTAGCAAGCAACACAAGCAGGGCTGATCATGCCGACACAGTTGCGCGGCTTTATGACGTGCTTTTCAACGCAGCAGCAACGGGGGAGGTGAAGGCGGATGCACGATGGTGGGAAACGAAAACCAGCGTGGTAGACAGGCTTTTGGGAAAGCTTGAGGGCAAATTGTCCGTTGCAGGCGGCCTCTTCAATTCTTCCATGCGCGACGCTCCTCTCCATGGCTACGTCTCCGCTATAAGGTACTTTTCTTTTGCGACACAGCGCAGTTGCAACATTTCACTGATCAAATCTATAGATACATTGTTTCCGTACCGAACTTCCATTCTCTTGTTTCGGCTGCGGACTCTTCCAACTATGATAACTGGAGACTGATCCATCAGAGGATAATCTCCATTTCGGACAAGATTTGGGAAGAAGTGAAGCCCGTGCTATGCGTCGACTCCCCCGAAGGCCATACAGATGAGCCTGTTGAAGATCTTGATGTTGGACCGAAGGACATCCTTTCTTATTCCTGGCGTGCACTGCGAGAGTCAAGGTAAGCTAGTCGACGCTTTTTTAAAGACTTTTCTGACAGAGTAGTCTTCTCCTCCATGCGACACTTGCCAATCGGACGTACGGCCCTTCGGGAGAACCAGGATTGAACTTCGATGACTACGACAAGATCGGGACATGTAGCTTCACCCAGCTCGCCGAGCTTCGCCACAGGGGTGCCTTTTCGACGGTGTCTCAAACCTTTGCCACGTGCTGTCTTCGGTGTAGCCAAACTAACGACCCGACCATCGGCAGCCTTACACACAGGTGGTATCAGGTACGCAGTCGAATCTTCGTAACCGGGAATCCTGTGGGTCTAACTATATTTTGTAGGATGCGAAACGGATTATTTTCGAGACAGCTTCGAAGCTCACTCGCCGCTCTGCCGGTCTCCCCGCATTGGCCACAGGGATTCTCACGTCGCAGCCTGGGGGCCCGTTGTTCAAACAGGTCATGGAAGACTTGCACGAGATTTCCCACTTGCCGGTGGAACACAACCCCGACGAACAGAATATCCCCCTACCTCAAGTACACGCCATGAACTGCTTGAAGGACATCTTTACCAACACAAAATTGGGTCCTTATACAGAGCCGTTCATCATGCCTGGTTTGACGCTCTCGGCTGAGCGACTGGGGTCACCAATGTAAGTACAGAAATCGATAATCGTAGCCAAATGGGCGGACTGACCATAAACCAGTTGGGCCCTCCGCAATTCGGGACTGATGCTGTTCCGAGCTTTGTTGATACGTATGTGTCGCCACGGATCTGGTTTGGGCTTTGGCGGCAGCTCAGGCTCCGAGCCTGGCTACAAGGTCTCATTCCAGAAATACCCAGGATTGGTCGAACTACTGGCAAGCCTGCTTGAGACCACACCAGCGAATGACCAGGACGCCAGCGGGGACGATACCATGGTCACAGAAAGAGTGTTTCCGGCAATGGAGCTGATTGCAGAGAAGATTCCTAACGTGATTGGCGTTGACGACGACATGCTGCGAAGATTGGTCCAGAAGCAGCTCCACAGCCGAGTATGGGGCATCCGCGAGCACGCCGCTCGGGTGTACGCTTCCTTGCTAGACAGATTGGACATACTTGGTGGCGTTCGTGCATTCATCAATGACGGCTCTGATACCGAAGAACAGAATTATCTCCATGGAAGAGCGCTGTGTGTGAAGTACTCTCTACGTCGGATTGCACCGACTTCTCTTGCACTCTGGAGGGGTATGTGCCTGTGGATATTCCTATACATGCGGCTTGGGACTGACTTGTGTACAGAAAACATGAATGAGATCGCTTCTACTGTGCGACACATTTTTGGGGCATGGTTCCAGGACGCCGAGTCTCCGTTTGTTGCTACCACGTTGCTGGAAATCTTGAGTGACTTTGTTGAGAAGGCCGTTGAGTCAGAGTCGGAGGGTAAGTTCAGGACGAAGCTCGATGACTGAACATTGTTGACCCCTATACAGAGAAGACAGGGTTCACTTTGAACTACCTGTTCGATACATACCAATTTGGAGATATCCTGGACTTCATACTTGACTCGTCCCACCCATCGTGGAGAGCCCTGAGCGGCACACGCGCTGGCTCTCTGCTCCGCAGGGAACTCTCATGGGTGAACATCCTGCGATTGTTTGTCACGAATGATTTCGCAGAGCTGGGACCATTCTTCGAGAAGGTCTGCCGATTCGACTCCAATGCTGCCCAGTGGCTATTGGAGCGAACGAACGATGTCTTTACGGACAAGCAGAAATACAGAACTGCTCTGCTCAGCCAGTTCTCCTCTGTGATTGTAGGAGACTACGCAGAGGAAGTCAGAGGAGTGGCCATTTCGTGCCTCGCAACTAATCTGGAGAGCTTGCTTAGCTGCGAACCTAACAGCATCAAGGAGATGGACATGCCATGGGAACTCCTAGATAAGAAGATCAACTCTAATTCTAGCAACTACATACGGAACAGAGATCGTTCTGACGCCGACCTCCGCCTGCAAGGGTGTCTTATCGCAGCGATGGCTATTCTCCATCCTAGCCAGGATCTGCAGCTCGCGACAGGCCAATGGGCAACAAGGCTCCGATTCGCAATGTTGGAAGAGACTGTAAGTAGACTCCTTCGTGATGGCCCTTGCACACACTAACCGATCGAAGGAATTTACGACGCGATTCGCAGCAGTGTCATCTCTGGCCTCGTTTGGCCGAGTCTTGCGCCCGGCCAAGATGTCCCCACGTACAGAAGACGTCTTCCTGGATGTATACTTGATCTTGTACGACATGCTCAATGATGATGACGAGGAACTTCGCGACCTCGCCGCTTCGACGGCCTCATGGGTCCTCTCGTGTTCCTCCGTTTCGCCCGCGAAATCCATCTCCCTGTCTCCGTTGAACGCTAGCAGACTCTTGGCAGAGTTCATCGCAACCAACTACGGAAACTCGCAGGTTCTGAACACGCGGATCCTGCGATATGTGCTGGGTCAGGAACCCAGACTTGGGAGCGCCGTTTCCGGGGCCAGACTCATTCCCGTGGCAGAAATTGCTGCAGAGCTTCAGAAGGAGAGCACCGTTCTTTTCGAAGAGGAGAAGCAGAATCTGTTTATCGACGAGGTTCGCGAGATCGACGTTTGGACCGGAGTGCTGTCTAAGTTGACGAAGGACACTTACGCGGAGGGGTCTATCCTGGACCTGTGTGGGTGGGTTTCTGAGGGGCTTGAATGTCTCGCGAAAGCCGCTGCTGAGGCATCTGGGCACGATGGACTGATCGGATGGGCGTCGAAGCCGGAGATGTATACGCTTGGAGTGCGGGTGATTAGCCTCGCGGGTGTCTTTGTATCTAAGGACTTCGCTGCTGCTGTGTATATTTCCGGGGAGAAGGATGCTTTGAAAGAGAAACTCCAGGCGTTGCTTGCTGGAGGGAGACAAGCAGATGTTCACAAGGATTGGCTGTTGAGGATAGAGGAGGCATTGCAGTGTTCATGAGATATGATAAAGGGCATAGATAAAAGCTAGACAAATGCAATGGTAGATATTTTCCCCTTCTCTTTCTTAGGACTTGTTTTCTTTCATTGCGAGAATAATATCGACAGGAGACGAGCTTGTTGTGCCTGAGGACGACAGTGTCGTCGTGGCAGCGCTCACCATCCTTTCAACCTTAACTCACGTCAACGACAATACTTCGTTCATGCACCACCCAGGCTTCATATTATCCATCATCATCCAGGATTCATCAACCCATGATGATCGGGAATACATGACCTGACCATCACATCCCACAACAGTCACGATCCCCCCCAGCCAGCCCATTTTCCACATTAAACGTCCTACGCATACCAAGACCACAGATGCAAAATGCAAGCCAACCTCATAATCACCCTCGTGGTCGTCATCGCAGTGTGTACAACCGGGGTGACCTGGCTCATCTACTTACGCTGTCGCCATGAACTCCGCCGAGACCTGACCCTCATCCGCTGGCAGTCTCGCAGAAACGCAATTGAATTTGGATCACTGCGACATGATAGACAGAGTCGGGAGGTACGGATCGTCGAGGAAGGTCACGGTCAGCGTGTACAGTCATCCAACGACAGACCGAAGACTAGCAAGGGCTCGAAAGGAGGGAAGGGTAAAGGCAAGAATAAGGGCAAAGGCAGGAATAAGAACGAGCAACGAACGGGCAATGACACTACACCAGCGGAGAACTCGAATGACGGGGGATGGACGGCCCAGGATGCGTTTGCTCCTGGCTCTTCGGTCTCTGAGCCTGCCGCGTCGAGTACGAGTCCACCCCGTCCGTCAACATACGATCAGAACCGTCCATCTCCGGACAATCAGAGTTCGAATTGGCAGCAGGAGACACAAAACGAATGGTCTACGGGGGACAATGACTCTGGGAACCAGGAGCAACAGGCACAGATGGACAGCGAATGGAGCAGTGATGGGCCGATGCATGGAATAATTCTGGCGGGGACCCTAGCGGAAGCAGTCAACCATGGTCCAGCGATAATTCAGATGCCATGGCTGTAGGGAGTGGAGTCTCGTATGGGGCTTCTCAAGGGGATTCTCAGGTGGAATCTACAGGAGGATCGTGGGGGGCGCCGAGCGGTGATGCCAATGATGCTGTCCAAAACAACCCCAGCGAGGAAGATTTGTCTAATGTTCAATGGTAAATAGTCCAGCTGAGGCTGATGTGGTTACTTCAAGACCCATAAAAGAGAACCTCGTCATTGGCCATGGATATAAAGGTGGCTGTGGTCTTTACGGAATGCCGGAATCGGGCGCCAGTGACGTTTGTAGTTTGGTTTGACCCCCGCGGATCTCCAGTGGTACCTAATCAACCATCACTAACGATGACGGCCGATTCTTCTCCAACCACCTTCCCACTTCCCACTTCCCTCCCCTTTCACCCCCCAATCTTCTGATTGCTGCGTTGATATTTGATATTTATTTGTCGTATTGTGAGATACTGCCAATACTTATCACTCCACTCTCCGTTTATGCGCCACACCACTACCTCGGTCCTTTGAAGTGCAAGGCAGCTGCACTGCCTCCCCCCATTCAGCCATGTGGAACGACGAGGACAACAATCCGTACGGCGCATTCGACAACGAGGCGCAACTCTCGGAGTCTTTGCACTCTGCCGCTCTTTCTCCCTGTATTATACCCTGTCTACAGACTGGTGGGGTCGTCAGCTAACGGTTCCAATTTCAAGCGCTCTACGATCGCGAGTACACCCCTCCTTCCCCCTCCAACCAGTCTTCTCAACAAGACCCCCCGACTACCTGACTCGCCAACAAAATCTCAGCGATGAGGAGGAAGATGGATATCCCGAGCAGGAAGCTGGGGGCTATTCCCGCAAGAGCGTGTACGACAGTCGCATAGAGCAGATCCTGTACGAGAATCCGGAAATGCCGATTCTCATCACCGATGCCGGAAAGAATCACGAAAGTGGCGGGGGCTACATCGTGTATACCATCCGAACTGGGGTGAGTTGTATATTGTCGGGTACTCGGATGAGACAGACTGACGATTGTCTGTAGGATCTAGAGGTCAGACGGAGATATTCCGAATTTGCGTCGCTGCGCCAGACCCTCGTTAACCTCCACCCGACCCTCATCGTGCCGCCCATTCCGGAGAAACATACAATGGCGGACTATGCTGCGAAACCGACCAAGGCGAAGGAGGATACCGCGATTATCGACCTGCGAAAACGGATGCTAGCCGTCTTTCTGAATCGGTGTCGACGGATGAAGGAGGTCCGAGAGGATGGGGTCTGGTGGAGATTCTTGGACCCCAATGTTAGCTGGGTATGCGCATACAACCGGTTTTGATTAATCGTGGGTATTGACTTGATGTTGCAGAGCGAGGTCCTTCATTCGCATCCCGCGTCCTCGGTGCCGAAAAACAACCTGAAAGCTCCCCCTCTCGACCCGGCCAACCCTACACCTGCGCACGCGTGGCTTCCTATCCCAGCGACCTCAGCAAAGCTCAAGGGCGCACCTGGTACTGCGTCCACCGGTACCTCCCCGACTTCCGAAACACCTGGTCCGGATATTCTGGGGCGTTTCCCGCCCGAGTCGCGGAAACTGAGTGAGAAGGAGTTGGACCCTTACTTCATCAACTTCGAAGCCTCTACACGCGAGCTGGAATTGCTACTCCAGGGCAATATGGAGAAGGTCAATCGTCGGACATTGACCCATCTGTCGGCGTTGTCCGCGGATCTGATGGAGCTTGGAGCGCGGTACAACGGCTTCTCATTATCCGAGCAGTCGCCGACCGTTGCGGCAGCCATCGAACGGATTGGGCAGGCGGCCGACACGTCTTACATCGAAACCGAAGAACTGTCGGCTTCTCTGGGTGCGAACTTTGCAGAGCCCATGAGAGAAAGTGCGCAGTTCGCCAGTGTCGTCCGCAGCGTTCTGCGTTACCGCGTCCTGAAGCGGGTGCAGGAGGAAATGACGCGCGATGAGCTTGCCAAGAAGAAGGCATTGCTCGATTCGTTGGAGAAGAGCGAACTGGAAGCACGGCGTCTGGAGGAATACCTGAGCCGAGCGCCGTCCCAGCCGACTCGGACGAAACCCCAGCGCTCGCTATCGACATCATCGGCGGCTAGTGCCCCAAGTGGCCAGGAGGTCGAGCCACGCCCCAGCGGCCCAGAGGACACTGCTTCCATCGACTCGGATTTCCCCTCGACTCACGGGGAGTCCGCCGGCCCGTATCCTCCGGCTTCACCAAAGCGGTCCGACCCGTCGTCCTCTCCACCGGCACACCGCAAGACGCCCAGTGGAACATTCATGGGCAATAAAATCTTCGGCCGTATCAGCCACGCTGTTCATGGGTTCGTAGATGTAGATCCGGAAAAGACCCGGCGGGACCAGATCGGCAAGACGCAGGAAAGTTTACTTCAGGTATGTCTTTCTCCGTACTCAATGCTCGATGCGATGTTGACCCATCAAACAGCTCGAACAGGCCCTCAAAGTATCCGAAAATGACGTCAAGGACGCCAGCGCCGGTGTCCTCCAAGACCTCAAACGATTCCAGCAAGATAAAGAAGCCGATCTCCGACGGTACATGGTACGTATAGCCGCAGACCACACCACAAACAGACACTAACGGGACCGATCCTAGGTCGCATACGCCCGCTGCCATCTGGACTGGGCGCGCAAAAACATGGAAAACTGGACGGAGGCCAAAGACGAGGTGGACAAGATCGTCGTTTAATAGACGGTACTGTTTGAAGCAAGCACCGTGCTATGAACTTGCGAAGAAGCCGGCGTTGGTGGGATTTTATCTTTATCTTCGATATGTTATCTATCCTATGGGTCAATCTCAATCAAGCTGGGCAACCAATCCATTACTACCGCAGATTGGCGAGTCGCCTGGTGCTTTGCACCCTGTCATCCATCACTTCAATCAATATATGAAGTATGATTATGAGCTCGGGATGTATATTTTCTCCCAAGTATAATATATCGCTAGCGATACTATATCTGCACGATATATGGGTAAGACTTTGAATATTTGGATGACCGATCAAATCTATATATACATCATGCCATACATCCAGTATCAAATTTATCGTACATCCCGTGGAATTCGACAGCAATCGTCCAACGGGCCTACAGATCACACAAGGGTTTCAATTCAACTTAATTACAACTCGCAGCCTTTCCCACAGGTCGATTTCCTCAATATCATCAACATTTTGACCGTTTTCGCCGTTTTTCCTGTAAGTTCCACTCGCCGATATACCAATCATTGGAGCTCAGTACAAGCTTGTCAATCTAATAAACGAGATATATAATCACCGACCCATGACTCACGGCCAGATGTTCTTCCTCTTGCATTTTCTGAGTAACGTGCCGCCGGTCAGCACGCTCCTGCAGCAACTGGTCCTCCAGGGATAGGTGGCCCGTGGTGCTTTCCCCCTTATTGCCGATGTCTTCCCTGACGTCGGCTGCTACCCCTTTTGGTGGAAACAGGCGAAGGGAAGTCGGAAGAGGAGAAGTCGGGGATTGGGTGTCGACCTGTTCGCCAGCTGGAAGGGGCTGGGGGGGAAGATCCTGGTGGACCGCGTCCACCGGCCGTCCTTGTAGAGTGTCGGCAACTAACACATCCCGGGGTGTCTTGTTTAGTATCGATATTCCAGTAGTCACATCCTGCACCCGGTATCGGCCCTTCCCCGTACGGGGCTGATTCATCAGAGTGACAGCCCTTGGTCTGTTTAAACATCAATTGCTTTCGTCGTTTGTCCATGCGCTGGCGGCTGCCTGGGGGCCGGTTGAAGCCATCTAGCGCGGGCCACAAAAACTTCTTCAGCGAGGGAGCGGCGCACTGGGGTAACCTGTACCTCAGTTTATTAGCGAATACCACCAGAACGGAAGTACTGCTTACCCGCAAGCACGGGTGTCTGCCGAGCTGGCAGCGCACACAGACAAGACCCAAGTATATAATTTTCGACCTATACACGTCTAGAAGTGCTTGGTTCTGTTCGATAAATGAAGCATCTTGTATACTGGATGGTAGTACTAAGGAACACTTGCTCCGTTGGCAGTCCATGATAAGCCAATATTTGTTTTATAGGGACGGCCAATCTGGCACTGCTGCAGCTCATAGAACCGCTGCATTGTTCATGTGATCCATGGAATTAGAATAAGATGGCTTTTGCCAGGACCATGTATTAGAGTCTTCGCTCAATGGTTTCCTCTTGGAATAGGATCCACACTGACAGTGGAACGGGTAGGAATACCCCAGGATTGCGCATCTAGAGTTGAGACACCACATCCAGTGGTGCTTGTGGTGGACTGGATCTGAACGGACAGTTCATTTTGTCTCGATGTTGTTATCTTTTTGTGTCTTTTCATTTGTATGACTGGACTGCGTAGCTCAAAGATGGCGTTTGGGGCAAAGTAATAGGGGTGAGATTGTTTTTGACTTTCTCACGTGGTAGCGGTGGGTGTTGATTGGGGTCATCTTCATGAGATTTCGTAGATGTATACTTGTGTGTCAATTGTATGTGCTTGTACTGAAGCTATTCCCCACTTTATTAGCCTGGTACCATTAAAGACAAGTCAAGTACCTCATACCGAAGTTATGACCCTAGTATATCAAGTGGTCGTTCGATATTCCTGATATAGACATTCGTCTCCGTGCATAATGTTGAGGATATCAGTCAGTCCAAGTCCTCCCAAAGTGCTCGTCAGCATTTCGGTGTAATGGCAGGGACCATTTAGCATTTCCCGGGCGCCTGTTTGCATTCTTATGGTCGTATTCTCATTGATGGGGTTTAGACATGTAGCCCTGGGACTTGTGGTTTTTGGAAAGTTGTGGTTGCCGCGTTGCCACCGGGTCATATATCCATTCATGCTTTGACACAGCAGGGATATAAGCGGCGAGTTCCGCATTTTGTAGACAAATTTAGCTTCGCTTGCTCTGGTGTGCTGTATGCCTAGATATAAGAATTGGAATAATTAATATATACTGCAGTAGAAAGTTTCCAGGAGTTGGGCGTTGGGGTTGTATATATATGTAGGAAGGAATGTAGAATATTTGTAGAACATAAAGTCTGTATATGAATGATGGGAAGCTTTGTCTATACCCTGGTCTGACAAGGAAGGTTTCATGATGTATGAATCAGTCTGTCTCTGTGTCATCTAGATGTTTGTGATTGTGTTTCATGGCTTCACTGCTTTGGTAGGGGGTCTTCAGTGACTGGATGTTTATAACTACTTCTTATTCATATGGATACTGAGAGGTGTCAGTCATACTGCTTGCTTCACTGCAATCTAAGTGTTACTACTCTAAATCAAGACTGCCAGTGTACAACACCTTTACTGTCATATGAAATCCTTGTTGGCACTACTGTGATATCACCGAGTTATCTCTACAAATATCAAAGCAACTTGCAATATCAAACAGTGCATGATCATAAGGCTACATAAATATATCCAATCACAACCACCAGAAAGGACTAGACACCCGCCCAATGTCCCGTCTGGGAAATCTTCTCTACTGCTTTCTTCATGTCCTCGACATACATATCATGCTGCCGTTGCCTCAAATACTGAGGAATAAACGGATACATCAGACGAGTCCACGACACAAATCCCTGGTACGCAACCTGAGTCGCCAGCGTCGGCCGCAGATCATACTCGACAGCTAAACGCTCCGGCAGCCAATTCATAGTCACAACGCGAGCCAGCGGCATAGAAACGCTCATCGCAAGCGGCAAATTCAACGGATACAGCAAATCTCCACACAGCTTGCGCGCCATATCCGTGACCTGGAGCGTCTGAATATTATGGTCCCAGTAAGCCCAGAACTCGTCCAGGTTCTGCGGCCACATATCAGGTGGCATGCGCAGGGAGGTCCCAAACACAGCCGACTCCCTCAGCATAGTCTCCTTCTGGTCGAGCGACAGCTCCCCAAAGAACGCCTCATGCACAATCAAGATCGAGAAGAACAGCGTTGCAGCCGTCCACTTGTGCAGCTCGGGGTCGTTGGCGTCGTAGTCGTCGCCCTTGACGCGCGCGTGGTACTTGTGGATGACGGAGAAGATGGCGGCCTTTTCGGCGGGGTTTCCTGATACCGCGGCGTTGAGGAAGCGGGCTGTGTTGCGGAGGCGTTGTGGGATGCGCGTCGCGAACGAGGAGTGCTTAAAGCTGCCTTTGGCGAGGGCTGGGTGCGCGAACTGACAGAGGATGGCGACCTGTCCGCCGAGTAGGTAGATGTCATCTTTGATGAGGGAGCGGATTAGGTGGGGTTCGGCGATGGTGTTGTGGATGGGGACATCTCTGGAGCGGTCTGCTGTGGTTGTTTCTGGTGTCATTTTCGTGCAATAAAGATGAGTATATTGCCTTCCTGTTCTGTTCTGTTTGCAGCATGCTTTTGGGTTACCCTGTTGGTTTATACGATTTATACTCCCAGTCCGAGATTCGGACCGAGGACCGCTGGTGCGGCACGAGTAGTCTGTGCCATCCCCGCGATATCACAGCCTATGAGCGCTGCTCAGAAACGGTTAGGGCTTGCAGAGTGAGGATTTAGCGTTAATGGTGGATCTTGGCGGACGGGAATATATGGGAGTCTCCCATGGTGTAATTGAACGCATGTGGATGCCATCTTAAACAACCGCGTCGAGCCCCTCATCGGGTCGAAGCTCAGGGATGGTATCAATCAGTCCCGATCGACACATATATGCATACATATAGAGCTCTAAAAATCTAAGTTCAAATACTCCGGCCTGTAAGTCAAGTTAAATGGTGCAAGAAGTACCACTGGGCTAGACAGATACCGTGACACTTTTAACCTTTGCAAGTAACCCTATGTTTGCTGCGACATTATATTTTCCCTGGGTACGGAGCAACTGTGGGAGACAGTGGAAAAGACACGATTGTGTGGTCTTTGGCATTTCGAAAGAGACGGTGTAGAATTATATATATTAGCTTTAAGGGTATTACATATATTCAAATTGGACCTGATCCAGTGCGGATTGGAGGCGGGTTTCCAGGGTAAACGACACCGCTATGACTATAAGATAAGAGGCTAAGTAAAAGAGTATGAATCTATCCATATCTAAATCCCTTAGCAAACCAACAAATAGCGCAACCACAGACTACGCGTGTCAATAGAATAGAGAATGCGGTGTTGGAGCTTACAATGTTAACTGATTCGATAGGATGGAATGGCTGGCTCCGTAAACTGACATAACTACTGATTTAGTAGGGCATTCCCATTCCTTTTGTGCCACACGCCAGAGGTTGTTGGAACTCATGACGCGTGAGTCTGGAGGAGCCTCTGCCTTCGTGTTAAACCGCTTTAATGTGATAGCGCTAGATTCAAGAGATCTACCTATGGTACAAGAGATCAACGCCTCATGAACAAGATGACGTCTAGGTATATTCAGAGAATATAAATAGATAAAGAAAAAAAGGTAAAACGCATATCATGAAATATGTTTCGAGATTCCACCAGCGGAGGCTAGAATATTCAACGGCAACAGAGAGAGCAGAGGCAAGGAGTTGAGAATGTTATGCAAGGTAACTGTAAATCCTAATGATGCAAGCGCATACCATCTGCGACGGTATGACTAGTTGCTAATTGGCTGCCCATCTGCTCAAATTATCTGAGTAGAGGATTATCTACTGGAATAGATATCGTCATTACATAAAAGTGGTGGCATTTGGGGGATTGTGGCATGCACAACTAGGTGGGTAAAGGGAGGAAAGGGATGTCTAATACTGGTGGTTTAGCAGTCCATGATATCCAGGAAACCAAACTGTGATACTAAATAAACATCGTAGCAGTTAGATTGCTGTCACGATCCCAAGTAGTAAGGGATGGTGGCAGGGGGTTCCATACCTATGGGGTTCAGAAATCCCCTTGAGTGTAACGTATGGGTATAGAGGTCTATATAAAAAGGGTATATCATCTCGGGAGGAACCCACTCTTGATTATCATTCAATATTCCCATACTCAAGCAGATCACACACGCTTTGTTTTCTAAACTTTACCTTGCGCTTAATCAACCACCATGAAAGTCTTCTATACGTCTTTTTCAATCCTGCTCCTGGCCGGCGCTGGTCTGGCCGCCGAAGCTGCCCCTGATTCCCCCTAAAGAACCCAAGACTGCTGCCCTGTCGTCAGTTTCAAAAAAGACCCCAACGCTTGGCTGAGCGACCCTATAGTAACTATCCCTGCCTGACTACCCACTAAGTTGGAGAAACCACGTACCATCAGCTGACCTTTCACATAGCCACTTTGTGCAGATGGAACGAAGGCTACTTCCTACTGTGGAGTTGGACGTAAGTTAATCTCTTTTATTTTGCGTGTCCTAACCAAAAACAACCATGAGATTATACCTCATTTCTGACGGCTTCTAGCTTGCAACGCCTTTGGATGTAATTGTAATGGTGGATGTCGTAAAGCACCCACTGTCATCAGGTTCGAAGGATAGGCGACATTCCCTGACTATCACGTTGCCTCCGTACAGCCCCAGTACTTCCTGGGTTCGTAGGGGGAAATGGATGTTAAACTGGCCACAATTTGTTAATCTACATCTCTCCTGTTGATTACTTCTAAATTGCAAACACCCGATCCTGACTTCTTCACAGTCATTCATCTTTTGGTTAATATAACACTCAAGATATTCTTCCTGTTATACAGTCGTTCCGTCTAGATACACTACGCTCTGTCTTTGCGTTCAGTTAAGTCCATGTTCGAAATACGGCTACCAAGCTTATCTAGAAATCTCATATCTCTCTACCTACCTTCTGGGATAGGTAGCCTTGATGGGAGCAGGAGTACTGACAAAAGTATTCATTGAGCTAGTAGGCCATAGAATATGTTATAAGCATCTAGCCATCAGTTTCCTGTTGGTGAATTGTGCGAAAAACCACCCTCGAAGGATTAGAGCAATCGAGTTCGTCAGTCTGGTCATCCAATTTCCAGTCGTAGCCGTTAACGACAGCCAGCACCTTCACTCGGACTTCCACTTTCTCAACCAAATAGACCAATGTCTTCATCAGCGATTTCCGATGGTATGTTTCCCGTTCTGACCTGCACTGATCCACGCGATCGAGAATAATCCAGATTGTATGGTGCGAGTCGAACAGATTCAGAACATGACGGGCCACGTCTTGCAGCAGTTTATTGGACTTTCTACCAGATTTTTGCCTGCAGTTTTCATTTTGCAGGGTGACTGCCTGGTTGTATTTTTTCGCTGCCGCATACAACTCATTGTACTTGTTTTGGTCCCGCAGCACCTGACTATTCTGCCTCAATAGCTGGATTAGAATGGAGGCTAGAACCTGGGTCGAAAGGCGCGATTCATGATGTCCAACGAGATAGAAGGCGCGAGGATCAGAGTCTTCAGCTTTGCTTGAACTTGTAATCATATCGAGTGCAACAGGTGACAGCCAACAATCTGGGGACAAACAGACTTGCTCATTATTATATCCCACCAGAATGAGCATCGACGACTGATCGGAGTGCCGCCACGTATGAAACTCCTTTTCGGTTTGGAACTTCATAAGTTGGGATCCCTGCATCCGCTGCAAGGTAGTGGGCCAGTCGTAATCAAAGCTCCAGTTGATGTCCGTCTGGTAAGTCCGCAACCGATCCAGCTCAGACTCTCTGGAGTAGGTTGAGAGCTCCAGCAGCTCCTGAATCTCATCGAGCTTGTCGTTATCGTGGCCTTCCTGCAGTTCTAAAGGTGATGTATCAGCCACAGCGGCAGTCTGGCGCACGTTCAGTCCACCTACGTTTAAGCTGAGCTTTCAGAGCTATATCCTTATCAGTCTGTGTCCATTGATGCTGTAGTTGGGTGAGAACCAACTTTCAATCTCTCGTGCCTGATCTACGAATGTATGTCAGTACTCGCCGCAGTCTAAAATGAGGGGCACTAACCAATATTTAATTTCTTGATAGTATCTACATTTTTCATGAGAAGTTCCTCGCTCGTATACCGAACCTCAAGGATGGCATCTTGAACTTTCGATGCATAGTCATCTAGAGCTGTTGCTCCGTATGCCGCTTTGGCCCATCGTTCTACCACAACCGGTCAATCACAATATACTCGACGAGGTCGGGAAATTCACTTAGTCCTTTCTTCGTGTAGTATTTGGCAGCTTCCATACAAAAGTTAATGAAGCAATTATACGCTTGAACAATCTTGGACTGTAGGTGTTCGTCAAGCTCATGATCATCATGGTAGATGTCGCGGAAGAGTTTCAGTCCAACAGCCCTATCTCGGATTTGCAGCAGCGTGTCCCAGATCAGCTGTTCCGTCCGAGCCCTATAACTGGCAACCTGAGAGTTCCGTTTAGCCCTATATGTGAACAGATCTGAGGGTTCCTACTGTGACTAGAAAAGAAATCGTCCCAATGGCAATGCCACCATAGGGCGCTGCGAACGTTTTCACAGTTTCCACAATAGGTTCCATATTTTGTAGGATTTCATACGCGGACGCCCCAGCATTCTGAATAGCCCGCCCTGCGCGCCCAGTTCCATGACGGTGGCTCGCTTCAAACTTGCCTTTGGCAGCTAGGGTTGAGCCGAAGGATCTTTCAAATTCGTCCGCACTCTGGATCCGCAATGCAGACAGCTCTTCCTTGGAGAAATTGTTATTTTGTTGGGCAACTCTGTGGAATTCCTCTTGTTCTGCGTCTGACTTCTCGATTACGGTACTTGTACCTCAGTTAGTACTCGATGCAGACAAGATGTGTAAAGGCGAGCTAGCGACGCACAGATCCTGATCATTGAAGCGCTTTGTGCCATTCACTGCTTTTGTTGTGTGGGACATCCTGACGGACACAGTCGGTACAAGGTTGGAGTGACAATCCACTCACAAGATAGAAAACAATTCCTTGATCTTAGGGATTTGGGAGCCCCTGTGAAGTGTCCTAGCCAGACACGAGGATGACAGGTGCGGGGAAGTACATAAACCGCAGTCATTTGCGGCTGAGCTGCATATGTATGTCGCCCAGCTCGCGAGGGGATTGGCGCGCTTGGTGATGTTTGGGCTGGAAGGTTTGGCTAAGGAATATTAGGTAGCAGATTCTGCAGTAGCCAACCAATGAAAGAGTGACGGGGTCTGAATAGTTACAACGTCGCCTTCCTAGCGTGGCCAGTGATTCGCCTATATTTACGACAACCAGATTCTTCACCCAGTAGTCTACACTGCGCTATAATGGACTGTTGATGGGATGTCGCAACCAGTTCTGGAGATAAGCCGCCACCCCCCTGCCCTCCAATCGAATATTATCCTTACTCCAGTTATCTGTCGACACGTCCTCGCTAAGATACACCCGTGCGCACTGTTCGTGAGCTATTTATGGATTAACACCCCAGGGAAATTCGGATTTCAGTAAATAAAGTGAGTGATAACCCCCAACGGAACTATTCAAGCGAAACGTGCTCTTATTTGCGCCTGTCGCGAAGTCCGTCCCAAAATCTATGTCTGAGACTGGATACGCGTTTAGGAAGTGAAACAAGCCATTGTCCTGCAAGCATGACAGTTCCGGAAGGAGAGTCTGCAATATCCGTTGCGTACACCCTACCCAGGCAACAGACCGTGAGATCCTTGTGTCCTAACCCCATTGAAGGCGCTTGCGGAAAAGCTAGAGGCTCTTCAGAAACAGTTTTCGGAGCTCGAGCAGAAATACAAGTCTCTAGAAGATACGAAAAAGGAAGTCACCGACGGAGACGAAAAGAAAGAGCCTGGGCCTGAATCAAGTGTATGACATTGCAGGATCGCTCCTTCCAAAAACCTGGCACTAATGTGTGGAAGTCGCCGGACAACACGGACAGCAACGCAAAGGTTAACAAAATATACCAATGTCTGTGGGAGAGACATTAACCTAGGCTAACGTTATTTCCAAAGGATCAATCCAGCTCACATTCGCGAGTGAAGATACTAACAAAAATCAACGACCCACAGACTGGCGTGCCTGTTGAGAAGCCTGAGGAATCCAAAATATCGGAGCCAGAAGCTAACACCGATCATGCCTTCGTCTTGAAGAAGACAATAGAAGACAAGTCTTCCAGTGCGGAAGACAGTTCTGAGATAGATATCATCAGTATAGACTTGTGGGAACTGTTGAGGGAACATCTGAAAGATTACCCCTACCACATCTTTCAAGATTCACCTGTCACGCTCTATTCTCCTTATGAGGCTATTGTCTCCAGGTGGGACGTCCTCCAGGCAGCATCGACCGAAGTTGGAACGAATACACAAGCTAGAGAGGATTTGAAGCTTCTCCTAGACACCATATCGGGCGGATCATCCGGAGACCCCAGACTGGACAAATACTTCAAAGTGCGGGATACGTATACAAAGGAGAAGGCAATCAAGTTTGAGGACTTGTGGACGATATTCCCACCAGGGACCTTGGTTTTTGGAAAACCTTTCCAGAACGAACCCCAAGTGTTCATCGTCCAGGACAGCACGAGAGCCTGGCCAGATAAACTCGCCTACCCACAGAGACTTGCATCGTGGCAGCTAAACTGTTGGACATACGACTGGACGGGCTCTAAATTCCAACGAACCCCGTTTGTGATTGTGTTTGAACCGTACGAAGGTTTGAAACCCATTATAGCGTTGCCCTACTACCCCTTCGAGCGCCACCTTGAACGCAACACTATTGAGAAGCAGCTGGTTGCCCGGGGTAAAGAATTCTACCGGCTGTGCACTGCTAATGAAGCATCCCGTCTATTCATCTACCGGGGTAACTCGATATTTGGGAAGAAGGGCTTCAGTGGAATGATACAAGCTGACGATGTAAGTCAATACTCACTCACAATGTGTACAAGTCTTCTTTTTTCTAATTTTCTACGAGGATGATGATCGCTCATCCCGGACGCTGACGTGGGACCATGACTTTCACGCACGACAGAATTCGCCAGCGAGACAGTCTCAAACCTCTACTAAAAACTCGTCATATGTGAGCTTCGTCACAACTTGAACCATAGAATGAAATGAACTAAACAGGACATCAGGTAGACAGTAGGGTTATGGTTGACTATCTATCCTACTTCCAATACGGGCCCCCGACGGCAAATAATGGAGTACTCGAACCAAGCGAAATGAATCCGGATTGTGCCTGCAGTAATTGTCAGGACAATGAGGGCCTGGCAATGCGATACAGAGCTCGTTTCGACACTGATCGGGCACAGAAGAACTGGGAGGATGAGCAATATCTACTTTGTCCGCCCCGCGTATTGGGATACATCCTTAAGGAGAAGCAATGGGCGCAGCTTCAAGTTAACCTTATCCAGGACATTCCAGACAAAGGTGATCCGGATGATGCCTGGAATTCACGCCTGCGACTTGCGGACGGAGACAGGACCAAAAACATGCTTTTGGACCTTGTAAGCAGTCACATTTCGTCGTCGAAGACGGGGGAGGCGAGCGAACGGGGTCTGGAAGTTGACGACATTATACCTGGGAAAGGTAAAGGTCTTGTCATTCTCCTCTATGGTACGTTCCTTCTTTCTGCCCTGTCATTACCATGAGCTGTGCCTGCAGATATATATTGATTCTGTGTGAAGGCCCGCCTGGTGTCGGTAAAACGTCAACGGCAGAAACGATCGCGGTTGCAGCAAAGAAGCCGTTATTCTCCATTAGCGTGGCCGACGTTGGTACCAAAGCCAAGAACGTCGAATCCAACCTATCCAGGATCTTCGCTTTAGCCACATCTTGGCACGCTATCTTGCTCATGTAAGTGGTGATGTGTACTCTTACCAACGCCTTTGGTCGCTCTGTTGACGGGAGTCACTAGTGATGAGGCTGATGTCTTCCTCGAGAGCCGAGGGAGAGGGTCTGGTACATCATCTACAGACAAGAACGCGCTGGTTTCAGGTAACAAGGTCATATGGTAAATCGCTTTAACACTAGCTGACTTTGGCAGTCTTCCTTAGAGTCCTCGAGTACTACCAAGGCATCATGTTCCTGACAACGAATCAGATTGCCCAGTTTGACGTTGCCATTCCGTCGCGGATTCACTTTGCCGTCCAATACGAGAGCCTGAAGACAGCGCAAATGGAACAGATCTTCAAGGGGTTTCTCAAACCCCTTGATGACAAGGGCCTGGTAGACGACTACGAAGAGATATTGGACTGGCTCGAGGAGGACGTGTACAATATCCAATTTGACGGGCGAAAGATCCGTAATATCGTCACAACAGCCCTAGGGCTAGCCCGTGCCGAAACAAAGAGGGGACAGGGTAAAGGCAAACTGGGAAAGAAGCATCTGAAGGCCGCTGTTCAGAACGCGCGCTCATTCAAGGCCGAATCATTTAGGCAGTACGAACGATATAAGAACTCACAGGATGAAATGATCAAATAGGATGAGTACATATGTTGGGAAATGCGAAATGGCTGCTATATTCGTGTGCGATTCTTGGAGACCAGGCTGGGTCTTGACCCTTTCCTGTCTTTTTTTATTCCTCTGCAGATTTTGAGAACTGGATGTATTCAACATCATGTCTATTCTCCATATTTGACTATGCCTATCGTTTTGCTCCTTTTGGTGGTATCTCGAGACACGATTACAATATTGAGATTCAAGCGAGGTGAAATTGATAGAATTACCCGGGCCTACCTAGAACTTCAACTGTTCTGACAATGAATTGCTACGCTCTTTTACAGTCTCAGATTGATTACTATTAAGAGTTCTTAACTGCAGGCAGGAAGACCTAGATATCCATTCCACTACCAGCACCAAGGCCTATCCCGAGTCCTGCAGTATTCCCCATGGGTCCTCGCGACATTATAGGATTAACCTGTGTCCCCGTGGTATTTACAACCATTTCTTATTGAAGTTCGAACTGTCGATAGCCTCCATATTATTTGAAAAGGACAATTTTACTTCAAGGATCTGATATGGATGGTTGAAAGATACGTTACAATCTTATCAAGTCCGGGTGGGTTGATAGAACCAAGATGATAGAAAATCTGTCTACCTATATCTTTAGAACTTAACATGACTATATGTATAATTCAGGATTGTGAAACTTTCTATCTGATTTTGAGTATTTATATGATTGAGTTCGAAGTACTTCTATCATAACCAGTCCAACAGATTTAGGTTTGTAGATTAGAATAGTCTGAAGACTTGAACCTAAATACAAACTTAATTTTCCAAAGAATTGACTTTAAACCGTCAAAACCTACACATCAAATAAGATGGAAGGACCTGTCCATAAGAATGTCGATCATTGGCAAGTGTTTCAGGGGAGTGGATCCCACGAGGGAGGAAATGTGTCTTGATGCCAGGGATATCAGGCAGCCACTGTGGGCCGCCCCAAGTGGTGCCTGGAATGCCTTGTTTCGGAATCCTTCGTCCTTTCTTCACCTTCTTCATCCTTCACGATCCTTCCGCGGTCCTTGATCCACTTTGTATCCCCTCTACCTTTCTTCCTCTCCCTTCTTGTCTGGGTAGATGAGTGGCTTGAACATCCAGCATCATAAGCAACAAAATACAAAATGACATGATGGATCCTAGGTGTGATCACAGCTAATGTGACGCCAGACGGCAGATCCACCCTGATCGATCGTCAGCACGAGAGACGGCCATGCAACGTCATCTGCGAATTCTTATCTTCGTGCGACCCCGGCTATCGGTCAATTAGCAGATTCTCCTCCTTCTACCTGCATTCCGCCTCGAATCCCCCTTCAGACTCCTGCAACACCGCATTGTCAATCGTTCGCCCTGCGCTATAGTACTGCAGCCCCGGCGAGGTTCCACAGTTGGTATCTCGGGGCTTTTTCTGTAACATTCTCGTGGACCCGTTGTCGACTCCTACGCCAGTTAGGCGTCTCTCGAGGGCGATGTCCTAGGCATTGTCTCTCCTGCAACGCGTGCCTGGGAAGGATGCGCCCACTCTGGCTCCACTCACTCACACGATGTTAGCCAGGGCGTTGAATTTAATACAATGGCCTTTCGCTCCCCGGCGGGGGAGCGATCGCAGGCTGGGATCGAAATTCACGCGCCGTCTCCTCCATATCATGCTGATTCTGGCATTTCTCTCCATCGTCTCTTACGTCTTATGCATGAAGAACGCTAGACCTGACATCCGCATCCCTCAACGCCCCATCTATTCATACGCGCCCGGTCGTGGAACCGATCTCCACATTCATGACCCCAGCATAATCAGTGTCGACGGTACATATTATGCCTATGGCCATGGAGAACACATTCCCATTCACCAAGCGCCAAATCTAGACGGGCCGTGGACGCATGCTGGCAGCGTTCTGGACCACGACAGTATCATCGAAAAAGGAAACCGCAGATTACTCTGGGCGCCCACCACCGTCGAGGTCGACGGTATCTTCTACTGCTACTACTCGGTGAGTAGGCCTGGGAGTCGCGACAGCGCCGTCGGCATCGCTACATCTGCCAGTCCCGGCCCTGGCGGCTGGACTGATCATGGAGTCGTCGTGCAATCCGGCACAGGTGAAGGGACCAGTAGCCACCCGTTCGACATTTCCAACGCCATCGATCCTAGCGCCATTGTTGTTAATGGGCAGGGCTACCTGAACTTTGGCAGTTATTGGACCGGAATCTGGCAGGTGCCGCTGAACTGGGACCTCGTCTCCGCCGCGACCCAGGCGGATAGTAAATCTGCCCGACATCTCGCCTTTGAACCATGGGCAGTCTTCCCACGCAGCAAAAACCCGAACCCGCTCTATGGGGACCCAACTGGCGGACACCCCGTCGAGGGGGCCTTTATATCATACCACGCGCCATATTACTACCTCTGGTATAGCTGGGGGAAGTGTTGTGACTTTAATTCAGAACATCTTCCCATTCGAGGAAAGGAGTGCGTCATTCCCCTTTTTCTTTCGCCACGATCATATCCTGACATCCGAGCAGATACAGCATTCGCGTCGGACGATCCTCAAGCCCACGAGGGCCCTTTGTCGACAGAGACGGGGAAGATCTCACCCGAGGCGGCGGTGAGATAATATACGGTTCAAACGGCGATATTTACGCCCCTGGTGGGCAAGGTGTTTTGACTGTCGATGGAATCGACATACTTTACTACCATTACTGTACGTTTTCTCACAATCTTAGTCACACAGTGAAGCTCACATGATGCAGTAAACAGAACCATCAGCTACGCACACAAGGTATGCCCTTCTCTGTTTGGATGTTCCCGATGAAAGGAAGTAGTAGTAATGAAATATAGGACGCCCGACTAGGTTATAACTTCTTGGCGTATGTGGATGGATGGCCGGTTGCATTGTAGCATCTTAAAGATAGACATGAGACTAATGATTGGCGGAGTATTGGGTATAGATATTATCATATAATGCAGGTTCATATAAAGTATCTTATTCAGAAATTGTCATTTCTTATGGAGATAGTAGTAGTTATATATTGAGGATCAAGCATTGTAAGTGGATATCAAGCGCATCAACCATGAATATACAGCTCAAAAAAAAAAAAAAGCCTGATGTAAAGACAGTACTCATCATCTAAAGTAAACCATTTCAAGTCCACATTAAAGACAGCAAATAAAGCAAACAGGACCATTGTGCCAAATTACCCAGTCTGACCAGCCTGTGTCTACTATGTAGAACCACTGCATCTTCAAATCCTCTCCATCGACTAGCTCTCGAACACTGAAACAAACCAAACCAAACCAAACCTAAACAACAAATAAAGTTCACCCAATCCCAAATTTCAAAAGAAAGAGAAGAGAAAAAGTTCCGTCAACAAAAGACAATCAACTACCTCCCCCAAAGCGACGTCCTCGCCCTCCTAACCCCCGGCCTCTCAGCACCCCGCACCCTCCTTCCACTTCCATTCCCACTTCCACTCCCTCTCTCACTCCCGCCCCCAGACCCAGGCGAAGAAGAAACATCGCCCCTCAACGGCATCAACAAAGGCGACGAGAACGCCCTCAACGAAGCCAGAACACCCCCGCCCACGAGACGACCCCTCCTCGGCATGGGGGTACTCTGTCCTGACCCTGAGGTACCAGTAGTACTAGTACTAGTGAACGAGATAGTCGACGGTCTTGGGGTTGTCGATCCGCTTTCGTCCTCGTCGCTTTCGTGCGCTTCACTGGTTAATTTTGTGGTACTTGTGGTGCTCGGGACGGTGGTGGTGGTGCTGGGGACGGTGGTGAGGGTGAGTGCATCTGTCCCTGGTAAGACAGCCAGAGGAGTCGGTGGTGCCAGGGTGGTTTGCAGCTGTAGCTGTAGCTGGGTATGTGCTGGGTGAAGCTCTGAGGGGTGCATGGTGTCGATGCTAGGACCGAGATCGAGGACGCTGATGTCGCTGTCGCTGTGGTGGTTGGGGGGTCGGGATGGGGGTGGGGGTGGGGTAGGCGTTGCTGTTTCTAGGGCTGGTGGTGGCGTTGATGGGGGGGTTGAGTCTGGGGGGAGATTTTGATGGTTGGGGTTGTGGGGGATGGCATTTTGGTGGTTGTTTGTTGATTTATTGACTGTGGATCTGGAGAGGTTTGAGATGAGAGAGAGAGGATGTAGTCAGGTTGTATATAGGTATCTACTCCGTGAAGGGAATAGAATGGATTAGATATGTTTATAACAGTAGATGGAGTAAAGTATAGACTTGAACATAGAAAGAACATACGCAGTAGTTCCTTCTATTCTCACTGGACATACACTGAGAAGGTAAAGCGAACAGAAATACTTCTACATAGCATGAGAAACAACTCACATATATACCAACAGTGGCGAGTACAAATGCACCCCGTGCCGTTATCATAACAGAAAGTGACCTGAAGAATATCAGGTGTTGGTATAGTATGTCGATCATTAATATAGAGCGCTGATCAGCCGAGATATCTTGAATGACTTGATCTTGCCATTACTCAGGCGAGAGTAAATATGTATTACAGAGACAGTATTCCGTATTTTTAGTTTTCCATGATATGACTAGAAAGTGTAGCAAACAAAAAAAGCACCGTAAACAGTATAAACATACACATAAGATCAAAAAACTGAAGAAGAAGAAGAAAATAAATAAAAGAAAAGGTCGTACCCGGGATCGAACCGGGGTCAATGGAAACTTAAACCTGTCTTTTGCAAGCAAATCAAAATCCACGGGGATAACCTCTACCCCATACGACCGCATCTTGAAGATTTGCCACCTTTAGTGGTTTGTACGTCTGTCTGTACGTCTGTCTTACCCCACATATCTCTCTCTGGCAATCCGGGTTATTTATCGATAATTAGTAGGACTTTTTCATACCCTCTCTGGTGTATTTGTATCTACTTGTTATTATTTTTCTATAAATATATCCATTCCACTATAGCTACATATGATAGATGACATCACATCCATATATTGTAGTGGTTGTTCTGCATGATACCTCCGTCCTACACTACGAAGCTACCTCCTGACCCTTCAGATGACTAGCCAATAACAATGACCATGATCGATTCAGGTGATAGGTACCTACAGGTTTAGGATAGAGTATCATACTACACAGTATAAGGGAAGAATTACATAAAAATAAAGAAAAGAAAAGAAGTAGAAAGTGCCAACCAAAAGTCCAGCACATGAAATTCAATTCATCGTTCCTCTGCATGCATGCATCACAGCTAGAAGCCGCTTCTGCTCTCTACCACTGTACGTATCCATATCCATATCCACACCCTCCAGTCAATGCTTTTCTCCTTGTTCTTTTTTGCTTTTCTTTTAGGAATCTGACAAGACTGTCATATCCCCGCCCACAACTTTTCTCGATAGAAAAATATAATAAATAGTTGTATGCAAGGACGGCTTTCATACGCCATCCAAAAACCCCAGTAAATGCATCATCATATCGGACAGACACTCCATGCTTCACCATCCAAGGACTGGCCTGTCTCCCACTGTCTAGTCGGGTTCAGGTTGAGACTAGGCGGGAGATAACGAAGACCAAATGTCTAGAAAAAGGAAATAGTGATAAAAGGAAAAAGGAAAAAGGAAAAGAAAAGAAAAAGAAAAAGACCAACTGCTTAAGCAACCGTCTGCTGAAATGTTCGGGCCTCGCCTATCGGCGACCCTATCTATTCGTAAACCTCCTGCGTCTCATATCCTCATCCTCACGTCTCATAGCTAGGACTGATCATCCTCCGCTCGTAGCTCCACCACGGGCATCTCCTCGTCATCGTCGTCGCCATCCAGCGGGGGCGGAACGAGATCCTGCACGAATTCATCCATAGGAGTCCCGGGACATCCGGGTCCAGTGCCAAACGGACTATCCGTCAAAGAGGCCAAGGGAAAATCGTTATCGCTGAGGTCTCCACCGCCGACAGCGCAGTCGCTGGCGATTTCGTCGTCGTCGTCATCCTCGATACCAAGCCGGCTGTCGTTATCAGAGATGGATCCCGGGAGCGCTGTTGTTGTTGTAGTCATCTGCGAAGGGCCGTAGTGAGCATCCGAGATTCGATCGAACGACCAGAAGGGCGGATCCGGGAAATGGGTCGTGGTGGAGTCGCCAAACTCAGCTTCTTCATTGTTCATACCTTCCTGTCGGTGCGCCCCGTCGAGGCTCGTTTCCCCGGCTGTAGGGCTGTGCGAGTACTGCGGCGGCTGGTCCTTTTTAGCCGGGCGCGTTCCATCCTGTGAGCCACCGCCCGACTGGGGAGCTGCTCCGGCTCCGGCTGATCCGCTCGACGACCCATTGCGAGAGGAATCGCCGAAGCGCCGGCCTTCCCCCGACAGGGACTGCGCCCGGGACGGGTTGTGGGACCCGGCTTCGCTGGATGGCCGTGTGGATGACTCGGTGATCTCCTCGAGGACCTTGCCGCCTAGTGGGCGTTCGGATCGGCGGCGGTAGAACAGGAGATAGGCGGACGATGTGACCACGTTCTGGGGGTCAAGCGCCCTCGAGACGGAGGAGTCTGGTACGGTTAGCGGTTTCTGACAGATGCTTTTCAGTGGAGTAACCTACCATTATACTCATTCCACTGGCCCGTCATGAAGTTCTTGGCGTACGCCGTGTAATGACCACCGCCAAGCCCGCCATAATGGTTGTCGACGGCGAACAGATCATAGATCAGGCTCTTACCATCTTCGGGACACTCGACGCGGCCGGTCATATCAAGCCCCTCTACCGGGAAGTCGACCAGGAGATCCAGCTTGTCTCGGAAACTGCGAGTGGCACTAAATCTCTTCAGGTGCATGACCAGAATGTCTGGTGTCTTCCACAGCTCGAACTTCTTGCTGGCGCGGCGGTGCTCCTTGCAGCGAGGGCAGTACCAAGCGTCGTTCTCGGAGAGCACCTCTTCCTTGTTGAACTCGTCCAGACACTCGTAAAGCGAGACGCCCCGCTTCTTGCGCGTCTGCCGCAATTGGCGTCGCTTGGCGAGCTCAGGGTCTTGCAGCCTCTCCACATTGGCCCAAGTGGCTTTGCCACGGACCGAATGAGGGTCCTTATCTTCCGAGAACAAGGCATCGTAGGCCTCCTCGGTCCAGTCGAGAACCAAACCCTCCCCTGGACACACAAAGGGACGGGTTTGAACCGGAGCCTTGGGGGTTGCGGGCCGAGAGTCGGCGTTCAGCCCATCTGAGCTGCTATCCGAGGCGCTGCTCGCGCTCTCCTGGCCGGAGCCTTCACTGCCGTTGGTCTTCTCGGACTGTTCCTTGATATCGTTAGTGCGATCTACAATGTTGGATGCACCGGGCCTTACCTCTTTCGGTACGCTAGCCGGCTTGGTCCTGCGGAAAGCCATCCTAGGGCAGTTCTTGCCGTCCTCCAACGAAGAGAAGCCGGTTGGAACAGCTTCATTCGAACCCTTCATGATCTTCACCTCGAAGAGATCCCGGAATCTTGAAGGGATGGTGCTCTCAATAGCATCCGAGTGATGCTTAGCCTTCTGGGAGCCCGCGTCGGACGCGTCGCGCATGGAGACGTCCACCATCCCGTCCTCGCCGTCCACGGAAGATGTCTTGATCTTGGAATCGGCCGACCGCGCATCGTCGTCGTTCATGACAACGGTGTCCGAGTCTTCCTGCTGGGTGTCCTCGCCCGGCACTTCCTCATTGAGGAAATCGCGGGTGGTCATGGTGCTAGCCCTGACCAGAAGCTTTCGGATAATACTGTCGTAGCAGTAAGCCTCGTCCCGGTTGATGACAACATACGAGGGGACGCCGAAGAGCCGCCAGGAACTGTTCTTGTAACCGTTGGATTTCCGGTACTCGACCCGATTGAAAACCGGGATCAGCATTTTCTCAGCCTTGGGGGAGTCGATGGAAGGGATCACTTCATGGTCGGAGCGACCGAAGGCGTAATATCCACGCGGGGCCTTGTCCGGGTCGTAATTGGTTGGCACGGACTCGACCTCGAAAATACCGATGTCGTCGTTCCCGCCGATCTGGGTCTCGGCGATGGAGCTCAGATTGTCGAACATCTTGTAAAACTTCCGTTTGTAGATCTCGGCCATGATCAGCTTCTCCGGATCCGATCCCATCTTCTTGGCCAAAAGCTCCTTGAGCGCCTTAATGCTGGAGTTCTTGTCGATTTCAATGTCGATGAGCACCGGCTTCTTGTCGAGACCAAAGTAGTAGATATTCTTGTTCCAGACATTCTCGATCGGCAGCTGGAGCGTGAGGTTGTTGAACGGGTCGAAGATGATGCTGACCTTGTCGCACGCCGGACAGATCAGAGTCGACTTATACATACCGGCGAACAAGTCCGTGATGACAGAATCGTTGCGGGCCTTGTAGATGTCCCAGCATCGATCAGCAAAGTCAGCGAGGGCCGCCTTGTTATGGACCATCTCATCGGTCGAGTCGGGTTTCTCAATGTATGGCTTCTTCTGGATCCTGTTCAAGTCCTCTTGGAGACCATCGAGGAGGAACAGAAGGAACTCCTGGGAATCTTGCTGTCCATATCCGGAGAAAGCAGGACCGTAGCGACCAATGGTGTTCTTCAGCTGCCGAGGAGCGAACGACGACGGCGCCGACTCGTCGTAGATTGACCGCAGCAAGTTGGCATAAGCCTTGGCAACCTCGCCGTTATGAGCCAGCGGGTTGCTGGGGTTGAGGTCTTTCTTGTATCTGTCATCTGAGAGATCGTCAGTAAAGGTGTCTCTTCCACATGTGCATATTAAGACATACTCAAGAAGTAGTGGCAGAGTTCCTCGACACTCCGCACGCATTGCAAGGCCGAGTTCATGTAACAGGTGTTTCCCAGGTTACTCAGACCAGTGTTTCCACGAGGCTTGCCGTCCTTCTTGCGCCCCCTGATGGGCTCCGGCGCAGGGGAGGTCCGCCCACTGGCAGGTGGGCTCTGGGCCTTCAACTTCGACGTCGTCTCCTTTTTGGCGGTAGTGGTAGTGGTGCCATTCGTGATTCCAAGGCGACTCAACGTGTGCTTTGACACCTCCGAGGCCCAGGTTCCGCCATTGGGGCCGGGCACACGTTCCTCGAGAACGAGCACTGCGCTAGCACCAAGTCCGACGAAGTCCAGCGAGGATTTGCCGTTGAAATTCTCGTTGGCCGTCTGGTCTTTGAGATCGATGGCCTCCCGTTGCGCGCCCTCGGACAAGGAGAGAAACGTGTTGGAGTCGATGACAAGATTGCTACCCGCATTGGAAGCACCCGCAGCGGTCGGCGCTGGGGAGGCACTGCGAGAAGCGGCCGGGGTGATGGCGGCCGACCCAGTTGCGCTGGTTAGGCCGCCCAGGATTCTCCAGATGCGAACCTTGGTGGAAAGATTGACATTGGCCAAACCCTTGGCTTCTTTCAGCCACTTCTGAGCATTTGCATGTCGACTCGACAGCACCCTGGCCGGCTTCCTTGCCTTGTCCTTCAGGGCATGTGGCGTCGTGCCCGTGGACGGATTGGGGAGCTTCAGGATCGTAAAGATGGGAGGGTTGATCTCGTACTGGACGTTTTCGGCAGCGCCCACTGGGCTGGTGTTGTGGGCGTAACGGACGATAATGGGCGACTGATCGGCGAGACCGTACCATTCGACGATCAGATCCCAGGCCTCCTGCGGGACGATCTCCAAATCCTCCGACATCTGAAGACCGGGCCGCAGAGGCACGAACGGCTCTCCGGCCTCGTCTTTCAAGCCGGCGAGGGCGGGATCCGTCACCAAGACCAAATCTGAATTGTCGACCGGGCCGACCTCCCCTTCCGTGGCCGTCTTGTCCGTGGTGCCTCCATGGGTCGCGCTTCGGGCGAGGACCCGTTTCAGCCAGCCCATGGACACCACATAGCCTTTCTGTTTGTCCTGCAGAGGTTGCTGCATCAGACAGGTCACCTTGGCAACCTGGTCGTCGTAGGACGGGCGGTCGGCCGATGCCACGGAGGATTTGGATTTGGTGCTGTTGCGACTCGCGGAGGGAGCGGTATATGTCGACATGCTCGATGGGGTCGGGTAAACGTTGTCCGAACCAGACCCCGCATCGTTGCTCGCGGGACTACTGTCGTCTGACCCGGAGGTATCCATCGAGTCCGGGTTGTTGGTTTGGGAAGCCGGGTCTGTCGCACCTAGATTCATTTCCGTATCTTGTTCGACCTCGGGCCGTTTCACACTGGGGGAGGGCGAACGGGGCGCACGCTCGCCGGACGGGGCGCTGTCGTCTCTTTGGTCGGAAGCAGACATGTCTGAGGCGGGATCGCTGGACAGGGAGAGACCCGCGCAGGCCTTAGACGGAAGGTCGAGAAGACTACTGGCGGAGTCGGGGGTCGGGGAACGGGCAGCAGCAGGCTGGGATTTGCTGCCCAGCACTTCGTCCTGCAGATGGGCGGGGATGTAGCGCGGGGGCGGCGAGGCAGAGGAACTGTGACTGCGAGTCGAATCGGAGGTCGAGGAGGGACCGGGGTTCGGCGGAAGGGAGGAGGAGGACGAAGGATCGGAATCGTGAGGGCGGTGGTGTCTCCCGGCCTGCGAGGCGACCGACAAACCCGGAGAAGATCCTGGTCTGCGAGGCTCTGCTACCTTGCGGCGCTTGGTGGAAGACGTCGTGACGATGAGCTGCGCACGTCTCGTGGCAGCTCGAGGTAACACGGTGGGATGAATTGAGGGGGATTGGGTGGGTGTGGGTTTGGGAATTTTCGGGGTCGGTGGTGGCTTTAAAATTCAGGGAACACACACACGCACAAAGGGACGGACAACATAGAAGCCAACCAACAAAGACTTCGATGAGGTACCTTTGAAACCAGAGAAAAAGGGAAAGGACCGGATTTGACGAAGTCTCGAGGGAATGATTGGACTCGAGGCGTTTTGAGGAGGAAAAAGAAAGAAGTTGATCAATGAAGGCAGAGAAAATCCCAAGTCCGACTGTTTAGTCAGGATGAGCGTGATGCTGATTGGCTGGTGGGGGTTTGATGGACTGGACTGGACAAAACTGCACTTATAGGGCTCGATATGTATTGGTATGTAGTCGAGATGTCTGATTTATATTTCGATTCTTATTGATCGTAGTTTGCTTTCTTTGTAGTTATTTTTATCTCTAATTCAATGGGGTGTTGTAGAGGTGGTGTCAAATTAACTGAGTCTGCATTCACTTGGATATACAGAGTAGTGATAACAATATCCATCCTATTGTCTGACAACGTATTCTATAATCACTGAAATTATAAAACTCTGAATCAGAGTGACAACTACAGACACTGACTGGTGAGGTCATTCTTCACACTACGTGATCCAAAGTCAATCTGGGAATGGAAATCGCTCCACGTTGCTTATTCAATCCCCAATCAAATCCATGTGGAGAGCTTAACTGGTTTATACATGGCAGTCGCTGGCCAAAATTGATAGAAATAGGAAGGAAAAAAGCAAGAAACGGAAAGAAAAAAGAAAAGAAAGAAAGAAACAAAAGAGTGAGTAAGAAAGAAGGATGAAAGAAATAAGGAGAGAGAGAGTATCCATCAACCCGTATAAAACCGATAGAGGGCATTCCCTGGCAAAATATATTCCACATCCGCGCGAGACCCAAAATCCGCATCCTCCTGCTGATTCCTCTTGACCACCTTCGAAAATTCTCCCCCACACTCACGCATCCCGGCTTCACACCGCTCACACAACAGCAGTCCGCAACCAACAGCATCAGGAGAGCAAGGATCCACGCATTCTTGGTATACATTGACAGGCTGGATCGCACTGCACCCAAAGAAGGCCGGGCTCGGACAGAGCGAACACCACGGGTTGATCATACTGGGACCCTCGATCCCAGGAGTTAGACTCTTAAAGGCCGCGCCGAAGTCGAACGTATCCGGACTGTATCCTTTCAGTGGAATGATGCGGTGGCCCGCGCACTGCGTGATGTGGATTCTCTCAAGGGCGCATGCGACGCACATGCGACTGGGTTCGTGTCCTGCTACCGTGTGTTCCCCGCTGATTTCTTCATATTTCCCGTTTCCGTAGTCCATTACTTGGACGGTTCTTTTGCCTAGTCCGAGGAGGCCATAGATGAAGTTGGCGCACCAGTGGCAGGGTGAGGATCCGTCGTCTGGGGGGTCGTGGGCGAAGTTCACTGGATGAGCCAATGAGGTTGTGAGAGTGCGAGGCTCGCCGTGAGCCTTGAAGAACGTGTCTACCCCCTCAGGCTGTTCCAGGAGGTCGGTTGAATCGTCTCCCCAGTCGGAGATCGAGGAAAGAAAGCCCTTCCCGCTGTCAGAACCCAGCGACATCGCGACGATCAGTGTGTCTGCGATTTTAGCCCGTTTCTTTGGCGCTATATTGCTCGAATGTGAGGGCCGCTTTCGCCGTGAGGAAGCAGACTCTTGTTTTGGATCGTAGTCGTCTGTCTCATCGTCGTCAATCCAGGTGGAACTGTGTGTCTTCAGACTGCTTAGAGTCCGCTCGCGGAATGAGTATTGTTTGCGAAATGGAAATTGATCTTCCTTCCTTGTGGAAGGAGCCTCGTGGCGTTGAAATAGCCGTCTGGCTACAGAAAGCCGTTCGGGGGTATATGCCATTGCTTTGGCAGTAAGAAACCAGGCTGAGTATAATCAACTGATGTCACGGGCGTGATGATTATATCAAGGATGGTTTCTGTGTTTGGAAAATATACGAGAGTAGTAGACTAGATCAAGTCTCAGTGAGGCTTCATATAACAACAGTTATAGAGATACTATCCTTTGTCTTCGAAGTGACATGTACGTGAGCTATATGATAACATTCCCATCCCATCCATATGTTCCGGGAACTATCCTGAAATCCGATCACTTTAACCTCACATCATGCAGCCAGAGGCGCATGATACTTCTATATGGTATTCACGGAAAGCTCACCAGCAGCTCGAAACTGGTCGTGCAGTGAGTACGTGCATAAAATATTATCATGCAACACACTGACTGCCAATTTCATTTAGCCATGCTATAGCAATGTGAATAGAATCTAACGTTGACCCTCAAGCTCCCTGCAACTTAACCAAGTAGTATAAAACAGTGTCCTCTGTCTGCTTGTGTAGCGCTTGTATAGATAGTCAACACATCAGGTACAAACAGCCGTGTTCTACGTGAACCAAGCTACAAAACTCACTATGGCACTGAGCAAAAGACGAAAGTCGTTGTCACATTCCAATTACTATCAAATCATATCCGAGAAAACAAGTTGCCCTAACCCAAACAGCTCCTCACTCCGCCTCAACACAAAACAGACCGAATGCATCCCATCACCGCCACAACAAGACCGCCCTGTTACCAGAGAACTATATAATATCCACGGGAGTGCTTTGCTCAAGCGTGCTTCTCACTGTCCCATGTCAACAGCAGCTATGTACAATCAGCATCTGCAATGACCCACGGTGGTTCTTGGAGATTAGGGATAAAATAGGAGTTCTTACTATAGGCAAGACGACAAAAAGGAATAAGAAACTGAGTGCCAGACATATCCCCAGTAGCTTCATGCAAACTAGCTGTAGATATAAAAACCATTGCTTAATTTTTGCCCAGGGAGATCCAGGGCGACGCCTTGGATTGTTTTGGGCCTCCAAGTCGGCCGCTCCTTGGATCAATCTAGTTAGCCTGTGTTTTCTAGCCATAGGGACGTTGTGGACACTGACTAGTACCACTTTCCAGAGCCGGTCTGTTCTGCACTACCTGTGTATAGGAAGGTGGCGCTGGTACATGACATCTATTAAGCTCGTAGGCTTGGGTATAATCTTGTTGGCTGAGCCCAGGGTATTCAGGTTGTCGCCCGTCGGCCCACTGTAGCTGTGTCATGGTGTTGAATATAGAGAGTAATGGCACAAATGTAGATAGGTGAATGTAATTATAGAATGAATTTGATAGATGGGGTCTGATTCTCGAAACTTGCTCGAAATCTTGACTGGCAAGAATCGGTGATGGAGAGTGGATTAGAAACAGAGAAAGGCAAGATAACTACCTAGTATACTATATCAGGCGACATCACAGTTCCGTATACATGAGGTCATTTTGGTTGCATTGGTACGAAAAGTGCAAAGTCAATGTTTTCTGCTGCTTACCAAAACCTTACGGACATGTATAGGAAGAAAACAGAGAGTAAATAAGAGAAACAGCTAGCACTATTCCACAGTAATAATTTCAGATAGCAGCAAAACTCTACATCACAACTTGCTGGTAAGAAAAGTTACTACCAACATGTTCACCAGTCAATGAATCGTCTTCTGGATGCTCTTTCTGTTTGACAATCTGATAATGGACAACCGGCCAAACCAGTGGAGCACATAGACGGCTACCAGAAACGTGATTGAAACAATGGTAACTATCAAAATCTTGGTGAAGAGCATACGCTCTTGTCTTCTCATCTCAGTGGACGAAATTAGTGAACATCATGTTGGACAATATATGAGTCTGGTGATGGATTTACATAGAGTGGCAAAGAATACCACTCGGTTACAAAAGATATCTAGACGCTTCTGAGCTCTGTGGGTACCCTTTCATAGCCATTTTATATCGCGACAGAACAAATCATGAACCATCTCGAATAAGAGAAATCAGGTTGAATTAGAAAGAAGTAAAGATAAAGATAAGAACAAAAATGAACAAAACAAAGAAAAGAAAAAAAGAAAACCATAACGACAGACAAGTGACATGATGATGTCTACCCTACCCGCCTCAAAGCGGAACAGACCGAAACCCATCCCATCTTCGCCAAAAAAGTAAGTCTACCTTCTTCACTGCGGGGGTGTATTATTTTGGTAGTAGTTCTTATAGTAGTTGTAGTAGTAGTTGTACCAGTAGTTGTACTCTTGTTGTTGTGCTAAAGCGTTTTTCTGAACTTCCCGATCAGCGAGCATCTATGTAACAATCAGCTTCTGAAATATCTCAAGGCACTTGAAGGGTAGGGAGTAAACAGAAGTTCTTACGAAAGGGTAGACGGGAGCACCGACTATTGCCAAAATTGCAAAAACTATCCCGCATATCACCACGCATGTTTTATGGCGACGTATGAACTCTAGAAACGAGATCCATCGACTCTTGATTACACGGAGAGGCCTACAGCAACACTCCCGACAATTGATAGCGGCTTCCAAGTCCGCTGCTACATCGATCGTTTTGGTTAGCTTATCATCTAATCCTAGGGATGTTGTGGTCACTGACTAGTATCACCGTACTCAGGGGGGCTGTCCTGCGCTGTCTGTGTATAGGAAGGTGGCTTTGATGCTTGATATCTTTTATGCTTGTAGACCTCGGTACAGCCCTGTTCGCTGAGCCTAGGGTCTCCGGCTTGCTCGTCGGCCCACTGTGGCTGTCTCATAGTGTTCAAATCGAGAGAGTAACAGAGCAGAGGTAGATACTTGACTTAAAGAATAAATACAGTAGATGAGGTTCAATAATTGAAGCCCGTTCAAAAAATTGACTGGCGAGAATGGGCGATAGAGGGTAGATGATGGATAGAAACAGAGGGAGGCAGGGTGAATACACTCTATGTCAGGCGGCATCACGGATTCCGTATACATGAGGTCATGTTTAGCTGCGCCTCTGCAAAAAAGGCAAATTGCCGTTTTTCGGTCTGTTACTGACAAAACCTAAGAAGGTATATAGAAAAGATGTCGGCGGAGATTGTATGGGAGGACCGATAAAAACGGCCAAAGGATGATGAAATCATGATAGAACTGACGCTATGTAAGATGCGAATGATGACAGGGTTGCATGAGCCTGAAGAGTCAAAATAATGGTTTTATGTGAAAAAAAAAAATGCAAGTCAGCTAACGTTGCCTGATTACATGTCTCATAACCCACCATCTCAATTGAGTGAACGTGAAGCTATTCAAAACATACATATGGAAAATATGATGAACTTGATGTTTAAGTCCACTACCAGCAATTCACTGGCCTGCAGAGACACTATAGCCATATGACTCCTGGGCTTTCCACGGAGACTTCCTAGACAAAACTCCGGGTGTTTAGAACTACTACTACCAACTCATCAGCTTGAGAGAATACTGAGACATAATTTGATTATCACTGCATCTTGCAAGCAAGAACACTCCATCTTGGAGATGAAACTTCTTTTAATTTGCGAGTTAAACTACCTCTGTCACAGTGGCAATACCCTTTATATAACTGATATAGGCATGACAAGCGCATGTAAGCGGATGCTAAATCTGGCAGTTAGATTAGGCGAGGCTCTGATAGTCAGGGCAGACATGGGCATGAGTACGTTGAAAAAAGCTATCTTGGTGAAATACTAAGATGGTGTGAGCATAATCAGCCTCAAAAACAATAGTTTAGGTAAAGGGAAAACAAACAAGTCTGATGATCTCACTTCATCCAGCAAAGAATTGCTAAGTCGGTGATGATATCTTTTCGAAACAAAGAATACACGAATAACGGGCATCAACTTGAAGGGGTGGTGGCTCCTTCCTTGTAGGTTTTATCAAACCTTAAGTCGAAACTTCCACGCAGATGAAATGATTATTCCATCCTGACGCAACAAGCATCACAAAGGGCATATTGCCATCTACCTCTTACCATAATATTTGTATGGCGCATATTACTCTAAGCTATATACTACTGGTCCAACCTCACATAGTACGGTGCATATTATCCAAAGTACAACCACAACCGACCACTCTCGAAAGCGACCCAGCGAGCAGAACCAGACGGAAATGGACACTGGTTCTTCAAATCACGACCTAGAAAAAGGTCCATCCGGGAATTCGAGACGGAGACACGTTTTCCACCACGGCAAGTACTTTTCTTCGTCTAGAATGCGAATTCAGTAGCAGGTTAACGGATTGTTCAAGAGTGTCGCCCGTCATTGCCAGCGTCTTGCATCGAAGCCCAGAGAGATGAGAGAACACCCCGGTCCGATGAGCTCCTCTTGATCACTTTTCTGATAGTGGTCTTATTGTTTGGGATATGTGTTGTGATTTGCGCTGTGGTGTATACCCAGGGAAGGACTTTTAGAGCCAAGGAGACGCAGAATCATATTGATACGCATATTAACAGACGCAAGGGTTCTGTCTCTAGCCCCCGATCTCGTTTTTGGGTTGGTCGCTGATGAAAAGGGTTAGTGATGGCGGGTTATCCTGCTGTTTCTGCTGTGGCTGTGTGAAGCTTATGCGTTTGAGGACTGGTATACTGGGATGCATGGTGGTTGAAGGACGTCATAAGTAGATGTTAAACTAAGTAAGGGTAACAGAGTGTGTTGCTAGAAGATTTAAATATCGTTCAACTACCTAGTATTCTATACGACGGCAAGGGTTGGAAACCGTCCCCGTTGGCCCGCCGTTCTGCGGGGCCCGCCTGCGCAGCTGCAGCCTCCTTCTCTTTTCGCCCCCGCCGATTCATGTGCACTGACACTCGCGCGGCCCTTTTTTGCGTCCCGGAATGACCGCGCACATCGGATGTTGCCGTTGACGCTCAGCCCAAGTTTCCCACGTGTTCATCATCACTCTCAAATATGAGTTCCATCAAAGCTACAACATTCCCAGTCCGTTCCTCCCAGAGGGTGAAATTTGCCAGCAACTGTAGAAGTCGGTAGAGTGATAAATCGGATAGCGAAGCCCAGTTTGTCCTTTCAACAAAACGGCATATCTCAGCGTGGCACAGAAATATTTCAGTATGGTCATATTTAGAGTCGGTCTGTGGTTCTTCTCCAGTAAGTCGGCCCAATCTCTAGATAAATTTTCTGGATGGAAAAGGCTTAAGGTAATATTGGTAGGATTCCATCGTTTCACAGACCCCTTCAATGATTGATTACCAATGCGGCATTGACCACTAACCTACGGGGATCGTAAGCCGGAGGAGGGTGGAGTAATCGCCCGAGTATACGAACTCGCAGCAAGGGCCGAATAATACCTCGTTAATATCCTCGACTATGGGAGGTCGAAGAATCTCGGTTGGAAAGGAGCCAACTAACTCAGTATGAATTGAGCACCGTTTTCGATCCTTGCCAACGATGAATCGAACAAAACCAGACTGCGTGAAGCTATACGAACATCAGCGGCAAGAATCACGACAGTGCGACCGTACTGTACCTGTGATATTAAAGAACCATTTTTTCCCCCAAAAATTTTGCGGATGTCCGTTTCACCAGTCTGAGGATGGTAATCATATTCTTCAGTAGTAGTTTGGGAGGGTTGAAGGTCAAATCATGCTTTGATGAGGGCCCAGTATGGATATCTCTCACTGTATCAGCAACAGCTAGGCTATCTTTTAAGGCTTTTGCACAACAACTGGCGGGTCCATCTCCAAGCTCTTCACTTCCTGTTCCCTATATGGCAGGTACTCGCAGGGATCGGCTCCTCTTCTGAGAAGCTCGTCCACTATTGCATGCTCCATTTCCAATGCAGCCATATATGCTGGTGACGAGCCAGAGGAATCTTTGGCGTTTGGATCAGCACCCGCGTTGAGTAGTTGCTCAACCACCGTCAAGTGCCCATTAGTCGCTGCCCTTATTAGGGGTGTTGCACCATACCAGTCTCTAGAGTCAATATTAGCCCCTCTGCTAAGTAATTCTTTAACTACGCCGTCACATCCCTCCCTTGCTGCGAAATTTAGCGGCGTGTTATAATCCCAGCGATGCTCTATATTAGCACCCTCGTCTAGCAATCTCCTGACGATTGCGGTTTGTCCGTACCGCGCCGCCCATATGAAAGGCGTTGGATGCAGGCCATTTCCAGACTCGATATAGGCACCAGCATTGAATAACTGTTGGACGACTGAAGTGTGTCCGTTCATTGCCGCCCATGAGATTGGAGCTCTACCCCATTTGTGATCCGTGTCCTCTAGTTTGGCACCTCGGTCGAGGAGCTCTTTCACAACTGCAGCATGACCTCCTTCTGCTGCAAAAGATAGTGGCGTTCTGTTGCGATAGTCCTTTGTCTCTATGTCAGCTCCGTTATTGAGTAGCCGGTTCACCATCTGAAGATGTCCATTTTCGCAAGCGTGCGACAAAGGCGCTTGCTCGTGACAGTCTCTCCTGTCCTCTATATTGGCTCCGGCATCGAGAAGATGATTTATCACTCCAACCTGACCATGTCTAGCTGCCACTAAGAGTGGACTGTAATCGATGGAGTCCATGGTATTGACGTCGACTTCCTCTAGCATACCCTGGACTGCTTTCTCCAACCCGAACATCACTGCGAGATGCAGGCCGGAGGACGAAACCCGCCACAAAGCCTGCGAATGTCGAAACTCTTCCCTCTGTAGCATTTGGAGTGAGGCATTAACCTTGGAATTGCAAGTCAGGAAAGGGATAACTTCCGGGCATGGCTTCAGAGCTTCGTGAGCATGGTGTCCCCAGTGACATGCGGAGTACTCGTAGAATTCATACATATCCAGCCGATCTAGGAGCTCGGAGTGATTTCGACAAACCCCGCTTCCAAACGTTTGGAAGGAGAGATAGGAGACACATGCCCTGGTAATCGCTGTTTCTGCGTCTGGGAACCAATCTTTCCGTGTTCTGGCGAAGTATTCCTGCGTGGTGTAATGGACTAAACGGATAGTGCCACTTTCCTCGTCAACTGTCACTAGTCCGGCGCAGACAGAAAGTATATCGGCCACTTGCGAGAGATTCTCTTCGTCAAAATCGGGTTGGCTGACTTCCACTGCCAAGGCATGCAGTAGTTCTGGGATAGCGAGCTGCCTCTTTGCACAAGTAATCCATGCTATAGTCTGTTCGGCCAGTTCCCGAGCACTCGGTACCTGCCCCTTGATTCTTTCCATGGCCCGGTCATAAGCGGAGTCGTACGCATTTGATCCTTGCGGGAGCTTTTTCAGAGCGTTTCGAATAGCCTTCGGTGCCCTCATGCAAACCAGAGAATCTAGATGGAGTCGTGCTAGTAGGAACCTTGACAGATATTAGTACGTATTCAATGGATCGGGAGGGGACCTCCATACATTCCGTCCACAGCGGCCATAATTTCGGTCTTAATCTCTTCTTGCAACATTGAGTTGCTGACGACAAAGCCTGGCAGACGAGCCATATGGCTGTTCAGATAGTTACGGATATCCCCGTCTGTAGCTGATATTTCTTGTGAAGCGCATCCATTAAACCACTTTTTAATGTCCGGTATAGACCGCGAGGTTGCAAGGAAGCTTATAGCGGTTTCGGTCTGAAGGCTGAATATGTTGGATAAAAACCTTGATAGTGTTCCATCAGCTGCTTCGCATTCGTCCAATGCGTCGACAACGATGAAGACTCTTGCATGCATAGCGGCAGTATCCAAGAGACTCTTCGACAGTTCGTTAATTGATGGACGTGTGTTCTGACTTTGGTGGCATGCGTAAAGTTCCTTAACGTGGGCTGGTAAAGAAGGCAAGCACTGACTCAATTGTTTTATGAGAGCTTCAAGAAGATCTTCAAGTTTCTGCTCATGTCTCCGATGAAAATTACAATAGATATACGCAATGCCGATAGATTCATCGTGAAGAAACCTTGCGCTGAGGTCGTCGATAACTGTCGTCGCCATTATTGTCTTTCCTACTCCAGGATTTCCGGGGCAGAACAAGGTTGTTGTATTGTTTGATCTCCACCAGTTCCGATAACCATCGGAGTTCAGAAACCACTGCCCGGTGCCTGGCTGTCGGCCTTTCAGGAAGTCACTATGTTGAGGACCGTAGTCAATGTCCGTGAGCCAAGCCAGGATTTTGAGATCCTTGTCGTTTATGGACTTGGATCGTAGTACTTTCAGGCTGGCGTCCATTCGGTCTACGGTCGTCATCACTAAAAGACATATCAGATACTTCAGGTCATTGAGATGCTGCTGGATAACTTACCAGCACCCAAAATTTCCTGCACGGGACGCTCTTCATTGACATCGCTTGGATGGACATATTCCAAAAGCTCTTTTGCACATGCCGCAGCCACAGAAGCAGCATATTCCTGCCAATCCTTAATCTTTTTGGAATCAGCATAATCACATATTCCCCTGATCACGATACAAGGGATGATATTCATTAGCCCCGCGGCTTCCATTTCCACGCATAGTACATTTCCACCGAGATTCCGGTCGACCAAGTCCCGAAGCTCGGCATCCTTGATAACTTGGTTACCCGACGCTATCAAACCATAATGCACGCGTATATCTTCCGGCTGGGCTTTACATTGACCGGAAGCGTCTTTATCCGCGTAATGCTGGGTTAATAAAAGCTGCTGCCAACCTAAAAGAAAGAAAAGAAGGTCTAGCAACATTTCCCAGAGACGAGAAATTTGCCATCCCTGGCTCCCCGGACGAAACTTGATTGGAGAGACGTTTAGCTCATCATGAAGTGCCGGACAAGTGAATTCTTTCATGAGATTCGGCCATTTCTTCTCCATTTCTTTCAGATGGTCAGGTATCTTTGAGCCGCTCAGTTGACTTCGAGTCTCCATTTTGGCTAAAGCTGTCAATAAAGCGTTTGGAGGGCTGTTCTGAGAGCCAATGCGTCTAAAATCCCCCCCCTGCTCTGTCTTGCCCAAGTCCCACTGAACTACCCCTGGATATTGATCCACAGGGGCACCGATCACCACGTCTCCCAGCTTGGTCTTAGTGGGCAATCCACCGCCGATGCCAACCATAAGGCCAACCTTTATGGAGAGAAATGTGCGTATCATTTGGGTCGCAGATATTGCTGCTGAATTGTTACCGATTCTCCCTTTTGGTAAACAAGCGACAACGATGTTGTGTTTGCCGATGGATCCCAAAGTATACGTGTTGGGATCATTGGGCGGTTTGGGAAGGTCTGGGTGTATATGGTCTAACATAGCTGTAGCTGCAGTTTGCTCTTTGGGGAGCGCACAGATCCATCCCACAGTATAATCACTGCATTGCAGCTGGCTCGAGAGAGGCTTTAGATCCTCCATTTCGCTGTCCATCTTAAATGCGTGAACCCGATGATGATCAATTAGGCGATAACATGCAAGGTCGAATTGGGCTCCGAGTGACCAGTCTATATAGACCATAAAAACACCCAGATAGCCTTTTATACCGTGACTGCTAATCAAAGGGGAAGTAAAAAAGAAAAGAAAGGTCAAGACTGGCCCTTCATGCGTGAAATATCCCGCTTAAGCCGTCTACATTAGTGCGAAGTAGGAACCAATCACATGTAGGGACGTACGCGCGCGTCGAATTTCAATCAAACGCCAGCGACTAGAAACTCGACAATAAATAGAAGAGAATACATTACTCCGTATGTATGTAGGGAAGGGTCTGGATCCCTTTTCCAGACTGGGCCATCGCGGATGTGTCTTTGTAGTACACCGCGGAGAAAATGTCTGATCAGCAGTGATATTTGATCATATTTGATGATAATATTCGATCGTGCTGGATTGTACTAGCGTGAGATGTGGAGCGTGATACTTGGAGTTCATCTTTGAAAGGTTTGACTTGAGGTTTGGGAGAACCTACAAGGAAAGAAATCCGCCACATGTTGATGCTGTTATTTGTGTACAAGTCCTTTCAAAGGACGTTATCAGAGTGGAAGGACCCATGAAAATAGTCATGATATAGATGACTATTCTAGCCACTGCAACAAATATCCAAACGGCAGCTTGGGAGGGTTTGATATGACTGATATCCCAAACAGACTATGAAGGTCTGCACAGTTGCAAGATTTTAGGGAACATGAAGAATAAAATCTTGAAACAACGACATAAGAGAGCCACGGCGTGCTATTGTCATATGGAATTCAAGCTTTAAACCCTCGCTTCGCTCGGCGGCTTGATCGCATAGCTCTAACGACTCATCAATTATTCTACAAAGTAAATGATCGTTTACTATATATAGCCCTGCAAAGCAACCATGTAGACTCCCTCAAACCACCCACATATGACCCCTAAAACACTCACATGTGGCCTCTCAGAGCACCTGTGTAAAACCTCCAAAACCAGCCGCAGGGAACCCTCAAAAGCACCCCTGTCTAGCCCTCCTAAAAGCAGCCAGGCATAGTCCCTGGAGCTCCCGCGTAGAACCCCCGAAAACCTTACAAGGTAGCTACATAGAGCTTAAAAAAGCACCCATGTAGGACCTTTACAAGCACCCATATGAGGCACCCAAAAGCACCCGTGTAGGGCTCCCGCAGATAAACCTAATCAGCACCCTTGGAGTGCCCGAATACGAAGAAATGCATGGAAATCCGCGGATTGCACCCTTGTTCTCTTATGCTAGTAAAGATAAAGAAAAATATCACACGTCAAATTAACATCCATTTCCAACGCCAGAACCCATCCTAAATTAATTCCTAGAACTCCACGCCAAATCAAGGCTCCCTATGTCAATGACCTTTCGAACAGGACCGAAAAAGCAGAGGCGGCAGTTCAGGGGGTATTCGTTATCCATCCGTACAAAAGAGCAAAATGCGCCAATACACTGCAAACGGGAAGGCCATGAAGATCGAAAGGGAAAAACAAAAACAAAACAATCAAACAACCAGATGTACACAAATTAGCTCTGGAAACTATACATGCGCACTTCGCAGTCCTCGCTGCCAGTGGCAAAACGGCTGTCACCTAGGCCGATACACGTGACTGGGCCCGAGTGACCGGTAAACGTGCGTTCGCATTTGCCCGTTCTCGGATCCCAGATCTTGACCATGCGGTCTTCGGCACCGGTCACGATTCGAAGGGTATCGGCAGCGAGGGCCCACACGCCTTCCAGATGCCCGAAGAATGTCCGCAGGCACCGACCAGTGGTGGTTTCCCAAAGCCGAATGGTCGAATCCAAGGCACTCGTGACCATATAACGGGGTGGTGTCGGGCGGCCGTTGTCGAATGTGGGACCAAAAACTGATGGTTGAGAAGCAAGGGAGTTCGACTCTAAACCCAAAGCAGCTTGGAGCGAAACCGGCTCGGTGTCGCCAGATGCAGTGCTGAGGTTGTCGTTCTCGCACTCGGCATCATGTTCTTCAAATTCAAACTCCCTCGGCAGTGGTACAACCTGCTGGACCTGTCCCACGTGGCCATGGAAAGTCCTAATGCAAGTCTTGGTGTCCAGGTCCCAAAGGCGTACCGTGCAGTCATCTGAGGCAGAGAATACCGTGCGAGAAACGGTGTCCACTTTGACAGCGTTGACCCAGTCCGTATGCCCGCGCAACAAACAGGTCGACTTGTCCTCAAAATTCCAGATTTTGATAGTCTTATCAACCGAAGCAGAAGCGAGAATGGACGCGTCGAAATGAAGCCCAATGACACCACCACGGTGACCAGTGTATGTGGAGATGCATTCGCCCGTTCGCCAGTTCCAAACCTTGAGGCTGCGATCCATGCTGCCGCTGATCAATTTCGTATCATCAAACTGCAGACAACGGATCCCCGATTCGTGCCCACGGAGTGTACGCAACTCTTCCCCTGTTTCTGTATCCCAGATCTTGATGGTCGCATCGTAGGACCCGGTCGCCAGGATGTTATCCTCGAATTGCAAACACATGACACCGTTGGTGTGACCTTTGAAAGTCTTGATCGAGCACCGCCCGTACTTCCAGTTGGTCCCCACCTTGAAACGGTCCTTGTAGACTTCTTTCCAAGGTCGAAATCGGGGTCTGAAGAAATCGTCATCCACTCCCGGACGAGGACCCAAGGACGAACAATGCCGTTTTACCATTGCCGTTTCCTCGTCATTACTCGCCCCAGATTTTCTCTTGATAGCACCGGAACTCTCAACCACAGGTCCAGCCTCCACATTCTGTTCGCCATCGGGCGTGGGGTTCGAGGATGCAATGTTGACGTTCCATGTTGTTGCCCGCAATTCGATCTCCCGCTTCGACTCACGCAGCCGTTTACGGTCCAGAAGTGGGAGCCCCCAACCGCATTTCTTGCATTTGCGGTGAATATGTTGTTCGCACATCCGATGCCACACCACGTCGTCATCCGCGAGGGCTCTCCAGCTTCTCGATACCTGAGACGCTTTGCAGAGGGATGTCGTGTCGAGGTAACAAAGGATTTTAAACGAGATCTCCGGGGGGAGGGCGGTGAGGAAGTCGATCCTAATAAGCTCGCGCACCGTTGCTGATACGAACGACAGCTGGGGAAAACAGCACTGGGCCATGATTCCTTGCAGGATGAGTTTTCGATGTTTTGCGGGGGCGGCCGAGAAGAGCGACCAAACATGGGCGATGCCCTGCTGGTCACTCTGGGGGAGAGTTTCCAGATCCTGTAAAAGCCTTATTAGCCCAATTTCTTGTATATAACTGATATGGAGGGCCATTCGGGAGAAGGAAAAAGGTGGAATGAACATACCCGCTGTAATTTATCCATGGATGGCTCGTCCGCTTGACGACGGCATTTAAGTTCTGGTCGATGGCGATAACAGTACTTCGAATTTGGACCGCTGATGTCTGCGGCTTCTGTCTCGATGGTTCGTGATCCTAGAGGGGCGTATTGCTTGGGGATGTGTTTCGCGAGGAACGGCGCAACACTTTCGTTGGCTAGTTTTGCGGATGTTGCTGTTACGTTGCGGAAAGTGTGGGGCGCGTGCTGATGACCATCGGGTTCCCCATCAGTAGTATCCTCGGGGACCTCACATGGGCCAAAGATGGATCTGAGGGCGCTTTGCGAAAGATCCTGGTTTTCGCTGGAGGGCGCATTTTCTTCCACCGGAGATTGAAGGATATTTTCTGACTGTGATAACAATTCGCCGGGGTTCATGTTGCGCAACACCCTCAGTGGCAATCACCCTTACGACAACTCGGAAATCTTGCGATGAGAAGATGATCTTCAGTCTTGACAATATAAGAGCTTGCAAGAGTCTATCTCCAGCGTCAGGTTGTCTGAATTGAACGACGACGTTGTAGGGGGAAGAGGTGGCGACGCGATATGGGAGGATCGATAAGGGTCTGGCTCGTGAAGGCGGTCGGCGAAGAAAAGCGGATAAAGAGGGGCGTAGTACCGAAATGGAGAATTAGTCCAGCCAGAGATCGAGTGAGAATACGCCTGCATATGTATGTAGTCCAGCTCCAATGTGTGACTCTTGTAGATCAATCGATGTTCCCAGAAGAAGAACGAACACCCAAAGGACTCTTGTTGGTCATGAATCACGCAAAGCCCGGGGATCGTCTCGTGATCACGCTAGTGGCTTCGGGATCGCTGCACGTGACCCGCGATGGCGCCATCGCCGTCCTTTGTCGCATCACCATCGACCGGAGTGGCATAATTTGACGCGACGGTTTGGATTCATGGCGGATTCCCCCAGTCTTTCTGGGAACGGCTAATCAGTTAGTGCGCTGGGGATCCCTTACCGCAGTGCCCACTTAGTTTGATGATTCCCATACTAATTCTCCCAAGGTTCTGAACGGCGAGCTCTTGTTTATCATCACATCATCTCCACACCCTCCACAGCGTCTGAGACCCCGACATTGGTGATCTCCTGTCGTGGGATTCCTCTTGGTCTGACACTCTGCAACGCGGGTTAAAGCTCCGGAGCTCGACATTCCAAATATCACATCATTTTCGACGCCTAGCTTTTCTAATTCGACACTTCTAGTTTCGCTTCTAAGGGGCAGTGGCTTCCAGAAGGTACGCAACGTTGATGTCCAGTCGGCGACTTCCATTCCCACCCTTTCCTCGTTCCATAATCAGGACAATCCTTGCCTATAAACGACTCCTCGCCCAATCCACAATGATGCCATCATCGGGCGGAGGAAATCAAAGCCCGAATCGGGTCTAGCCCGTGTTTCTACTTCCAGTCTCACCGCCAGATTCATGTCCAGCTCCATTATGCCGATCGCAGCGTTGGCTGAGCTCCAAAGTTAACCATTAACACAGAATAACTGGACGGTGTCAACTTCCCGATGCAGTGATTATGGTTTAAATTCACGTTATCATTTGCAACAGAACGATATCACGGCCCATTGCATGGGACACTACACTAGGGAAGGACATTTCCGGACCCAAACTGGGGCGGGAAGGACGGAGATTTTGGAGGAGCCCCTGGTTCTCAAGACAACTGCCCTCATTGGACACATATTCGCGCACAGTCAGACTTGGCTGTGAATGCCTGGCTAGACTGGCTCCTGTGGGAATATCTAGTTAGAGTTTGTCGCCATTATGTCGGTATCCGAGTCCTCGTTGATGTCCGGCGACGCATCGCGTGCGCCCGAGCAAACCCATGACCAGGAAAACTCCATGCCCCAGCTGGAGACCCTCATCTCACATCTAGTCGCAGCTAAGCGGTCTTTGTCATCCATCAACCATGTGTGGCGTGCTAATGAAATTGTCACGGCCGCCCGCTCTGCATTGGAAGAAAGTGTTGTAGTTTCGGCGCGGACCGGCTTCCTGCGCCGTGGCCTCAATAACCAACTACGGCTACTCTATAATGTCCGGACGGAGGTGGAAGAGGTGTCCCTGCGCGGTAGATCGGAGTTTGCAAGCATACTGAAAAACCTAGATTCAGCTGACGCACAGTTGCGGCAGACGCTGAGTGCTCTCAGAGAAACAGTGGTCCATGCATCCTTTCGCCCGCAAGGTGAAGAGCCAAAAAGCCTACATGATTTTTTGGATGAACGTGGCGTTGAGGAACTCCATTCATCGCTTAAGGATTCCATTGACCGGACCAATGCAGCCCAGGCTGAACTGGAATCCTCAAATTACGCTTTCGATGACGAGCTCAAATCGATCAAGGATGCGTTGGGTAACTACCGGAATGCCACAAAGCTGGCGTCATCACGGCCGTCGACGTCGTCATCCTCATCCTCTGCGTCGAGCTCCAGTTTGCCCTCCCTGTCATCGATGCCAGGATTGCTGCATTCTCTGGAAATGCACGCCCGGGAAATGGCCGATCTTCTGGAGTCTCTGGTCCGACACTTCGACATATGCGTGACAGCTGTCAAACATACCGAAGGTGGCGGAGCCGCGGCCCAGTCTATCACGGGCGATATGCCTGCTGGTATGAATGTCAGCGGCCGTGGTGCTTCGAATATCGAAGAAGGCATCAACGCTAACTTGAACGCTCCGCTCGATCCGCTTAGTGATTCGGAGTATCAGGAGATGGTAAACGTACTAATCAAGGATGCGGCTGAGGCGGAGGATGTCGTGATGGAAATCCAAGACCGTATTGGAGAGATGGAGTCTGTCCTGGAAAATGTCGTGGCGCAAAGGGATTCTTTACTTTCCGTGTATGGTGCGACCACGAATGTTTTCGACCATCTGTCGTCCCTTGCATCCAACCGTCTCCCAAACTACATCGCCCAGGCGCACAATTTCACACAGGTGTGGAATGACGAACAAGAGCGAATCAAAGGCGGACTGGCAGATCTCTCCGACCTGAATACGTTGTACGATGGTTTCCTGGATGCATACGATGGCCTAATCCTGGAGGTAGCGCGGCGAAGACATGTACGACACCGCGTGGAGAAGGTTCTACGCGATACCAGACACAAGCTGGATCAACTCTACTACGAAGACGTCAATGCGCGCGAGACATTCCGTGTCGAGCAAGGGGACTATCTGCCGTCTGACATCTGGCCCGGAATTGGCCGGGAGCCAATGCGGATCGAATTTCGCCGGATATTGGGCGGCAATCTCAAGGATGCCGTACCCGACAATCCGGAGGATGCCCAACGAACCCCTGTTCCAGAGCCCAACGGAGCGCCCGCCGCATCGATCGGGGAGACCACCGACGATGGCGAGGTTATTCCTGAACTCCCCAAAGCTGTTGTGGAGCAGGCTCTCTCCCGAGTTAAAGCCAAAAGTCGTCGCAACACGTGATTCAGACTAAGCGTGAGACGAGCCCCCTCTTTATACGATGACCCCTGCGAGGCCTCAGGCGCAGGGGAAGGAGAGGGAGCCGGGATCCTCGAAGCAGGAAGAGGCAAATTCTTAGGAGCCTGAGCGAAGATCTCCTGGAAAAGGGCCGGGGGTAAGCGCTCGGGGCTGCGGTGCCATTTCAATGTGTATTGGCATCGTCCGAGAATCACTCGATGTGGACAAAATGACTAGCCTACCATATGCTAGACCTAGATGATGAACCTTAAGCTAGGCTCAGCCTTACATTGAAGAACAGCTTGTCACCATACCAAAGATCATATGCGTGGCTGATTCTGGTGAGACACATACTCCGAACAATGATCTCTTCGTTCTAGGATGTAAGTGCTATCGAAGTCGCCGGTATATGCCCTGAGTTACTCGTGACAAGCCTGATGAAAATCAAAGAGAGCTCTGATAGGTCATTAAGCCATGGTTTGCGATTTACAAGCAAAAGCAAAAATGCCATGTACCTGTACATAGAAATATCGAATACGAAGCAATTAAAGGAAATTCCATTGTTTTTGTGTCCCTGCCCGTACATGCATGCCGCTCTATATGCTCAGAACCAAAAGTATATATATATATGTATCCAATCCATCCCACATTGACCCATCCATCCCGACCAGCCAACACTCATCGTCGTGAAGTTCATCAAATCGTTCAAAGAGAAATAAACAACTTTTTTCGCTCCGTTCCATGAGACGCGATTATTTCGACAGTAGCCGTCACCACTATTTCTTCTTGCGCGACGAGGAAGAAACAAGGCGTTTCTTGAGATGCTTGGGCATCTTCTGCGTGCGTTTGTCGCGCTTTTCTTCCTTGACTTTCTGCTTGTGGTCGCGCTTGCTGTCTTTGTCCTCGAAGCGTTTCCCGCGCGGGGCTTTCTTCTCGAAGGGGTCTTTGCTGTCGTCGTCGTCGTCTGAGTCGGAGCCTTCCACTGACATGCCGCCGCTGGCTTCGGATTCGTCGTCGCTCTCGGCGTCGCCGGAGGCAGCGGTGGGCTTTTCGCTGGCCAGGAGATTCCGGTATACGAGGTCTGCACTGCCGCCTGCTTGGACTTGTTCGGCGTCGCGTTCGATGTCATACACTTGTTCCAGGGTCTGAGGGATGTACTGCTGGCGGAAGACGGCGGTGTCGACTTCGTCGGCTGCTTGTTCATCGAGTGTCATTTCGTCTCTAGTGGCGAGAAGGTTTTCGATGGCGTCTTGCATTGGCTCCACTGGCGTCACTGTAGTCGGGCCGTTGTGAGAAACAATGAACTCGAAGAGGGTCTTTTCGGGCAGGATGTCTACGCCCTTGCGACGGAAGAAATCGCTGACGTTCTTGATGTCCATACGCAGGAATTCGAGACTGCGGGGGTGATCGTGTTCCACACTTTGACTGACATCGATGATGTACAGCTTGCCCTTGTGGTAGAGCATGTTGTACTCGCTCAGATCCGCATGGACCAGGCGGCACGTCTGGTAGAGCACGCGCATGTAGCCGAGCAGCTCGACGTACACTTCGCGCCATTTGGCAGCGGGTTCGGGGACGTCGAACTCGACGTCTTTCAGTCGAGGAGCCGCCACACCCTTGGAGTTACCAACGAAGCCCATGACGAGGACGTGCAGACGGAGGTGAACGGGCTCCGGGCAAGGAATACCGGCAGAGTAGATTCTCCGCAGGTTGCGCATTTCCTTCTCGGCCCACAGTTTCACCATCGCGCGGTTGTTGCTCTTGCTGTATCCTTGTCTGAACCGAAATTCACCAGTCACGTACTTATCTCGGTCCTTGAACACCAGAATGCTCGTCTTGTAGACTTTGATAGCACGGTGAAGTGGCGGGGCGTCTTCCTCATCGGGGATCGAGAGAGAGTAGTAGACATTGGCCTCTTTTCCTGTCGACAGACATCCGTGAATCTCAGACACAATGTCTCGGTTGATCATCTGCAACAGAAGCATTCGTGTGCGGGGATCCAGCACCTGTTCCGATGTTGCCCTGTCGGCCCTATCGTTGCCAGCGCCGCTCTTGGTGGACAGACCAGACTGTACATCGTCCAGCTTGATCTTCCCCGCATGGCGCGTTAAAGATTTGACCTGATCATCAACCGAAGCGTACAAATTGGCAGTCGGTTTTTGTACATTCGTCTTCGGATATGTCCATTTGGGAGCGTTGGGGTCTGCGACGAGGTCGTTCGTTTTGCGTTGACGGTTGTAGCCCTTGGTCAGGTCGGAGGGGTTGGAAGACCGAAATTCTTCCTCGTTGAGTTCCTCCTCAAAGATATCATCGTAGTAATCGTCGTCCTCGTCTTCATTTTCTTGCGCTTCAGGATCTTGCCCCGCCGTAGTGGGGACAGTGCCATCAGGACGCACATATCCTTGATTAGGAACGTACGTATGCGAAGGCGACAAGCCATCCGCCAGGTTAGCCGCCTGAGCAGTCTGCTCTGAGGAAGCCATGATTCCAATCGAAACAAATCCCCGATGCTGTGCTGGAAAAAAGAATGCGGCAACGAAGCGGACGGAAAGAAAAAAGTTCCATTTGTGACGCACTTTTTTTTTCTTTGGGCAGAGTGCGGGCCACCCTATGCACACCGCCCGGCAAAACCCCGCGGGTCCAACGCGTTGGAAGGGACTGGGCAGATCGGCCACGCGTAGTGCGACAGTTCTGCTCCGTCGCAGGTCAGCACCACTTGTTCCTCACTGTTTACTGTCTGACTCTCCCGGCCTCGCGCGTCAACAATCTGCTCTGCTGCAGATAGACAGGGCACGGATCCTACTTTCTACGCTGGTTGCGTGATGATCTGGTGGTTGTGAGTGACAGGATTTCCGGTGTCGCGCGTGCGTCAAGATGTACGTCAAGCAAATTATCATTCAGGGCTTCAAGAGGTAAGTTGCCCATATCTTGGTTTACGATTGTGTACGTGGGCATTGGAATTTGAATTGATTGGCTTATCTTCATCCGTATAGTTACAAGGACCAGACCGTGATCGAGCCATTCTCCCCAAAACACAACGTTATTGTCGGTCGCAATGGTTCCGGTAAAAGTAACTTCTTCGCGGCCATTCGATTCGTCCTCAGTGATGCCTACACGCACATGGGGAGAGAAGAGCGCCAGGCTCTTCTTCACGTACGTACTCCGCGACTGTTACCCGGCGGTAAACAGTGCTTACATTGAATAGGAAGGCTCGGGGTCTGCTGTGATGTCCGCCTATGTTGAGATCATCTTCGATAACTCTGATGATCGTTTCCCTACCGGCAAGCCCGAAGTGGTCCTCCGTCGTACAATCGGTTTGAAGAAGGACGAGTACACCCTCGACCGCAAGAATGCGACCAAAAACGATGTCATGAATCTTCTCGAATCCGCTGGCTTCTCCCGTTCCAACCCCTACTACATTGTTCCTCAGGGCCGTGTGACTGCCTTGACAAACATGAAGGATTCGGAGCGATTGAATTTGCTGAAAGAGGTGGCTGGAACGCAGGTATACGAAGCGCGTCGTGCGGAGTCCCTAAAGATCATGCACGATACGAACACCAAGCGGTCAAAGATCGACGAACTCCTCGACTTTATCAACGAGCGATTGGCGGAACTCGAAGAGGAGAAGGATGAACTTCGGAACTACCAGGATAAAGATAAGGAAAGGAGATGCTTGGAATATACAATCTACTCGCGCGAACAGCAGGAGATCTCCAGTTTCCTCGACAACCTGGAGGAGCAGAGGCAAACCGGTGTGGAAGACACAGATGTCAACCGCGACCGCTTCATCCAAGGGGAAAAGGAGATGGCTCAGGTTGATGCAGAAATCGCCGAATGCAAGCAACAAATTGAATTCTTGAAGGTGGACAAGGTGCAATTGGAAGATGAGCGTCGCGATGCTTCCAAGGCGCTCGCACAGATTGAGCTGCAAGCCAAGTCACTCTCCGACAACCAAGCTGCTGCTCAGGTGCTGAAGTCGCGTTATGACGACGACCTGAAGTCCGTTCAGACAGCGATTCAAGAACGCGAGTCGGAACTCGGCGGACTCATCCCTGAATTCAACGCAGCCAAGGACCAGGAGGATGATGTGAAAACCCGTCTCACTGAAGCAGAGACTTCCCGTCAAAGACTCTATGCCAAGCAGGGCCGGAATTCGCGTTTTAGGAACAAGTCGGAACGGGATAAGTGGCTGCAGAATGAGATCAAGGACAACTATAGCTCTGTCTCTTCCGTCCAGGGAGTGGTGTCCCAAACTCAGGAAGATATCCAAGAAATTGAGAACGAGATTGCTCTGCTGGAGCCGGAAACTGAACGTTTGCGCCAGCAGATCGACGGCCGGGGTGACTCTATTCACTCGGTGGAGCAGCAAGTCCAGTCTGCAAAGGATGAGCGGGACCGGCTGATGGATCAGAGAAAGTAAGTGGGTTTGCTTTCTCAATCGACGATTTGCTGACCTTTTCGCAGGGAACTCTGGAGGGAGGAAGCCAAGCTGGATTCCATCCTGTCTAATGCCTCCAGTGAAGTGGATCGGGCCGATCGCGCCCTGTCGCACATGATGGACCACAACACAAGCCGTGGGATCGCGGCCGTCCGAAGGATCAAACGCCAGCACAACCTCGATGGCGTTTACGGCACGCTAGCGGAATTGTTCGATGTAAATGACAGATACCGAACTGCAGTTGAAGTCACGGCTGGCCAGAGTCTATTCCACTACGTCGTTGACACTGATGAAACAGCGACAAAGGTGTTGGAGGTTCTGCAACAAGAGAAAGCAGGACGAGTGACTTTCATGCCCTTGAACCGACTGAGATCTCGGCCGACCAACATGCCTCGCGCCAGCGATACGATCCCAATGATCGAGAAGCTGCAATACGACCAGGCCTACGAAAAGGCCTTCCTCCACGTGTTTGGCAAGACCATCATCTGTCCTAATCTCCAAGTTGCCGCTCAGTACGCCCGCAGCCACGGTGTCAACGCCATTACGCCCGAAGGTGACCGGTCAGATAAGAGAGGTGCTCTCACTGGTGGTTTCCATGATTCGCGACAATCGCGGCTCGATGCTGTCAAGATCCTAGCAAAATGGCGGGACGAATATGAGTCCAAGAAGAACCGCGGAACTGAAATTCGCAGGGAGCTGGAGAAGCTGGACCAGCTTATTACGAAAGCCGTCGGGGAGTTGCAGAAGCTTGAACAGCAGCGGCATCAAGTGCAGAACAGCAGTGGCCCTCTGCTTCATGAGCTGAGGAGCAAACGCGACCTTCTTCAGAAGAGAAATGACAATTTGGATGCCAAGCGGCGTGCTCTTCGTAACATCCAAGGCAATCTGGCTGCTCTGAACGACCAGATCAACGCCTTTGAGGCAGAGCTGAAGTCCCCCTTCCAAAAAGCACTCAGCGCCGAAGAAGAGAGCCGTCTCGAGACCTTGAACTTTACCGCCCAAGATCTTCGGCGACAGTACCAGGAACTGTCTGGCCAACGCAGTGAACTGGAAGCGCGGAAGTCGGTTATCGAAGTCGAGCTGCGGGAGAACCTGAACCCCCGCCTCGACCAGCTTGTGAGCCAGGACATTGATATGGCTGATGACGACAACAAGGGCAACTTGAAGGAGACTCAGCGTGAAATGAAGCGCTTCCAGAAGTCCCTGGAGAAGCTTGCCCAGCGGCTCCAACAGGTTGACGATTCCATCAACGAATCTAACGGCAAGGTGGCGGAGCTCACACAGCGCAACGCTGAGACACGGCGAGAAATGGAAGACCTGGCCAAATCTATCGAAAAGCACCAACGACGCATGGAAAAAAGCATGCAGAAGAAGGCTGCACTGACCAAGCAGGCGGCCGAATGCTCTGCCAACATCCGTGATCTGGGTGTCCTTCCCGACGAAGCCTTCATCAAGTATAAGAACACCGACTCGAACACCGTCGTCAAGAAACTGCACAAGGTCAACGAAGGTCTCAAGAAATATTCGCATGTCAACAAGAAAGCGTTCGAGCAGTACAACAGCTTCACGAAGCAGCGGGAAACTCTCATCTCCCGAAGAGAAGAGCTGGAAAGCTCTCAGAAGTCGATCGACGACCTCATCACCGTGCTGGATCAACGAAAGGATGAGGCCATTGAGCGAACGTTCAAACAGGTGTCCCGTGAATTTGCCAATGTCTTCGAGAAACTCGTTCCGGCTGGCCGTGGACGCTTGATTATCCAGCGGAAGACGGACCCTCGGCAGGGCGATGAGATTGACTCGGATGATGAAGAGGCGCGTCAAAGCGTCGAGAACTACGTCGGCGTTGGCATCAGCGTCAGTTTCAACAGTAAACATGATGAGCAGCAGCGTATCCAACAGCTCAGTGGCGGACAGAAGAGTGAGTCATCCTCTATTTCTTGGTTGCTCCAAACTAACCCGGATGTGTTTCAGGTCTTTGCGCACTCGCTTTGGTGTTCGCCATCCAGGCCTGCGACCCAGCTCCCTTCTACCTCTTCGACGAGATCGACGCCAACCTCGACGCCCAGTACCGGACCGCCGTCGCCCAGATGCTTCAATCTATCTCCGACTCGACCAACGGGCAATTCATCTGCACGACCTTCCGCCCGGAGATGGTGCACGTGGCGGAGAAATGCTACGGCGTCAGTTTCCGGCAGAAGGCCAGTACGATCGACGTGGTGTCGCGGGAAGAGGCGCTCAAGTTCGTGGAAGAGCAAAAGTCATGAGGTGGGGATTTGGTGGTCTTTTTTACTCATACTCTCACGTCGGGTGCCGGGATGGATGGGACAGCAGGCGTATCTCAGAAGGCAGTCGCTATTTTCTTCTTTTTTTCTTGTCTTTTCTTTTCTTTTCTTTTATTACTTCTTATTTCTTTGCTTCATTCTTGTAAAGATGCAGTCGGCTTATCTTCGCGGATTCCCAATGTTAATCCTCCTACAATTGACCATGTCCTATATGAGTTCTAGTACACTGTCCAATCATCACTGTTTGAGAGGGACCCAGAAATTAGAACCCCCTACAGAAAACCCATCAACAACCGGTTCTGGTTTGAGATCTAAGAGTACGTACTAAAAACATATCTCTCTTCTCGTATCCTTTATTAGAAATAAGAGAACATGGTTTCGGCCCTGTGTAGAGAGAAATAGGTAGCTTGCTAGTATTACTCCTCCCTTACTCTCATATCAAGCACCCAAGATGATTACAACTCTATGACCGTACTGCTAATGCAAGCTGACTAGCTCTATTCAGGCCCTTCGGCCGTCAGTGACTCAGAAGAATCCCGGAAACAGGGATAAAATCAAGTCTCAAGCCTCCCCCCCCCCCATCTCTCTCTTCATGGGGCGGTAGCTCGGCGTGGCTCATGAATCTATCGCAAGTTTGTGAACCACGCTCAGCTGTAACCCGTATATGGGCATATAACCCACCATCAATTCAGCGGCGGCTTCTCCCCCGTCCACTCCGCCAGAATCTCCTCGGGCACATCCCTGACCAAAACATGCACATGCTCCAAGCTGCGCACGCTCTGCAAAGCCGTCGGATTCTTAAACCACAGCACGTGATCCTCCGGCGCGGGGATCTTCTCCAGCGCCAACCGAGCCACAAACGTCCGCGCCACAAAGTCCTCAATCAGCGCGCGACTCTCGGGGGTCACCTCCCCGGTGACGGAATCCACCGGGACGGGGGTCCGCAGCCAGACGACGAGGTGGACGATGCCGGGCTCCATGCCGTAGGGCCAGTCATTGCGAAGGATCTTGTAGTCTGCGGGGTCGGCGAAGGGGGTGGGGTTGTTGAAGGGGAAGACGGGTTCGCTGTCTGTGGTCGTACTAGAAGTAGTATGGGTAGGGAGATGCCAGTGTAGACGACGCTGGCAGATGTAGTTTGTGATGGAGCCGTAGTGGGCTTTGGCGTCTTTGGACCAGGCGAGGTAGCGGATTAGGTCGGAAGGTTTCCGCTTGAACTTGGAGGGGTCGTTGATTGCTGTAGGTTACGGGGATAAAGCATAAGCTAAGGAGGGATGCGGGGAAATTCGGACTGGATGTGTCACTTTATAGAGGGATGATGTAGGGTGAGGCGGGGTATATGAAAAAGGAAAGTATACAGAAAGTCAATATATAGTACTACAAATGGAAATTACCTACCGACAATGGCCTTGAGATCTTCCCAGTCATGGGGAATGTATTCATCGTCTGTTTGGGTCAAGAGTTGACGATCGAGGTCGGTCAGGTTGAATGCGGGGGTTTCCTCGGGAGACATCAGGGAGAGGGAAGTATATGATAGAAAGAGACAGAGAGTGTGTGCTCCGTATAATCCGGTGACGGTGAATTACGCAAAAGAGTTGAGCGTGCCTGCCTTAATGCCTGATCCATAAAAAGACATCTCAAATTTCAGGCATCTTCAGGCAGGGGGACTCCCGCCTATACCGCAGATAAGTTAGCTTGATTGTCGGCCTGGAGTTTTAGGCACTTGAGCCACTCAGATAGCCACTTCCAAAAACGGCTAGCGCGAGGAGCTATAGTTGCCAGTCTGCCCCACATAAGTGCTCCACATACTATCCGAGACACCCATCTCCAAAGCATCCAAAGCAACTCCAATGTCGTCTTCATACTCAGCGTGGTTCCGTAATGGCCCGGATCCTGGTACTATCATCACCCTTGACCAGCCCGTACCTTCCCGGTGGAAGATTCTTGAGAAGCTGAACGAGCATGACTATCAGGTTAATGAGGAGGAAAACGATGAGTATGGCTTCCTTTCTTTCGCCTCGGCTAAATATCTATGCTGCAATCCCAGAGCCCGGACTAAGAAAGCCTTCATGCGCATCTACATTCAAGTTCCCCATCGGAAGACTGAAATGGATGATGCGGGTACCAGAGGCCGACAAGCCTCAACATACAACCCCCCAGAATTGATCGCCTACCGGGACCTCACTGAAAAGGGCTCGAGTGACACACCAAAGCTTTTCGGCTACAAGACCGATAAACAGGAACGCTCGGGGCTAGTTTCGGGTGGGTTCATTATCTGGCTTGTGTGGGAGATTGTCCCAGGGTTGCGCCTCGGAGACGGCAATAGCGCTGACCCATTTTGGGCTCTTGAAAGCTACGAAAGGGAGCAGGTTCGCTTGGCTTTTCTACAGGCTCTACCGTATGTTGATGTTTCTGTATTCGATACTAGGTCTAATCATTGTCGACTATGTAGTAAGCTGCATGACAACGGGTGGTTCCCCCGTGTGTGCGGAGCAAGCAGCCTAGTTTGGCACCAGGAAACGCAAAAACTGTATGTTATTGCTATTTTTTTCCAACGACAAGGTCACGAACTTACTAGTTTACTCCATATAGCTACTTTATCGGACCCTTTGATAAGGCCGGCAAGCCCGAACGTCCGATTATGTTCGGTGCCAACTGGATTGCGCATTTCGATCTCGCCAAGCCGGACCCCTCTACGGATAAACGTGATAGTGACTGGGATAAAGATACTTCAGGCTGGCAATGGTAGGTGAGGAAGCAAGATTGATTGTCTGTCCTCTTATTACGTTGAACTCGGTGACAAGACTGTGGTCTTTATAAGGGAGCAGTCCACTTCTGGTTCCGCATGCCTGTGCTAGTGTCAACATTCGATGCCCAGCAATATCGAGAAACCCAACCCGCAGCCACTTCTATCCTTGGCGACGACATATAGTCGTTAAAAGGTAACTCTCTTTCCATGACATTCTGAGAGTCTATTCAGACATCAAGACCAGAAGCATACTCAAATTCTAAAGAAGAGCCTAGCCGCCTCTATCCCTAGAAGACGATTTCTACGAGACCAAGAAAGAGATTTCACAGGACTCGCTGTTGATACAAAAACCAGTGGCATCACTACAGTAAATGTTACTATGTCAACAGAGAGCCTAGACCAGAGGATTAAAAACACTCGAAAAAGTGTGGGAAGGCCTGCCCAAGCTCTTGAAGCAGATGAGTTAGCATGACCCGGGGAAATTCAGGAAGCTCATGGAACGGAGAGACTCAGCGTCATCCAATGATCCAGATACACTCGCGGCTGGAATTATAGTCTGAGTGTTGTCCGGCTCGTTGGGAAATATGCCCCGAGAGATTGAAGGGGCAGCAGTCAATCTCACAAAGCCAGAGAGATGTTGTTTCAGGAGTTGAGAAGGATATACGGTTATTTGAAGCGAGAAGGATATATGGTTATATTGAAGCCTGGGTTGTGGGAGAGCCCACAGGGCCGCTATCTGTAGCACTTTTCGAAACATGATATTCAGCGTGTCCTCAATCCAATAACGCTTCTTGTACCGAAAATTCATGGTTGTTTTATTCAAGTTGGTCTTAATTGAATATGGGCCTGATATTGACATTGGTTCTCCGGCCATAATTACACCAATCGATCAGCACTTTCTCAAGGGTTATCCTCGGGCTACAATTTACCTTACCCTTCCTTCATCAACTCTTGCCTGATCAGTTATGACATCAACGAGTATATATATATATCAATTGACTATGTCATAGCCCACTTAACTATTTGTTGCAACCAGCTGCCCTATTTCCACGTCCCCGGTCGATAGAAACATGTACTTCGTTTTTCGGCAGACATATTAATGGAAGGCACGCTAAGCCTTATTTGGCTATCGCCGTGGTGTCCAGAGCGCCAGGTGAAAAGACCACGATTCCCCCTCCAAAAGCCACGCATCATCGTGGCCTTTTCATCCACCACAACAGAGGAAGATCAGTCTCTCACCGCTCAATCATTGCCGGGGAATCTTTTACCCCAGAAATCCCAACAGAGCGGGATTAATTCCATTCTCGATTTTCTTTTTTTCGATTTCTCTTCCTTTTTGATGTGAATAAAAATAATAAGAAAATAAAATCAATTAATGTATATTTTATCTATAATGTTATATATTATATAATATGTAGATCTCGCAATCATTACCAGATTAACCCAATCGAGATACATCCGTAATCCACCCCCGAGCTCGGCAGAGCCCGTGACAGAACTCCCTCAACGAAAACCCGCTCTTCCCGCCTTTTTTTCCATCTCTCTTCCCCTCCGACCTCCCTCCTCTCTCCATCTTCTCTTCCACCTGTTCTGTCCGTGGTATTGAATCTCGTGGGGTTCACAGAGTATTCGTCAACATGAGGTAGGTACTTATCGTCGCGAATTCCACTTCCACCCGTTCCGACCCAGAACTAACAGCTGTCGCGACTATCTGCAGTGCTCTTACCGACAATCTCCCCCCGGCCGTCCTTCAATTCGCGCCCTTTGCCGTGGCATTGGTGGCCGTCTTCCTCGGATGGAAGCTATTTGGCGGCAGCAGCAGTGCGTATACCTCAACGGATCAATGTGATCTTTCGAAAAGCTCGACTCGGTGCTGATGTCATTATCCCGATAGGTCCCCGGAAGGTTCTCAACCCCACCGAGTTCCAGGATTTCGTCCTCAAGGAGAAGAATGAGATCTCGCACAACGTGGCCATCTACCGCTTCTCCCTGCCCAACGCCACCGATATCCTGGGTTTGCCCATTGGTCAACACATCTCCCTTGCGGCCACCATCGATGGCCAGCCCAAGGAGGTCGTCCGCTCCTACACTCCCATCTCCTCCGACAATGAGGCCGGTTACTTCGACCTCCTCGTCAAGGCCTACCCCCAGGGAAACATCTCCAAGTACCTGACTACCCTGAAGCTCGGCCAGACCCTGAAGGTGCGCGGCCCCAAGGGTGCCATGGTTTACACCCCCAACATGTGCCGTCACATCGGAATGATCGCCGGCGGTACGGGCATCACCCCCATGCTGCAGATCATCAAGGCCATCATCCGCAACCGTCCCCGCAACGGAGGCAACGATGTTACCAAGGTCGACTTGATCTTCGCCAACGTCAACCCCGAGGACATCCTCCTCCACAAGGAGCTTGAGGAGCTGATCAAGGAGGATGACGGATTCCGCGTCTACTACGTCCTTAACAACCCCCCTCCCGCCTGGACCGGTGGTGTGGGCTTTGTGACCCCGGAGATGATCAAGGTATGCCTCTACTTTCCCCTCGGTGGTCTGATGTAATAGCTAACAATCCTGTAGGAGCGCCTCCCCGCCCCGGCCAGCGACGTCAAGGTTCTTCTGTGCGGTCCCCCTCCCATGGTCAGCGCCATGAAGAAGGCCACCGAGTCTCTGGGATACACGAAGGCTCGCCCTGTCAGCAAGTTGGAGGACCAGGTTTTCTGCTTCTAAACCTGCGGTCATAGTGCCGCAAACGCGTCCGGTGGCCCACCCCCGTGCCAGTCGGGCGTCGATCACCCGATTCCTGTGTGATGTAAACCAGACCTACGGCATATGGTCTGACCGTTGGATGTAAGATGAGATACGAGATGTGCTACCGCACAGTGGAGCAGTGTTCAGAGTTTGCAAGAGATAGAAGCCCAGCAGGGGAACATAATCTATAATGGACTGCCCTCGACACCACCTTAGGTATCATAATTCGCAAAACCCACATAACTTAAACAACCTCCAAAATAGACTCTACCATGGTCAAAAACTTCCCCCGATACTCCTCCGCCGTAGTCGTAACCGACATGGGTCCCTGCCTCCCAACCACATTAAACGTCTGCACGACCCCGGTCATCGCCTGCGCATGCAGCTTATGCCTCCCCCAAAAGAAATCCAACACCACAGCCCGATACCTCCACCGCCCATCAGCAGACACCACCCCAACCCTCCACCTATCCACCTCCTCATCCCTCCCATCCCTACCCCTCCTCCCCATCCCCTCCCCCTCCTCCACCGGAAACCGCACCAAAAACAACGAATAATCCACCGCATTCGCCTCCTGCAAAAACCGCGTATCATCCTCCACCACCCTCCTAAACGCCCGACACTCCTCCCCCCTTAAGCGAATCTTATCCGGAAACTCATCCGCCAGCCGCGACAGCGTATCCTCACTAACAAGCGGCTCAGGCACAAGGTCCCTCTCAGGATAAAAGTAATCCACGGGCTTCAAGTCATACGTTTCCCACTTCTCGCCCGACGAGGGCGAGTTGTTTTTCCCGGAGAGGACGTTCTCCATGATGATGTGGTGCGCGGGCGTTATGCCTGCTATGCTGCCTAGGGTTTTGATGGGCGCGTACAGGTAGTCTGTTATGCGGACGAGGAGGGAGTCTGGGTGGGTTTTCATGTATTCGCTGTAGGGCGCGAGCAGGTCGTCTTGGAAGAAGGAGTGCTCGAAGTGGCGGGGGAGGCTTTTCACGAGGTATTTGCTGTTGGATGTGCTGAAGAATGTCTGTGCTTGTTAGACTGCATACAATCCACTGGAGGAGTACCAGGAGAGTATACACTGTATACCCTCAACCCCCCTTCCTCCCCCTACACTACAATCCAGACAAAGCAGAGAAAATATAGTACTAACCGACCCCGAAAACCCCAAATCCCCCATCGGCACCAAAGCCGCCTCCCTCCCCTGCGCGCAAAACGACCCCCTATACTCGTCATCATCAATCCCATACGCCTCGATGCGCAATCGCCGAAACCGCTCGTCGCTATGGCGCAGCAGTTTTATGTAGTAGATGCTGAAGAAGGCGAGGATGCGCCCGATGAGCGTCTTGCGGAAGGTCTTGGGGTCGCGCAGGAGCGCGTCCTGGATGGATTTTGTGAGGGCTCGGTGGCGGCGGTTGCCCATATTTCAGAAGTCTGTGGTTTATCTATGGGGGAGGGGAAGTGGGGGGAGGACTACATCGTGGGGTGTAATTTGGAGTTGGATGCTATATACGTAGTAGGTGCATGATCTTGGAATGAAGGACGGTGACGTAGGTGATATGGGGATCAGGTGATGTCACATGATTGCTTGTAGTATATGGTCGTTGGCTTGTTTCTCTGCGTTTTGGCTGTTGGTGTTTCTTGTTGCATATTCTTCAGTGTCTGTATCACATGATTTCACTGTTGTTTGTGTATGGACTGTTGTACTGTCCTAGTGATCAACTACGGCAGTGAAACCATTATATATCACTGGAAGTGGAACAGGTTGCAACCATATATCATAAACGAAATATATATAGCTAGGAAAGTATGTTGATGTTTAATGTAGTATCGATGATTTACTACCAAGCATAATAACTGTATAATCCCTGTGTCTAGAGTAGTATACTCCATGTCTAGTATGAAAGTATGGAGATACCAGGTTAGGGCTATCCACGTGATATACTATATCACACGTGACTCACCGCCTGGCAGTAAACCACATACCGCATTGGGTCAAGAGGAAAGGGAAAAAAAAAAAAAGGGAAAAAAAGGTCCCCTCCATTCTGTCTTCCCCTCCAATGGGTCATCATTGTCTGCAGAGCGGGGCTAGACGATTTTCCACGGCCTTTTCTCTGTTCCATCCACCACTTACTTCCTTCTCTCCCTCGAACTGTCCTCTCTCCAGGTTTAATATCTCTCCTCGGCTCTTTACTACCTACCCCTCAGTCTACGCGCCCCCCGCGAAGACCCCCATCATGGCGTCTTCCGATCTCCCCACTGCCGTCGAGGCTCTCACGCTGCAGACCACCTCCGAGACCTCCAAGTTCCCCAACTGCTTTCCCTCGTTGAACCCCGTCGATATCTACCGCGAGCACATTGCGCAGAAACTGGGCGAGGCCACCGGCATCGACCAGGAGAAGATCTACTCCCGTCTGCAGTGGACGAGTACGTTGGACAAGGGTGATCTGGTCTTGCCTGTATGCTATGAGTCAGACCATATCTTGCGGGGAAGGTCGTGCGTGGTTGGGCTTTCGAAAGACTAACGGAGCTGGTTATTAGGTCGCCGCGCTGCAAATCAAGAAGAAGCCCCAGGAGCTGTGCGAGGAGCTCGCCGCCAAGTTCCCCGAGTCCGACCTTGTCCTCCCCCCTAGCTCCTTCGGTGTCCACCTGCAGTTCTTCTTCCGACCCGAACGCCTTACCCACACCGTCATCCGTCGCATCCTGAAGGAGAAGGCCGCGTTCGGTACCAATGGCAACCTCGGCCTCAAGGACCCCTCCGACCCCTCCAAGGGTAGCAAGAAGATGATCGTCGAGTTCTCCTCGCCCAACATCGCCAAGCCCTTCCACGCCGGACATCTGCGGAGTACGATCATCGGTGGCTTTCTGGCCAACCTGCATACCGTTATGGGCTGGGACGTGATCAAGATGAACTACCTGGGTGACTGGGGCAAGCAGTACGGTCTGCTGGCCAACGGGTTCAAGCGGTTCGGCAACGAGGAGGAGCTGCTGAAGAACCCCATCGGCCACCTCTTCGACGTCTATGTCAAGATCAACGCCATCGTGTCGGAGCAGGACGTCCCGATCAAGGCGCTGAAGGAGCAGATCAAGGCCAAGAAGGAGAAGAACGAGGACGCGTCGGAGCTGGAGAAGGAGCTGGCGCCGCTGGTGGATGCCAGCGAGGACGAGGCTGCGCGCCGCTACTTCAAGAGCATGGAAGACGGCGACGATGCCGCCCTGGCCCTCTGGCGCCGCTTCCGTGACCTCAGTATCACGAAGTACCGCGAGACGTACGCCCGTCTCAACATCGACTTCGACGTCTACTCCGGCGAGTCGCAGGTCAAGGACGAGAGCATGAAGGCGGCCTACGACACCCTGGAGAAGTCCGGCGTCGCCGAGAAGTCGGACGGCGCTGTGATCGTCGACTTCACCAAGCATGGCGCCAAGAAGCTCGGCAAGGCCATCATCGTCCGCAAGGACGGCACGCCCCTCTACCTGACCCGAGACATCGGCGCCATCACGGAGCGTGACGAGGCGTACCACTTCGACAAGATGATCTACGTTGTCGCGGCGCAGCAGGATCTGCACCTGGCGCAGCTCTTCAAGATCACGGAGCTGATGGGCCACAAGGAACTGGCCAACCGCTGCCAGCACATCAACTTCGGTATGGTCCGCGGCATGAGCACCCGCAAGGGTACCGTCAAGTTCCTGGACGACGTGCTGCGCGATGTGGCCGACAAGATGCACGAGGTGATGCAGAAGAACGAGGAGAAGTACAAGCAGATCGAGGATCCCAAGGCCACGGCCGACATTCTGGGTATCACCTCCGTCATGGTTCAGGACATGAGCGGCAAGCGGTATGTCTCTTCTTTATCTTTTTTTTAATGTACAAGTCTAACGAATTAGGGTCAACGGCTACGACTTCAACCTGGAGGCGATGACCTCCTTCGAGGGTGACACGGGCCCGTATCTGCAGTACGCGCACGCGCGTCTGTGCTCGATCATCCGCAAGGCCAACCTGGGCGCGGAGGATCTCGACTCGGCCAACCTGGACCTGCTGACGGAGACGCAGGCGCACGACCTGGTGCGTCTGTTGTCCTCGTGGCCGGACGTGCTGGTCAACACGATGCGCACTCTGGAGCCGACGACGATCATCACGTACCTGTTCCGGATGACGCACATCCTGAGCTCGGGCTACGACACGCTGCGGGTGGTGGGCAGCGAGCCGGAGGTGCTGAAGGCGCGGTTGGCGCTGTATGCGTCGGCCCGACAGGTGCTGAACAACGGCATGCGGGTGCTGGGCCTCAGCCCTGTGGAACGGATGTAAATTTCTTATTGAGTAGTATCACGAATACCATTTATATTTCCAGTTTAACGTGCTTTCTGTATAATGGCTGTCTTATAATGGGGGAGGCGGGGGGGGGGGGGGGGGGGTATTCCAACCAGTATTCCAAAACCAGCCAATCCATATGCAAGGAAATACATGAATGACAGTAGGGAAATCAACGAGGAATAGGGATCAACGATCAACAGGGTAGGGAACCAACCCAATAAACCCATTCTTTCTTACCCCAAATGAAGAAATCAAATAATCCCCTTAACAATCCTTTATTAAGGGCAAGGAAAGGGAAAGGGAAAGGAAAATTTCAAGTCCCCGAGCGGAACGAGCGAATCCCCGCTTTGATCGATTTGTAAACGCCGTCAACGGCATCCCGACCCAGACTTTCTTTCCTTGATTTTATTCTCAAATTATTGCCGACCCTCGACCTTGGTTGGGAAGGAAAATGAGTGCCTGGATGACAAACATTGAATTATAACCAACGAATCATTAGTTGAATGTTTAGTTATGTTCTTTCCATTCATCCATCCATACGCGGACGCCGTTCAGCCCGTCAATCCCGAGTGGCAATCCAACCCGGGGTCTTTAGCTCGTACGAGATACCGATCTGACCGCCGTGCACCTAGACAATAGGTAATCGAATGGGGTTGACTGAGTCAGGGTGTGATTGATCGAGACCTGGGAACTGGATAGGATTGGATTGAGGGGCTGATCTGTAGAGGCTGAGATACGACAGATGCATCTGTGGCTGCACTATATCGTCTGCACCATGAGGAAGATATCACAATCACGGTGTCTGTCTAGAATTGCTTTTTCCTCGTATATTCATGACGCTATCCTCCTCGTTCTCTTTCTTTGTTCTCTTTCTGTTTCTCCTTTGATGGAAGGGAAAGTATATTCTATACGGGTTGCAGATGCAGATTAGGGCTATCGCCATCCGCCCCACAGCAGATCAGATCGCCGAACTTGCAGCGCCTCTCGGGGATCTTTATATCCCTTTTCGTGCCAGGCCCTGTCCCCGTTGGCGGGATTGTATTACTAAGTCGATGGCCTGGCTGATATTAGGGGTATAAGAGATTTGTATCCGGCTGATATATTATAAAGACCCATTCCCAGTTCTACCTGGTGTCTATCAAGATAGTGTGATCGTGCCGTATACTTTCCATGAAGTCAACTACTACATCAAACGCATCACTCAACATGGCCGACTCTACTGGCTCGACGACGCCCGATCTCGAGCGCAATGAGAATCGGTTTCTCATGAACAACTCTGTCCATGACTTTTCGTGGACGGACCTCACCGTGACTGTCAAAGACCGCCGCACGAAGCAGCCGCGGAACCTGATCGATGCGAGCAGCGGGACGGTCCAACAGGGTGTGTCCTTCACCACCGTCTTTCAGACCTATGACCTAGAGAAATGATACTAACAATACCAGGCGAGCTAGTAGCCCTCATGGGCCCCTCGGGTTGCGGCAAGACCACCCTCCTGAACGTCCTCGCCCGCCGCGCCGCCTCGTCAGGCGCCAAAACGACCGGATCAGCCACCGTGAACGGGACGGACATCAACAACGACACCTTTGGCAAAATCACGTCCTACGTGGAACAAGAAGACGCGCTCATCGGATCATTGACCGTGCAGGAGACGCTCAAGTTCGCAGCGGACCTGTCCCTGCCGGGGTCAGTCAGCAAGGCGCAGCGTATCGAGCGCATCCACACGCTGCTGAGTGCGTTTGGAATCCAGAAACAGGCTTCGACGCTTGTGGGCACGCCCATTCGTAAAGGAATCAGTGGCGGGCAGAAGCGGCGTGTGAGCGTTGCGAGCCAGCTTATCACTTGTCCGAAGATATTGTTCCTGGATGAGCCGACTAGTGGGTTGGACTCGACGGCGAGTTATGAGGTTATCTCTTATGTGAAGACCCTTGCTGTGGAGAATAATGTACCCCCCCTTTATCCCCCTCTCTATCCTGTTATAAAAGAATAAGCTAACATGAACAGCTCCTCATCATAGCCAGCATCCACCAACCCTCAACAACCACCTTCCACCTCTTCAACAAGCTCCTCCTCCTATCCGGCGGAAAAACCTGCTATTTCGGCCCCGTAACAGACATGCCCGCCTACTTCACCAGCATCGACCAGCCCATCCCAAGCAACACCAACCCGGCCGAACACCTCCTCGACATCGTCAGCTCGGACTTCGGCGACGAGACCCGCGTCGACACCATTCGCGAGAAATGGACGCAATCTACCCAGTGCGCTGAGCTGACACGGCATATAGCGCAGAAGAGCGGCCTGCCGGAGAAGGGAGGCGGTGCTCAGGGCGTGAACGGGGATGATCTGAGTAGGCCGGGCGTGCTGGCTATTACGCTGTCCCTGCTGCATCGGCTGTTTATTAAGAGTTATCGCGATGTGGTTGCTTATGGGATTCGCATTGTGATGTATTTGGGTATGGTTCCCCATCTCTCTCTTTGTATAGGAGTTTGAGTGTGGCTAACGATGATGACAGGACTGGCTATCATGATGGGAACGGTGTGGTTGCGTCTGCATCCTGAGCAGGATCATATCCAGCCTTTTATCAATGCTATAGTGAGCCCCCCGTCTATAAAGAATAACCAAGAGGAAAGGAAAACTAACTGGAAGTGAAGTTCTTCGGCTCCGCATTCATGTCCTTCATGGCCGTCGCCTACGTCCCCGCCTTCCTCGAAGACCGCGCTACGTTTACCAAAGAGCGCGCGAACGGTTTATACGGCGCGTTGCCGTTCACCGTGTCTAACTTTATCATTGGACTTCCATTCTTATGTACGTCCCCTTCCCCCTCTTACCCTCCTCTCATCACATATACGCTACATATACAAAAGACCAGTACTAATAATCGAATAGTTTTGATCTCCCTCCTAACCTCCCTCCTAACCTACTTCCTCACCAACTTCCAACCCACAGCCTCCGCCTTCTTCACCTACCTAATGTGGCTCTTCCTGGACCTCGTCGCCGCCGAATCACTAGTAGTGCTCGTCACGTCACTCTTCCCGAACTTCGTCATCGCGCTGGCCCTCGTGGCGTTCGCCAACGGGCTGTGGATGAGCGTGGGCGGGTTCCTCGTTTCGCCTACTATTCTCAATCCGTTCTGGAAATACGTTTTCCATTATATTGATTATCAGGTTTGTCTTTTTCCCCAATCCTTCCCCCTCTTCCCATGATTGATCATGGGAAGAGAGCCCGATTAGTTCTCTTTCTCTTTTCAAAGCACTGGGCTGTAACTAACCAGAGTAAAACGATAGGCCTACGTCTTCCAAGGAATGATGATCAACGAATTCTCCAACCGCATTTACACCTGCGCCGCAGACTGCACCTGCATGTACGCGACGGACCTGGCATCGGAGTGCAAGATCCGGGGCACGGGCGTTCTGGAGGCGTATGGATACGCGACGGGGCGGACGGGCAAGTGGGTGGGGATTCTGATTGGCATTATTGCTGTGTATCGGTTTTTGGGGTGGGGGTGTTGGCTTTGAGGAGGTCTTGAGTTTCGTTCTTTACTGGAGCTGATGTTTCTTTTGTTGATAGTGGTTGTTAGGTGGATTGACTGAGTGAGAGAGAGAGAGAGAGAGAGAGAGTGTGTGTGTGTGTGATGGGTTATATACTATATACTTAATACTTGGCAAGATGTAGGTTTGGCCTACTTCCTGTATATCAGACTATTTAATAGACACTACTTATATTTCTGACTACTCAACTCAACGTTCAAAGTATGTATTTAGATCAAAGAGTGACATCGCAAGACGAGACAAATGAAATAAATCAATAAACCAAGGGGTATACCTCTGTCGTGACCACTGCCTTCATCTCCAACCAAACAGACGCAACATCACAGCATAAACAAGCATAAGCATAACAACATAGCAGCGTAACATAACATGACATAACACAGCGTAGCAGGCCAAACTGTACAACGCATGCAGACAACAGCAAAAAATAAGAACAATAAAGTAAACACCATAATGCAGGTCATCAGAATCGTACAATCATGTCGCCATGATGGAACGTGATCGGTCAGAGCCGTAGAACCCGCCCCTTCTCTTTTATATCCAACACCCGAAATAAATCAAACCGAAAATGCCTCCCATAATCAATGTCTTTGTTTTTCTCATTTTCCAGTAGTCTTTTCTTTCCAATAGCTTTTGGGGTTTTCTTTTTCTTTTCTTTTCTTGTTCTCCCTAATCAACTTTTGGATGTTTAAAGAAAGCCCACCCGAAATCCAAAAACTTTTGCAGTACGTCGTCGGGTACTAGAACCGCCCGCTATACACGGACTGGCTGGATCGTCGACTGGCTCGGTCGGACCGGCGATCGCCCCGGGCACGTCGTACCCCGTCCGCCTCGCGTCGCGCCACCGTCCCCGTATAGTCTGACCCCCCCGTCAGGTACTTCTTGGGCCGTTTGCTTTCGATGTTCAATTCCAAGGCACCCGTCTCCCCGGCCCGGACGCTGATCCGCTTCCCCCCGACCGACTCCTGCGTAAAGCTCATGGTCACGCCGTTCATCGTCATCACGAAGTTGTTGTCCTCCTCGGCCTTGGATCCCACGCCGCTGCCGTTCTGCGTGCGCGCATCGCTGCCGCGGCTGCTGTTCGACCGGCTCTTCTGGCTGCTGTTCGACCGGCTCTTCTGGCTGCCGCTGTCGCTGGCGGTCGGGTGCGCCCCGTGCGAGGACTTGGCTTTCAGCAACGCATCCGAGGTCAACGGCACGGGAGCCGCCGACTTGACCGACCGGGTCGCCTGGTATTCCTCCGCCTCCCGCTGCTTCTCGTCGATGTCGTCGTCGTCGTCATCGTCGTCGTCGTCGTCGTCGTCGTCGTCGCCGAGTTCGGAGTCATAGATGGGACTCGGCGGCCGACGGCGACTGTTCTCGACAATGCGGCGAGACGGGCGGATCGGATCGTGGTAGGACTGCGAGCGTCGGTTGTCGCGACGACTGCCACGGCGCTCGGGGATCACCGTCTCCCGGGAGGACTGACGATACCCGTACTCCGGCAGGGCGTCCCGGAGATCCGACAGGTCGATGGCCCCCCGCGACGGATGGCCCTCGGACGAGACCGAGGAGCTGGTGGCCGCCTTGCGGGAGAGGTCGGGCCGCTTCTGGATGATCTGGGGCCGGGACTGGTGCTTGAGGGGCGGCGGGGGCATGCGGTGGTAGTCCTCGCCGCGGTCGTGGTTCGAGTGGGAGGGCATCCGCTGCCGGCTCTCGCGAGGGGGCGGTGATTCCATCGCGTCGTCGTCATCGAAAGAAGGTGCGAAGTAGTCGTAGTCGACCGCGGGGCCCCCGTACACGGACGCGCGACGGTTTCGCTTCTGGTCCCGCGTCCGGGACATGGACCGCTCCCGGGGATGCTCCTGTGGCTGGTGGTATTCTGGGCCATAGTAGGGGAGCTGGGGCTGGGCTTGGGGCTGGGCTTGGGGTTGAGGCTGGGGTTGCGGTTGCGGGCCATAGGGCGAGGGGGCGTACGCCGGCGTGTGGGCATAGGCGGAGGAGGAGAGGGGAGGTCCGTGATCGTAACGACCCAGTTGCGGGTGATACATCATCCCACCGCCCATGCCCGGCATCATCCCGTGGAAACTCATCGGCCGGTCCGGGCCATGGTAGGAGCTGGAGCGGTTGCCGCGGGTGTGCGGACGGGTGCTGCGGGAGACATTGACGTCTTGGATGACTGAGCCGGCGTATCGCTGCGTGTTGCGGGACGCGGAGGGGTAGTCTGCGACCGACGGGGTGGACGGCTGGGACATGTAGTAGCCGTAGTCCATCGGCTTCGGATCAGCCGGGGGCGTCCCGTGGTACAGGCCCTGGTCGCACTCCCAGCAGGTGCCCGGGTGGTGCCGCACCTGGGCCGTCTCGCGTCGGCGGGAGCGAGACGGCGACCGGGCCATCGGGGCGGCGTGGAGATGGCTGGCAGTGGGATAGGAGCCGACCTGCATACTGTCATCACGCGCGGGGCGAGCCGTCCGTTCCTTTTCCTTTGCCCGGTCTTTGCGGGTGGAACGAACTCGATCCAGGTCGGCCCTCTTGGGGGTGGTGTTGACTTTAAGAGGGCCCGGAGGTTTCTGACTTGATGGGGCGGATTGGGAGCTGTTGACGGTGGCGGCGGTGCGACTGGAATAGCCGGAATCGCTGGCAACGTCGAGCAGAGGCTCGGGAGGTAATTTCAGATCGTTCTTGTTGGCGACTTGACGAGTGTCGGGAATGATAACACGAGCGTCCTCGTCGTATTCCTCAACGAAAGCGGCGCGAGGGACTTTTCCCGACATGACTTTTTTAACAGGGAGGGGGGGGGGGGCCAAGGCCCAGTTGGGTCCCTAAAGGGGGGAGAGAGGGGAAGGGAGTGGCTGGATTGGGACGGGCACAGAGTGGATGACGTGAAACGTGGATGCTCCAACAGGCTTCGGAGATGGGGATCGATGGGGGACTTACAGCAGCCACTGCTGCTGCTTCATCCGAGTGAGTCAATCGAGGGTTTTTTTTCCCTTTCTTTTTCTGTTTCTTTTTTCTTTCTTTTTTATTACCTGTTCCTTGTCTTTTCCCTCCTTTTTTTCTTTTTTCTGTTTAGCTCTTTTTTTGCTTCCCCCCTGCCTGATGAATGTCTTTCCTTTCCTTTCTTCGTCGTTCTAGGTTAGGGTTTTTTCGGGAGATTATTTGATTTCTTTCTCCGACAGACTCCAGTCCAGCCAGACTGCGATGGTCCGGAACGAGGACGTGCAGACGGGCCAGACAATAGTTCGTTGACAGCGCGTCTCGATGGCTTCTGTCAGCAACGAACCGTGGAGGCGAAGAGGTCGTAATGGTCATCCACGGACTGGATCGTCTCCATCGAACAGAACGAGCAAGTGAAGGGGAATGATTGGACTGGATGACAGGCGCCAGAGGGTCGAAGGAAGTTGGGCGGGAGTGAACAGTGGAGCCAGCGGGCAGCAAGCGGGCGTGGGTCAAAAGGAAGAAGAGTGAGTCAAAAGGAAAATCAAGAATAATGATAATAATAATAACGAGACCAAACCGAATCGATGCGACCAAAAGGAGCCGGCGGGCTGCAGTTGTGGTCTGGCAGACGGTGAGTGGAGGAGAGGATGCAGTGGACAGCCGACAGATGCAGAGGGGACGAAGAGAGTCTGTCCGATCTGGACCTGACGAAGAGGGTCTTTACAGTGGAGACAGGCCAGAATTTCTTCCAGGCAAGGAGTGAGACAGACAAATGATTCCGCCTCGGGGTGACTCGAATACTTAATACAATCCTAACACGGGGGATTATGGAAGGGGAGATTACCAAGAGGACGATCGAGGGGGAAAAGAAAGAGAAAAAGAGGGATTTAACAAGGGGGAGAAGAAAATCCAGCAGAAGAGCAGGAGGAGCAGGAGGAGCAGGAGGGGGCAGAGCAGTATTCGCATTACCGGATCTTACACTCTTCCTGCGCGATGACGGGTGGTTTTCTGGCTATTCTTTTCAGTCATGGAAATAATCATTTGAGAATAAGAATAAGATAGGATAAAAGAAAAGAAAAAAACCAACCTATCCAGCAATATCATCCCCTGTCCCGGAATGAATCCAAAGAAATGAGAAAGAAAGAACGATGCCCAGAGTGGGGAATGACGGATGAGTGGCCACGATCGATGCCTGATCTGCGCATCAGAAACACTATGCGATTATCAGAGAACCAGTCTTGTCTCCCAGTTCGGAACTGTATCTTTCGACGTCATGGGAAAACAACAATAAATCAGATAGAACATAAAAGATAAATACATCTCGACCAGGGTGCCTCGAATACTCCAGCACAGACATCAAACAAACAAACTATTACACTATATCAACACGGCTCCACGGCGGGGAACCCTGGTTTGAACACACTCAACCATGGAACATCTATCTTTATTCTTCTATATTCTATATTCTATAAATATTATAAATATAAACAATTATATATATGAATATTATACATATTGATATATATAGACACGATATTCCAATACTCATTCTCATACAGGTCATAAATACTCAATACATCTTGGCTGCCCAAGGAAGATTCTTCCATTGCGGCCCAATAGTATTCGCCGTCTCCACCCGTCTCTTCCCTGCCTTCTCGTCAAGTTGCCTCCGCTGCATGCACCTTCTCTGTCACGAAAGTTGAATTATATAGACAGTAGACAATCAGTAGTGCCAAACAGAGAGGGGAAAAAATCATATATCAAATCGAAGAAACGGATTTCAACGGTTGTATCCTACCATATAGATCCGAACAGGATATCAGATTAAGCATCCCCCATGGAACCTAACACCACAGTCAACCAAGAATAAAAAAAAAGAATAAAAAAAAATTAAAACTATAAAACTAAAACGAAAAAGAATAGAAGAGAATAAAACAAAACCAATCTAAATAAGTCTCAAAACAGTAAAAAGAATCAAATAATCATCCACTAAAATCCCCCAGCGGACCCCACCTCCCCCACTTCATCCCTCTCCCAGGAACTAGATAACGTCCTCCCTCCCTAGTCCGTTTAGCCTTTAGCTGCCGGGTTATATCATTCCTGCGACTTCCATACCGATGGAAATTGCATACATATAGGAAAATAGTCAAGAAGGATATATTTCCGGTGCGTAGCTCGGTGAGAGAACGGCCTAATGGGGAACGCGCTAGAAAATTTCTATCTGATGAGGTATAAAAGTGTATACTACGGGTAATAAAAACCGTTCAAATGGAATAAAATAAACTAGATAGACGGAAACAAGAAGAAAAAAAAAAACAAATAGAATAGGGAAAAAAGGAAAAGGAAAGAAAAAATACTAGCTGTGCATAAACAGTCAGCAAACGACACAGCCCGCCAGAATCTGCCTTCGCGATAACACCGACTGCCCGTCTGACCCGCGCGATGCAAGGGATGCCGGACTCTGTTGAAGAAGGGGTTTCTTCATTGATTCTATGGAATTATTATGCCTGTTCTACATGTGATGACACAAGACCACAATGACACACTGTACGTCTGGTATCGATCGGAACTGACGATGCCTATACTTCGTACTACACAGTCATATAAGATATTGGCTGACTCAGAAAGACATCAAGCCCAGGTAGCCAGTACAGTACATATCTAACCACTGATTGACTACTCCAACCGTTCATCTGGTACTAGCCCCCAGGCAGCTACGTATCCACCAACCCGTCTCTGACCAGTCCCGCGTGGAGATCTCAGTCCCAGACACCACACTGGCTAGAACCCCATCCTCCAGAATTTTGCAACGGGCCGACATCGCATCCCACTCCCAGCTGCGGCTGAGATCGTCCCAACTTTATCACTGCGGTTGCGTCATGCTGCCATGGAAAGCACCCAACACGGGATGATCGGGCCCGCGACATGCACGCAGCGCAGTACACCAGCTCATATTGGCTGCCGGCCAGGAACTAGTCCTGTCTCTCGGTGTGCCAGGATCAGGCACACGGCAAACAGCGACGCGCACACCACAGATATACTTTCCAGACACGGAGACGGACGGGAGGACATCGCGACTAGAGGGATGTCAAGACGAGCTAGAGCTGAGTGAGTGTCTCTGTCACGCGATCCCTTGAAGGACAGGACAGAGGCAGTGTCACGGCCATTGCTGCCCAATGTGTCTGTCTGTCTGTCTGTCTGAGTGAGTCACTCCGTAGTTCGGAGGGGGAAATGTTTCCTTCTGTCTTGTCTTGTTTTCCGTCTGTATCGATGAATGGCCGGGTATCACGGGCTGAGTAGTATGGAGGGGCAATCGCATTCTCGTCCCAGGTCTGATCTGTCCCGCTTCCTTCTTCCATTCTTCCCCTCGACCCCGGTCAATTTGTAAATGCCATCCCGGGCACACGCGCAGCAACTCGATTCAGGAGCCCGACCGGGTTTGTTTCGACAGGGTTCGAATCCGGTGGAATTCAGTGGAGGACGGAGCCAAGACGAGGATGTGGCATGGATGAAGTTGGACATTCGGGAACCCCTCACCGGGAGGATCGAGATAAGATAAGGGCCATTGTCATGTGTTCCACTAGTGGTACCCCACCAGTAGCGGCTTTTATTTTGACCTTGACTCTTGTTTATGATTATTTATTCTTCTATATTTGTCGTCTGTAGCAGACGCTTCATCGGGCCGATGAATTCGGAGTGTTCTTTGGCTAATTGAAATGGCACTGTATATTCAGCATAGATGGTACTCGCGAAAGTAGTGTGGAAGGATGCCACAGGGATGGTTAATCTAAGGTCGATGTTTGCGTTCAACTTGCAATTGAAACTGATGACTGTGTATTAGTCTTATTAGATTCTCCAGTGCAAGCCAGGGATGGCAACTGTCCACATACGATCTGTTGACATTGCTGCTTCAGATCCATGGTTGCTGAACCCACTCCGGGTAGTACCGTAGTGGAGCCGCTCTGAGATCTCGACTTCTTGGAATCGTGGACGAATATTCGTATGTCAGTGGTGCCGGTGACTGGACTGTTCAAGTTCATCCTTCAGAATTATGTTCTTTTTGTCGTATTGCCTTCTATGAAATTATTGATTCTATGACTGTAGAGGAAATCAGTGAGGTAGATATCCTGCGGTGACGCTGAGTCAGCGGGTTGTCCGGGACAACGGCCCATCTAAACAACAGCGTCATCCCCAGCCTCCCATCGACTCCAACCACCGCATTTTCGAGCGGCAACCCTGACAGCCTGCCGTCTCTCCTAGATTATTCAGTCTCTTACCTTTCTATCTTTGAATAACTGCCTATTTTCAAGTGTCGACTGATATCAACATTGTCTATAACCGACCTGCATTTTACACTCCTTATCTCCACAGCGCCATCTAGATCTAGTGGAGCCTGGGTCCGATCGAGACTTCAATTCGGGCGATCCCTTCTGACGGGTATAAACCCACATTCTTCGATCTGGAATGAAGATTTCGGCTAACATGATACATTGCAGAGCCCCGTCTTGAGCTTTGCGCTCTTGACCACTCTCTCAAACCATGGCGCCCGTCCAACACGCGGGTGCCATCCCCGACATTCCGGGCGAAGCATCCATTCCCCACAGCGACCTGACAGCAGACGATATCCTCCCATCAAATGTAAACCATCTCACCAGTCGGTCCGACGGTCCCTCGGCCGTGGATGACGCCCACATTCTAATCGCTCGATCCGATTCGAAAGAGAGCTACACCCCCGGCCACGGCACGGTTGATCCCAACGACATCAACATGCAAGGACTGATGGCGCTGTTCGCCATCCTCGGAGCGGCCTTCGTCCTCGCAGGCATTTGGTTCTTCTTCTGGGCCAAGAACGGCGGGTTCGTCTGGCGCAAGGGCGATTGGGAGGACTACAAGTCGACGGTCCTGCGGCGCAAGGGCCCCGACGGACGAACACTTAGCAATGCCACGAAGAGCACCAGACTAGGCGGCGGTAGCGTGGTTGGCAGGGACTACGTCGACGACGGCTACACCGTGACAGACAGCGCACCGGGATACACCGACACCGCGACGACAGTGACCGAGAAAGAACCCAAGCGCAAGCGCCGGTTCCGCGAGGCCGCCAAGCAGAAGCTACTCCGACGACGACCAGAAGACGACCACTGGGAAGGCTCCGTGGACGAAGACGTGCGCGCCTATCGCCAAGAGAAAGCCGCCTGTATCGGCGGAATCAACCGCGACCCAGACGGCACCTACCACGGCAGCGACTACGACACATCGCAGGAGCCCAGCAGCTACCAACAAAGCGAGATGAGCCAAGTCCGCGACTACGCCTACGAACGGCCCTCCGGACCGCCACCCACCCAAACCCGCAACTTCTCCTTCGTCCCCGGCGGCGACGACTCAGAGCTCAGCCAGGTTCCTCCTCCCCGCGCCGCGCGCGAGCCCTCCGCCCGCCGCCACAACCGCCGCCGCGAACGTCGCAGTCGCCCGCCCTCCGCCGTCCCCTCCCGCCAGACCAGCCCACGCAAGCACGGGGACAGACGCTCCGTGCCAGGCCACTACACCGAGCCACTGGACATGTCGTCTGCGCCTTCGCGCTCAGAATACCAGTATTCCAATGTTGACACGGAAGACGAATCCGGCACCCGAAGCTACCACCATCCTATTCCGGGGCTGAGCAAGGGGTACCGCCGTGAAGGGGGACGCAGCCGACGCCGCGATAGTCTCAGTGACAGCGACGGCGACGAAACTCGATACACATGATTTTCCTTTTTCCTTTTTTTTTTTTTTTTTTTCCACCCCGCGATATCCTTTTTTTCCACTTCACAGTTTTTCCACCTCGATTTTCTTCACACCTCCTTTTTTTAACGTTTTCAATCCATGGGTAACACGACGGAACTGTAAATAATATGTACGACATTGACACGGACACGAGACATGCGATGGTTTTCTTCACGGATGGATGACAGGTACTGGATTGGGATGAGCACAGGACAACATATAGCCAATGAATATGAATACATAAACAATCGACTATTCTGATGACTACTTATTTGCCAGATCCCCTCTCTATTCTCACTAGAATGAGAGTAACTGGACTCAATGAGAGGATGGCATATCTTCTAGAAACTAATATATATCACCCATTTAGTAATACTAGCAATAGATGGGACTCCGCGAAGACAATACCAGTTAGTTGTATAGGAGGTCACTGGTGATTTTCTAGATTCAACAGAGACATCAATGATGAAGAATACCGAGAGAGCGGCATCCAATCCAAAATATCCTTGCATTGTGGAAACAGTTTTATATCAATATTACCACCCCTGAAGCGAGAATCCATGCCACCCAAATAGCCAGAATCACTCATGGAAACAACACGTGCTAGATACCAGGCCATTTCCAGCATAACACAGCTTGGTAAAGAAAGTCGTTCAGAATTAGATGTAATAGGCTTGATGATGCGACTACTAACCACAGACTCTATGGATGGTTGTATGGTAGAAGACTTGTTGACAGCACTAACATCCCCAGTTGATATCGACTGTTGAACAATCAAAATGGTCAGTTATAGGCATATGTAGACTAAAGGATCCAATGAAGCTCGAGACACACTCTATTCTTGTCGTCTGAGAAGCTTAATGGGCGTAAAGAGAATCTCCCTTCGGCCCATGCCCGCTGCGGGTCGATTCTCGTGCATACCAAATTCAAGAGGCTATCCACACCAGCTGTGCTGTTTACGTTGCGCTGTTAGGGAAGACGACACTTTTGCATCTTTCGATTTCCTCTCCAGGCCGGGACATAGCTACAGCTATATACAAGAAAAAATGGCTCATAACACATCTTCCATATTGCGACATTACATCTACGGAACATCCGGCTGATCTGGGAGGTGGAACAGGATGATTCGAGCCCTTTCCACATGATGAACCCATCCCGGATACTGTTATACCCGAGTAAGCTTATGTTAAGCATCATGGAGTGTTAACAGAGATATGTAAATACGTACCTGAGTTCGTGCCCATAAAACAATTCTGTCACCTTCTTGAAGAACGGGCATAAAGCGTCGACCATTGGGATCATCTGTATCGCGGTACCATACGACCATATGCTCCTGTTTTTCTTCTGAAGCTTCATTTGTTACAACAGCACAGCTGACCTCCGCAGAGCCGTCGTCTCGATTCTCGGGCCCGTCTGAAGGCACGGGAATATTCTCAAAATACCAGCCGGCCTCCTGTATGTCATCTCCAAAGTCCTCCGGGCACGACTTAATGTCAACAGTTTCCAATAGACTGTTAAAGTCCGCATCTTCACTCCATGGTCGCAGAACGGAGCATTCAAACCAGGTTCGTGGCCCCTCCAAGTCGTCGTTTAGCTGTCCTTCGCTGCGACAGGCTATTTCGAATTGAACACAGGCAAGATTACCGGGTGTTGGCGCAGATACCAAATAAACCGCTGTACATAGTTCGGAGGATCTTCGTTCGTGTGATGGGGGGACTTCAATGTAATTGCATCCGACAGCGATAAGAGCCCTGTATGGGCCCACAGGATAACGAAACAGAAGCGACTGTTCATCCTTTGCCGATGTGTTTCCCTCGCCAGTCACCCTGAGTTCTGGATCTCTTTCCTCAGGATGATATAACAAGATTCGAACGGCATGGAGATCTTCGATTATATCCTGAATGACTGGATCGAAGTGTTCAAACGACTCAAGGGCCACATCTAACGCTTGTTCGAGAATTTGACCGGCCTCGGGTAGCCTCCCTTGTTCTTGACGCACACTTGCAAGTGACCTCAATGCTTGTAGTCTTGGGGGTGAGTTTGGTGCAACATGCGTCAATGTATCCGATTCGGTAGGAGCGCTGCACCATGGACTCTCTACAATTTGAGTCCAAATCGCTTCTGCCTCGCAAATCTTGTTTTTAGAGTGATAAGTATCCGCGAGTCCATCTAGAGCAAGAAGAGTCAATTTATCACGCAACCCGCACATCCTTTGCCCTTTTAATGCTGTTGACTGAAAAAGCTCCTCTGCTTTGTCAAAATCGCCTTCATCGTAGTAGATTCTGGCAAGATTGATGGAAACAGTGAGAGCTGTCATGGCAGCCTTTTTGCTCGTATGCTCAGTTACTGCAGCCATTTTGGTGAGCAGCAACTTAGCCTTCTCGGTATTGTGTTGACGCTTATAACTCTGGGCTAGTAGCGCAGTCACATATATTGTAGTCTCATGCCCTGGGCCCAAGTTCCTCTCAAATCCGTCTCGGGCGTGACTGAGCTCTCGTTCTCCAGCCTCTGAGTAGCCTTGTTTCAGCAATACACAACCGAGATTGAATCGAGCTTGTAGGGTCGATATATGATCTGGTCCCAATTCTTTTGTGAACCCCACCACGGTCCTCTCAGTCATGTCTTTCGCTTCAGCCAGCCTATCATGATTATCGTAAAATGATGCGAAAGACTGCAACGTCTGCATAGTAGAGGGATGGGTAGGTCCAAGAATATTCTCCTTTGTCTCGAGCGCTCGGCGAAACATCATATCCGCCTCAAGGATCTTGTTCTGGACCCCGTAAAGTCCTGCCAGATTGCTTACCGTATCCAGTGTTGATTCGTCATCACTGCCCAAAACCTTTTCCTTTCTTTCCAAGGTCTGCAAAAGGAGCTCTACTGCTTCGTCGATCTTTTCTTGATGTTGCAGGCTCAATCCGAGATTGTTCATTACGCGGAGGGTGTATTCATGGTCGGGGCCGAGAATCTCATCGAGGCCGTGAAACGCCTGGCGATGCATCATTTCGGCACAACCCCAATCATCTTCATTTCCGTATAGGGTCCCGAACGCAGAGAGAGATGCCATAATGATCTCATGTTGGCCATCTCCTAGGTAAGCTTCCAATCTCGGCCTGACATGATTGAAATGAGGTAGAACACGTTTCTGCTGAACCCAATAGTCTGGCGTATGTCTATCAGGTATGTTTTGACCGAGGGATACAATAACAAAAGTTCTGTTTTTGGGAACGTCATCCGCCAATGTTGGATCAATATTGATGAGTTCATTCTGACACCAGTCTTGTATGACTGGATGCAGCGAATAGCTGTTGATTTCGAGGTTCTTCTGGATCAGACTAAAGTCAAAGAGCAATCCCACAGTATCCAAAAAAACGGATTTCGTCAGCGAAGTCCATCATATATTCTTCAAGTACATCCGGGTCCCCAACACATTCGGAAATCGTAGCGAGGGTAACACCTGTAGCTACCAAATCATACCAAATGTCATTGTGATAGAAGTAAGAGAGAAGGAAAAACAATCGTGCAGAGGATGAGCTTCTCTTTTTCACTTCGAAGTAAGAAATGCACCAGGTGGTCATCAAGTTGCCATTCGAATATTGACGCGGAGGTCGTGCTGCACGGGCAGATTGTATTTCGTTCCACGCTTGGTTATAATATTGAAGATATTTAGCATGGCTAATACCTGTGCAGCGGATGTATGAGCCTGCAATGACTATGGCGAGAGGCAGTCCTTCCAAGCGGCTTGCCAGCTTCTCCATGTCGTCATTGATAGTGGTGGGGGGCTCTGTATCATACCCAGATGATTTTGCCAGAAGTATTCTCGATTCCAGCAGATGCATTGCCAGGAGCGGGCACGATCTCCCTAGCTCAGCCAGCTGCTGCAGGCGAGTGGTGATAATTATCGAACCATGATCAGCAGATGGGAAGTACTGTTCGATATCGTATACATCTCCACTACCATCTTGGCCTATCGGCACTGGATTGTATTGATCCACATTGTCGAAGATCAGCAGCCATTTGGAATTATTCTCCATCGAGAGCCACCTCAAGACCCTCTCTGCGCGCATTTGGGCTTCATTCCTTGACCCAGATTTTTGACTGTATTCACTGGCCTGCTCATACTGTAAAGCGGGAATCTTGCCGAAGATGGTTTCCAGCGAGCGGATCAGAGTTTGTTCATTTGAACCATCAATCCAAAAGATTGCAGTAAAATCTCCCTTGTGCAGACGAGCTAGGTGAATTGCAAGTTGCGTCTTGCCAACGCCCCCCATTCCGTTCAAAATTACGACTTTCCGCATGGTTTCAGTATCAGGACGTATTATGCTCCAAATATGTTCAATCTCGGCTTCTCGACCAATGAATTCGTCGATCATAGGAACGCCCTTTGTATCAAATGGGATTTTGAACAACTCTAAGTCGTCAGTATTACTTACGGTCAATTTCAAATTTAGAATATTTTTTTCCTGCCCTTCGCCACACAGTTGCTATTCAGTGCCACTGACCTGCTTGCAAAATCTCGACTGCCTTTCTGCTAGCCGCAGTTTGGCTCACAGATGTAACCGAAAGAAGCTCCTTCGCGTAGGCTGCGGCTACAGCGGCGGCATAGCCCTGCCACTTGTCGTTCTTATGCGAATCTGCATAGTCGCAGATCCCTCGAATTATCAGGCATGGGAAATTGTTCATGAGGCCTGCCGCTTCCATTTCCACGCAGTACGCTCCTAGGTCTTTTCCAATCTGGTCACGCATATTGCTGTCTTTTATGACCTGGTTTCCCGACGCAATGAGACCATAGTATATCGTCGGCTGCTCTGTCTGTCGCGACGGCCGTAGGATTGTACACGATGAATCGCAGGAATCTCGACAAGTCTCCCCACGCTGCGCGTGCTTGTACGTAGCATGGAATAAACGGTCTTCTTCACCCCCCGGATAGGCAAAATTCCTTCTCATTTGCGGACGTTCTTCGAGGACCTGAGAGATGATAGCTGCTGTCAAACTATCCTGGATTAAATGATCTGC